CGCCTACATCAGCCACTGCCTAGGTCAGCCACAGCTTCCTAGCTTATCGGCAGAAAAAAAAAGTTCTGAAGATTAAAGTTATCAGTCGGAAAAGTTCACGTTCAATCGCAATCAGCAATCGACCAACCAAATACAACAACTCCCAATTGAAACCACAACCATGGGTAAGAGCAAGTTGAAAGTTGCCCTTGCGGCAGAGAAGGGAATTGACTTCAAGAAATTGAAGGAGAAGAAGAAACATAAGGAAAGAGTCAAGAAGAGGCAGGAGAGAGAACATAAGAATGGTGGGGCTGCTGATGAAGACGATAGCGACTGGGAAGGTGTTAATGAAGATGAGGACGAGGTTGAAGGTGGCGCGGGACTCGTAGATGACGAGGCCGAAGAAGATGATGAAGAGGACGAAAATATCGACCTTGCGGCCTTAGATGAAAGCGATAGCTCCGACTCGTCGATAGATCTCGAGGAGAAGATAGAGCGACCCCGAAAATCTATATTAAAAGCGAAGAACGCCAAGGCAAATGGAAAGAAAAATGCCGACGAAGAAGATGAAGAAGAAGATGAGGAGGAGGAAGACGACGAGGACATACCAATGTCCGATCTAGAAGATCTACCTGACGACGAGAAGGAAGACCTAGTCCCACACTCACGCCTCACCATCAACAACACCTCCGCGCTCCTCGCCTCTCTAAGCCGTATATCCATACCCACCGATAAATCAGTCCCCTTCGCAACGCATCAGAGCATAGTAAGCGCTGAGCCCACCGCCAGCAGCATCGAGGACATCCAGGATGACCTGAAGCGCGAGCTCGCCTTCTACGCGCAAAGCCTTGACGCCGCCAAGCGCGCGCGCGCACTACTCAAGGCCGAAGGAGTCCCGTTCTCGCGACCAACCGACTACTTCGCCGAGATGGTCAAGGACGACGGGCACATGGAGAAGGTGAAGGCGAAGCTAGTCGAGGAAGCGAGCGCCAAGAAGGCCTCCGCCGAGGCCCGCAAGCAGCGCGACCTCAAGAAGTTCGGCAAGCAGGTCCAAGTCGCTAAGCTCCAGGAACGACAGAAGGAAAAGCGCGAGACGCTTGAGAAGATCAAGACACTCAAGAGGAGTGAGTACACCCATCATTACTACACTATGGTATGTTTCACTATACTAACGACCTCTCCCAGAACGCCAAGAATCCTCCGGCGACCTCGGCACCACCGAGGCAGATCTCTTCGACGTCGGCGTCGACAACGAGATAAGCAAGCACAATGCCCAGCGTGCCTTCTCGCGGGGCAAGGACGGCGAGCGCGCCGGTCCCAAGCGCCAGAAGAAGAACGAGAAGTACGGTTTCGGCGGCAAGAAGCGCCACGCCAAGTCGGGCGACGCCGTCAGCTCCGGCGATCTGAGCTCCTTCAACGCCCGCAAGATGAAGGCCGGTGGCGCGAGGGGTGGAAAGCCGGTTAAGCCGCGTCTAGGCAAGAATCGGAGGAACGCGGGTGCCGGTAAGCGGTAGCTAGGTGGTGTATGATGACAGGAATAGGAGGGAGGGGTTGAGTTGTTTGTTGCAAGAAAGAAGAAGTTCGTAAAGCAGTCAGATTCTTCGGACTTGGGATAAAAGCATAATTGTCGTAGAGATACCAAAGTAGCCTCACAAATCAAGGAGTTATGTCCGGGGAAAAGGAACGAGAATTCGTCTTGATCTGCATTGAAGATGTTGTCATTTACCTACTTGATTGACTGTATGAATATGCATAATACACCGCTTCAGGGCATTTTCTCCTATACGGAATAATAAGCCCAAGTGCGTTTATACCATATGCAAAATCCAGTGTTACAACTAGTAGTCCACAAACCGATGCTCTTTTCAATATATACGAGTCCTCGCAGGTCTTACATTATATCAACATATCTACTTGCGCTTGGAAATCCTCTTCTGCGCCCTAAGTTCCTTCTTCATCCTAGCATCCACAATCTTATACCTGCCCTTAACGCCCTTAGGCCGGCCCTTGATACCCCTATTCAGACCCCTAGCAACGACCAGCTTAGCAGGCTGCCTGTTAGGCTTCTTCTTGGCAGCCTTGGCCAGCAGCTTGGAGATGCTATCGGCCTTCTCCTTCTCCGTCATACCCTCCTCGCTAGCTAGCAGATCCGACTTCTTCTTGATCTTCTCGAGGCGCTGCGCCGCCTTGAACTTCTTGCGCGCCTTGGCCTCGCGGACCTTCTTGATGGGTCGCGCGTTTAGTGCACGCATCTTCTCTTTGATGGCAGCTGCTGCGGCCTTTGTGATGGGCTTTTGTGGCCTGTCATGTTTGCCCTCGTCGTCTACAAACCAGTCAGGCAGTCCGTCGCGATCACGGAATGCGCGCTTATTAAAGCCGTCGTCTATTACGTCGTAGTTGGTCTTTTGGCCTGTGGCGAGTTGATGCGCGAGCGTCATAGCTTCGGCAGTGATGATGTCGATATCTATTATACTTGTTAGAATATAATGTTGCGGGGTATAGAGGATAGATATATCTTTCTTACCCAGTGTCCCATCGGCTCGCCGTTTATCTTCGTCTTCCCAGCGTTCCTCCAGATCTTGGTCTTGTTTGACAACTTCAAACCCATCCTGATCATCCTCAGATTCGGAGGGTACCTCAGCCTTAGCTTTCTTTGACTTTTCCTTTTTGGCCTTCGTCTTCTCCTTTGTTATAGTTACTGGTTTCTGAACTTTGGAGGACTCGTCCTCGTCTATGTCCATTTCATCATCAAGGATACCCGGTATATCTTTGAAGATATCTTGACTAAAGAAATTTGCGGCTCGTTTTGATAGCCCATTGGATCCCGCTGCTGGCTGGTTATCTAAATCAGTAAGGAGCGGTTTTGAGGGCTCCGAGTCGTCATCGTCGGAATCGTCACTGCTGTCCTCATCCAGCTCGCCATCGTCGCTAGACTGTTGTTCGTCGGCTGATACTCCTTCCCATTCGTCATCGTCGTGCTCCTGCCTAGCCTTTTTCGCCCGGTATTTCGCGTCTGACTCTGCTTTCCGTTCTCTGTATTGATCGTACATGCTATCAAGTTCGCGTTCCAGACGGTCTTCTTCTTCATCCTCTTCGTCATCCGTTTCGCCTGAAGATCCAATACCACTATCTCTGTCTTTTCTAGCCTCTGACTCACTAAGGACGGCCATTTTTCCCTTTGCGATTTTATTGACAGCCCCGTGTTTATCGATGGGCTTAAGAGCAAACATAGAATCGGGACCAGCGGGACCAGCTTGTTCCATACCGATATCCATAGGGGCAACCATATGCAATTGCATCCGTATAATCTCCTTTTGCTTCTTCTCATTCTCTTTCCGCCGTTCGCGCTTCTTTTTGGAGCTGTCCTTGTCTTTCAATGCCTGCAACTCCTCCTGGATCTTCAATTCCTCGTCCATAGGTTCGACTTCCGCAACTTCCTCCTCGGGCTCAGCAGGTTTCGAGGTCTTCTTAGTTGGTAGACCGAAAGCCTCGCGGGCTTTTAATCTCCACTTAAGTAGAATCTTGAACTCTCTCCGGCCTAAAACCTTCAAGTCTGCGCAACATATTCTAATTTCTTCTGTAGTGTCTGGCATCTTGTCCAACGCCGCAAGCGCCACATCACCGTTGCGTGGTTGCTCGAAGGAGAGCTTATTATAGCTACCAAGTATCGCTATAGGATCAACAGTCTCAATAAACTGGCTTGCGGGAATTTCCTTGAACTGGGTATAGTCGCCCTCTTCATAACCTCCTCTCTTCCGCTTCTTCACCTCAGGCTTAAAGACCTTGGCCTCATTATTCGGGGCCTGCTCTGCCAATTCGGCAAACACTGCCCGTGGGTCGAGGAACCTTGGATCGAGATGCTTAGGAGCCTTGAAGCCACGACATACGACGAAGATTTCAGCGGAGACGTTTCTCGAAGACGGGGGTTTTGTCGACTCGACTTTGGTAAATAGTTGATTAAAGACCCAGAGGAGTTTGTTGTACTCTTTCGATCTAAAAACCTTGGTGACGAATGTACCACCCTCAATAAGAAACTCCGTTGCCAACTTCATAGACTGTAGAACAAGCTCTGCCTGGTTGAAGGAGTCCTGGACCCAAGCGGTACCGACGTTGGGAGCACCATCGTGAAGTACGGTATCGGCTTTCCACGTCTTCAAGTGTTGTCGGATTGTCGCACGGCATTTTTCGGTAGTAATATCGCTCTGGAAGGTTATGACCTTTGGAATAGGTTTGATCGGGGAGAGATCGACTCCAACAATAAGACTGTTCGCAGGCATAGCCTCTGCTGCTACTTGGCACCATGACTATAACACACAGTTAATTGATAATTTCCTCATCTTATATAGGGATATAACGTACTCCAGGAGCAGCGCAAAGATCCAAAAGGACCTTACTCTTCTCAAGGAAACCATATTTTTTGTTCAGTTGGATTAACTTGAAAGCAGCTCGAGCTCTGTATCCCTTCTCCTTGGCTAATTTATACCACTTATCGAGACGCCCTTTTCCGTGTTTCTTCTGAATCGCCATGTTGTTTCAAGCAGCCCCGAATTGGCCAAATGAACACGGCTTATGATGGATGGACTGTGAATGATTGTTACTGGCGCAATCAGTTCATGTATCCCGCATCAATCTTTGGAAATTTTCGAGGAATTATTTCTTTGATAAGCTTATCGGTGGATCAGAACGTCGATAAACGATAAAAACTCTTGGCAGATTTATTTTATCGGTGGCGCATTGACCAGTGACTAGGTACCTTAGGTACATATGTATTCGTGTGAAGTTTTAGTCTCATACTGTACTAGATGCATAAAGCAAATGGAAATGGCGTTTATTGGCTGTTTAAGGGCTGTCGGTTACGGTTTTAGGTAATAGACTGTCCTAGCACCCGCCACAACCATCTCAATTTTAAGCGTAAACACAGTACCAATACTAAGACCCACGCGTTTAGACCCTGGTCTCTAAAAACGTCATTCCCTTTTTGGGTCGTGTAAGTGGTTTTTCGTGTTGGCGCGTCTTTTCGCGGGCGTGTCTATGGATACTTGATCAAACTTCTTACCTCCGAACCGGCCAGAATCCTTACCTACCATCTTATTATTCCCCACCATTACTATTCAATTTGTTACCGTCTCCAAGTCAATCGAAGCTTAACTTAGTTACTTTCTTCTCTATTATGTCAAATTGTCCCCATCTATCCTCTTGATACTAGGTTAGATATCTGGTTCCAAGGGTCCGAGGGCATTGGTGGCATCTGTCCTTCTTGTGGAGGCAAGTTGTGGACCTAGCAGAAGTAGAAGAAGAAGAAGCAGAAGCTAGAATGGCCGACGATGCATCAAATTCAAGGCTCTCCTCGCCGCCCAGGGTCATGAATGGTAAGGAGAGAAGAAACCCATCTATCACTCCCAGAAAGTTCCGACGGTTCTTTACTCCTCGCTCTCGAGTACCTACGCGTATCAGCCCGGCAAGAAAGGCTCTAAAGGATCTCGCCGCCCCTGAGTTGAACAATCGTTATCAGACGCCTGCTCCCTCTAGTCCATTAAGACCTTATTCAGATGAACATATTCGAGATGAGAATGTCGATGCCGAGGATGTTCCAACGCCCAAAAGACGGAAATTCAACCATACTCCCGATTCTTCGCCATGCCGACCCCCTTTAATCTGCCAGCCAAGCCATGTTGGATTCGAAGCGTCACCGGATACCAGGCCAGCCCTACTCAGCCCAATTAGATCTATTCGTTCCAGTCGGGAGGATATTGATTTGGATAATGATGCTAGCGAGGATGAACTCCCATCATGGCCAATGCCAATAAGACGGCTCGTACCTTTGACAAGTCGCGGCTTTGCCGGTCAACTTGCACAAAGACAACTGGGGGGAATGCCTCAGGCTGGACGCTCTTTCATGTCATGCCCGGCCTCGGACTGGAGAATAGATGCTGCCGACTTTTACAGCAAGCCCGATGATGTTCATTCCTGTAATAGTCACGACGGCCAAGGCCGATGCATACCATTTTGCGCTGCCGCCTGTCACAAGAACAGCTTGACGGCAATAGGAGATGAGGAAGGTCGAGTCCGTCTACTGGAGTCGTCTGGTGATTCGTCTGAACCATTCCGCAAGATTCATCTATGTTTCCAAGCCCACACCAATGCTATTATCGACTTGTCTTTCTCAGATGACGACTACCGTCTGGCTACTGCATCTGGCGATCAAACCGGAAGAGTTATAGATATGATGACACAAACTCCAATTGCGATTCTTCAACATCATACCGCCTCTCTGAAGCAAGTTCGTTTCCAACCGGGCAAATCCAATGGCAGTGTCCTCGCAACATCTTCCCGTGACGGAAGTGTTCAAATATGGGATCTTCGTTGCTCAGGGAAACCAATGCAGGACATCTTAGCACCCGAAGAACGTGAGGTCGCTTTACGATACCGGCGCCCAGCACCCAAACAAGGCTGTGCTATCAATAGTCTTTATCACGCTCATGTACGCACGTCACGTCAAGCTCAGCAGGCGTCAAACCTTGGACCTGGGGATATACCGTCGCATCGTGAGCTACCAAACCGAGTTGGTGATGTATCTGTTACAGCACTCCAATTTTTGCCCACGGGACAAGAGCACTTGCTACTTACTGCATGTGAGGCGGACGCTTCTATCAAACTTTGGGATATCCGCGCTATACACTCGTCTCGCCAGAAGGTTCCCTCTCCATTATCTGTGACCACTCCACCCTCTTCGCATCAGCATTGGAGACCCTTTGGAATTTCATCTCTAACACTCAATACCGACGCCTCTCGACTATATGCGGTGTGCAAGGACAATACTGTGTATGCTTATTCAACCGCCCATCTTATACTAGGACACGCTCCGGAACTCTCTACGCGGAACGGCGAGGCACCCCGACGAAGACACAATGCGGTACCTCACCAAGGCCTAGGGCCGTTGTACGGGTTCCGACACCCGTCGTTTCATGCAACTAGTTTTTACGTCAAAGCCGCCGTCAGGCCAGCCCGTGACGGCAAGAGTGAACTGTTAGCCGTGGGGAGCAGCGACTCTTGCGCTATGTTGTTCCCTACACAGGAACGATATTTCAGGGATGACCTTCTTGGTGCAATGGGCTCTCTAAGTCTAGAAGATTCTACGATAGGTGTCTCCCAGAAACAGACGGTGTCGAACTCAAGCTTCTCATCTACGGACTCGAATACGGTGCGCAGGTCGCTTTTTCGGACCAATAGTACCGCCAACCTCTCGGCCAGACTCAACGATGATATACCTATCGTTCGAATGGGGGCGCCGCTCGTTCGAGGACACGAAAGCGAGGTTGGCGCGTTGACTTGGACGAGCGAGGGTAAACTCGTGACGGTGGGCGACGACTACTTGATTCGGTGCTGGAGCGAAGGGAGAGAAGAGGCGGCGGATCTGAGGACAGGTGGCGAGACGGGTGGTCGACGTTGGGGATGCGGTTGGGCGGATGTTGGGGACGACTGGGATCAGCTCGATGACGATGAGGAGTAAAGGAAAGGTTAAGGTTACAGCATGGCGTCGGGTTGGAACTAGTATTCAGCATTGAGCATTGCAGGCTCTGGATTATACCCCTATATTTGCTTTAGAGCTTGGCAAATAAGCTCCCTTCTGCGCATGAGTTCAGATTTAATGAGTCTTTACCGTACTTGAGGAGCCAGCTTTTATGATTCTGTGTTTGGTGTGTTGTGGCTTTCTGACCAACGTTTTGTCTGTGTCTTAATGTATATTTTCCCGTGGAGTGTATAAGTCACGAATGTTATGTGCTTTGAGTCTACTCAGACAGTGTCTCAAGATAAATAAATTAAAACGAGGACGAGCCACCTTTCCAGAGCAGAAGTTAATCTTGGAGTAGTCAAATAATCGTCAAGTGCTATGCTGCATAGGTAGGTAGCTAGAGAAGAGTAGTTTAAGTCCACCTTAGGTAATTATTCAAGTAAATGCAAGCCCAGAGCCCGAGTATGCCCCCTTTACAAGGCGGTTCGAGTGTTAACATATTGCATTAAAGCATTCCCCAATCAGCCTACCTACGCCCATGTTATAGATGGAAATACAAGCAAGCAATACTCCATTATACATTGAACTACGATACAATCTCATATAAGATGAACAAATCACAGGCCAGATTAATAAAATTCGGTCAATCATGGGCATTTTATTCGATCCAATCAGGCCCTTAGCTTGCTACTTGTAACTACCTCCTACCTGTAGGGCTGCATGCAAACAGATTATATGCTGCTGCGACATGCAGCTATCGAATCAGAACGGCGCTGATTATACGCATGCAGCTGACGAACTGCCGGGTAGACATACTGAAACAACTTGGCAAGTCCCCCTATATGTATGTTTTGTCTTTTGAATCCCAATAATATGTAGCTAAGCTTACCCGATCCTCCTCTCCCAGGGAGATCACACCACCACCATCATCATCATTATTACCAAAGGCAGCAAAGTTCCAGAACCGGCTACCAACTGCTGCTGAACGATCCTACTGCAGCACTTGCATGGGAGAAGGGATGAAGAAGAAGAAGAGAGAAGAAAACGCGTTGTAGCATTATTTCTCACCGCCAGTTCCTACAGCCCGTTTGTTGCGCGTGTCGACAGTCGCTGTGGAGCTTCCCGCATCTACGTAGTCAGGATTGTGACGATGGCCGCAGGTTCCGTAGCCTGGAAAATAGATTGACGGGCGCCGCTGAGTGGACGGATAACTCGATAGGCCGCATATTCGAAGACCCGGAGCGGAGCAAACCAACAACGCTATTTCTCTGCTCTCTTATTCTTACCTTCTTGTCTTATAGCGACTTGTGAGGTCATCTAACGATGGTTCTCTACCTACGTTAGCACTTTCATGCGGATGGATCGTCTAAGTGTAGGTATGCGTAAATCGAGAAGACTAGCTCGCCATTATTAATAGCAACGCGTTACTTATTAGCTACCTACAGCCTACGCCGAATAAGAAAATCGGGTGGTTGGGGGATCGGGATCTGATTCTCCTTGTTGGCTATTGGTCAATGGCTTTCCCCCAGCCAGGCTCCCCTGTCAGCATCCGCGACACAGCAAACTGTGGTAATGCGACGCGCGCGTATCAGCGCTATCTACGGTTTTGAACCGATGAATATTTGTCGTGCTTGGGCGAGAAGAGTAGAATTCGATACACCTCCCAGCTGGCTGTATCTTGAGAATACACCATACACCACATGGATAACCCGAGCGTGTTCCCGTAGCACAGTCGTCGCTAGCCGTGGGCTACGAGACGAAATCGTATAGTTTCTCCGTTGCTTGGCCTCAAGCTAAACCAACTCTCTGACTTTGCGCCCCACGGGTTATGCCACATGAGGGTGCTTCAAGGTGTCTTAGACAGTGTATCGCGGCATTAGCCCGTAGACTAAAAAACCCGTAGCTACGGGACGGACGCTAGCACAAGAATATCGTCTTGGTAGGTAAGAGGTATGAGTACGAGAACACGTTGAAAAATAACTCGAATGATGATGTAGAGAGCCGAGGTAGTATGTAACGAAACCTAAGAGCTTCCATGTTAATACGGGGGTACGAGGTTTCACCCATGCCTTAAAACTCGAATAGGTAGTTATAAAGAAAGCACCAAAGGCCGTAGACTCGAAAGTCGAGAAATGAAACCGTCATATATATAGACTATTGTCTCGATGACGAAGCCACTTATTCAATAGGCTTGATATCGTAATAACCATCGTCGTTAAAGCTGACTCAAGTGACCAGACTTAAAAAATAAAAATAAAAAAAAGTCTGGGATGGGAGAGGCTGGAGATAAAGACGTTGATAATAAGTCCCCTGAACCCTGTCGTTCCTGGAAAATATCACTCTTTGGGACGTGTTTGCGCGCGTGGCGGCTGGACCCGTCATAAAAGTCCAAAAAGTCCAAAAAGTCCAAAAGGAAAAAAGCATGTTATGTATGTAATTTCTAGGATCGTCAAGCCGAACTTTTAATTACTTTCTTTCTTTTTTTCCCTCAAAATTAACTCTATCGTCTATCGAAACCACTCGATAGAGCAGACTAATAATAATAATATCATAACTCCTCAAGAGCCTAATTAGTTATCATATTATATACTTCCCAGTTCCACAGCGTCCAAGACTCGAAACTCCGTCTCGGACCCGAATCCTGGGAAGCTTGTTGGATTCAAAATTAGACCTCCCGTCCGGTCTTTGTTGTTGACCACAGCTCTAAGCTTTTGTTAGGCTCCTCTACCTAGGCTCTACATTCTACATACTACATAGCAAAGTCCCCCGGCAAAGTGGACAACTCATCTTGCATCAAAGCTGCTGCACGATAAACGGCCTCCCATTCGCTTGTCACCCACAGCACGTTCTCTTATTTAGAGATCGGAAACTAAGCTGTCTGCACCCGGTAACCAGTACTACACAAGAAGGGCTCGTGGTTATTTGGATATGGCTTCTTGACATAATATCTTCTTTTATCTCCTTTCTCTCGAACCTCCCCCTTGGCCTCGCGCTTCCCCAGTCCAGCGTCGCATCCAGAAGGCGAGCGCTTATACATAACGATTCGACGCGGACGCGTGTATATGCAACCGTACGGAGAGACAACATTCAGAAGTTCGGTCCGTTCCTGCAAAGAACATTCGTTCATCCTGCAGTTCTCCTGAATAATTAGTTATTTTTATTATTACCTACTATTCTGTTCCCGCACGGATCTTTAGTCAGGACGTATACCTATTCCTACCTACCTACATATGCAGATACATGCATAAGCACAAGCAAATAAGATATTATTTACATGTGCCGCGTGCCTCCTATTAAGCAGCAGCAGCAGAGAGAAGCTCGAGGCTCGTGCATCATCATCGTCGTCGCCCAACGCTAATGTCGACTTCTAGAGCCGCCTAGAAAAAGAAGTTCGCGGGGGCCAAGAGTTTTTTTTTTCCCCTTTCGACATTAGGTATTCGACATTACAATACCTATACCAGACCAGTCTCGTAGCCGGACCAAAACTCCACATCCGTCCCAAAAGCCTGGAAACTCGCCAATCGAGGAGGCCTTCGTTGACCTCACACCGCCACCACTCTCAACTTGGTTCCTCGGGATCACGAAAAGCGGCCAACTTGCTTTCCCAGGTTTTTTTTCTGCCAACTCCACCCCCTGTCCGGCGGAGATCTCCTAGGTTAGGTACCTACATACACTACCTACCTAGGTATATATGACTAGCCGTTGTTGTGGTTGTACTATTCGCTCGCAACGCACGCTCGCTTGATCAGCGGAAGAAGGTGCGCGCGCTACTGACGTCGAAATGCTTCACGGTCGAATAAGTCATAGAACACCTACCACTACCACCACCACAACCACAACCACCACCGCCGCCGCCGCAGCCCTACCTCAGCTTCCGTCATCACTCACCGTAAAACTATTCCCTCCTCTTTATTTTACCTCTGTCCAAATTTAATAATTTTTGTGCCCATCCGTTTTAGCCCAATTCCGGACTTACAACTTGGGTCTGTCACCTTGTATTACTTTCGCTGTATCATATTGGTCAGTAACTCCCCCCCCCCCCCCCCCCCCTCCCCCTTCCAATAGCAGTGCCAGCGCAGCCCCTACCAGGGTAGGTGGGTAGCTGTGACCGATGAGCTTGCGCCAGCTAATACTCCGCGACGCTAGTCTACTGTAATATTTTCGAATGTTTAATTTTGGTTGCGTTGTACTTCTTGGACCAGGGTTTGTGTAGGGAAGTCTGCCGTCTCTATCAGACTCGGAGTTTGTCTGCTTTGAACAGAAAAAAAGAAAGGAAACGACGCGAACTACGGGATTGGGACGACGCTTTGAGGCCCACTCGCGTGCTTTCGACTCTTCCAGCAACGACTGCTTCTCATGCTTATTTTGAGATTGAGTCGCGTTGCCAGTCATTCGTTATCGAGGTCGTTTGCAGCTAGTGGAAGCTGTTCAGTTTGGGCTTGTCGACTTGTTAGCGATTATAGCACGCTTGCTAGGGAAACAAGTCTTTCCTAGGGAACAGCAGGTTTTGTGAGGTATGTTATCACGCGTTTTCCGGTATCCATGAAGATATCTTCATCTCATCTACCTGTGTTACCTGTACGACGAAGAACCTTGCAAATATCAAGACCATGTTTTCTTTTCTTTCAGCCATTCCTATAATCTCTACACTCGCAATTGTTATTCATCCCTCTCACGCAGTGTAACAGGCTTGAACACGTTTCTCACATAATCACAGGGCCCCGGTGTCTACCCCTTTTCCGGCGATCTTTTCAATGGCGTCCTCCGAGGTGGACCAGAAGTTCCTCGGACGCCTCGCAAAATCTGTCGAGCCCAACAATGCGCTGCTCGCGTCGATGCTGTTTAAGATATTGGGGCTTTCAATCAATTTAGCCGGGCAGTTGGTGAAAGCGCGCAAACAGCGCCGCCTCGATACCACGCGCGTGACTGGGTCCCTCGAGCTCTACTTTCACATATTATGGCTCTCGCGCGAAGGCCTCGTAATGCTCGAGCAGTACGTTTTACCAATGGTCGGCGACTACGTTGAGCTCAAGGTCCTCGCATACAAATTACGCGCGTCCTTTTATCACATCTTCGTCCTATTCCATAATAACCCCCCGGTGTCGCCCATGGGAATCGCGACGACACCCCAGGCCCTCGCCGCGGAGATGACGCCGGAGCCGTTGCGAGTCGATAAGGGAAAGGGCGTGGATAGGAGCAACCCGGCAGCATTCTTACCGCCCGAGTACGTGCGATCGTCGGTACAGCCAACCCACCCGTACGAGCAAGGCGCACCAGCACCGCCCCCCGGTTTCGAAGGACAAGTGCAGATGCCAAATTTCACGCCAGAAGCGGCGGCCGCGTTTCTACTACCGTCCGTAGACTACTTACCAACAGCACACCAGTACTTCCGGGAGGCTATTTCGTTAGCAGACAACTTGTTATGGGGGTCGCACTCACTACGACTCTCCGTAAAGACGGAGTACGCAGCCTTCCTATACGATTGCGTTCACGACCGGGAGGGAAGCCGACGATTGGCGAAACAGACGATCGCGGAGGTGTACGAAGCGACCGAGGGCCTAGACGATGATATGTACGACGACGCGTGCGAACTCGTGACTGTGCTCGGCAAGATGATGAAGCGCGGCCTGGGAGCGGGGAGCTCGCGGAGCGGCGGAAGACCGAGTCCCAGCGTGACGCAAGCTACCGCTGTTTCTCAGAGCGGCGAGAGTAGTGCGACGGTTGTACCGCCCGTTCCGCCCGTCGGCATGGAGAATCCGATATAAGGACGAGTCCGGAATTCGTGCGACAACTGTCAGGTACCGACGATATTCGATAAGACGGCTATGCGTCCCGGTTTCACGCCGTTGCTCTGTACTTTCTACAGAGCATAAGCTGTATGCCGCCAAAGCATGGCTATATTTGAACTAATAAGGACCCCAGAAACACCATTTCCACCTATACACTCACAACAATACCGTATCCCTTGTAATTAACTCGACCATACCCTACCCAAAACGTACACGACCGGCACATCCCAAGTGTTCAGAATTATAAACTCGAAAAGGGGGGACTTTGCCCTACCTACCTACCTACATACCTTACACATACATACACACATGCATATATACGTACACGCACCTTACCACGTCTCATACCCCATCAAGAGATGCTTAATACCCACCCACCAGCACCCCATTCCCCTCCCCTCCCATCCCCAGCACTTTATTTTCTCGTTCATAAAAGCGTTTGATGATACCCAGTTCTGCCCTGCGAGGCGGACCGACGGATAGAGAGAGAGAGAGATAGGGGCTGCACGTCCCGCCATTGCATTACATACCACGTGTGTGTTTGTTGGACAGCATAGCTGCATGTAGTTAGTTGTAGCATATTTGGTAATTCAGGGGCTTTAGCTAGAGCTCTTGTTTTAAAATACTACCCAAGCAAAAGTTTTGCAAAATTTTGGTCAGTAAGGACTTCGTAGTTGAGTATCGTGTCTAATTCGTAGGAACTATTAACTATAGTTCTGCCCCTAATCAACTTCGATGCTGTAAAACGACTTAGATTTAAAAATTCCCTATTGCCGGACTTATAATACTTAAGTTCTCCAGCATACTAATTAGCAGCATAATAGTGAGTTGGCAAGCAATCTTAATTCAGGAGGTTGGTTGATATGAGTGCAGTCTTGAACGGCTCTCGTTTAGGTGTATTTACATAAGTATATTAAAAGCTCTCTCTCTAACCAGCCGTATAGTCGAGCAGATTTTCTATAATAACTCGAGAAAACACATACTTGAGTCAAGTCAGACCTACTAAATCTTTAATATACTGGCTCGCGAAGAGAGATAATCCAACTAATAAGTACAATTTACCCGCGGCACCGTGTACCTAACCATCTTGCACATCTCTCCAAATCATAGTTAAACGTTAGTTTGACAACTAACTCTTCGAATAAAGCATGTAAACCGTGTCTGTGGAAAGAAACGCAAGTCTATTCCCTGAAAATGCAATTTAGTGTATCCCATATTCACATTATTCACACTAACTCAATGCCCCGGGCACCCTATCCCATGTCCATGTCCATAATTCAACCAGTCTTTCTATCCGTCCGTATCCTACTGTAGGTCTTCCGTCCCGCCTATTCAAATCTCACTGTCCCCTTTCCACCCCTGCTACCCTCGCCCAAATCCAAATCCGGAGATGCAGTCTCTCCCCTCTTCACGCCGTTTGCAGCTCTCCTCCCCTTCGCAGCCGCCCTCATCCTCTTCTCCCTCTCCATAACCACGCTGTCGCGGCTCTTCAAGCTCACCGGCGGCGGCCTCTCTTTGTATCCCTACTTTACCGCGGCCGCCGCGGCTTGCTCCTCGTACTCTGTACCACAGAGCTCGTCTAGCTCGCCCACGATGCGCACCATGTACTCCAAGATAGTCAGCCCCTCCCTCTTTACATCGGCGCATTCCTCTTCCGTCAACTTTGACTCCGGAGGCGAGGTAGCCGCTGCTAGCGCCTCCTTGAACGACCTCTTCAAGTCCTCGCCGTTCTCCGGCGTCTTAAAGAGGAAGAAGTTTAGGGGCGGGGGCTGCATGTTTTGCTTCCGGAGAACATCCTTGACGCAGAAGGCGTCGTAGGCACCAGGTATTCTAAACTCGGGCTCGGGTTTGTCGGAGGAGGGGGATTCTAGACTTGACCAGAACCCGGTGCTCTGGTCGACGCGCTCGAGCGACGCTCGGATAAAACGTCCCCCGGCGAAGAGCGCCATGTACATGACCCAAGCGTAAGCGACCAGGACGTGCGGGCGCGCCTCGACAGCCTCGCGGATATGTTTCTTAAATTCGACCAGCACAGGCGCATGAGACACCGATTCCATTCGCGAGCGTACGAAATCATCGTTCCGCCCGAGCAGCGTAGCGATATCCTCCTGCAGGGCCCCTGACCGTGCGAAGCCCTCTACGCGTATGTCTGCTAAGAGCGAACGTATTCGAGGTTCTACTTTTGTAGTAGTATTATGGGAGTCCTCTAAGATATGATCCCACTCCCTCTCGAAGGTCTGGTAGATGGGCGTGATGTGTAATAGCCCTGTGACATAGTTCTTCGCATCGTCAGAATGTGGAGGCAGAGCCAGACGTAGGCGACGGGTAACCAGCTTGTTGAGCTTAGTGTGTAAGGGGCGTATAGCGATATTGATCTCCTCGCCCAGAGTAGGAGTCGCGGTAGCAGTGTCTTCAGTCTTGGAAGGCATATTGATAAGTGATAGAAAGTTAGGTAGGGTTAGAGAGAGTATAGGTAGTAAGTCGCTTTTAGGAATTTTAGGTTATATCGGTTAATGGTTGAAATAATCAAGATTAAATAAACGTAGGGTATGTAGGGGAAAGCTAGGTAGGGCTGAGTGAAGCCTGACTTAAGATAGTTGATTCGGTGATTGAACAGGTGACTCTTGTTTGTAAGAGTCGAGTCACGGTCTCAGTCACGACCAAGATTCTTTCCCGAGGAGATAACCAACGACGTCTACATGTGACCAAGGCAAGCGTCTGCCTGTACCTACTATGCCGACTGTAGATAGGGAGGGTAAGAATGACTGTTGCCTTGTCTGGTTAAACAAGGTGAGAACACTCGGGCATATAGATGACGAGACGGTCCAACAAGAGGCAACCACGCGCGTTGGTAACCTCTGAGTAATAATAACTAATAACTCGGAAAATCCGATGCAAGAAAACAAACCAAAATGAGACGTTGCGGCTCTGTCGTGCACACATAAAATCCGCAAACCCCAACCAGTCAAACAAAATCACGCCTCAAGCCAAGCCAAGTGAGTGAGTGATGGTGGCGACGCCGATGGCAGCGGGCATAAAAAAACACTGAGATGCCACGCAAGCAATGAACGATTCTCCAGCTAGGCTGCTTGCATTAGACTTCAGTATGGTTCAAACGAACTCGACATCTCGTAGAGAAAGCTTGTAGAGGGGGCGGCCACCCGTCTCATATATGTATGTCTCCAGCCACGGCGCATTCTCTGGCTTTATGTAGGCCACTAGGAGAAGGCAAACACTCATGCTTTAAAATCAGAACGATCTAAAAATCCCAAATGAATGGTTCGGATCGGCAGGCTACTGATATCACTCACCGCTTAGTTTATAAAATATACTATTACCTCGGAGGCTACATTAGTTCCGTTGTGGCTCAAGTTAGTTTCCCCGAGCCGAGTCAAATGCTAAACACCTTATGTTCTGAGGTAGATACCTCAGGTATCTACTTAGAGTTAGAGTTTATTGATGTATTTTGAGTGTTAGTCATAGCTTGGATTATCGTGAGGCTTTCATATATGTGGATGATAGCATCTCTTAACTTCGCTTATAAGAACAGGATGCGTGACTGTTACATACCTACTTCCATACTTCGTTAAGTAATATGTCTCATGACTAGTATCTCACATCTCACATGGGCTAGCTTATGAATCTAATCCCATCCCGTTATAAGTATAGTACTATTATAAATAGCCTAGACAATGTTTGAGAAGTCACCTGCTTATACGGTCTTAGGAATATATTATTCCGACTTGACTTGACAAATGCTGAATTTCATGACATATTATAGATGCTTATACTTACTCAGAGATAACCTTCATATTAGGTGGGTTGGTTATGTGCGGTATCCGTCTCTTAGTCCCGTATATGATACAGCCCGAGAATATCCATTCTATCTATGATATGTTAAGTCATGCCTGATATCCATGCACCAGTTACCAAACCTATTTCTTATAACCGTGACGCCGCATCGTCAATAATAGTCCTATCCAAGAACAAAACAAAGCTAACAAAGCTGCCAAACGAGTAGAAAGCTACGGCTCTGCCGTTCTACTTCCTCTTTCGGGACCGGCTTTCGCTTCGTCATCCTCGTCATGACTCTCGTTGTTGACAAAGAGGAAAGAAACCAGTACAATTGCAGCGCCGATCCAGTATATGAAGCTGGAGTATTGCGCGTATTGGATCATTTCGCCGATCAGAGATAGTGGTATAGTTAATGATAGACCAACAGTGACAACCAACGGCGTTGTGAGCAACATCGCGTAGGCCCACGATATGTCCGAGACGAAGGAAGATAGCGAGTTGAGTATGATAATTGCCCATATCTTACCGCTTGGAGGTAATTCAAACTGTTCTCTATTAGTGACTCTTAAAAGCCTCATCGTGATTGTAGGCAAGATACATACCGGCTCGATTCCTGTAAAATGCAGGATGAAAAACAGAGGCCACAGAAGAAGGATATTAAAGACCCCCACAAGTCCGAAAAATAAGGGCATGTTCACGCGCTCTTCGTTTCCGATGCGCACCTTCATCACCACAACGTACAACCCATAAACGACCGCGCTGAAGAAGGCCATAGCGTCGCCGATAGCGATCTGCTGCTGACTCTTATGCGGGAAGTTCCCCCGGTTGTCGTCATTATCGCCCGAAAGGTCGACGGTCGAGATAAGGATGATGCCCGCGAGCGAAGCCAGTACGCCGATTAACTTGCGCAACGAGAACGGCTCGATACGCATTGCGGCGCAGAATATCAGCGTCCACACGCTACTCGTAGATGTGAGGATCGTAACGCTCGCCACGCTCGTGTACTCCAGGCACGCCGACGCAAAGTAGTTCCCCAGGAACCAGATCATGCAGAACTCAAGGCTGTACCGCGCCGTCTCCAGGAATGAGAGCTTATCCGATGTCCTCGGCGGATCGACTATTTCGAAACTTCCCTCGTCGTCAGATAGCAACCTCTCGCCTACTGTAACCGCCTCTTCCTCCTCCTGTGTCTTTAGTCTCTCTACCCCTTGGTACCTCATCCTCCACTCCTGCATTGCCTGGTTCTTGACGCGGGTGAAGCCACCATTTTGTATTATGTGCTTTATGGATATAGGGATCATCGACAGCGCAAATACGGACGTGTTAATATACACTAGGAAGAACGGTTTATCGTAGGTGTGATCGGAAAATATATACTCGTAACTATGTTAGCTGAAGGTGCCCTCTGATCCTACTCATATAATACTCACGCTGGCGAGGAAATTTGACGCTGTCCACAGGAATACGGTAAGTAGTAATAGACTAATACCCAGAGTCCTCCTGGCCATATTCCTGATCGCTCCTTTCCGTCCCAAGCTTGGGATACTTCCCCAGGACGCGGATAACCCGGACATGTTCTCAGACGGTACCAGTGGCTCGGAAAGTCTCCTTCTAGGAGCATCAAATCCGGGTTGCCTCTCATCCGTCGCAATTGTCGATCCTGGCGCTGCCATGTCGTCGTCCGATGAGCAGAGCGCAGCGTAGAAAACCTTTGTAATCTATGAATCCCGCCGGGATGTAACAACGGTCGCGTGAGACGGACGCATTTATTATCCGAACAAAAAAGAGAGGATCGACGTTAATAGTCGCAAGGATCAAGTCTACATAGGGGCCGTAAGGACGTAAAGACACATACAAGAAGGCAGAAAGGAACGAAAAGTGTCCAAAAGAGGGTGAATTTCGAGGGTTTGAAACATGCACATTGAAGGGTTCAATCCTGTTGATGCGGCGCTTGTCGGTCATTCAAGACACCGAGACATTAAAACTAACACCCCTGAGCTTCTGCATATCATAGGTACCTAGCGTGTTATTTTAGGTCTTGCGGGACACTGACAAGACTTGATTAGGATGACTGATTAGGATGTACTCAGGTACCTATTAGATCATCCCACCATACGAATAATTGCATGTGCTATTCTTGCATTTGGTTTTGATAGATGATAGATGATGCACACTTGGCTGGTGACTAGCAGGCCTACGAATCATCATCACTCTCTAGGTTAGGCAGCAAGAAAAAGGTCACAAACTCAAAGGCAATATTGAAGAAACACATTGTAGGATATGAATGAACAAACACTTCTGAATGCTATCTGAGAAATATCGAGATGCCTCAATCGAACCTGGATACGTAAACCTGGATAATGAAAAGACGCCTAAGCCTCAATTCTGCAGTGTCGTACTGCACTGCTGAGGCTAAAAACCAACGATGCAATGTATCAACTGTCTCTATACACTCATTATGGACGCGGTTCTGAGAATCCACTGCTCCGCATCTGTGACATGTCCCTGGAAGCCCCTAAAATCCGAAGTCTTCCATACAAAGACCTGAACGATGGTTGAGAAAGCGCATTGGGCTGACCAAGGTTCAGCCGAGCTGAGCGACTCTAATAAGATTTATGGGATGTCACGTAAAATAGACGAAATCCCCCTAATATTCTAGTTGTCGGCCCTTAACATGCGCATCCATCGCGGTCGTTCTCGATGTGGATGTTGATGGGGTCTTGGAAGTCTCCACTGAACTCTTCCGACTCCTCTTGTGCCAGGGCATGCCGTGCAATGACTATAATGTAAATTAGAATAGACACATGGATGGAAAAGGAATTAAGATATACCATCAAATGCTTGCTCGACGTTGACCGCCTCCTTGGCGCTGGTCTCAAAATAGGGGATATCGCCCTTAGACTGGCAGAAAGTAGCTGCCCTCTTACTTGAGACCTATAGAAAATGAGTGGGTGATCTAGTTGATGGCGGGTCCATCTCAACTTACTACTCGCTTGCTCTCGTCGACATCGATCTTGTTTCCAAGGACAACCTTTAATCTGATTAGCCTGGTTCTGAATCATGACAGAACGATTATTCTTACGAAAGGGAAGTTTTCGGGATCCCTCGGAGAAGCCTGGATTAGGAATTCATCTCTCCAGCTATCTAGCGAATCGAAACTCTTCGAGTTGTTGACATCAAAAACCAGCACGCAGCAGTCGGCACCTCGGTAGAAGGCAACACCTAAAGATTGAAAGCGCTCCTGGCCGGCTGTATCCCAGAGCTGATTCTCGTCAGCAATCGTCTTTAATGAGCTTGCCGTCATATCATACCTGCACCGTGACTTGTTGATCGTCGATGAGGACCTTCTGGATTAAGAAGTCGGCACCGATGGTAGCCTTGTAGCTGGCGCTGAATTTCTTGTTGACCTGTCCAGCATGGAATATTAGTTTCGCGCTGTTTGGGCATCGTAACCGAGGAGTCGTGGAGGGGATTGGTCGAATTGAGGATCATAACATACATATTGATTCAGCAGACTCGTCTTTCCAACACCGCTATCGCCAAGGACAATAACCTAAGTATATTGTGTGTCAGTTTACAAGATAATGCCAAAAATGGGCATGCAATCGAAGTGGTATTTGGCGTTACCTTCAAGATAGCCCCTTTCCTAGAAGCCATGGCGGAGATCGGTGGTGAAGCTGGAGACTTTCGGTAGGTTGCTTCAAGGTCGAGGAGGTTCACGGGTTTAATTTTGGTCTACTGGGAATCTCGGATTTATGCACTGGGTTAAAGAATGGGTTTCCGATTGAGGTAACGGAACTTGTGCGACAGTTAATGGTAGGTCGCGATAGGACTGTGTTGTATTGTTGAAGTTGAGACGGGAGTTGTAGTTGCAGATGTTATTGTACCTGTTTGAAGGCCTGGGGCTGCTTAGATGGATTAGCGCTGGCTGGTCGGACCTGCGCTGATACCTACCTGATTCAGATCCCAGCTGATAAGGCGCTGTAGCTTGTTGCTATGTTGCTTTGGTGAGCACGAGATCAGGCGCTAATATACCTAAGGCATTGTACAATACGGTCGCAGCCACATTCCCCAACCTTACCTGTAACACAATGATTTAAAAGCCACATGCAGGCACATAGGTACATGAATCTAAGTTCGATGATGTCTTCTAAATTAACGGGCGACATCTAAGGTTTATTTCAATGATAAATGGCTATTGGGTTTTTTACTTAAGAGAGTTAGACTCTGGTCGGGTAAACATTAGGTACACAATGACGAGAGCTGATACCTGAAACTAAATGGTTTCGAATGACCACCGGTGTTTCCCACGTAGAATTTGTGTTTATACAGACCTTGCATAGACACGTGAATTTAGAAGCAATCGTAAGAAACAATATAGAACATCACCAGGATTTCAATGTCTGGTTTTAAGAGATCAATATGGACATTGATCTACTTGGCTTTCTAGAGCCGAAGAGCCTCCATTTTTACCACCACCACCATTACATTATAGAAGGCGAATTCTAGGAAACCCTGCTAAGGGTTAAAGTAGACCTTCAATCACAGGGTCTTGTCATGATGTCATACTTCATCATCCCCCTTATGGCATCACAGTTATGACTGCTTTGAGCTTCGATCGACTGCTATTGTCTTGAGCCACTGAATGTTTTTATACAAAAGCTTGCCTCTCTATATTTCTCCTAAGTTGTATCAACATTCAAGAAAGTATTCATTGCTATTAGAATTACAATTAGTCACAATGGTAGCTATTCGTATCAGCAGCTCTTTAAATGCCTTGAGGGCTACCCGGACACGAGCTCCTCAAGCTTACCGTACTTTCACAGCTAGTTCCCGTTACTTTGCATCAGGTTATGGTAATGGAGAAGGAGACCCTGCTGGACAGGACCCCCAGAACCAGCCATCGTCAAGTGATGCGCAGCAATTATCAGAACATCCCGGCCCAAGCCCGCCGGACGTGGGTAAGGGGACAGGAGGTGGTCCTACGAAGGCCGCCTTCTCAGAGAGTATGAAAAAGGCTGCTGCTCGCGAGTCCGGACAAAAGACCCCGGAGGACGCCAGCGCGCAGTCCGGGGGGTCCAGGTCCAAAGAGGCTACCGAAACGGGAGGAAGTCCTACTGGCGGGAGTACTGCCAGCGCGGCAAGCCGGGATGGAGGTGAGGCATTGAAGGGTCCTCAGGGCAAGGGCACACCCAGTACCAAGATCCGCAACCAGGCGGTGCCCGGCGACAAGGACGGCCTGAGTGACGAACAACAACAGGAAGTCGATAGGCATAACCAGGACTTCGAAAAGCGTTACGACCGGGCGGCACCCGCCTCAGATGATAAGGTCAACCCTCAGTTCTGGAAAGGGACGTGAGTAATGCGTGCGGTTGTTCTGCGTTGTTGTTTGGTGCTGCGTTTCGATATATTATGATATATTACGGTATACTGATTCGTAATGGACGTAGCAACGGTCTTCAACAAGGAGAGGGAAAAGGAGGAAAGGGAGGAAAGGGGGAACATTGAGTGGATTGGAATGTTTAGGTGAATGAAATATGTTGTATTTGCTTGGGAATGAGGCATTCTGATGCGTCTTTCGAGGTGTACAAGCTGTACCTTTTATTTATTGTCATAGCACCATAGGTACCTTAGTCAATTCGTCTAGATACTGAAATTGTAGCTTCGAGTAGAAATATGTATAAGCTGATTTGGAAGAAAGAATAGAGGTTAATAAAACGCATCATCAATTACGTAGAGTTCTAAAGGTGAGTTGAGCTCATCTCGGATTCACGGATCCAAATCCACTAATACCTGTCCGCACTTGCCCCGCTAGCTTATCCCCCAGCAATTAAAACCCCCTGTACCTGACCTAAAGGTAGGTACCTACGGGTACTCGTTAAATAGGTATTACATGTATTAACTCCTTTAACTCCTTACCCAGCAAAGCATTCCGATCAACTTACCACCCGATTTCGATGTGATCCCATGGATAGCGAGGCATTTACTAGACAGAGATTCGATGGCGGATGAGGATCTCCTACACAGGATTCACGCATTGGAGGACTTGGATCTAGCCGCGCTTCTATGTCTTGTCAGTCGCGAACACTGCATCGTCAGCACCGAACCAGAAGAGCTCGACACTTTGGTCCAAGAGCTGCGGCTCGTCGCTTCGCAGACCTTCAATCTGTCATCCGCGCTCGTAGATTGTACACCGCATACCACTCTCGACGACCTCGCTGCCTCTATCCAGCTTCGCCCAGCTACGCCACCGCCGCAGCTCTACCCCCCAACTCCGCGCACTCCATCAGTCTCCCCCCTTCGACGCCGAGGAACCGATGCGTCCTACTTCCACGGCAGAACCGCGACTCCCACCACCCCGAGGAACCAGAATCCATTTACGGGGACACCGCCGCAGATCGCCAACGTGATTCTAGCAAAGAATCTCGACCGAGCTCCTAAGGACGTCCAAATCCAATGTCTAGAACTTCTACGGACTAGGCGGATCCTAACGCGCACCAGCGTGCAGACGGCACCTAAGCAGTTCCTGTTTGTGGCCGTGCTCGAGTCCGCGGGTGCGGGTCGGCTCGTGTCTCACCTCAACGACTTCTTCTATGTTTCGCACTGGCACGATCCCGAGGATGGCTTTGCGCATTTAGAAGAGGAGGAAGAATATAGAAAAGGAGGGGAGACGGCCAGTCTGGATAGTGCCTCGAGCGTAGTTCGGCGGAACACCGCGGACTCGATGATGTCCGCTCCCGTACTTACATCTACGCCTCGTGCAAATCCGAGTCGTAGCAGCGCGACCTACGTAAATCGGGAAGATCAAATCACCGCGGACCAAATATCCCTCTCTAGCTCACGCGCGCCTTCATTCGCGTTCCCATCTATCAGCGAGTCTGATATCGCAACCCTGGCGCTTCAGGCGCGGCAGGTCAATCAGGATATTGAGGTGCTGCGGTATCAGATGAACATCGTGTCCTTTATACGCATGCATCGAGCCGTTGCGCCAGGCGGAGGCGGCGCAACACCTGTAGCTACCAAACACCTCGATCAGCTGGCTAAGTGCCTCGCTGCGCTGCACGGCCTCGACTACGTTACCCCGTCTCTGGTTGGGCTTGCGGTTAAGAAGATATACCCGCATCGCATTCGGATTGCGGCCCCGGGGCAGGAACGCAGCATGCAATGGGGTAGTGATCTTGGGGCTATCGAGGCACTGCTGGAGGGTATGGACGCGGAGTATGTGATAGAGGATGTATTGAGCATGGTTGAGGCACCGTTATAGATAGGTTAGTTATAGATAGATTATGATACCCAGGGTTAAGTCATAGTTACATAGAACATAACAATAGAAGTAATAAGGTCTAAACATTGATTGCGTCCTGATGTTTTCATTCGTGATCTTCCTACAGTACAGTTCGCCCATTCCCTATTCTTATCTTCGTCGAAGATGGAAATGCCGGCGCCATATTTCGTACTACACTTTTACAACCAGATCCGAAAAACGCCGGCCTCGCAGGGCAACTACCTAAGTTATCCGCCGTGTCCGTGCCTCCTCGTCATTAATTATCTAAACTTTCCAATAACCATGTTCCTAATCTTGTTAGGGTAGTGTGTAGTACGACTAAAAGGTCTGAGTGACCTTGCAGGACCAGCCGGAGTTCTTTGCTAATAAGGGAAGACTGAAATATGTTAGTATTTACACCGGGTTAAAAAGGGGCAATGGGTGCGATGAACTTACCTGGCTCCTAGACACCAGCCTAATTCGTTGCCCTTGATCTTCTTGGCGATCTTGACCTCTCGGTCAATAGGCATTTCGTAACCGCTGTGTAGCAGTCCCATCATGAAGTTGAGGTCTAAGCAATACTCGCCACGGTCACGTAGCTCCTCCAAGGCCTCTGGGATATTGCTGAATGCGCCCCACGAGTCCTCGCCGCCGCATACAGCGTTAGTGAGGTCGTGCAGTTCCCGGAGAGTGAAAGAATCGGGCATTCCAAGAGGCTTGGTGCGGTCGTAGAAGAAAGAAAAGATGTAGACATCCTCCTTAGCGAAGGTCTTGGCTAGCGGGGGCTGGTGGACGCCGTTGAAGGAGCAAGGTGCAAGCTTGCACTCGGCGTCCTTGTATAGAATCCTCTCAGCCAGAGCGCGGCACTGCGCCGGAGCAGGGTTCATGGGGCCGGTCACGTTAAGCTGCAACTCGCCAGTGCCTAGGGGGCTGTCGTCACCAAGTTTGACCGTAATCTTATCGGTCTGGCCCGCATTGATACAAGGGTGGTTAAGAATGGGCTTCTCTAAGAAGGCCTTGCTCTTCTCCTTCTTGTAGATATCATGTAGCAAGTTCAAATGGATAGAATTACGGGCCGCCATCAATCCGTATCCGAGGTGAGAGTGCTGGTAGAGTTCAAAGTTTCGTCCGCCGAAGGAGAGCTCGTATTTGTGGTCGCCTTCAGCCAGCTTCTCGGGCATGCCACCAGAAGCAAGTCCCTTGAACGTCGGCTCAAAGACAATCTGTGTAGAACCACCACCAAGATCAAAGATAGCGGCGGTTGGGCTCTGGTCAGGTCCACCAATCTTTCCCAGAAGGTAGTTGGTAGTAATCCAAGCATATACACCTTCGTCAGAACCGTCCATGATCGCAACGCCATTCTCTTCTCGGGAGACAACGGGGAAGGGGTAGTCCTTCTCAAGGTGCTCCCGGACGGTCTCAAGGATTTTCCCGCTAGCCTCCTGGCCGATCATTCGCAGGCCAGCAGTCGCCTTTACGGCAACCGGACTACAACCCTTCAACTTGTCAGGAACGGTCTCCATCGCGACCTGCATGAGGCTATCCAAGGTTTTCGCGGCGGCAACGGGGTCGTCCTTATACTTGCTCAAGCCGCCTACGCTCTTCTCGGTCATTTTGAACTCTTCCTTCTCCAACTCTGGGGTCGGGCCACAGTTGTTGAACTTGTAGACGTGGATACGAGATCCGGTGCTACCAGCGTCGATCATGAGGACATATTGTACGATTGGCTTGTCCTTAGAAAACGATTTCGTACATTTCGAGGTTCCGTATGATGAATCGGACGGCACCTGGCCGCCAGAATGCGATACTGGGAGATTCGGTTAGATTGCTATTTTGAAGGGAACTACAAGACTCAGTTACGAGGCAACATACCACCCTTATATACTTCTACACCTCTTGGCGAGATGTAGTAGAACAGGAACACCAAGAAGACAACGATGGCCGTAGTCTTCAGCCATCGCGTCCTTTGGGCCTGGTTCATGGTTGCAGCCTGTAGTTTCTCCACGATGCCGGGTTCTCGGTGGCCCGAGTCGTAACGTGCAGGTTTCTCGTGAGGGTCGTGTCTAACTTGCTTCGTAGGCAGTGAAACTGATGTTCTCCTCATAACCTTTTACATACAATGCATCCCCAAGAAGGTCGGGGAATTTAATTGGTAGTAAAAGAGTGAAAGAAAAGGCAAAACAAAAAATTAAAAAAGAAAACCTAGAAAAAGCCAACGAGGGATCAGCTTTGACATGCGAGAAGTCTAAACCAGATAGGAGCGAGGATCAATGCCGGATATGAGAAATCGTTAAATAGGATAATGTGGAAAAGGGGGGGCAGCAGACAGACGCGAGGCAACACAACCTGTCCAAATGGCAAATGGCAATCTCGAAGATTTTGATTTTCCAATCTCAACGGGTTTTGAACGTTTCCTTATCGATGACCCCTGAAAATGACTTGGCTACTTGAATTTAGTTGGCACTTTGCGACTCTAGCGGAGTATTTTTAGTGATTTAGTTGGATTAGTTACTGCGTACCCCTGTCATATTTGTACCTATGTAGCCCCGTACCTACCCTAGCAGCCCTGGCAGATCTTGGCATCTGGAATCTAGCATCTGGCATCTTCAAGCCTCGACTTTCCCACCGCCACACTGAGTACCGGAAAGGTTCCAATGGAGCGAGGGAATGGGAGTCAGCCGCAATTTAACCCCAGTACCTATGTAAAGAAGATGCATTAGGTACCTCCACGTACCTTTGTTACTAGAAGGTACTGTGACGCTGCTTATTTAACATCGAGTTGACGTACGTATCGTTGCCTCCGTTCATCACTATCGCTATTATTCGGCGGATTCAACTTTCACTTCGATTAGTTAGACTTGATTATTTCTTATATTCTAACTTCCCTCCATTCTGTGCCTAAAGTTTTAAACATTCCATTCCATTACATAGACGCTGAGAAGATAAGGCGGACTTATAAGAATTTAGACGGCGATAACAATTGTAAAACCAGCCATTACCACAAACACTTTCGCGATGGACGTCCATCTTCTTGTCTACGACCTATCAAATGGTCTAGCTAAGCAGTTATCCCTCGGACTACTAGGCTTTCAGCTTGATGCCGTTTATCATACTTCGATCGAATTAGACAACAAGGAGTATGTCTATGATAGTGGTATAAATGTGATTCGGCCCGGAACCTCTCATCTGGGTCAACCTTTAGAACGAATTCATCTTGGGAAGACGGACCTGCCTATGGAAGTAATTCTTGAATATCTCGATTCGCTCAAGCATATATATACCCCCGAAGTAAGTTAAAGAGACGATCTCGATGAGTGCTAATGCTGACTAGATAGGCCTATGATCTGTTTCGACATAACTGCAACAATTTCAGCAATGATTTCGCCATGTTTCTATTAGGAAAAGGGATACCAAGCCACATAGCGAATATGCCACACGCTGTTCTTGATTCGCCATTCGGAAGAATGCTGCAACCTCAACTCGCGCAGATGGTTGAGCAGAGAAAAGCCCAGCGAGGCGGACTCCTCGGCATCCAAGACAATATTCAACCGCATACAAATGGTGCTGCAAACGGTGCTGCAAACGGCGCCGGTTCATCAGCTCAATCTCAACGTCTAGGCGTAATAAATGTTACTAATATCCGGGAGTTCGATGATGTGCTAGAAAGAGCCAAGAAATCATGTGCCATCGTCTTCTTTACTTCGGCAACCTGCGGTCCTTGTAAAGCACTTTACCCTCTATACGACGGTCTAGCGGCGCAGCATGGGAGCAAAGTCGCGGTAGTGAAAGTTGATATATCTCGAGCCTTTGATGTTGCGCAGAGATACTCTATTAGGGCAACACCGACGTTTATTACATTCGTCCATGGTGAAGAAGGAGAACGATGGACGGGCGCAGATGCTACTCGACTCAAAAGTACCGTCGAACTACTGGTTCAAATGGCGGTTCCGAGTCATCCGCACCGAATGCTCAGGCTGCCTCGCTTTGCGAACGCCGAGTTGAAACCAGTACTATACGAGAAGGTCCCACCGCTCTCTAAGTTATTGTCCAAGCTAGGGTCAAAAGCCGACGACCCTTCGGTTCAGAGTGTGAAGAATTTCATTGAGACTCGGTCATCCGAAGGTCCTGCAGAAGCTCCACTACCTGACTTACCCGCCTTCTCTAAATTCCTATGCTCTGCAGTTGAATCTCTGCCCAAGGAAGTCTTGTTCACAGTCGTGGACCTCTTCCGCTGTGCCCTTGTGGACGAACGGTTCAGCGGATACTTCGCAGAAGAGCATGATCAGAAAACAGTGGTCACTCTCCTTGATGTTGTAAATAAAGAGAGTGAATGTCCTTACGCTCTAAGACTCGTTACTTTACAGATGGCGTGCAATCTATTCTCAAGCCATCTGTACGCCGAACAGATCCTTAGACTAGAGACGCTACGAAGCCACATCACGCGGCTCATATCATCAAGCTTCTTGGACGACAGCCGCGATAATATCCGAGTAGTCGCGGCGTCACTGTTATTCAACGTGGCTATCGCGAATTACCAAATGAGACAAGAGTCAGGAGACATCCTTCCCGAGGATGATCAAGTAGAGCTCGCCGCGTCGGTAGTGGAAGCCATATCTCAAGAAGAATCATCTAATGAGGCATTACACGGCATGTTGTTAGCACTTGGGTTCCTAGTTTATTGCGCGCCTATCGAAGGCGACCTCGCGAACTGCCTGAAAATTATGGATGCAGAAGGAACTATTCTTGGAAAGAAGAAAGTCTTCTCAAAAGAACCTCTCATCACTGAGGTAGGGAGTGAGTTATTGGGGAAAGGCCTTGCGAGAAGATAGGCTCGTTGCCATGGCATTCGATGCTCCTTTTTTTTTTTTTTTTTGGTTCTGGTGTAGCCCGGATACAGCTGTCTAAGGTATTTATTTTACGGCATGTGTTGGTTTCCTGGTAAGGATGCATAGAATGTAGACTACTCTCTTACTGCACAGGGAAGATATCTACCTAACCTGTTATCTCAATGAAGTATACTCCATATTACTTCACATGCCTATTAATTTTACAACCTCGTATTTTCTAATTTACTAAGAAAAGCACTACATGCCTTCTAACGTAACATCACAAAATCTTGATTAATTGCCCCTCTCTTATGCGAAGGGTGGTAGGCGCAAGCCACGAGTAGACGTCACAATCACAACGCGGGGCAATCGGCGCCGTTCCCACCGCGTCGCTTGTCGCTGCTCTGGCAACCAGCCCGCCCCTGTACAATCCCAAGTAAATAAAGAGACCCCCCCGGTCCACTTCCCCATTCTCCAGATGCCTGTCTACGGCATTCCATATCCATATCAGCAGCGCACTAACGACCTCATCGACGACATTTGTATAACATTAACTGGAATGCTAGAATCTCGTTTTATGTCGTCGTTAAATATGAGAGCCATGCATTCGTCTGCTTCAACACCGTCTCTGCGTGCTCGAGATGGCATACTACCGCCCCAAATGAGGATGGATGCGGGAGGTAATGTGAGGGTCGTCGTGAGAGTCCGGGCGTTTTTGCCTAGAGGTATGCATTACTATTTACGATTCTGTAATTACCTGTTTATACACGAGATCAATTGATGGATAATTAACTCGTATTATAGAAATCGAAAGGGGTGCCGAGTGCTTAATTAGCATGGATCCTCACACCCAGATGACCACGCTTCATGTGCCAAACGATCATGACCCAGCGAATGTCAGAGCAAAGTCACGCAAGGTGGTTGAGGAGAAGTCATTTATATTTGATAATTCCTTTTGGAGTCATAACCCGAGGGACAGATATTACGCACATCAAGAAGATGTATACAACTGTCTAGGCGAGGAATTCCTCGACCACAACTTCGAGGGTTACCATACTTGCATCTTTGCCTATGGCCAAACCGGCTCCGGCAAGTCTTACACGATGATGGGTACGCCCGACCAACCAGGACTTATTCCGCGGACCTGTGAAGACTTGTTCCAGCGCATTGAAGCAGCGCAGGAGGAAACGCCCAATATTTCGTATCACGTACGAGCCTCCTACTTCGAAGTGTACAATGAGCACGTCCGCGACCTGCTTGTTCCTGTGATACCAAACCAGCCCCCGTACTATCTGAAGATCCGCGAGTCGCCAACTGAGGGACCGTACGTGAAGGATCTGACTGAGGTGCCGGTACGAAGCCTGAATGAGATTCTTCGGTACATGAAGACAGGAGATGCAAGTCGTACGACAGCGAGCACTAAGATGAACGACACGAGTAGTCGAAGTCATGCGGTTTTTACCATCATGTTAAAGCAGATCCACCACGACATGGAAACGGACGAGACTACGGAACGTAGCTCGCGCATCCGGCTAGTCGATCTAGCAGGTAGCGAGCGAGCTAAATCTACCGAGGCGACTGGTGCTCGGCTGCGTGAGGGCAGTAACATCAATAAATCCCTGACGACGCTGGGTCGGGTCATCGCAGCGCTCGCGGACCCAAAGGCGCAACGCCCTGGCAAGCGGCACAGAGATGTCGTGCCGTACCGTGATTCTATCCTAACGTGGCTACTGAAGGACTCCCTAGGAGGCAACAGTAAGACGGCGATGATTGCGTGTATCGCGCCGTCTGACTACGAGGAAACGCTGTCAACGTTGCGGTACGCAGATCAAGCGAAGAGAATCCGTACTCGCGCCGTTGTCAACCAGGACCACATCAGCACGGCGGAGCGAGACGCACAGATTGCAGCCATGGCCGAAGAAATCCGAGTATTGCAACTATCTGTATCAGACTCGCGGCGCCGCGAGAAGGACGCCAAGGAAAGTGAGGAACGTCTAGAGGAGTACCAAAACCGCGTCGCGGCCATGCAACGCATGATGGAGGAGCGTAGTCTGGTGGCCGAGGGGAAGATCCGCAGTCTTCAGACAGAGAATGAGGCATTGAGACTACATCTTAAACTTGCGCTTGATAGCCTTAAGAACCCTATTCCAGAGGTGGTTGTTAAGAACGAAGGGGATGGTGCGGATAAGGAGAACGCAGAGAAGGGTCGGGCTAGTCCTGTTGACGAGGCATATTACGGCGAGGACGACGGATACGGATCGGATGTGTATGAGGAGAAGGCGAACGATGTTCAGGACTACATGCACGACCTCCTGGAGGATTTGGCATTGTTTAGAAGGAAAATCGGCGATGACAAGGGGAGGTTTTTGGACGAGGGAGCAAGACACCCGTTGGGTGTGAAGGTGAATATTTAGTGCTTGGAGTAGGCTACACTCTTTATGGCTGGTTCAAAGAGAATACATCTCTTGGTATTACTGAATGGCAAGGTGTTTGGAGTACCGGTTGGATGGGCACTGGTAAACCCGAGTGCAACTACCGGGGGTTAATTATTAGGAGATTCAATGCTCAGCTCCAGTGAGTGCTGTATACGTAGGAAATGAGAATAAGCTAGTTAGATAAACTTACGAATTTAAGAATGTATGGCTAGGAGATCGGTTTTACGTTTCCTTATGGCTACGAAGATGATATTATTTTGTTGCTTGGTTACCAAGAGTCCGGACTAACGATGCTAAGGAATAGAGGGATCCGCTGAACTCCATATCGTACCTATACGTGTGGGTGAGTATTTAGAGGAGCGGGAGAATACGTCTCGAGGGACCAAGGGGTCTTACCAATAGTTGACGGCGACGCAGATACCTTCTTCGGAACATGATTGCGAGACTTTATGGTACCTTGAGATAGGCCGTAAGCACTCCAACGCTACCCAGGGCATATCAAGTTTACACGCTGACACTCACCACATGGCTGGTAGATATAGCATATCACCTGGTTCTAGGGTAACCCTCAGGGGCCGCGCCAGATGCGAATATTTCGTACTCCGTATAGTCGGATTGTCGGGGTCCCAGATTGCAAAGGGGACTTTATCGCCGTCCTCTTTTCGTAAGCGCAGACCTCCTCCGGCCTCTCGGACATAAGATGCGGGCTCGAGCTCTTGCTCGTTAACGCACGGTTGGCACAGCGCGGGCAGCAAGACGAAGTGCTTGCGTCCTGCGACTTGCACGTATACGTTTTCGTAGTTGTCGCGGTGCAGCGCGGTTACCGACGCGGAGGAGCCGATCCATAGGTTCACGGCGTCGGGCTCGTTTTGCAAGGCGATGCGTGCGAAGGGGATGGAGGGTGGTACTTGGGAGTAGAGTGAGGAGTACTCGTTGCGGAGATTGTCATTTTGCGTCTGGGCATATCGTACTTCTCCTCCTCTGCTCTCGGGTAAAGAGTGAGAGGATAGCTCTTGAGATGTCAAGTAGTCGAGGAACGAGCTGAAGAGTTGCTCTTCCTCGTGCGGCTTGGCAAATACCAGATGGCCGTCCTGCTCGGTGGGAGCATCGGCGTTCCCATATGGTGTCACCGCGACGTTGACGTGATGGCCGGCGAGCGACTCCCGGAGATACGAGGCGGTCCAGCGTCTCACGGCCGGCCAGTCGGAAGCTCCACCGCGTACGACGAAGGGTGTATTCCGCGCTACGTACCTCATGAATTCGAGCGGGCTCGGCTCCTCGTCTAGCTCGTCGACTGAGACGGCGTTGAGCTCGTTAAAGCTAGTGATCAGCTCCGCGATGGGGTCGCCGCTTAGATCTTCGCTTTTCTCCATCTTTATTCCGGCTGGGCTGGGCTGATGGGTCGGCTCTACGTTAATGATTTGAGTGAGCTATGCTGCTATGCTGCAGCGATGTTCCGTTATTCGGGGCCTGGTCATACGTTTCTTTATATGTATGTATGTAAGGGTGACAGAAATATGATATGATATAATAAATAGGTAGTATGAATATGATATGTACAAGCAGCCAGGTAAGGCTAGAAGGATGCATCCACCGGTACCGCGCACGCAGATAGGTATTATTAGATGAAACCAGCCCTACGGAGAGATCTCCCTCTCCATTTCTTATCTTTTTTCCCTTTTTATTTTTGGACCTAGATAGTCATAGGTACGTTTACGATTTATCATTTTTGATTAGCAGCTCCCGGGAATCTGGTTTGGGGAGATCTAATTAGCAACCCTTGCCTAATCTGACCGGGACGCACCAATAACGGCACGCCAATGGAAGGCATCGTGAGAGAAAAGTGAGCTGATTCTCACTTGACGGAACCCCGCCCGCGACCGTTGGTCGTCATTAAGATGGAGTTGATTTTCTTATTAGGTAGCAATATAAGCGGTCAGTTTACCTCGCGCAGCATGGGTCGATGACAAGTGACAGAATTTCTTAAATATAAATATATACGGAGAGCCCAGCTTTGTTGGTTTCCTCCCCTGGTCCCAGTTGCGACGTCTACATACCTATAACATATATCTATATCTATATCTCTATTGTATACTCCTCACGATCCTACCTTGCTAGATCTGCTGGCTTGCATTTCCTTTCGTCCTTCAATACCTCGGTCATGGAGCTATTGGCGTCACGGCGATGCATCAAACAGCTAGGCACACTTACAGCTACACTACAGCTACAGCTGCATCATAGCTCAGCTCTCAGCTCCCTTGATATATTGACCAGGTAGATAATATATATGTCGTTTGCTACTGATAATATATCTACGGATGATCTTTTAGAAATTTTCTTTGTTGGGAATTCTTCGACACGGCACTTTGCCTAATATTGGGAGGCGTTTTCCAAAACGCCAGGGCCAATTTTGTTGGAAAAAAGAAAAAGAAAAAACTAAGGGCAAAAGCAAAGGTGCCCATTCCAGACCCGAAAATGCAGGAAACCAGGAAACTCCAGCTATGAGGGGTAAGAGTGGAGTGCTAGTTGGTAGCTGGGTACTTGCCTCCTTGTAAGGGGGATCTTATAGGGAGGGAATGATGAGGTAGGTACCTAACCTCCCTAGGTAAGGTACCAAACTCAATACTTTGTACCTTGTACTGTTGAGGGGCTTGCTTGGAGGGGCTACAACGACGTTTTCCAAGGTTACCAAGGAATAGGATCTCTATCCGGCCGTCCGCGAGTCCCGCTAATCCGCCCCGCCGGCGCGCCTCCCAAGTCCCAAGTCCATGTCTACATACATACCTACATACATGTCCCAAACTTGGCACCTACCTTGACTACAATGAGAAGAACGGATGGAAGTCGCAAAGACAAGACAAAAAAAAACAACCAAAAAACCCACACCACAGTTTGTACGATCACGAATACGTAAGGCACTTACCTGACTTGTTTAGTCTATTGGTACACTTATTCAGTACACTGTAAGTACAAACCTCTTCCCTGCTCTTCCCTGCAACTTGGAAATCTTCGAAGCGCCCGCCCGAGATACAACAATCGAGATCCGATCTTCCTGCATCCACCTTTCCACCTTATTACGCAAGTCAGACGGAGTGAGCTTAACTCGGCCAAGTCAAGGGCGAGACAGTAAGACAATACTCTCTAATACGGCGGCGCCGCTCTAGTAGTCTAATAGTCTAGTCCTCTCCTAGTAACTTTTCTATTGGCATTCTGGCATTCACTAATCAATCCCCTGTTTATAAAATGCGAAGTTCGAGATAGCGTCTCCATGTCCGATTTTCCGCCTTTCGACTTGTCTCTACCGCTTTTTCCATCGAATAATTCCTACCTTGGTCGCTCGTCCTCGTCCCAAGATCCATCCTCTATATACAAGATTTCGGACCCGACGATGAGACATCTACTGTATTAGATACCTAAATTACCTAAATCTCGATACAAGTACCTACATACTTGCCTATCCACCTTGTCTGTCCATACATACGTCTATATCGAATTCTATAGATACCTATCTAGCGCTCTTCCTCCTATGTCATAACCTGGAGAAGTATAATGCGCCTCCTCCTGCAAGCTCAGGAAAGGCCCTTGCCTACCGTTCTTCCGCGCGCTGAGTTATCGTGGGCAGCTCGCAATTTGGTGACTGCCCACCACGTGTGGAAAGAATGATTTGGTATCTTCTCTATCCTTTTAGAGGGTACGTTGTGCTTTATATCGTCTATCTGCTCTGCGTACAGCTCAATTGACGAGGTAATCCTAGAACTACCGAAGCCCCCGTGCTTACCGATACGCACCCCTTATGCCGCGCTTTCGCTCGGTATGGAAGATACGCTGCTAGTCACGTCGTCACGACCTTATTGATATCTGTCGCCGTTGCTGCCGTCCTTGTATATCCTTTCCCTTTCCTCTATACTACCGATTTCATCAACGGCGCGTCCTCTCTTCCCGAACATGCCTGGACCGATACTCTCCCCTTACACGACAGGAACAGGGCCGAACCTGACGTTATTATGCGTTCGATATGGGTTCACGGCAACTATTTCCAGGCTCTTAATAGAAACGTTTTACTTAGCGCTCTAGAACTTCAAGACGAACTCCTTGGTCCCACAGTAAACTTCGATCCCCGACGCTATATTTCCGACGATACTCACTTTCAAAATGCTACGACTACGGACCTTACGCCGAGTCAGCGTGATGCCTATCATATCGTAAATGGCCTGACTAACGCGTCTTGGTTCTTCCAGTCTCCGTTGCAGTATTGGTCGTGCTCTTCGGAGAATATAGAACAGGATGACGATATTATTGAGACGGCAAACCAGAGAAAATCCCAACCAACGGTAGTAAATGTGACCTTGAGGCATTCGACCGTCTTCAGTGGGAAGCGCTTTCAAGATCGTCGGCTTGTCGCTGCTGATGCACTCGTCATTACCCTCATCCACCTGCGAGACTCTCCGGTGGGTCGTTTATGGCAGGAGAGGGTAAAGGCTCTTAAGTATAAAAAGGCTAATAATTGGGATATATTTGAGTACTCTCCGAGCGGCAGGACCAGCGAATTATACGAATTTAAGTTTCGTCCCATATCATCTCAAGATGTAATCGTTTTAGGAGTACCCTATTCGGTTCTTCTCATTTATTTCCTGGCAACCTTATCCAATTTACGGGCCGTTAAGTCGAAAATGGGATTGATGGTTACGGTTCTGGCTCAAATCGTTCTCGCCATCCTATCGAGCTTTACTATATGCGCTATACTTAAGATCGATCTATCGAGACTTCCACGTTTGGGATATCCAGTCGTCATTTTCTGTATGAGTCTTGAAAACATCCATCGACTCATTAACGCCGTCATCCTCACGCCGTCTGAAAATAGTACTAGCAATAGGGTTGGTCAGGCCTTTGGTGAGACAGGCCACGTCGCACTGGCCAGTGTGGCCCAGAATGTACTCCTATTATACGGCTTTTCAAAAATCGTATCCCCCGGTGTTTCGGCATTTTGTACCTTCGCAGCCATCGCACTGATGTTTGACTTCTTTTATCTATCCACCTTCTTCCTCTCAGTACTTAGTGTCGATGTTCGTCGAACTGAGCTCAGTGATGCGCTTGCAAAAGCATCGATTCGAGATCAAAGCTCTGCTTCTGACTCTAACCCACGTCAAACATGGATAGACGCGATGCTGCACGGCAAGATCGCTATGTCAACACGCATTGCTGGGACTATTGTCATGGTGGGTTTCGTCCTCCTCGCTCAATGGCATTTTTGGGAGAATGAAGGCATAGTTAAGTTGATTAGCCGGATCATTCGCATCTCTCCCAAATATAAGGATCTATCACCGGCTTCATCCTTATCTGAAATTCATCAGGGTAGGAGCCCAGCATCGTGGCTGGGTCTTCAAGATCATGAGACGGCTCGAGAACTCATTCATGTTGTCAAGCCCAACGCCCATAGCTACATTGCAAGAGTCTTTCACCCTACGGTATTTGTGCTCAAGGGATCGGATCGAGGCCTTTCCGCTCACGAGCCGTGGTTTACACCCGCCGTATATGATTTTGTACGCCACCAATCAGTACCTTTTCTGCTGACGATACTTGTTCTTGCGGCGGCAGTTCGTCTGCTGATGAATTATCTACTGTGGGACGAATTAGCAGATTCCTCACGAGCCGGCCCGGATGGGGACACTCTGCTCTCAGTTAAGAGTTTGAACATAGGCCATTCCTTAGATGTCGCTTTGCTTTCAGCCTGCTCTGATGGTCACCTTGTGTCTATAGGGCTAGACCGAGTTGTTAGAGTCTGGGATGTCAAAGCCGGAGGTAAGAGTTATGTGCTGGGCGAAAATGGGGATTCTTCCATCATCCCGTTTCCAATCCTAGCTATGTGCATCGATGAAGAGTCTCACTGGCTCGCACTCTTAACTTCTGACAAAGTTCTACTCTGGCATCTCGTTGAACTACGGTGGGGTCATCCCATTAGGGCAGAGCCGGATCGACATAAACCGGAAGCCTTCTTCTTTGTCGCTGACGACTCCATGGCCATTCCTCCTCTAATCCTTATCCGACGGGACGGTGTCATCACAGAGCTTAGGACCGACCAAGCAGTACCCAATAACTACATATTTGCCAAGGAGAGCTCGATCGTCTCCGCTGGCTTTCTTACCGAAAAGGGTAAGTAAATCTTGTATTTTTGTGAAATGAACTTATGTCCCGCTAACATTCGCAGGGTTTCCTGCTCAGGTGATGGCTTCAACTCGCGAGGGCCAAGTACGCCTCGCCACCCAAGACGGTTCCAGCTGGACTACCGAAATAGTAGAGGTGGGAAATTTCAGGGACCGCGGATCTATCTCGATTCAAGCCTTGCCGGAGTTGGGCTTTTTCCTCATCATTCGGTCCCAGACTGCGGACTTGGTGGATGCGCAGACTCTCAGAGCAATCTATACGTTCAAGGTGGATCCAATCCAACCCAAAAGCTTGAAATGCTTCCACTCGAGGCCAAGGCGGATGCGATGTGGTTCCCTTGCCTTATGGAGCTTTACATTGGCATATCTAAATACGTATACGCGAGACCTGGTAGTACAAACCTACAGTCCGCAACACGAAGGAGAGTCCCTGTGTTTTTGCGACCCAGCTTCTCCTACCAGGAAAACGTGTTGTCCATGGCAAAGAGCCAAAGAATCGAGACGGGTTATTAAGAACCCCGGACTCTGGGATGCTTTGCCCTCTGGGATCATGGTCGGAATTAGGAGGAAAAATGGTGAGAAATCTCGAGCAGACGGTCATCTCGACCGGCAGCCCCTTCAACAGCTCGGCGGCCTCCGACGCCGTCACCACACGGTTAAACCCGCAAACGGCCATATTATTCCTCAAGACAACTGGGAAGTATGGATGTTTTCCCATTTTGGAAAACAGGAGACATGGGAGACCCTTCCACTATGTTCGAAGGTTGAAGACGATGGTCATCTATTCGTCACGAATCTTGGGCCAATGGTTCGAATTGGCCGCTCTTGCTTAGCCGTAGGGCTCAGCAACGTAATCAAGGTCATCATGGTCGGAAATGAGCGATTTGAGACAGGCGACGATTCTCAACCCGGGGACGGGATGCCTGCACTAGGAAGTCGGAGGCGTAAGGGACCTTCCACTCTTCGCGGCAAACCCGCCATCCCTTGCGCTCACTGCTGAGGCATATAAATTATCAGATGGCATTTATAATTTCAATTCCTACCAAAATATTATTACTTAACGATTGGCGAAATGGATTACTAGGTTGGGGCGAGGCATGACTGCATCATGGAAATAGGAGGGCGACCTGGCTGGTTAAGGTCTATGCGGGGGTACATACGCACATATAACCCAAGGTTTATTAGAGGAACGGGCGTTCTTACCTATTTGCAACCATTCTTGGTGAATAGAATTGGACGGGGAAGGGGTGGGCTTGTTTTCACATGGCACGTACACGAAACATAAAAAATAAGGGGTCCACCGAGATACCATGGGCGTAGGCATAGACACTGGTCCGGGTCTTTAGAGGGGCTCGCTGGGTAGCCGAGCGGATAGAAAAGGGGAAGAGCAAGGGGAGTTGTGATGTTATGATATTGGGCATACGGCTCTCTCTCCTCCGAATGAATATCGGTTGGCGGCATGCAATTTAGGGGTGTTGTCTGCGAGATTCGATCCGAGCGGCTTGGGTTGTGTATGGTGATGAATGGCCGCGAGGAAAGGACCTTATTAATTATAAGTGTGCATATCTATATATATCACGCCTACTACCTATATAGCGTATACCTAGTTATATATTTATACAGCGTATGTTTATACTTTATATACGTGTGTGGTAATGTCTTATAGTGAGTGACTTCTCTATTGTGTACTATGTTGCAATACTAATAATCACATAGTTATTAAGATACTTAACTATAAAGTCATAACGTGTATTAGTTTGGTTAGTATGTCGAATAAAGGGGGCAATGGAAAACATCCCAACTTAATCTAGTTTCGTTAGAATAACTAGACGTTATCTAGTTTTTTCTGTGTAGAAAAGAGTATAATACCTAAGTCTTTAAGGTGTTATCGAAGGCTACTCTTTCACTTGAGTCGTACGGAGCTTAAGTTATTATAATACACGATTATCACTGACACATAATATCCCCCTTTTAAGGTAAAATTGCTATTCTAGTGCCCTCGATAAGTATATCTATTCTGAGTTAGTATGAACTTTTGGTAGATCAACCATAGGTTCTAAGTTAGTAATTCAACTCGGTTGCGTACGATAACACATGCTTGAATAAAAGCTCCCATAACAAGTGTTATTGTTTAGCATTCTTTAGATAACCTCGAATTCCGGATCTATCAAGTTTATCCAGGAACCCTCGATTTGACGTTGAGTTTTGTATAGATTTATCAGGACTTGAGGCCGCATAAAGTCATTATACTACATGTATCCTGTGCTGTCCTATTTCAATTCTATGAAAGAGATCATTTAACTAGCATAAATGTTTACTCAGGTAGCATAGCATTACTTCATTCGCAACTCTTTGAGTTAGGCGAAGCACCTTAATACCACTTGCTTGTCCTTCATATTGACTGACCTGAAGCTCCACAGGTTAGACAGGAGGATAGCCGCGGTAGCACTACTATATTCCAGATATATTTATCTTTTTTCAGTAATTCCACTCGGTACGTGAAAAGCCACCAGCAGCACGCCGTAGGTATGTAAATAGAGGGGCCAGTCAGTACAAGTCTCATTGTACCCTAACCAGACAGCTGTCAACATGCGGCTATTCAGAAACCTACCTAGGCAACGAGATAACTAACCTACCTAAGGTACATCCCCCAAGTACCTTTCCACCCGACGGTAAGGTTATGTATCCTAATTGCAAACCAACTTTCAACCGACGCCCCCCGCCCGGGCGACTTGAGGCCAGAGAAAACCCCACTGTGGTGTCTTATGCTGGACCGTTCTTCCCAAAAAGAAAACGTGACTTGACAGCAGACGCCCAACGAAGCCGGTTTTTCGTAGGTCCTGGGTTCGAATCCCCTGCCCCTATCCGAGGGGATTCGAACCTGGGGCTGAGCTTTTTGCATTTTTTTGACTCCATTTCCAGATTATTTCCTGCGATGCTTTTGATGTTTTTTTTCTCTTTTTCCCCCTTAGTTTTTGCCTTACCTTTTCCTACTTTTGTTTACGCCCGCTTTCCTTCTTAATTGTACGTGCCTCGTTTTCAATAAGAAGAATTTATTGTTAAGTCAGCCTAGATAGAACCTTTGAGTTTATTAATCTTTTAGAAAAGTTTAAAATTAAATTTCTTCGTAGGAAATCAATGATTGATCGGGGGAATCCGTTCTAACATGCACATCATTTTAGATATAATAGTACTAAATCAAGTCATGATATTAGGGAAACCAAAACAAGGGCTTATATTGTCACACCAGCAAAGATAGGCGGGTGTGATGTAAATGTGTACTAGGTTGGCATCTTCCCAAGTGAGCCCAACTCAACCATAACCCAACGAAGCCCCTTTTCACTATCCCATTGTGGATCCCTAGCAACAGTGACTCGGGCACTCATTGTAATGAGGCAGTCGCTGCCTGCGTATCTACGCATATATAAACAATAGCTAGATCCTAATCCTGTAATCCTAATAATAACCAATAGCAACGATGTCACCACTTATCTAGGGAATCACACCATAACCCGAGCCTGTTGAGGAGCATGTTCTATGTTCGTACACCTGAGGAATGAAATATACTTATATCCTCCTTGACTTAAAAGCCAAAATAGGCCGTATAGTCCAACCCCTCTATACAATCCCCTAACCTAGGCCATACTCTTCCTCCCAAAATACTACTACTAAAGCCCGAAATCTTGAGCCATGTTTCCCCCAACAAGCTCTCCATCCACAAGGCCTTTCCTCTAATAAGCACTCTGCCTAATAATGACGGAAACCACCCCAGTTCACATTAACCGGGTCGTCAGGGCTCGTTCCCTGGGCAAGCTTCGCCTGCAGCACCCCGATGTCCACGTACCGGCCAGTCAGGTTCTCAAAATCGGCCTGGATATATCTGAACTGCTGGCCCCGGTACCGCGCCTCAGCAATAGCAAGAGCGTGGCAGTCCTGCAAGTTAAATGTAGCGTCAGGATAGAAGACCTTTTTGTTCGGGTATATCCGTGACAGCGTGCGAAGTACGTCGATCCGATCTGCCTCGGGTACAGAAACTGTTGCAAAGGTTCCTACGGTAGCACCAGAGATAGAGGGGGCGGAAGATGATGTCGAGGAAGACGGGTAGCTGCAGGTTGAAGGAATGGATTTGACCCAGGATTTTATAGGCTCGCTGTATTCGCTGTATTCGGCCTTCTCCTTTCCTTTGTCCGTGCCTTTGGGCTCTTCGCCATTACAGTTGCCGGGGTTAGATTCTGCGTACCCTTGGTGCTTATACTTGGACTTGAGTTTAGACCTGTTATTTATGTCCGCCTCGAAGACCTGACCGAGGTGCTCAACGGTGAATCCACCCTCCTTTGCCAGTTTCGCAATTTTCTGATAGCGGGCCAGGACGTCTTTCTCCTTGCGCTGTAGCTTATTAGCCACATGTTGTAGCCTGTGATGCCTTGATTAGCTTTAGCTTAGGAAAGGTAAAGGAGGTAGAACTTACGACAGACCCTTGTATTTTGAGAAGCATATCGCCCCGTCTTGGACGATGGTCCAGTCTTTATCCCTGTACGCGTCCATTACGATACTCCCCAAGTTCTTCTGAGGTTGCTTCTTAGTAGTAACAACCTTAGGACTAGGACTGTCTTCTTTCGGATCGGTTTCTACTTCGGCCCCAACTGGCTTTCTAGCTGAGGCTTGTTTCTTAGTAACAACGACCTCTTCATCCGAGCTTTCCTCGCTGTTAGGTTCATTTTCAGATTCCTCTTCAGATCCCGCTTCAGAGTCCTCTGCAGAGTCCTCTTCAGTAGAATCGGATTCGCTCTCAGGAGGAGGGGAGGGCTTGGATTTCTTTTTAGCCTTCTTGATAGGGGCCTGCTTCTTGGTTGAACCTTTCTTCTTCACCGGAGCTTGTTTCTTGTTTCGAGAGCGCTTGGGAATGACGACCTCTTCTGATTCTGAGCCATCTTCGTCTGTGTTAGGCTCTTCTGTAGAGTCCGAGTCTGTAGAGTCCGAGTCTGTAGAGTCCGAGTCTGTAGAGTCCGAGTCACTCTCAGGAGGAGGAACGGGCTTGGATACCTTCTTGACATTCTTCTTCTTCGAGGTGTGCTTCATCGATGTATGGCTCTTATTTTTGGTACGCTTCGGAACGACGACCTCCTCAGATTCGGAGCTCTCATTATCTGAGTCAGGCTCTACTAGGGTATCTGAATCATCTTCAGAAGAAGAGATGACTTCAGTGGTCTTCCTTCGCCTCTTGACCAAGCAGTGTTTAACCGGAACGCGCTTCTTGGGAGTAACTACCTCCTCAGCATCTGAACTTTCTTCCGACTCAGATTCTACATAAATAAAATTAGTCTCATTTCCAATGGGAAAGATGACCTGAAGTGCTTTGTGTTTCTTACCTGAGATGTGACGAGCTGGGGCAATCTTCTTAGCTGAATCCTGCTTCTTAGTTGCTGCGTGCTTCTTTGGAATGACTTCCTCAATGTTTGAGTTATCATCTTCTGTATTAGACTCTGCTTAGAAGGAGTTAGCTTCGCTTTCGGGGAGTGATCTAAACAGTGTTACAGCCCTTACCTAGTGTTTTCTTGCACAAAAAGTGCTTCTTTGTCGGTTTCTGCTTGGCCGTAATGTGCTTCCTGGTTGACGTGTGTCTTATAACAACCTCATCTTGATAGACTACTTCCCCGCTAGACTTGCTTGATCCTGATTGTATAGACTCATCGTCGTCACTCTCATAGTGGTAAAATGTCCCTTCAATGTGAAATATAGGACGAGTGCTTTTAGTCTTCACCATAGTGAACAAGTTGGTGACTTATAGACTCAGCGTTGGGACAGGGAGAGTGATTAATGAACAATGGGTATGGCTATGTAGTTAGGAAGAGTAGACAGAAGAAGATTATTGTGGGATGAAGAAAGGGTGCAGCTCGAAAGATCTGAAACAGACAGAGAAGGGATATGTTTATATAAATTCCAAAAAGGGTGGGCAGGGGAGAGAGCACTTACAGAGGCAAGTGTATAGGTACCGTCCAACTTCCAACCTCTAGCTAGCAACCTTCCCAATGACTCAAGGTACAGCAGTTCAAGAAGGAGTACGTATCTTAAATAGTCTAATAACAATGTTTGTTGCCATGGATGCTACCTTCTTTGTAGGTCAGTTTGATGGGAAAGGGGCGTGCGTAGTATAGTGAGTAAGGATTGTCTAGCTTAGCGCCGACAGTTGCTAGGGACATCATGTATGATTGTGACAACACTAACTGTTAGCAATTTCAATAGTTTAGAAAACTTATGACGTACCAATGTACCTTTGTCGTAACTACGTGAACAAGCATAGTTACATGTATCTGGGTGACAACATTGTTGAGACTTATGTGTTTCTTTGGTATACAGGTGCCAACCTAGGTAAACAAGGTACATGAGGTACGTAAGTCATATATAATATTGAGTCCCATTTCACAGTTTGCTACTTCGTAACTTTGGTTTCCACCTGGCATAAGGGTGCTCTTCAGACCCAGGAACAAGGTGGTCAACAGCTCCTGTATGTAGCAACCCGGGGTGGACTTGGTCAAGACTAGTAATGCCACACATCTGCATAGTCGTCACCAGTTCATCGACAAGGACTATGTTAGGTACGCATAGTATTAGTATAAGCCTCTTAACCCACTATAAAGCGCTTCGGGAAGTAGTGGATATATATGAAGGGGGTTTAAACTTACTATTAACAAACTTCTCAATACCCCCCTTCCCATAATTCAAGGAGAACAGAAACCCCCGCCCGATCCCAACAGCCTTAGCACCTAGACATAAAGCCTTGAAGATATCTGTACCCCTCGTAATGCCACCATCGACATATACCTCCATCTTATCAAAGACCTGCGGGCAACACTTTTGAATCTCAAGCAGTACTAATATCGTAGCAGGAGATGTATCCAAGCTCCGCCCGCCATGGTTAGAGATATATATAGCATCAACACCTGCCTCCATAGCCTTGACCGCATCTGCTGCTGTCTGGATCCCCTTGAGCGCGATTGGTAAACCAGGAGCATGCTGCCGCACCCACGACACATCGTCCCACGTGAGTGATGCGTCTATGAAGCCACCCATGAGTCTTCCCAATGCCCCTCCTTTAGCATCATTCTTAGCCTGCGCGCCAGACATCGGAGCGCGTAAATTCTCATCTGATTTAACTCGTTCATCTGCCTCTCTCTTTCCAATGACCGGTGCGTCAACCGTCAGAAAGATACCCTTAACACCGCGCTCACGTACCATACGTAATAAAGCCTCTGACTTCCGGCGGTCTTTGTCAACGTACAGTTGGAAGAAGACTGGAACAGATCCGTCGGTTCCCACCCCTTGAGACAGAGATTCCTCCTCGACCGCGTCCATAACCTCGGGTAACGGAAATGAGCAACTCGTTGATACACATTGCGGAATACCTAGGCGCTGACATCCCCGACCTAGTTCACGCTCTCCTTGTGGGTGGAAGATACGGCCCATAGAGGTCGGGGCGCAGAATATAGGCGCAGCAACATGATTCCCCAGAATAGTTGTACTTATATCGACATCTCTAACATTCCTCAGTACCCGCGGCCGCAATACTATATCCCTATACACAGATGCATTGCGCTCTTTCGTCAGACAGTCTGTCGCAGCCGACGACACGAAAGCCCACGCCTTAGGGGTGAAGCTAGCCTCAGCCGCGACCTCGAAATCCCTAGCGTTAATTAGGCTATCTAGAGGTGGCTTCTCCGGTGTCTTTTGTGGTGGACCGCGGGCCCGTGGTGGTGGTCTGGCCCATTGCTCGGTGATAGTAGCTTGATCTAGGACGCCAATGCGAGATGATGCTGGCAACGAGGTCTTGATTACCGATGGTGAGTGGACCTCGGAGTAAGCCGCGGTTGCGTCTTGTCCGGCGTAGTCCAAGAGTACTGCGACACCACCGGGATGTTGTAGCGCAAACTCGCTGAGATCGTAGACTACGTCGTCAATAACAACCCAGAGATCCTTCAGCGAGCGGTGCTGTGATATCTCCTTCACGCTTACTGACCGCATTGCCTTCTCGGTCAGGGCTTGTCCACCGCCCATTTCCTATATATATGTATACTCCTGGGAGTTCAGATAGGAGTAAATATACTAAGGTACCGTGGGGACCTATTCGGATTCGGACTCGGACTCGGACTGTTCCCCAAATTCGGCTCTATCTTGTTTCTCCGCTTATAAGTCACCCAGTCTTACATGTCTAACCTAGGGATGTATTAGTCTGTACGCCTTGCACGTATCGCTTTAAGACAAAGATTTGTAGGAGATTTTCAGCGGTTAATATACTTTCTAACCGACGGCATACCTCCTTATTTAATGCTGTTCCTTGGTCGGCGGAATGATAACCGAGGCGCGGAGAAGCTTAGGTAGGTATGCTACAACCGTTAACTTCCCCACATGTCTTCCCGAAACGACCGGATCTGGGGTACCCCACGATATCCCATTCTTGCTTTCTTGCCTTCCACTGCCGCGGGTGAGCACGAGATCCACCTAATCATCAACTCTTCTCTTATAAGAGTTATATTGACAAACCCGGTGGTATAATTGGGCTAGGTTACTTACCTTACTTACCTAAAGTTACTGGGGTTATGATCTAAGTGTGTATATATTAATGCCCTGGATAATATACCATATAGCGAATTCAGATAGTATACAATACTATATGTAGAACTTGATCAATCCAAGCTTAACCTAACAAAGCCCTAATTAGATAGACTAGGATTTAATAATCGTAGATACATTCAATATTACTCGTCAATTCGTCAACATATTAACGTACCTAGCGTCATACATATATTTTTTAAGGTCACCTCCATCCCGTCCGGTGCCATCCGAGTAATATTCCAAGTCAGATCCTATCCTCACCTCTTCCCTATGTTCCATTAGAAAGAGCCAAGGGTATCTTACGTCTTACGAGATGCATTACGCACCTGCAAGACGCCGGTATCCAAGAAAACGTCGCGCCCAGTACGTACGTATATGCAATATTATAAAAACTTTAGGTATTTTAAACGAGCGACAAGTTAGGCTACCATAGAGGTTATTTCATCTTACGGCCGGTAGCCTTCTTTATGTTCCGGGATATGGTCGGTACGACTGAAAATGTGACGGTGGAGGTGGGCTGAACTGAGAGTAGTCTGATTGTGGAGGGTAGTCTGATTGCGGAGGTGGTGTCGGGTTCGAGATCCATGTGTACGTTGCTGGGTCGTCGGCAGGGTTTAATTGGTCACCAGGAGTAATGGGTGATACTATATCATCCTGGCTCGGCTTGCGTGACCGCGGGACAAAGGTAGACGGAATTGCCTGCACCTGAGAATGCCTATAGTTCCTATGCTCCCTATGCCCCCTATGATCTCTATCATCCGTATCGTCCCTAGCCGTGGCGACTGGTTCAAAGTGAGTAGGTGGCGGGTAGCCTACAACGTGTTGGGTCGATTCTTGTGCCATCTGCGGCGGTAATTCCCCGTAGAAGTCTGACTGGTATTGAGGCTCGGGCAATCCTCCGCCATATACACTATTACGTGGGAAATCTCGCGGCTGAAACGGAGGCGAGCCTTCTATCTCCTTGCCTCCCACTTCATTCTTCTTACGCTGACGTCGGCGTAGACAGAAGAAGATGACAGCAGCTATCAGTGAGAGTACGGCAACCCCGCCAACAACTCCACCAGCAATAGCCCCAGTTCTACTCGATCCGTTACCATCCTGATGTGTGACTCCTCCGTCTGGGGATGACGAACTCGAGCTCGGGGAAACGGTGACAGTTACGACATTGGTAGGATCGGTACTCGTTTGAGATCGATCGGACGTATATTGAAAAGTAGTTGTGATATCGCTCGGTGGTGCCCAGTTCGGCGGTGCACTAGTTGCGATTATACTAGACCCTGCCTCCTCACCGCATGCCAGAAAACTAACCCCATTGAAATTTTCGAAGAAGTCGGCGTTGTATAAATAAGTCACACAATGAGGTCGTGCTGGTTCATCACTTTACCGGGCTTAGTTAATGATAATTACATGATAGTTAGGAGAGGATGGATAAGTCTTGGGCTTACCAGAGTAGTGTCCTAGCAGTATCAGTTATAGAAGATGTCAATCTAGTTGATTCCAAGCATGTCGTCGGTATTCTGCAATTTCGACGATTCGTCTCGGTACAACATCCCGCAGCAAAAGATGCCGGTGCCTCATAACAGTAACCTCCCCCACCGCACGTAATCGCCGGCGCTACTAAGAGTTAAGACGGGAGCTTTTCGTAGTTGTATTAAGTAACTCATAATCTAAATCATAACCTACCGCTGATATTATCAGCCGGGAACCCGCACGTAGCAACACTAGCGATAATTGTGGTGGTAGTCCTATCCTGCCTCTTCCGAAGTTCAAAATCGAACGGCTCGGCCGCCGGCGGCGCAGTCGGTTTCGGAGTCCATCCTACAGGATCTATTGGAGAGGCGGCGGCGACGGCGACAACATCTTTAGCCGGACCCCAATTCCCCTTCCCCGCATTACGACGGGCAGATGGAAATAGTAAGCTAGCATCAACATTAGTGATCGCATAACTCAAGGTGGCCAGCCTGAGGGCGGGTTTCATGTTGGTGCAGGTCTGCCCATTCAAGAGGCAAAAAGAAGGTCAGAACCAAATCCTAGAGTTATAAGAGGGGTGCGGACGAGTCGCTTATAACGTGCAACGTGCGGCGACTTACATACCGGGACCGGCTATCTAACTGCCCAGTCGGCCAGTCAAGGCTTCAGCTGAGACGAAATCCCCACCTCTGTAGATGGCTGATGAGACCCTGGGATTACTGGATGAGACCCTGGGAGTGACCGGTGCAACGTAAGATTGTGGCGGTACACTGGAAAAAGCAAGTAAGCAAGCCAATATCACATATATAGGTATTTATATATATATGACCAACCAACCATATAGTCATCGATTCAACCGAATAGGCCAATCGGCCATGTGCAGTATCGCCGAGGACTTGAGAAGAATATTTAGTAGATGGGACTATTTTGTATCATTCATCCCATCCCATTTTATAAGAGTACTTGAATGTTGTGTTGTACTCGATGTTTTTAAGAGACACGATAAACAGGCATCTCCGCATCTTCTTTGAGATAGTTAAGCAAATTTATCAAAAGGGGAATAGTAGGACAGGATGGACATGTTCCGTGTCTTAGCCCGACGGCTGTCGACGCCGAACCAAAGGTTAGGTAGCATTCAGCCGGAAAATAGGCTTGCAGTCAAATTACCAGATCAGATCAAGCAAGGCTGGTGATGATTATGATCAGGTAGGAATATTCATCGTTCGCATAAAACGAATAAACGCCACGAGGTCGGGTATAGCTTACGTAGTATGTCAACCCCGCAAGTTGAAGGATCAAAAAGAAAAAAGCACGATCTGCCGACAATCATTGCCTGAGAATTTGGGCGTTTGGAATAAATTTAGGAATGGATGACGGTCCATGCCGCCGGGACCGAATTGCCATGTGTCAGCTTTTACCGGATGTCAGCAGCCAGCTGCCAACTCATATGTAAAGCGAATGAGACAAGTGTTAGCAGGTGGGAAACCTTAAATGGCAACCCGCTTGACACCCGTCATAATAAATCCACCATGTCTTCTCGAATACTTCACTAATGAACGTTACTCAAGTTTCATAATGGTATCTATCGCGTTTGACTAACCATTAGCGCATCTCTTTGCACCCCATTAGCGCCAAGAAAATCTCTATAAGGAACGAAGCTATCGGATTAAGGATCAACATAGTGGAATAAGACGCAAAAGCCAAGCACCTAATAAGATAAGCTCAACAAACAGCTAATCATACCGCTTTCATCGCCAGTCATCGTAAACAAAGGTCGGCGGTACAAGTCACTAGTTACGAGCGTGGTTGGTAGGAACGAAGTCGAGATTGGCGAGTGACAGAATCACAACGTTATGCTGCTGCTCTTAAAATAGAACATTGTTGTACAGACTACTAATCATCAATATTCCCATAATCGAAACAACACTGTATAGGATGCGGTTAGTAAGCCTTCACGTTAACATGTCCATTAGAGGTATCAATGCGCGTTATATACCTATCCATACTGCCATAGTAGTATAAATAGCTAGGATCCCTTGCGGTTCACATCCGACCCGTCCTTCCCGGAGGACTTGAGAATTTAGTACATGGGTTAGTTCTTAGAATCATCATATGATGGAGGCCTCGAGATAAAAGGCTATTCCTTTGAAGTAGATGAAGCATATCTCGGTCATTGCGCCTTATGATCTTCGTCGCCTCAGCCTCAGGGAGGATCTTTAGGAGTCTTTAACGCCCATAACTTGACGTTGTGTCGATCGATCTCGATCCTAAGAGCGGTAGCACGTTACGCCGAGGACATGTGAAATATAATACTGGATACCAGTACAACTTATTTGCCACGTTGAGTATTTGTTCGCAAGACTCGATGTTGTTATTATTTGCCCTAGCTTCGCCCAGCGTCTCCTATTTCTACTACACAGCAAACATTCACTCAACAACTAAGATATGCATACTATGTTCGTACCGGATAGAAGCAGCGCTACGTAAAGCTAGGGACTCGTCAAATGATGATATTCCTTACAAATACGATTTTCAAGGTTTGTCTCAATTTAAATCCTCTTGAGTGACCTTTTAGCCTCACATATATATCGGTCACCGTTTGAAAGAAGGAGTCTGGTTACCAATTTCCATATTCAGAAAAATCCGAATATAATCCCTCAACATAGCCTACGAGAACTGTTAGAACTTTTCAAGTAGCGTGTTATTGTAGGTATCGTAAGAACTTACCATCGCCCGTAACAACCATTTCGGGGTAACTTGAGCCGGAGACACCAAATAGATCCAGATTATCTATTGGTTCGCTATCTTGATTCCTTGGCCCTTCAAATCGGCTCGGCACGTCTATATATGTATTGGCTGTGTCTAGCCTACGAGGTTCAGAAATGTCCGTTTGGTTTATATTGGGCATCCGGTCCTGCGCACTAGTATTTGGTAAAGGCTCTTGTACTAATGGTGAGGCCACAATGGGTCCGTTAGCCCCCTGATCTGATCGTGATCCTTGGCCAGCAACATTAAGGGCGTGTCTTAATGCCTCCATAAGGTCATCTCTATGGTTTCGGGCTGGAGCTAGTTGAGGTCGATCGGCTAAGAGGAAATCAAAGACTTCCAAAACCCTGGATTGGTAGGCATTGTGTGTGTGTGGCTCTTCATAATCTACGTATTTGCATAGTTAGCATAACTATACGTCACTTCGGGGGTTATCGTCGATAAGTCCTCGCGAAAAATCCAATCGTGCCTAGGTACGACTCACATGCTGTCGGGGGCCTTTCCACCTCGGGAAAGAGAGCATCCCAGGCAAGGAACCATCTTTCTTCATCAGAAGGTTCACCCTGGGATTTGCGTCTTCTCTTAAAAATATCCTTAACCCTATCCCACATAGCTTGAGACATACCACGTTCTTGCTCGAATGTCAGTCGGTCACATCTCGGATCTTGGGCCAAATGATTTTGTAACTCCCCAGGCTTGTCGAAAATATTCCCGCACCGAGGGCATTGGTGCAAGGTGTGGACACGTTCTAAGTGGCGCCTTTTCTTAAGTCAGCTTATATATTTACACGTAGTTAGGTAGACGGACTTATAATGGTTAATAGATGTGAATCCAGGACCGGCACACGATTTATACCGTGTCGCAGTCCTCCCTCTAGTATTTCTTGGGCTGTATGTTACCCTGTCGAAGATATTGTATCCGCAGGCAAACCTTCTGTGAGGTGACGAGCTTTCTGGAGGATGGCAGTCAACGAGGACTCGATCGTCATGATCGTCGCTTCCGAGCGCCTGGTCCTGGTTTAAATTGCTTGGAGGCGCTTCATCGATACGCTTTCTCTTTGTAGGCCTGGAATTGCTTCCGCAGCTAACTATGATACTTGATTCCTGAAAGTTGTCGGCACCGTGCGATAAGATGGGTCCATACCCGTAGACCTGTGCTCGACGATCTGGGGGAAGTTGTACCAAGTAGTTGATCACTCTATCTGCTAGTTGCTTATTGGACGAAAAGACCTGTCTGATTGCGTTGTTTAAATTTTCAAACGGATCATATTCGTCGTCATCAGAAGATATGTCTGTTGAAGTTTCGGAATCAAGGGAGTCAGAATCGCTCATTACATCGAACTGTGCCCCAATGCCAGCCCTGATTTGGGGAGGAACCAACATCTTAACTGCAACACTTCTTGGGTCATTGGAGCTATTAGGCCATCCCTCTAACGTAGGCTTCCAGTATGAAGAGTATATAGCATCTGCATGTGATGGTTTGGAAGGAATTTCTCGCAAGTCTTTGGACTGGGCTGATTTAATTGGAAGCAGCGGCTCTCGCCATGCAGGCGAGTAGCGAGATGGATTCCTCTGGCAAATAACAAGCCTGGAGATGTGAAATTAGCATTGCAGTGTAAGTTATACGGCACACCACAAACTTACGATGAAGCCCCCGAAATCGTTGAACCATCTGTTAAACTGGGATATGATGATGCATACTTATGAGTCTCATATTCATCTTCGAACGCTGGTAATCGCAGTCGTGGTGGGCGGCTTGGGGGCTGAGTTAGGGAGTTAGGCTGCCCTGAAACTAAGCAAAGGAATTGAGACGGTAACTACCTACCTTATGTACTCCAGGAAGCTCTTTAAATATGCTAGTTAGATAATCGATATACTCTTCCATCATATATTCGCGGTCAATGTTGTTCATATTCATCAAACGATCCAACACATTGTCCTCCCACAGACCGTAACATATTTGCTCACCGTCCAACTCGAGTAAATCATCTTTATATTTTGGAATTTTGATCCTATCGCCAGCAAACTCCGAGCCTGCTCCGAAAACAGTTGTCCCGGTACCGAAACTTATGCTTCTGGTTTTTGATAGCCCCATTGTAGCAAATGTATAAGATCATCCACAGGGCTATCTGATAAAAGACAATGCTAACTTAATTAGCGTAGAAGTAAAATTATATGTAACAATAGAATTGTATAAAATATGGAGTTAGATGGGATGCAAAGTTAAAAGTCAAACTGAGGTTGTACTCGATCGCAGGTGGGAATTGGTAATTACCATCCAGTTGCGCAGCTGCGCCGGTACTTTTTCGGAGATAGCTTGGGTGACGTCAGGCTCACTCTTGTGCGTGTAGGCACATGTAAGTCAGGTGTAGTTTGCTATTGTTTACAGCCTCAAACGTATTCCTACTTCATGCAGGCTCATCTGATTGCCCACGGCAAGTGGCACAAAAGTTAATTTAATAAACACTAACAACAACTGCAACTGCAACTACGACCGCAACTTCCACACACGTGTGGTCATGTTGTAAAGCCGTACTAGAGAAATGGTTAACTCGTCGGCCTTCTATTGCACAAGTCAATAAGCCGAAGATTCTCGGTTCGAGTCCGGGGTACGGTGGATTTTTCTTTTACAATTTTTATGACATTCCTTTTTTTGGTTCCTGTTCACATATTAAATTCCCAGTGTACCTATATAAATATCCTAGATGTCTCTAATACATACGTGCGCAGCTCTATGAAATAACAAGGCGTCTATATATAGCACCCTGCAACCTTCTACTGTAGAAGCGAAAATGAAAGTAAATTACCTATTGTCCCTTTAATTCTGATTGCTTTACCGATTTAATGTGGTGGTGGTGGTTTGGTGGACGACTATAAAAATGCAAGAGCCCAGAATTTAATAAGGTGTAATCAAGTTAATGCGTTGTTATTCCAGTTCCCTGGCCATAATTTTCTCTTTTAAAAGTTGAGATCTTGAACCAGAATTCATTCTGGTCATTACCCAGATTCATTAGTTTGAAGAAAAAGTCTCATATGATACTACCGCTAGTCAAGTGTACAGTTGTTTACCTTCCAATTACTATAATAACTAGCACAATAAGCCTACACGTATATCTTCGGTCCAGTCTGGTATATATATGGTTGTCCATGCGGCGGTGGAACTTTTCGCTTATTTCTTATTCTATTACGATTGCTACTTGTATGAAATTCGCCCGTCAGAGTCAATGCAGTAAGGTATCAGATCGAACACAAAGCTCTACCAAGCTTTAGAAGAAAATCAATTAATTTCAAAGCTTCGAACTCACGGCGTAAATATAGACATCAACAATAAATCCTTACTTAGGAGACTACCTACTTATATACTCCCTATATAACGGTAGTTTCTTATACTAAAAGAAATCTATTTCGTTAATTACCTTAGGGACACATACAATCTCCACTGAAACCGACGAATTGAGACTCGACGAAGAATTATCACATTCTTCAAGAAGCATTGTAGACGGCTTTGGCCAGTCATGTTCAAAGGGACGCATACCGTGGTCTACTCACATCTAAGGGGATAACATATTTTCGTACAACCTCCCCCTCACGCCATCATACTATATACTTAATCAATCCATTACTTTCGGCCCAACGGTGAATCCCGATGTGATAAATTCGAAAACGCCCAATGGTTTATCATTATATCTCTGGAGGGAACTCTAGCATGGGTTCTCGCGCTATTGTTTCTATGAAATGAATATGTGTTTACCGGGCTCGGAATTCTTTCTCATCGCTAATATACGGGCTTGTGGGGGTTGTACGAATTACCAAGTTCTTCCTATATACCTAGGTATCTGCCTAATATTTATAAAACACTGTCATTTCACGTATCTACAGCTCAAATGTGTCTATGATGTAGGTGCGCAATATCAATATAAGACGGTAGCCCCTAAAGTAACGACTATAACGAGGAAGCCTCTTCTTTGACATAGTTGCGATGAGCGTATGATTCACTCGTATATTTTCGATTAGCCGATCTGATACTTAACCATATCCTCTCTCGAGCCGATAATCAGCATCACATACTCACAACGTTGACGTAAGATTTTCTGTGATGAACGTGAGTTATGGATATGCTTAATCCCGAGCATGGTTACTCGTACTAAGACGAAAGCAGCAACGACATGACTTGGACAGATAGAACTTTTGTTTCTCGCCATCCATTGCGTGGCATCACTACCTAACTCATACTTAGAAAACTTGTTCGCAGCTATGTTTTGGATGAGGACAGGGAAAGACGTGCCTGTTCATACGATTGAGGCGAGTGTTCCGAGACAGGATGCAAACGACGATGAAGGCAATTATCTAAACCTGTAAATATTTGACAACAACAGCGATATGATGAAGCTGCGATGATATCGTATTAGGTAGCTACGCATTGCATCTCTCATCGCGGACCCACTGAGGCGAAAAGTAAGCTCACCAGCCTCACCACTTATAAAGAAGGATGGGTGGTGAAAGAAGGCGGATCGAGATGTCTACGCGCATACACTTTTTTTCTTCCCCCTTAGGTCTTTTAGCTTCATGCAATGGGCTTCGTTCCGGAAGTAATGAAACCGTACCCATCTGCTGCGCAGATCTGTCTATTTTGTCATTTCTGACCGACGGATAGTTGTCGATCAGCAACCGTTCCAGGTACCTGGCAGGTCGAACCAGCGATCGCGAGAAGATACCTAACCTACGTAAGCCTTGCGCGGAAAATCCGCTTTTGGCGCAGTACATTGGTACGGCGGATATGGACAAAAGAATTCATACGAGAAAAACTCCAAAAGTAAGCCGCGCCGCGGAGCTAGGGGTGTGGTATCACAACATATGCGTACGCCACACACATACCACTTCAATATCCAGCAAAAGCAGGCTGCGAAGGAGGTATGATGGACGTCGTATGTAGCCAGGGGAGGTACCCAAAACAGGGAGTGCGTATTGTGGTATTGCGACCTCGTGGACTTCCCGTTAACTGGGGCTGCCGGGGTTCAAACGGTTGCAGACTCGTATGTATGGTACGTACACATGTAAAAGTATCCAAAGTGGAAGTCAGAGAGGGTATCGTATGCAGGGCGGGAAGGGCGGGATAGGCGGGATATTACCACGACTATTCCCCATACGACGGGATGATGTAAGTGTTCAGCTAGTGTATTTTGTAATAAAATGCAATGTACGTGCGCGTGCGCGTGCGCGCGCATTGAACCGCTCTCCGGCTGTCTAGGGGTCCCGTTTCCGCCGTTCGGAGTTACGATAGCCTTATTAGGGTAGCCTTCCCCCTCCTCCGAGAAGAGAAGAGCATGTTGACCCCCGTGCTGTGGCGGTTGACAGCAGCGAACAGGGTGCGTGATGGCAGGGCTTGCGTGCCTTGAACGCGTCTGTATGGGCGATGACCCCTGGACGTTGTTTGCTTGACCCCCGTCTGCGATCGACGTGGAAGCTCAGACACAAAATTGCACTGATCGTGAATAAGGGATTTCTAGCACTTTTCTAGAGATTTGGTTTACTGAGTAGGTACAATACCCAGATTGTAGGCAGCTAACGGAAGACGTCTCGGCTGAGGAGGAAATTGAAATTACGTACCAAGGTATGGGAGCTCGAAGCTGCCCCTGTCAGTAACGTAACAGGATAAGCTCCAATTGGTCAATTCAATGAACCTGGTAACAATGGTCAAGAAGGAAGTGATTCCATCATTGTCTCTCCTTTGTATAACTTATTACTGTGTAAGTAAAGCTTTGATTTAAGTTGGTTTAATGCACCTCTTTTGAGACAGGTAGATACTCGTATAGTTGTCCTATGACACCTGGAGAGCTATTAATATTTGCTACAATGCCGTGTTATACTAATCGTTGTAAGCTACTTACTGCACGTGTGTAATCTGACGGTATACAGGGCATCTCTGGTAACGAGAGCTGATTTGTATCCACAAGTTGACATAGAATGCTGGGAATTCCCTATACTCAATTAGTGGTTACTTAGAAACTGGTAGACTAAGACGTTTAAGAATTACCGGTTTAGTTAGCCACGACACATGAGTAATTTGCCAACGAACCTTCACGTAGAAGCGAATGATATCGTTCATATGTAGTTCCCCTGAGGCTGCCTCACTTTCTTTGAGATTGGTGGTAATTATACGTCCTCCCTTTAAAGTAATTTTGCCGCAGTCGACCGATCAACATCCGTATTAGCTCGACGGGCGGTGGCAGGTGCAGCAAGTTGTGGCATCGAACCCAGTCGTCTGGGACGGACGGGATCGGGTCCAAGGACTCGGGCCGCATGGCTTGAGCCGACGGTCACTTCGAAGACGAGCCACAACCCAACCCCTGCTCCCATCCCCCATCCCCCCCGAGAAAAGTGAGGCGTCAATACTAAGTAGGTACCAAATGCTATTTACGCCTTCGATACTCCTGCAAACTGCCTTTCTGCGGATCGCCCCAATCAGAAGAGAAACGACGAGCCCGGAGGGGGGGACCCTGCATGATGATTTCCGTAGGAACATGAAGGCCCCCGGAATGGTCGAGTGTATTTCTGGTCTTATATGTATCTGACAGAGGTCATCGCAGGTGTTACCCGCGTCCCCGACTAACCTTTCAGCGTAAATTAGGAAACAAAGCGCAACTTCCTTAATGAAGCTCCCCGGTAGCCCCAGTAACAGATCTGACGAGCCTCACAGGGATATGATGCCTAGCGAGATAATCTACCGAATTCACGAGCCTGCAGGGCTACGTAATTCGCTGTTTGCTCACGTTTGCGCTCGTTCATGCGGAGAGCCGGGGTATGCTCCGTCCAATAGCAACACACTCAGGTCTTGGAAGAATTGATTTCGAGGCGCGTCACCGCAATGTACGTCCCTTTATGTCTTAGATTTGCGCCGTAATACTATGAACGTTTTTTTTCTGTTTCTAGCGAGCTGTAGTACGTATGTTCGGATTGTCAGGTACGGATTCACTTTTGTTACATCGTGCGGCGCTCCGTTGTAGCGATCATTCAAGCTATTTTAGCACTTACAGATCGGAAATTTTGAAGCTGTACAAGATCATCTGCTTGGGGACGAGATCATTGGCCGTGCTGTGATCTAAGGCACTAGGAAATAATTAGTTGAGAGCTCATATACATAGGGGCCGATGGTTAGACCATGGTCCAGGCGAGAAGATCAGTACGTATTTGATTAATTTCTTGCCTATAGGTAGCTGAAAGTTTTATATTAAAAGTATCCGAGTAGCTGAAGATGGCTGTCGTGATTTGTAACCAGACTAGAGCACATGTACCTAGTATTGGGATAGGGATCGTAAGCTGGTACCATAAAAACTCTGTAATGAGTTTATGCGGCGGTGGCGATTTCCTTGTGATGTTTATACGTATAGTTGATAGGCAGGTAGGTCGTATCAAGAGTGTTAGTCGGCCTCATTATTAGCTGGCGTGAGTACTAAGCCTTAAGCACTACGGCACATCCGGTCGAATAGTCTTAGTAGGTGATATTCGCAGGTTGATTGGCAAAATTACTTGTCAAGTATCAAATAAGATCATGGCCATTGTCCACACTGATTCTAATCCAGTAGTTAGAACCTGGCTCCATTATTTGCTGTTGACACACAGCATGGCCGCTGTATCACCGATGCCCCATCCGCTTGGTATTCGGTGCTGCAACGTTCCGGGACGATAGAGATGCTGTGTTCCGGACGTTGTGGCTTGGTGGGCCCTGACAGATAGATGGATATTATTTACGGACACAAACCGATTCCGACGCCACAGTTATGGGATTGTTGTAGTGTTGATGATTTCAAATAGTTAGTCGATGAAACTAATAGACGGTTTCTATTGTTGTTGCTTAAAACGCTTTTAGAGGGGGGCAACAATGGTGGCTACATAGGCCTGGCTGAAGCTGAACTTGATATATTTGGTTAGGTGATTTTAAGTAATATATCCCTTCTTTCGTAGGACCTGACCCCTCGGCTCCGGATCTGCACTGTTTCAAACGCGTTCGTGACCAACCGGAGTACACCCCCAATTGTTACTAGAACAACTAAGGTATGAAGCAAAATACCTAACATTGATTTGTTGTTGGCTTAGGCACTCAAGTCGTCCTGTAATTTCTTTTCCGAAAAGCCTGTATAAGTCAGCGTATGGTGAGAATACCAAATTCCTACAGGGGGGGACATATCCTATCTCAAGGGAAGAGTTCCTTGTCAGTCAATTTTATGGGGTAATTGAAGCCGTTCCGCAGCCGTTTGAGCTCCAGACTACATAACGGAATCTAGGCCAAGGTACTTCCTGGAATAATCCGGGAGGCCATATATTATCGAGGCGTTATATCGTACTCCCGGGCTTAATGTCTTCCGTATTTGTCGCGTGACCCTCTTTCATCGGATCTTCGATGTACCTAGGATTAAATGATAACTCGGTTACCTCCGAGGGGTTAGATTGTGTGTACTACTAAAAAACCTAAGGCTACCCAGGTAATAATGAAGCCCGTACATGATAGAGATGGCTAGATGGGATGTACATCAGGGTAACGACCCTGTCTCAGACCTAGACCCGGGTGTCGAGAGGTACAGATTCTCGGAAGGCAAAGTAGATTACCAGATCAGAGACCAGATTAGGTAAAATGAGCCTTGTTATATATTTTATGTACATTATCTTAACGATTAATCGACTATTGTGTATATCAGGTAAGGTAATAGGTAAGGTAAAATGTTGCAATACGGATGAAGTAGAACTGTTCTTTAACTGTTCTTTCTCCTGAAGGTCTTAATGTAAAGTTGAGAAGTTGCATGTCGGTCGTCGGAGGTGCGCATACGACCTTTAGTTTTCAGTTGGAAGCTTCCGTTGTCTGTAGATGCACCTACATGTATGCACCATTTACCCACCTAGGTAAGGTGTATAAAGTGTACTACCTAAGGAGTATAGGTGTGGGAACGTGGGAATGTTGTAACTCTACGGAGGATTAGCGGCGCTAAGTTGGTAAATGTGGTAGAAAAGTAGGTACCTAATGGTAAAGTGTGTACTACCTACCTCCTAGTATATTATACCAGATTAGGTGCGCTGTTACGAGGACGTATGGCGGACCGCGGTAAGTTCCTGCGCCCCCACCTGAATGTAGGGCATTCAGGGCAATTCAGGGGCGTTTTTTTCGTTCGCGCAAGTACCTACCTCTATACAGATGTTTTAGCTGGTGGCGTTCGCAGGAAGTGGGGCCGGCGCAACCCTTAGTCCCGTCCCCGTCGTCGCCGCAAAACTCACTCCTGCACAGTCTAGGCTTTCTATCCAATGGTTCATCTTTGCTCTAGTTCCTCTCCGATCTCTTCCTTTCTTTGACAAAGTAGGACAGGGGTTCTTACTTACCTACATGACACTTGCGGCAGCGACCCTGACTTTCAACCCTCTAACTATGGGACTCAACCCCCTTCGCAAAGCCCTAAGGAACGCTTCGCAGGGCCTTGCAGGGCCTTGCAGGGCCTCTCAGACCCCTCGCAGACCCCTCCTCAGGCTCGCCAGGGCCCTTTATCCGCCATGCGCGAACATATGCATGGCATGTCTCTTGCAGCCTCATCTTCACCAATTCATCAAGATCATCGTCATCATCGTTCCATATTTTTTGCTGCTTAGATGCTTCGCGAATCCTTATAGACCTTGCTATACTTATTCAAACTGACGTCGACCTCTAGAGATCGTCCGTCTCTTTTACCTTGTTCGCCCGCGCGCATTTGACTACGTTGGATGAGAGAGTTATCATGTAAGTCGGGTTTAGTTCTGATTTATGTTTTGATTTTTCGCCTAAAGCTCCTCACCAACTAGACCCCCCAATTCGAATCTCACCCAAAATTTTGCAAGACGACAGGTCAATTCCTTGCGTCATCACTATTTGAGCCGCCCTATACTGCTTCTGGGTAGCTCCCATCGAAGTGGACCGACGGGATTGGAAAATAGGTATACACTATACGGACCTACACTACAGACATCGGCCGGGTCGGAATCCAATTACAAGGTGTAGGTATGGCAAATACATAGGTAGACTTGCTACTTACACTACGCGTACCTATGCTTCTGCAGCTTTGGCATGTTCCTATTCTCGGACCATGCCTCTTTTCGTCTTTCTTGTTACTAGTTCAACCCTGTTCGGTACAAGCACCAAGCCTCACAAGTGTGATCGCCCCCCCACAATGATTACATCTAGATCCTGTCGTTAACCCGAGTTTACATGCCGCAAGTGGCGGACCCTCTGGTATAGTTCTCATGGTTCAGCTGCCGAGGGCCGGTTACTGTGACCTCTTTTGTGACCTAGTCACATTGATTTGTTTTTTACTTTTACTTTTTTACTTTTTTATTTCCCTTGGTATTTTGGTACATAGTGACTTACAGCCTCCCCTTTCCCCTTGACTCGAAGCGGACTGGTCTAGGCGAAGATGAAAAAGGTAAGGACAAGCTACAAGTCTTCAAAGTGGTATTAAAACCTTCAACGGCCCGCCGTCTTTACCTAGTCTCAAAATCTATCGTCCCGATTAGCTTCCTCCCTCTTGATTGGCGTACCGCGGGTCAATTCGATGTGGAGCATCCGTGATGCTTTAGATTGGTACGCTTCCTTTCTTACTACTCGATACACCACGCATTTTACCTTTCCGTCACTTGCACGAACTGGGTATTATATCTAGACTTTTCAAAGGCTCAGTCAAGTGTTACTAGACACTCCCCGGGACTCGTTCCTTTACAGAGACGGCCGTTCCGGGTTTTAGATCTACTAGACACAGCTACCGGCGTAACCTTGGCGGCATGCCATTTCGTTCTCAGGGAGGTGGACCTCCCGGATTCCCAATGCCGTTTCAACCGTCCCAGTCCCGGTCACCTCCGCAGGCTTCCTCCTCACGAGGGGTGGCGCCTGGGATAGACCCGTCGGGGCCCTTTATCCCGTTTCAAGAATCACAGTTCGACATTCTCGAGTGGTACCCGCAGTTCCAGTCATGTGTCCGGTATTTTTTGGATCACGCCCAGCACAGTGGTCCGGTACAGGCCGTTGCAGCATTCGTAAATATACAATTACCTTTCCAAAAACGAAAACATCCTGTTATCTCATCACAGATGCCCGGATCGCCGGCGGGCGTGTCGTCCCAGTCGCCAATTCTTCCAATACCAAATCGTACACCAACATCTATTTCCTTGACGCCGTACATCCGGCGGCTAGTAGCAACCGGCTTAGATCTCCCGGGTGTTTTGCATGGGTTCTTTGGAGACGATTGGGTTGCTGGGATAGGGCACCTCCATGAAGTGGAGCGGAGAAATTTCCTCTTTGCCGCCAAGAGTGCCGGCTGGCTGAAGGTTAAGTCCCAATACGACATGCCAGATGAGCAGACCATTCCTTTCCTGCGTCCTCTTCAGAACGTTACGGAGAAAGAGATTGTTAGCGCAGAGGCAAATTGGAGCGAATGGCTAGCAATGCAGGACTGGATGGTCGGTCCTAGGTCGCCTGATGTCGATAGAGACATGGCAGTTATAAAAAGCGAGGATGTCTGAGACACAAGGCGGGTATCGCCAATGCAGTCTCTGCGTACCTTAGGAGGACAGTGGGCAACCGAGATACACGACGCCCGGATATTAGATGGGATAGACGGGATTATAGGGGTTGACTGGATGGATGCGGTTTGCTCTGGGGGAAGCGACCAGGCAGGCGTAAGGGTTTTATTTCACGGCACCAGAGATGATTAACTAGAGATCATCAAGCTCAGAGTTTCTATTTAGTACCTTTGGGATAATGGGTCGACTCGAGTGTACCGCTACGCGCTTTATACTTATCCACAGGATGGAAGGGAAAACGCGGGCAATTTTCTATAAAAGACTGGATTGGTTCGAATTGATTAGAGATTGTTAGTTTTGTAGATACGTACATTTATCTTAAGTCTTGCGTAGGGTATAATGGGGTGGTAGGTATAATAATTACATAAGTTGAACTTGAAATCTATTTACATCCATTTATACCTATACGTGGTATTGGTTGTGGCGTTTTAATCTTTTGGCTCGCTTGTTGCGGCATGAAGATAAGGAGGCTTTTGCTGTTTATTCTATTGAGGGGTCCTTTGTCGAGCTCACATGGCCCAAGCTCCATATCCTAGCTAACACGTTGTGGCCCTAATAATGCCCCTGGCCTCGGCCGGAGCCCAGGCTGGATTAGCAACAAGAGCCACTAAATAGGTACCTACAAGGGTACCTAAGGTAGCTTAGCCGGAGCACCTACCACCGATAGTGGGCAAGCTGGCAAGGTAGTAGCACTAAGATAACCACCCACGTCAATCAGTCACTGCCGAATTTCTAAGAGTTCAGCCTCGCGAATTCAAAATCTACGGTTACAACATACAAACACAAAATACACATACCATAACAACATAACACATAAAACATACGATAGTTATAAAGGAAAAACACGCAGTACGGGGTATAATATAAGTCTAACATTAATCAATTAACCACGCACCTTCAATGTACCAATCAAAATCCGATATTCGAAGACCTAAACACGCTATTTGAAGATGGAGATGGATGTGGATATGATGAAGACGGAGGATGTCTTGACAAATGGACATGAACAAGACCATGTCAATTCAAGAGAGGAGTGGGATAAGTTTCTTAATAGATGCTTATCGTGTCGTCTGGATGTGGATACTTTCGAATCCTATATTCCCATGATGCATTCGAGATATCCATTACCTCCAGTCATCATCGCCGACATTTTCTTGAAACCCCAACCTTCGAATCCCGAAAGCCTCGACCCTCGCATCCCACGATATTTCCAAGGCCTAGTCAAATACAAGCTCATCGATACTCCTTCTATACTCAAGGCGTTATATAAGTATTCGACATCACATGCGCAAGCTTCAAAAGCCGGCAATGGCTCGTTAGGGAATGGGGAGGATAAGGCGCATCTAAGATGGGGTAATTCTTATGGTGCTGAAGAGGTCATCTTCTACCGCCTCACCAAAGCTGTCGCGATGGGATCTGGTATCGAAAGTTCCGGGGATGCCTTACAAATATGCAAATTGATAGCGCAATGGATGACATTATTCACTTCGGCCTCGACAGCATTCGCACACGATGTCATGAGCCAATTGCATAGTCCACAGTCCAGGGAGGAAATGGAAGCAGCTAGAGCTGCGTTTGTTATGCTTCTCTTAGCAATCTGCGAGAGTCAAACATTTCTGAACGCTCTCAGCCGTCCTTCTGCAAAATGTACGTGATTGCGTCTTACATTTCTCGCCCCTGACATAAATTTTGACTAGGTTGACATTATATAGATGCGCGGAGGGCTCTATCTGAAAGCCTAGCAAGCTTTATTCCCTCTATCCTCCAGAGTGCATCGCAGATTGCCAGTCGGCTCGAGCTATTCCGTACAGAGACTCTTGCTTCTTTCGAACCGGCTGATAAGAACAAGGACACTACTAATTCTGGGTTTGATGATATAGAGTCTACGATGGCTTTAGACAATTTCGTCGTACCTGAGCTTCCAAATGTTAACTCGCGAGCTGGCTTATACATTTACTTGAATGCCTTAGTATGATTCTGAAAATACACCTTTATGAAGTAAAGACTAATTCTGTCTAGCTTGTTGGGAGACCGCTGATAGATGACGCTGCTCTCTTCAACTATCTGCATAATAGGTATCAGGTATGTGTTGCCCTCGACACGCTGTTCGAGGAAATATGTTAATATAAGATAGGGGGATATACAGTCTACGGCAATTGACCTAATACTAGCTTCTTTCGATGTCCTCGCTAACGCAGTCTTTCGTAATGAAGGCCACCAGGCTAGCTACCTCCTTCGATCTTATTTAATCAACAAATTACCCTTGCTTCTAGCAACGTTGGCGACGTCCATGTATCCCCCGTTGTCAGCTCAATTCTGTATCACCGAGGCACTTAGCCAGGTTGACACCAATGCTTTCCCAACGCTCTCTGCCATGTTTGATGATACACACAATAGCAATATTTTAACCGATAACGTCCGTCAGGATTTCTGTTTTGCTTGCTGTCTACATGGATTAATCCCGGAGTCAAGTATTGAAGTTTTACTCGGCGAGATTACGTACCAGACCCTACCACAGGCAGGTCGGTATGTCAAGGAGCAACTAGTCGAGGAATGCATGGGCGATCCTGAGAGGATTCAACGACTAATTGGCGAACTGGACAATATGGACGGGAATGTCGGAGCGGTTTGTCAAGCTCTAGCAGAGGTAAGCACCTAGAACTGTGCCGACATTGGGACTCAAGTGCTAACGGAAGAACGCTAGGTTATCGGTCGCCTTTGCAATAACAAGGAAACTATGACCTTGAAGCTTCTATGCAGCCAACTTGCTAAGAAGCCGCTACTACTAGATGTAATGCTTCTATTCTGCAAGCCAATTACTATGTTACATCCTCTATGCGAGCTACTGGATAATCACTGGCGTTACGAAGAGGACCAAGGGGAATATCAACCCGTTTATGAAGAATTCGGGTCCGTACTCCTTTTAGTATTGGCATTCGTTCATCGCTATAATCTTTCGGCCATGGATCTCGGCATTCGATCAGACTCGTTCGTAGCCAAACTACTCAGAGTGCACCAGCTCAACAGGCCATTAGAGGAGTTAACAGATCGAGAGAACGGCCATTTGGATGGTTGGATACGCGGCCTTTTCGATAGTGAATCAGGTGGACTGGCCGACGAACTGTTATCTTCGTGTCCTCCGCAAGATTTCTATCTACTTGTTCCCACACTATTCCACCAGATTGTTCTCGCATATTGCACAAACCATCTCGACGAAGAAAGCCTCAAGACCGGTGTTGAATGTAAGCCTCAAATTAACAAACCCTCCTAGATCGCGTACTCATTTGGACCTAGACTTAGTGAATACGTTCCTACTCCCATCCCTCGTGCCGGCGATTCTATACATGTCTAGTCTGCTCTGGGTGGAGCTTAGCCATGGCCAGGAACACAAAGCGGTTATTAGGATCTTGCAGCTGGTCCTCTTAACCAAACAAGGCTCAACTGAGGCCCAAACGATGCTATCTTCGGTTGTGAATATCATCGCGATACCGCTGGACTACTCACTGCGATCGTTACAGCGATGGGATCCCAAAAACCAGACGACAGAGCCTTTGCTTAAAGCGATGAGAGAAAATATCCGCCTCTCGCGACGAACTGCCAGCGCTTTTAACAACGAGCTCGAGGTATGGTGTAGTACAGCGAATGGGGGACTTGCCGCGCTTGTTCGGCATTTAGTGCAAAGCTTTGTATCATGGAGCGTCCATCCAGGCCTGAATGTGGTGCCGACTTCATATACGCATCGCCAGATTCTAACTGCTTTAAGGATGCTTGGCGCAAAACGATTTCTATACATCGTTCTGGAAGAAGTCAAGGTGCAGACTGAAGCTGGTAACGGAAGCATTGCCCACGATATTGCCACCGCACTCATATGCGCTCCTGATGTGACCAATCTGCCGCCACCAACAGAAGCGGTGCTTCATTTAGACTCTGCAAATCGACCCTACGTACCTCCGCAACTACGAACTTCCCTTCAAGCGGCCTTAAAGGCAGAGGCGGAAGATTGCAAAATCATTCAGAAATCGGATCCGGGCATGGCTGAGATCATCGTTCGCCTGTACCGCAAAGTCGAGGCGCAGATGCTCATGCCTCCGCCAGCCGAGTCAATACTGCAAGGCGAGCTCGCTAATTTAGGACTGGGAGAAAACGCGCACGCGCTCGGGGATGCGTTAGCCGCAGCCGCCCAAAACGAGAGCTTGGGGGCAAACGACGGAAGCATGAATTTAGATCTTGGAAACGGTGGCCATGACATGAACCATCTCGGCGATCCGGGTGATTCCAGTCACCATGGTGGAATTGACTTTGGATCGAGCGACGATATGTTTAGCGGTCTCGGAGGCGGTAGTGGTGGTGCTGATCTCCTTGACAGCTGGGATTTAACTTAGATAGTGTCACAAATACCCTTTTTGTTATTACTGGATTAAGCAAGGGCGTGAGCGAGGCGTTTACGTGGCAGAACAGCGTCAAAAAAAGTGTCGATTTTATAAGTACTAACATACCAAAGGCTCATTTTCTTATCTACATAATTCAGCGAACTACTCGAGGATGGCTTTATAACTTATCCCAAAATAAAATTTAGAGCCTATTGTATATTGATATGATTTTTTATATTTTTTCTGCTTGATATATTTGGAGAGAACCTTTTACAAAAGTATTCCTTTTGTTAGGCACTTATTTTGACGCCGTTCTGCGTGGGTAGGAAGAACTCCATTCCTCGGTTGAATGAGTTTTAGCTACAAGACAAGGCCGTGGAGCGTAAAATAGCTGTAACAAGTGATGATAAAATTAAGCAGCGCTTGGTGTAGTTAAGTACCTAGGTACCTAACCTAATGCATTTTGTCAATGCCTCTATTCCCAAGCACGCAATATGACCCCTGCAATGCGGTCATTGGAGATATGTAAGTACCCAGGTTACCTATTCTATCACCTAAACTACCTACATAGGTAACAATTGATCATAGCTACATTTTACATAGACATTAACAACACTATGAGAAATACAATCGAAATGAATTGTTACCGCATGTAAAGGAACGCTTGAACATACATGCAAGTCTAGAAAATGCGGACTACGGCTCTAACCGCTTTACTATGCGCCACCGGCTCCGGCTTGGTTGGAGCCACGCCAAACTCAGGTCCAGATCAAAAACCGCTTGGTCCTGGCCATGAGACGGAGACACAGCCGTCACGATCTCAACCTAATGTCGTGTTCGTTCTAACGGACGATCAGGACGTACACTTATTGTCGTTAGATTATATGCCGTTGGTCAAGAAGCATCTGTTAGACCAGGGAACGCGGTTTAGTAGCCACTACGCAACGACGGCCGTGTGCTGTCCATCGAGGGTCACGTTGTGGACGGGCAAGTTTGCGCATAATACCAATGTTACGGATGTGAAGGCGCCGTACGGAGGGTATCCTAAATTCATATCGCAAGGCTTCAACGACAATTATTTCCCGGTCTGGCTACAGGAGGTCGGGTATAATGTGTATTATACGGGAAAGCTGTTCAATGTGCATACGGTGGAAAACTACAACTCGCCGGCTCCAGGGGGGTTTACAGGCTCGGTATTACCATCCATCCACTCACTCACCTACTTCTTGTTTATGTGTTCGGGTTCAAAGCTAACTTGGATTTAGGACTTTTTACTTGACCCCTATACGTATAACTATCTAAACAGCACGTTTCAGCGGAACGGAGAAGAGCCGCGTAGTTACGAAGGGCAGTATAGCACGGATGTGTTGGCGGAGAAAGCGTACGGACTGCTAGATGAAGCTGTTGAAGCCGGAAAGCCTTTCTTCCTCGTTGCTGCGCCGATTGCCCCTCATGCCAATGTTGTAATGAAGGATTCGGCTTCGGATGGCCATCGTGATCTCGATAATCTGCCTTTCGAGTTCACCGAACCGGTGCCTGCTGAGCGGCATAAGCATCTTTTCAAGGACGAGAAGGTGCCCCGGACAGATAATTTTAATCCAGATGAAGTATGTATTAATTATTCAGTGGTAACACTCTACGATCCCTTAAATCTCAAAAAAAGACTTGCCCCTTTTCTTAACATACTCATACTTTCACAGCCTTCCGGCGCAAACTGGATCTCCCAGCTACCGCAACAAAACAGCACCAACGTAGAGTACAACGACCACTTCTACCGGCAGCGCCTGCGCTCTCTCCAAGCCGTCGACGAGCTTGTCGACGGGCTCGTCCAGCGGCTCGAGGCGTACGATATCCTCGACAACACGTACTTCGTGTACAGCAGCGACAACGGGTACCACATCGGGCAGCACAGGCTGCAGCCGGGCAAGAGCTGCGGGTACGAGGAGGACGTGAACGTGCCGCTGATCGTGCGGGGGCCGGGCGTCGAGGCTAACTATACGGCCGAGGGGGTGGTGACTACGCACGCGGATCTCGCGCCGACGTTTTTTGATCTACTCGGGCTTGCGCGGAGGGACGACTTTGATGGCGCGGCGATCCCGGTGACGAAGGAGGGGATCGAGGAGGTGAAGGGAAGGGGGGAGAGGAGGGAGCATGCGGGTATTGAGTATTGGGGGATGGCGATGGGTGAGGGGATTTATAACCGTGAGTGGAAGGGTTGCTTTTCGTAAGATCGCTACCCTTTACCTGATCTAACTAATACTGTCTTCTTATCTAGGAAATCCCCGCGAGCATAATACGTACAAGGCTCTTCGCGTCTCAGGGCCGGGGTATAATTTATACTATTCTGTCTGGTGCAATAACGAGCACGAGCTGTACGATCTAAACGTACGCACCCCTTCTACTCACTCCATTGAAAATATCATCGAACTAACACTGTATAGGTCGACCCAGGCCAACTCCGCAACCTTCTCTCTTCGGAATCAGTCACCTCTTCAACAGCAACAGCAACAGCAGCTGGGTATCCCGTCGACAAAGTTGCCGCACGCCTCGACGCCCTAGTCCTAGTCCTCAAAACCTGCGCGGGCACAACGTGCCAACGACCGTGGGCGGAATTACACCCCGAGGGCGGCGTGCAGACGCTCGCGGACGCGCTGGAGCCGCGATACGACGGCTTTTACGAGGCGCAGGGTCGTGCTGCTCGTGTCGAGTATGCGTACTGCGCTAATGGATTCTTACCTGATGCTGAGGGTCCGACGTGGGAGGGTCTGAGGGATGGGTTGAGGTGGGAGGATTGGGTATGATGGGAAGGTTAGAATTATGAAGACTTATAGGTAGAGGCTGGGAGCAATATTGAAGTATTGAGAAGGTAGTTATAATGCATTTACATTAGGTAGCCTCCAGAGTGTATACAGCATATGATGAATTAAACAAATAATACTTAGTCTCGCATCATTCTTTACACTGGGAAACCTCTCAATATGGCTGTGGCTTTAAAGCATCGGTAATAATGAATTGCTCACAAGACTTCATTTTTATTTCAATGTTCTTACCTATAAGCAACATTTTAAATATCCTACGGTGAGAGTATTTGATAATAGGTGTGAATGAATGTGTATTGGAAGAATGTTCTATTATTTGAGCTTATAGTTTTTAGTTTTCTGTGATGATGGTTTCAACCAGTTGTTAACTAAAACTCGGATGATAAACCGTGACTACCTATGGACCCAACCTAAGTGAAATCGCAGCCACGTCAAGCCCCCAGAATTTAGGGCATTAGCCACCCGTCTACATCTGGCAAGAGGTGGGTAATGCGTCGGTATGGGGAAGTAAGTGACGCAACGTCACGTCATTGGCCCAAACCCAAATTCAGGGATCCATTGTTCAATGGGCAATTGCATTTGACCAGATTGCACACAAGCCAAGCAGCTAACCTTAATTGATGAATTGGAAGCTTCCTTCGCAACCTTCGCAACTTTCTTTTCTTTCCTCCGAGCTTCTTTTCCCTCCCTCTAACTAATTCCTTCTAAACAACTTCACCCCTCCGTTTCTCTACCTGGTCTTCTTGTCCAACATGGTCGCCCTCCGTTATTCTGTCCTCGCCGCTCTGGCTCTTCGCGTCGTCTCTGTATTCGCCGCTGCTGCTGCTGAGCCAGATGCCGACTCTGTAAGTTACCTAAACAGCTTTCTAATTTATCAATTCGTAAGAAAGCTAGCTGCTAACGTGATTTACTCTGAAGCCCCTTTCCGACAATGCCGGCAGTACTCCCGCGGCCGAGTTGAAGGCCGAGGTTGTCGCTACCTTCCCCGAAGCCGATGATATCTTTGGAGTGAAGCTTGTCAATGGCCGCCCGACCAAGGCTGTGATTGATGTGACCAACAACGAGGATGAGCCAATCTTGGTCGCTTTCCTCGGCGGTCAGCTCCTCAGTCCCAAGCCACTAACTCCCGGAGACAACCCTACGGCTGCCGTTGTTCGTAACTTAACTACCGTCCGTTACGAAACCACCATCCCCGCTGGCGAGAAGCAGTCGCTTCCTTACTCCTTCGTACTTGACATGTTGCCCCAGGACTTGCGCCTCCAGATTATTGCCGTTGTTAGCAATTCTGCCAACCAGATCTTCCAGGTTGGTGTGTACGACCAGACCGTCAGCATCGTCGAGGCACCTACCAGCATTTTCGATCCTCAGATGTAAGTTTCTTTCTCTAGCTTATTTCTCCAACTGTTTCGTATCTTGCACTCTGCCTATGACTGAAACCTGCTAACACCGTCACTATAGTATCTTCCTATACGTCGTCCTCACCGCTGCCTTTGCCGGCACTAGCTACTTCGTGTACAAGACCTATATCGAGGCTCTCTTCCCCCAGGCCAAGCGCGCCCCTAGCACCAAGCACAGCAAGAAGAGCCGCACTCCTGCCCCCGCTGCCGAGAAGGAGCCCCTGTCTGGAGGTGAAGGTTCTGCGACCGGCACTGACAAGGGTTACGACGAGAGCTGGATCCCTTCGGACCACCTGAACCGCCCTGCCGCGCGCCGTGTCAAGAGCGGTGCTAGCAGCAAGTCCAAGGCCAAGGTCTCTGAGTAGAATCTGGCTGCATAGCAGACCCTTTCACTAAGGCTGCCTACCGCCCGTTAGCGGGCTTCATGTGGTACGCGTTGGGATAAATGAACAGGGTGCGGGTAATCCATTCGTCATCACGAGGGTTGGAAAGGAAAAAAGTGCATTCATCGAGTTGCGGCAACGGGAAAAAGTTAAAAAGCAGAGCAAAGCATATGGTGTACCTTTAGAGGCTGTAATATGTTTATGGCGACCCTCGTTATGTATTGTATAGTGCTCATCTGCCTGCATGTACATGAATTGGACTGGTATTAAAAAGTTCCGAAATACCGCTTGCCTGATGTGTCTTGGTGTTATGGTGTTATATGAGAACCCGATTTTGCGTAATGAATTTCATGTCATTGACGTTCATGAGTAGGGGGTCTGTCATTTCACTACATTTATAATTATTCGTGTCTAGTTGCATCATCTAAATAACTTATATTCAAATAGATAACTAATATTATTGTATACCTGGCGAATATAAAGCCTCGCATACGGACGATATCTAAAAGACAAGACCAATACGAGATTGCGTGCTATAAAGTTGGTGTATCGTAACGAAGGGTCCAGACTAGTTACTCTATATCTTATAGTAGGACCAGTCTAATTGATACCTACACTTGTCTACATGAGTAAATCCTGATGAATACCTAATAACAGGTAGCCGTTACCATAACTACTATAACTACCTCCTAAACTACATGCTAATTCAGGAGCAACTCTTTCATCTCTACGAAAACATAGATGCTCAAATAAGAAGATTTCATAGTAGCAATGATTATTATTTATATTCAGTAGATATCTTTCAAGTACATATACAATCTCTAGTAAAAAATATGTAGCGATAATTAAGGATAAACATGAAATCACAAACATACATGCATTCCGAAAACGGGTTTATTTCATATAAACACATCGCTGGCGGTCTCTAATTTATATATAGACACGCCTCGCCCGAGCGCAGACCGTCTGTCGTACAGCCTGCCAACTGTCGATGTCATCAATCAGAGTGTCCTAGGAAGCACGCGCTTCACCGCATTAACGCATTAACGGTGTATCCTGATAGCGGGAATCCCGACTGCCCCCAAACCGTCTTAATCTGGGTTGGTACCTACGTATGCGGACCTTTTCCTACTCGTCGTCCACAAGCTTCTTGTCGGCCCAGGCCTTCTTAGCCGACTTTGCCAATGTATCCATATCCCCGCTCATCTCGCACATGCTCCTAAAGTGTCCATCCTCATTCTGTAGAAGCTCGTAGGGATGGCCGTATTCCACAACGGCACCATGGTCCAAAACGAGCACCTTGTCGTAATCAACAATTGTAGCGAGACGGTGCGCAATCGTGATAATAGTCGTATTCAGTTCGTGGATCGTCTCTTGGATCTTGGAATCCGTGGCGTAGTCGATCGACGCTGTGGCCTCGTCCATCACGAGTACCTTGGGATTCTTCAGCATGGCGCGAGCAAGACAAACTAGTTGCCTCTGGCCCTGAGACAGATTCGTACCAGATTCCGCAACTGGTGAAGACAAATCAAGGAAGATGTTCTTGTTTGCTGTAGTTGGCGAAGATGGAGCAGACAGAACTTGTGAGTCCTGGGCCCCATCGTTTTGGATCAGCGATGGAAGAGCTTCGTTCGGCCCGATGAGTCGAACTTTCCTGAGAGCCGCAAATATTTCCTCATCCGTATAGAGGTCAAAAGGATCAAGATTTGTTCGGATGGTGCCAGTAAAAAGAGTCGGGTCTTGGGGCACAATAGTGATAGCTTGTCGGAGATCTTGTAGGCCGATCATACTGATATCAATATCGTCGATGAGTATTTTGCCGCTCTCTGCTTCTAGAGCTCGGAAAAGTGCTAGTGTGAGAGAACTCTTTCCAGCACCGGTACGTCCAACAATGCCAACCTTTTCGCGGGGATTGATTTTAAAAGTAACGTTCTTTAATACCGGGTCAAGCTCCTTGCGGTACCTCGTAGAATATCCGATGAATTCCACTGCTCCGTGTGCGGGCCAGTTTTGGGGAGGACGGTTCTTTTCAATAATCGGCTCGGCCTCTTGCTCCACGTCGAGGTATTCCTTGACACGCTCGACGGAATTCATATTCTGTTCGTTCGCGGCATAGAGTCGTACGAGCCAAAGGATATTCTCGGAGAATCCAATAGCATAACTTAAAGATACACCCGCGGAGCCAGCATCAATCTTCCCTAAGCTGAGGATGACGAAAACGCCGGCGAAGAACGACACAAAGTCACCCAAGAGGTCCGTTCGAATCGCCAACCATCTATTAGCGGCCCAAAGGTAGATGAACGGACGAGACTGCGTATTAATTCTATTCAGGTTCTCCCGAATAAACCGTCGTTCATCGGCATAGGCACGAATGGTGGTGACACCAGAGAGGGTCTCGCCGAACTGCTGGAAGAGAGGGCTTCGATTTACCGACTCGAGCCTCTTGAGATCCCTGGACGCTCGAAGATAGAACATACCGACTAAGATATACAACCCAGTAATGAATACACCTGCGACCAAGAACCCGGGGGTAATGGCTGCTATTAGTACCACAGTAATCAGAATAGCAACTGCGCAAGTCATAACGCCAATGGCAACAGGCGCAACTTCTTGGTCGATGGCCTCGAGATCCTTGCTGAACCTGTTCATCAGCTGGCCGAGCGGCGTTACGTCAAAGAACTTGAACTTCGCCCTAGATACGGCAGACATAAGTCTATTGTGAAGCTTCCAAGATGCGGTAATCGATCCGAAGAAAAGCCAGATGTCGCGGATCAATGCTAGGATTGCGCCGGCGATACCAATCAATGCGAGTACACCGAGGTAGTAGTCAACGTTAACTTCCGGTACATCACCAGGTGAGTAGCTTGCAGGAGTGAGGAAAGATGTATTATTCTTAACGAAACTGGTAGCGGACGCGAAATAAGCCGGCAATGGAAACGAACTGGAAGAATGCTGCGGGGACACGCTGGATTGTATTCCGGATAGGGATACGGTTCCGAGGCTTGCGGTGTACTGGTTGGCCCATTCTCTGATCCAAAGGTTCGAAGCAACACCGCTGAGCTGTTGACTGCCAAATACCACGACAGCTATGGCCCAGAACCACCACGTACCCATTGCTGCCAAATATAGGCTGATAACCGACCACTTGACAGCACCCGTAGCCTTGGTCTCGTGCATGGCATTCCGCTGTGGCTTCTCCTGTCTGGTATTAGTTTTCGCGTTGGCTGTTCCATTCCCACCATTGTCAATGAGAGTCTGGTCGCTTTCATCGCCGACACTCGACGGTACTCTAGAGGGGACACGCGAGGCATCAGAAGATCCTGGGCGAGATTTATTACGTATCTCTTCGCCGAGCTTCCCGGAGGCGATGACGTCTTTCGCTGTTCCTTGCGCATCTACTTTACCATTGTCGAGTAGAACAACATACTCAGACTGGGGGGCACATAGAGTTGTATTGTGGGTAACGAGAATACAGGTACGGTCCTTCATCAACTCGCCTTTAATACATTTGGTAAAGATCCATTTGGCGGTATGCGAGTCAACGGCGCTCAAACAGTCATCGAGTAGGACATGTCGGGAATTTGAATATACTGCGCGGGCAAGAGAGATGCGTTGCTTTTGACCACCAGAGAGCGTTATGCCGTTCTCTCCAACCAAGGTCTCGTCACCATTATCCAAGATTTCGAGATCTCGCTCCAGGGCACAGGCTACTAAGACATCTTTGTACCTTTTCTCGTCGTACGGGGCTGAAAACAGGATGTTCTCTTTGATGTTCGCGTTTACTAGCCAAGCGGTCTGGGCAACATAGGCGCAAGTCTCAGTCAAGCCCGTCGCGGGGTCCGGTCGAACGTCCTCACGACTACGGCCACCGGGAAGATAAACTTTTCCTTCCGTCAGAGTCATTTCACCGAGCAGAGCCATGAGCATTGAGGTCTTCCCACATCCTGTAGGACCGGCAATGATATTGAGCTTGCCGATCCTGAAATCGATATCAAGATTGAGAAGACGGAATGCCATAGAACCATCTGATGCAACTGCGTCTTTACTACCCCAGATGAATGTTGCATTTCTGAAGCCAATGACTCTATTGCCGTTCTCGTCTATGTTGTCCGGCCCCAGCTGCCTATATTTGTCAGTCTCTTCCTCATTCAGAAACTCGTCGACTCGATCAACCGAAACCTTCGCCTCTTGAACATGAGCAATCATGTCTCCAAGTTGGTCTAGAGGCACTCTTAGGAGCATGAAGAGGGAGATTGCGGTAAATGCGATGGAGGGATATAAGGGCTTTCGTTCGACTTTGGTATAGACTAAAAAGGAGAAAAACGTAATGAGAACTGGCACAGTATTCCAGATAGCAACAGCAAGGGCCCAGATCATGTAACGGTTCCGCAGAGCTCGCAGCTCGTTTCGTCGCTTTTCATCAACGATATCACTAAACCGCTTTTCCCAGGCAAAAAATTTAATGATCCGAATATTTTGGAGGATTTCGTTGGTGGTGTGTATTCGCTTGTCTGTTGCAGCCATGATCTTACGCTGAGTCAAGTTGAAACCTTTGGCAAGCAGGATATTAATTGGCAAGAGGAAGACCATAACAACAAGGCCGGGAATTGCACTCAAACCCATGACCTGGTAAAGAAGAGCAACGGATACAATGAGCTGAGAGGGAGCAGAGGCTAGTAAAAAGTGCAAGTAAGAAGTGCACTCGGAAATCTTGAAACTGTCGACCGACATGAGATTGATGATGGTTCCAAGATTTGCTTGTTCGTCTGCGTCCTTAGATCCGTCTTTCTTAACGACATCACCATTCTGAGCATTGGTATTTTTATCTGCCTTCCTCTTTAGTCCTAAGAATCGTTTTACTCTTTCCAGCTTCGTTTCTTTAGCACTATTCGCATCATCACCGCCGAGAACGGTCTCTTTGCCACTTGCCGCCTTGCGCCGAAGGGCTTTAGCATAGATCTCCCCGATAATGATAGCGCGGATCCGGATGCAAATCTTTCGGCCAATCCATAAGGCCTGATTATCGGCGATAGAGCGTATGAGGTCTGATAGAGGTAGTAGGATAACGTAAAGCCAAAGAACATTTCTTGGGGCAATCGTCGGTTGTTCCACATACTCAAGGATGGCCTTGAGAAGAAGAGTCGGAGCGAACGTAAGAATGCCACCTAGCGTAGCCCAGACGCACTGAAGAATGACTAGACCCTTGAAATACTTAAGCAAGTGTAGGGCGAGAGATGCTGTCTTCTTAACTTGGCGATAGTTGGCGAGAACAAACGCGGCCTTATCGCGCGGCAAGTGGTTCCACACGTGTTGAATCTCGAGAGGTTCCTTGTAACCTTGCCATAGCATAGAGTCGATCCAAGAAAAGGTAACTAGGGACAATACAGAGGCTAGAGGTTCGCGCGACGGCTCGAGGTTCCCTTCCCATTCCAGGACAACTATCTTATTGCCCTTCCTAGTGTTCAAAGCTATCCCAAATAGTAGAGTTATTAGGCAAAACTCGGTAATAATTAGGACCTGCACAAGTTTAGAGCTGGCATGAATTAGGACGGAGCGGAATATGACAATAGTAAAGAGCCATTGGAATCCGTATATAAAAGCGGTATGATTCCATAGTCGCGGTACTCGCCATTTGGTGTTTCCCAGAGATAACCGAAGCGTTGTTAGGACCAAGACATACACCCAAGTAACCAAGCCCATGATGGCAGCCAGCCGCCCATGGCCACCAAAAGAATTAGTGACGAGGGCGATAATATTGATAGCTATCAGCCCGCATATTGCGACCTCTTCGACAATCACCAATAGCTCTTGGGCGGGCGGAGTATCGGCTTGTACAATAGAGCCTTTGGATGTGGTCTTAACTAGGGCAAGACGCCCACCGCCATTTGTATGGATAGCCAGTCCTTCATCGTCATCGATACTTAGAGAATCATCATCTTCCGGAGGCACCTCGGTGTGGTCTTGATGGTCGGGTATCTGATCGTAACCATGTCTTCGTTTTAACCTGACATTGCGGTGGAAAGTCTGTATTAGGAGGTGAAGGAGAGAGAGAGATATTAGTATAAGCGGGAAGATAATCTGAAGGTAGCTTTTAAGCCGTTAGTACGCGCAATACACATTAAACTTGGACACGGTTACAAAGAAGTACTAACTCGGATTGAAAACATGTCGTGAAGTCATCAGTCCGCCATATCGGCCATGTACACGAGGCAAAGCTCATGTTTCCTCTGCGTCTCCCCGGCCCCACTCAAGAAAGTGGTAGGTAGCTTTGACGATATCACCAGATTGATGTGATATGTAGTATTATCGGTTCCTACAATCAATTGGCTTCTTATCGAAGAGAATAGCCAACACAGCTACTCGCAGCGGTAACTGGTAAACCCGGACCCTAGGTTTTTTGTCACGAACGGGAAGGAATGAAGAGGTAAGAAGATGATGGATGCGTGCGAATCGGGAAACTTTTTGGGGGTGGAGCGGGAGATAGCATAAAAAGTGTCCAGGAGATGCTGCGATTGACGGATGATAAAATGTATAAGAACTAGCTTAACACTAGAGCTAATGTAGCTTTTTCTATTATATAGTGGGGCCAAGTGGGCTTGCTAATACCCGAACGTAACCTCCAAACACATACAATTCAGTATGCATTCGTCAGGTACTTAGTAAGTAGATTTCTCCGCATATGGGATATTGCAGGTGATTATTCACCGGCGCGGTGTATTCCGATACATGTACAATACCCGTCATATGCAGTGACGATAGGTTAGGTAGCCTGGGGAAGGCAGATAGGAGGTATGTACAAGATCTAGGTTAACTGCTTGACCCGAAGAGATATTACTGATTTTCGGTGGTTCGTTCCTGATAACGGATCTAACTAGACCAAGCTTAGAATCCTCAACTGTCGGCTAACACGCGAGCCAGATCCACTATCCCACCTTAAACACGTTCCGAATGCAGCATACAGTTAGCACCTTATTACATTATGTACCTATAGGTATGTAAGTAGTAGGTATGTAAGTAGTAGGTATGTTACACGATTATATTGACATATTATACCCGTTGCAGTATACCGATACCTTGGGTACCTATACGTGAGTAATCACGCTTCTATTCGCTTGTCTTCAATGTTGGAAACTATAGATCGTATTAAAAGTAAGTCACTGAAATCTTCCGAACAGTGATGCTCAATAATCCATGTAAACATACCCCTGTAAGCATTCAAGCTTGTCACACGTCTTAGGTATGTATGTTTGTGATATCATTCTTTAGAATTGGCCCAGACGCAAAATACTATGTAGATTAGAGGTGTGCTAACCCAAGCTGCCCAAGTCACGAATGGCTAGTTATCTCATTCGTGTAGCGTTGAACATGCATCTATATCAACCAGATGATCTGCGACCTATCTCGATCTATGTTATTTCTTATACTATTGGCCTTAACTAAGCGAAGCATTTACCAAATACCTTAGGTTAAGCCGGGACACATGTAGCAAATTGTAAAGTATCTTAGACACTTACTCATTAATGTGGTTTAGTCAGTTTCAACTGCTCTTCCTTTCGGGTATTCTATAATATAGACTCAATCGCAATGACAAACTTATTAATGCTCTTAATGACTCAAAAAAGGAACAAGGGACATGAATTGGGGAAGCAAATAACGTTTGAACCTGCCGCATTACACTAGACATGCAGACTAAAGTGGGGTGTGTCAGTCGACCTCTCCGGTCCCGTTCCGCGCTTGAAATTTATGCGGGGTCAATGAAGCTCAGTTCTGCATGAGACTAAACAATCGACACTTCTGATTGGCCTTAATTGTCGAATTATGTCGATTCAAGGTTGGAGATAACTTGCAGCACCTGGGCTCTGGGGCCTTATTATACTCCAGTACAATCGGTATGCAACTCTATCTCTACCTACACATGACTATCTTTGTTCGAGCTTTGAAATTCCTCTGGCATGGTTCGCTATGTTGTATGCAAGTCTAACGGCTCTGTACATATATATCTCTAACTTTATAGATATATCGCAGTGAAGTGATATAATAAGTACCTAGGTAGGTACCTAGCTATGCCGAAGGTCGGAAACGAGAGATAAAAAAAGCATCTCCCTTATGTCTGTGCTTTTTACCACTGCTACGTCTGACATGCTTATATTTGACGGATACTCGCCTACCTTTCTCACACCGTTATCTAGACCGGCTGCGCGATATGGGGTTCCCGTGTCATCAGACCCTACTTACCTTACGCTTACGCCAATAGCTGTGTTACTCTTTGAATTGTGATAGTTAGAGAATAACCCTCAGGGATGAATCATTGATAGTTACTATAGATGATACTATAGATTCTAATGGTCAAATACCTTAAAGGGTACCTAAGGTAAATATGCCAAATACTTAGCAGATGCTTTCATACCTTCAATTAAAATCGTAGAAGTAAGTATATATATATATATTTATATGTTATAATGATTACCTTAGATTAGATACCCAAGTATGTGGCTTGCGTTGGTTAGGTGCACCTTTTTCAATTGTCATTTTTCGGGGCTATCCCGAGAGTAGGTAAGGCTGTCGGATAGAACTATTAAATATAAATACTTGTTGGTCGGGTATCCACGTCACCCAATTAGGTTACAGCTGGCAACAGCCATGAGTCACTGGAGCAGCAATTGAGGCAGTCACGATCGAGGCATCTAAGGAAGGAACGAGGCCCCAGGGCCGATTATATAAACAGACGGGGTCCCGTAGCCTTTTAAATTTAGCAACGCAACTCGCAATACAAGACCAGTCCCACAATACTAAATAATTGTAGGATTAGAAGCCTCACGATTGTTCTTCAAGATGTCGAACACGACCTACATAGCCATGAGCTGAGCAATAAACAGAAATCCGGTCTTCATGAGATTATGAGCAGTTGCAAAAATGTCCTGAGCGATCTCGAAAAGGAGGCAAAAAAATATGCAGAGCTGCAATCGAAGCAGCACAATATTTACAAAACAGCCAAAAGAGTATGGAAGCGGTTGACATGGGATAAGAACAATATCCACGACCTTCGAAGCCGGATTATTTCGACAAGTCGGCGAGGCTGAAGAAGTCTAACAACAGCAATAACAATAATAACAATAACAATAAGGTTCGGGATCCTCAGAAACTAGCGAAACTGCAACGGTCGATCGAAAAGATCTTCTCGGCCGTATTCGAGTATTTCTATAAGGGTAACTACTACCCACGTTTGGTATATAATAAGCACTGAAATTCTTAGGAGCTCGAAGATGCCGTAGGATTACCCGACCCTTCAGAAAACAACCGAGCTGGCCGCGGAGCCGTTGAATGTTGAGTTGCTGAACTCATTCAGACAGCAATGTTCCAACCGTAATATTACCACGATCTTAAGGAACAAAGACAACCAGGAGCGCCAGAACATTCTTGACTGGCTTACCTTAAACGACTATGTTGCTCAGCAAACCGATTTCATTAGTCGGCGACAACCGGGTACGGGTCTATGGCTTCTTGACTCGGTGGAGTATAAATCATGGATAAAAACAAATCAACAGACTCTATTCTGCCCAGGAATACCTGGTGCTGGGAAGACAATTCTTTCTTCGATAGTTGTCGATGACCTCTTCACTCGATTTCAAGATGATCCAGGGGTCGGCATCGCATATATATACTGCAACTTTAAACGACAAGCTGAGCAGAAAGTAAGAGACATGTGTTTAAGTTTACTTAGACAACTTCTGCAAATGAGATCATCCCTCCCCGATACCGTAAAGGACCTATATAGACGATATAATAACGATAAGCGACAACTAGCCGATAGTGAAATCGCAAAATCTTTAGAAACGGTCGTTTCTCTGTATTCAAGAGTATTCATTGTCATCGATGCACTCGATGAGTGCCAAACATCTGATCTTTTTCAATCCAAACTCATTTCGGACGTCTTTAATCTTCAGAAAAATCACGGAATAAATTTCTTAGTTACGTCAAGGTTTATCCCTCATGGACATGTTTAAAGAGTGCACCACATTAGAGATTCGCGCAAGCGAAGGAGACGTAAGGAGATACGTGGAGGACCATATGGAACAGCTACCATCCTTCGTCCGGGAGTCGGAAATGAAAGAAGAGGTCGTAAATACTGTTTCAGGAGGCGTTGATGGAATGTATGGTTTCTGCATTGAGTATATTCAAACGTGAAATGCATGTACTAATAACGGCTACTTAGGTTCCTATTGGCGCAATTATACCTTGGATTCCTTGATGACAAGACGACCATCAAAGAGGTCAAAACCGCATTGAAGAGTTTCCAGAAGCAAAGTGAACAGCCGACTGAAGATATGAAAGTTCAAGTCCTTAACGATGCATACGAGATAGCCCTGGAGAGAATAAATGGCCAGAAAAGGGGGTTCAGAACCCTGGCGTTCAGGGTTTTTTCATGGATTACATGTGCCTCCAGACCATTGAATACACTAGAACTGCAGCATGCGCTTGCTGTGGAAGTTGGTGAAAAAGAGCTTGACAACGATAATGTTACTGAAGTCGAGTTGATAATCTCCGTATGTGCTGGGTTAGTCACCATCGACGAAGAAAGTAGTATCATTCGCTTGGTTCACTATACGACACAAGAATACTTCGAGAAAACGCAAAGACATTGGTTTCCGGAAGCACATGTTTCTATAACGAAAGTTTGCGTTACATACCTTTCCTTCCAATATTTCGCAGGCGAGACGCCCCAAATGCTGGAAGAGGTTTCAAGGCGATGCAAGTCACACCCTTTTTATCGCTATGCAGCAAACTACTGGGGATATCATGCCCGGTTAGCCCATATAGACCATCCATGTCAGGAGGTCTGTCCTTTATGGAAAACTCGGCTCAGGTCGAGGCGTCGGGTCATGCAATAACATATTACCCAGTTCACTGGTCTGGTGGCACCACGAGAGGGCTGACTGGGTTACATCTGGCAAGCTACTTTAACCTTCCAAATGAGCTCAACTACATTGTGGATAATCAAAACTTAGAGGCCCAAGATAGTAAAGGTCGGACACCACTAATCTACGCGGTAATACACAAACACGAAACAATAATAAAGCTATTGGTTGGGAAGGGGGCAAACATCGAAACGAGGGGCGATGAATATAAGAGAACACCGCTTCTGTGGGCGGTATTTATGGGACTTCAAGACATCGCCATGTTCCTAATAGAGAAAGGTGCTGATCTCCACGCTAGGGACTTCAAAAACAATACGGCATTGCATTTTTCAGTACGATCCGGTCTTCAAGTCATAACTAGGGCATTATTAGAAAGGGGTGCTGATGCCAATGTCATGGATAGCTCCGGCTATACGCCGCTGATGATGGCGGCAAATAAATGCAACAAGACTGAAGTTCAATTGCTGCTGAATAAAGGAGCAGATATAAATGTTGCAACCGAACTTGGCGAGGCGCCCCTGACAACAGTTATAAGGAAAGGACGTGAAGATATCGCCCAGTTATTACTGGAACATGGTGCTAATATTAAGGCTCAAGATATGAGTGGCTATACAGCGTTACATATAGCATCACTCCACGAATATGGGAACGTATTTCAGTTACTGCTGCAGCATGGTGCTAGTGTTGAGGATCTAAGTTTTAGTAGAAGGACACCGCTGCATTTAGCTGTACAGGAGGGACACGAAGGTATAGCCCGGTTACTACTGGAGAATGGTGCTAATATTGAGGCTCGCGATGATATTGGCATGACGGCGCTGCATTTAGCAGTATTCAACCAGCATGAAAGCTTAGTTCGTTTACTTCTGGATCATGGGTCGAACACTCAAATTGGAGACGACTTTGGCCGTACGGCACTGCAGTGCGCAATTTACTATAGACATAAGACTGTAGCTCGCTTACTGAGGGAGCATGCAACTAGTCTCACAGACAAGGCCGTTATAGCAAAAGCGACGAGCACTACGGTATAACAATCAATTTTCTTATTGACCCGACGCCGCAGGCATAGATGATTCGAAGAGTTTGATACGAGGTGGAAAACGAACTGTTGAAACCCTTCGTTTCGACTACTCTCTTTAACAACATATCATATAGCCGATAAATTACTACAAGACGCCCCTGGGATCTATTTGCCGGAACTTACGTCTTTGAATTCTCTTTCATGTGGATGGCGAAGGATAATAGTGACAAGAAGATGAAAGTTAAACTATCCCACCATCACATCGTCTAGAAAAACCTAGCAATGAACGACATGAAATTACATATTTCTATTTCAGCAGATATACACGAATGAGAAGATAGATGGACACCTTTATGGCGTCAACAGAGGCCGGAGTCTAGCTCATATAGATCCAATGTATATTTATATTTTTTCCCAACAGTTCATCGAGTACCGCGCTCTCCTAACCACTCCAAGGTATGATCCCACGGGAATCGACCTATGTTTACATACCGGGGATGGAAGTTAGCCCTATTAAGTGGTTAGCCAAATCAAGCACGCCATACTTTTATATGGGGTATAGCTTGGAGACATGACCTACATCCGTCAACATCCTCTTCGACAACGCGCGGTTTGGTACACTTCATCGCTTCCTCGGAGGATTGGGTCTTTAACTGATTGCATACGGCGCCATTACATCGGGAATCCATAGCACGTTGGAGCGAATCATCTTTCCAGCCAAAGACGTAGTCTCCGTGCTGTGAATATCCGTCCCTACACGTTTATTATATTAGAATAATTTGCCTGGCGGGAGTATTTGTAGATACTAACTTGTCGTTTGTGCTCCATACGAATGGCTGCGAGCCATCCTCAGGCCATATGCTCTTGTCGTTAAAGGGTCGGGTCTGTGACGGGCACGATGTCAGCAAATGAATCTTATACGGCATCCCTGATGGGGTTGAGTTGAGCGCATAACTCAGTCACTCCAACATCGAGTGACTCTCCAGCCTAACCAAGCGCCTTGACAATATATTAGAAGATATATCAATAACACTTACATCCCACATGACCTCGAACATCACTTGGGGTATCTTAATGGGGTGACTTTCAGGGCAAGTACCAGATGCGCCAACACCCACATCACCGGATCCCGGGCTGGGATAAGAAACATGGCTCTTGTGGTCCGGGCTATCCAGGTTCTTCCCGTCCCAACAGGTTGGGAAGGTGATGACTGAGCGTATACCACCTTCACAGAACCCCGAGGGTAATTCCTGACTGTCCGGAGCGCCGCAGTTTATGTTGCTGTTGTCTCCTGTCGCCGGCATGCAGCGGTGACACACCTTGCGCGCCTCGCCTGGGGAGCGCAACGCGGCGTCTCCAACAAGCATACGGAAGCCGGGCTTAAAAGCAGTAACCTTTTCATTCGCGTCAGTGGACGGGATGTAATAAACCGTAATGCCGCCATCGGCTCGGAGGCCTTCGCTAACGAATTGAGGAACTCGCTTGTACGTTCCATTGCGGGCTTTGAAAAACAGAACTGCCGTCCAGTAGTTGGAAAAGTCTTCGGAGAAAGTACAGCTGGTGCACGTTGAGGACGAGGGCAGGTCGTGCGCTATTGGCTCCATGGTAGCGTTAAAGGAGTTGCCTCCGACGATTTGGTGAAGATGCGGCGATGGGATAGAGCCGGGAGAGACCAAAGGATCCAAACGGTCGACAACGAGCTGCGAGCAGCTGAAACGCAGCATCTCTAACGTCTGGCTGGAGCCATGCTCGACGAGGAGCGCAAGAGCAAGGGCTTTCCACTGCATCTTGGGCGAAATGGATGTTGCTGTCTACGAGGATCGAAAGCTTGTAGTAGAAAGGTGTTGATCCATTGCGCGACAACCTGGGCTATAACTCCTAAATACATGGCCCCGCGACTACTTCTTCCATATGCCGCTGCATGTTATCCTGGTTGTTTAATCTCGAATTGCTTCTATATTAATAGATTTAGCCAGTGGCGGATACTACGGTGCTCCACGAATCACACACGACGCTCTAATCCCAGGCTCCTCAAACCCCCTATCTTACCAATTAAGGCCCATTAATGTTGAGGTTTTCTATACATTCGTACATGCTGTAAGCAGTTCGGGATGTTCTGCGTGGCTGGCTCGGCAATTCCAAATCAAACCGCATACCCAGGTGTTATTGTGTCTGTCAGTGAACTTCCCGTCCCTGTGCCTTGCTGCGTCGTCGAATAACAATTCTTATAAATATGGAGTATCAGCCCAATGGTATTAGCCAGATCTTCGATGAACGAGTTGACCTCGGTCATACCCGGAGTCACTAAGCTTTCGTGGTATACGAATCTTCGATAGTAGCCGCTCATGTATTTTTACAAGGGCTATCCGGTTACCTGGGTCTTAAAAGGCGCGGTAGTTCCTTGGTTGTCTCACGATGTAGTGACCAAGGTAGTTATTGTGATGCCGCCAATATCTCAAATTGCCACCTAACTTATAAGTATTCGAGAGCACTCACAGTTGTATGAGAGGGAGGCAATTAGCTAATTAGATAACTCAAGTATCCATGACTTTACACGTGAGGAAGGCCCACGCCTACTATCGGGATTACTCTCGCCCTCATCCACTTCGTAATCGTCATCAGAATCTAAGATGTCCCACCACTCACTTTCCCAAATCTCCTTTTCACATGATGCATATCCATCAATACGTAGCCAACCAAAGATATTTCGAGTTGCATTTTCCGATATGGACTCTTCTTCACGATCCAGTTTTGTGTAGTCAACATTAACCTTCTCTATGTCCTGACTGTCTCGTGGGGGCAATAGAACTGGCGGCGCGTGTGTACTGATGTCACTCATAGGTTGAGATGGCACTTCACCGGTGATACAATCCCAGAAAAAGCCATTGTACTGAAGCCCATGACCTTTGCATTCGGCATGGATTCGTACTTCTAAATCAGTATCCTCGAGCAGAGTATTCCCGAACGGCTTCCACTGGCAGAGAGGGACCCTGCTGTGAAAGCCAGATTGCGAAAGGAAGAGCAAACGGCACTCATCTGCGCGGGATATAGAGCCTTTGACCACGAGAGGGTAAGAGACAGGTTGTTGCAGGAATGATTGCACCGTCCCTGACCATACGGAAGAGTGAAGGTCTATTGGAATGAGGCCCCATCGGACGTCTTGCAGGACTTTTTCTTGTAATCCGAGGACAGTAATGCCAAGCCACAGGAAGGAGAGCTGCGGCGATCGCTCCATAAACATTCGTCCGAGAACAAGAGGCTTATCTGAAGCCAGAGATTCAATGGCAGCCACCGCTCCTTGAAGCCAAGGGGTTACAGCATTGCATTCTATGTTAATGTCGTAGAAGGTGCTAAGTAACATTGATCGTATACCTCTGACATTACAGCTCAAAGTCAAAAGCCTATCCAAGTGGTTTCCCTGGCACATCCATTCATATCCCAGTTGATGTTCGTTGTGAAGGTGTTCCTGCGAAATTTGCGACGACATGGCCATCGTTAAGTTTTCACTGTTGTCAATCGTGGGAGCTGGTAGTTGTAGTGGCTGACGGCTTTTCATGGTGGGAAACAGTATGACGGCGGCGAGTGCAGCATAACTCTGATCTGCAATATTATGTTTTACGCAGAAGTTATGAAGAAAACGGCTAGCACTTCGAAACGATGGGGCTGATTGTGATAAACGTAGAGGGGCTGACGACGTCGCTCTGTATAGCAACGAAAACCTCGGGCCAGATTGAAGGCGAATCGACCAAGGGGATAGGAATATGTTTTCTCTCAGGATCATAGTTGCTTGCCAACCAGGCTCCGGGGCCAGAATAGCAGCCCACCATCTGAACTCCTCCGAGCTAACGTCACCAATATCCACACTGACTACGTTTTGATTAGATTCCGAGCTTGTCATACTATCTTCGTCATAGTCAGCTGCACTGCTGTTTGTATATAGGAGAGAACAAGGCTCAGGCATCACTTCGACCCAGCGAGCGGATAGAATATAAGTCCAAGCCAAAACGAGGACAGCAAGATAGTTTTGTTGATCATTGATAAACCACGGCGCAAAGTTGAGGTTCTTATTTGATATCTCGACGATCGATAATAATACTGGATGTTGTGCGACAACATCAATCTCCACTTGCCGCTGGAAGGATGGCAGTCCATAGTCGCAGGTCGTCTGTTGCGATCCCCAAATAGAGGATCCGGTGGCATATACTCTACTAAAACCAGTATATTCGGCATGCTTTAAGGTTAAATCATTGGGGAAGAAAGGATGCAGTCGGAATAAGTCCGGAAGGGATAGGTAAGAGGTAGGCAAGCTGGGGTCTTTTATAGCACGATGATATAGGTTAGACCATACTTTAAAGCTCTCTTCGTATATAATACGAAATCTCTCTGCGCTGAGCCTCGCTGCATTATCCATAGTTTGTATTGAAGTCGTCGTTTTGGTTGGTGGTGGCCTACGGTTTGGATTTGATATGTATCACATGCGCTACCTATTGCATCTGTGATATGTCTTCAGGTTTAGGTCACCGATTGAATAAATTAAATGGATAATGATGTTACGAGCTTATGGCATGTGGACAATTTCGCCAGGGTAGAACTTGTTAAATGACATGATGTGAAAAGTTGAGGAAAACAACCCCTTTGTTGGGTGGAAAAATACGAGTAGGTCCAGGAACAAGCGATGAGTATGGCTACAAATCACATGTATTAGATAACAATAGCCTGCCCTATCAATTCTATATAAGCATGCAAGATTTCTAGAGACTTAGAGTCATCCAACAAACAGAATCACCTTAGCTTTACAAGCATAGCAATTAGTTTACAACACCTCAAGCGACAAATTCCGTCCAAGAGTATTTCCTATAAGAGATATCAACTTCGTCTTTCCATAAACCATACTTCGTCTTTCCATAAACCATACTTGTTCATCCCATAAACTACACTTCGTTATCTACATCAACTATGGCTGGTGGAGCTATGACACAAGGCAAGGGACTCGCACACCAGGAGTCCATCTCCTTACATGCAAACGGCAACTGGGAATGCTGTCTATGCGGGAACCGCATTCCGGTAGAAATTCCCGTATGTGCGCTTTGCGGGCATTCAAAATGCCCGGGATGCACCTGAAAAGAATATAGTTGTATTCAAGTGCCAAAGTACTTGGAATTAAAGCTGGCTTTGACGATAAGTGAGCAGTTATGTCCACCACTCCCGTCAATTAATTTATACAAAAGAAACTAAAACTAGAAAAGTGATAAAATAGATAAAAAAAAAGGGGCAGTTTATAACATACTTGGCGTATTGTATAGGTGACTTGTTTTGTAATTGCGAAATGCTATGCAAGAGTATACTTCGCCACGACACATTTTGGTTCAAGATGAGAACTTATTTTGAGCCTTCTAACTGCAGCAAGTCAAATAGGGCTTATAAAACCCTCGTTGCGAAGTAACCTATGAATAATTTATCCGGACAGTTTCAGCAATTGCCTATCTCACTCATTATGTAGGTGTTAATCCCGTTCTTTCAAAAATCATCTAATAGCTTGTCGTTCTTTTTCATTTAATTTAAGCATTCAAGTTCGTGATGAGTTCGTTTCACTGCGCAGCATCTGCTAAGTTCAGATACTAGGATTGGGTTTCTGGACGGGAATATCAATATTAGACGAAATATTCATCGCCGGGGACCATAACATGTCAACTAAAAGATATACACTTGGTACTTTTCATGACTAATATTGTTACGTAAGCTAATACATATTTCGTCTTGGGAGTTTAGAAAATCCCAGACGAAAATGACCGAAGACCGCCATTGATGCATTTTCCAATCACCGCCGCCCTTGTGGAAATCCTCATGACTTTTATTGTCCCTTGGTATTACATGCAGCTTGAATGAATAGCACCTTTGACCTTGCGCCGTCATAACGGTCAATTAGAAGTTCAGATCAATGATCATAAGGCTTATCCCATGATCATCCCTTTCATTCCTGCGAGATCACCCTCCTTCGCAGCGATTTCGAAATAACCATAGATGATCCTACAAGCAAATTAGTAAAGTAAATATACAAACACGGAAGCGACACTTACGTGACGGCAAGAAGAGTGCCGGTTCCGGAGCCAAGGGCTCCCATAAGATCACTGGCGACGGAGAGCGCACCAATGCAAGCGCCACCAAAAGCAGCAGCGGTAGGGATGATGCGCTTCAACTCCTTGTACATACTCTGATCACGGTGACCAGCCATAACAAGTCCTTGGTCCTTCAACTGCTTAGCAACGTCGCGAGGGCTGGAACCAGAGACCTCAATCCAGGTCTTCGAAAAAATAGCACAGGCGCTAAGCATGTATGTAATGTATACGGCGGTGTGGATAGGGTCAAGGACGGCGTCACGGAAGTTGAGCGGAGGAGACATGTAGTAAACGAGACCGGAGACGGCAGAAAGTTGAGCGGATCCTTCCCTCGCTTCCCAGACACCAAACATGCGGACGAGAAGGTTCTCGGAGAATCGGGAGTAGAGCATTTGGCTGATGAGGAAGATGTTGGAGGAAAGGGCGGATTGCAACATGATCGGCATGTTGGAGGTGTAGAACAGACGAACGGGGTAGGAACCACGCGCACCTCGCTGGCGAGAAGACTTGACGGGGATCTCGACGCGGAAGCCTTGGAGGTAGATGACGGCGGCGAAAACGACCAGAGTTGCCAGAAGGTTCATGATGTTGGGGAGGTTCTGGCGGTAGAAAGCCTCCTGCAGAGCACGCTGCTTGTTGGGCCACGTCATCAACAAGTGGAAGAGGGCAATGACAGCACCCTCGAATTCAGGACCGCGACCGGTGTTGATAGAGGTGGGAGAGAAAGCCTTCCACATGATCGACTCGCAAATGTTGGTAGCGATAAACAAAGAGATACCGCTACCAAGACCATAACCTTTCTGTAGGAGCTCATCGAGGAGGATGACAATCATACCAGCGACGACAAGTTGAAGAATCAAGAGGAAGACGATACCGGCGCCTAGGTCAGAAGGAGGGCCATAGAGACCGGTGAAGACGTAGACAGTTGCGGTACCGGCGGAGAGAATGAAGGCAAAGAGCTTCTGGGCAGTTTGGTAGAGCTCGCGATCGGATTTGAGGTCAAGGTTGACGTCAATCATGTGGGTACCGGCGAGAAGCTGGAAGACCATGCCGGAAGAGATAATTGGCGTAATACCCAATTCCATCAGTGTTCCTCGATTACTCGCCATCATCATTCGCAGCCAGTATAGAGGATCGGAGGTATCGGACGACACGATACCGTAAAGGGGCATTTGGCTCATTACCAAGAAGATCAGCAGCGTCAGACCTGTCCACATCAACTTTTGGTTGAAGGGAACTTTGGTCTCGGGCTGCTGAACCTCGGGCAGGAATGCCACGAAGGGCTTAACGAGATCAAGAAACCGCACTGAGGAAGACGAAGTTAGCTATTTGGAAGAGTCAAGAGTCAATGGCAGCGATTGAGTCGCGTCGCAAGGTAAGATTCACAGGTTATACCTAGATCATGGAAGGGAACTAGGATGATGCAAAGGAGACGAGTAAATATGATAATACTTACAGCTACTCATCGTGATATAGGTTAGAGAAATATAGATAAAATAAAGGAGAAGGTAGAAAGGAAAGTAAATGCAGTGAGCGACAAAGGCCCTCTTATTAGTGTAGAGGTTGTCGCGATGTGCGATGTTTTCTCTCGAGGTAAAGGAGAGGAAGGATTCAAGTCGACAGGTAAAGATCTGGCATCAAAAAATTCCCCAAATTGAACTATGTGTCCATTATGCGATAGGTGGAGCCAACCTTGCACAGCTGGCAGCACGTGACCCATTATATCTTAGCTTCAAATCTTGTTAGTTACTATGTATGTACTAACGTGATACCCGGCTTGCTGGGGGAATAAGGGAACCCAAAACAGACTGGACCCTTGAACTTTGATCTAAATTGGAAGGAGCATGGATTTTTACAGAACGTTGAGGATGTACTTGGGTACTTTGATTACATACATGTAGGTACCTTTGTAAGGTACCTAAGGCTCCACATTGGGGCATTCGGTAAAGCCACACACTTGAAATAAATGTGGCTGTAGTGTCTAAGTGTCTAAGTGCCCGTATGTCAAAATCAGCAAATCATTTGCTGTAATTATTCGCTCTAGAACAAAACGAAATATATTATTGGATGTTAGGTATCTCTCCATGGCTCAAATTATTCCCCATGCATATACTTATAGTCCATGATATCCTCAGCACGAAAACTCACCCACTTCCTTAGCAGAAATGTGCGGAGAATGGCTACGACAATTCCAAAGGAGCCTCTTGTGGTTATTCTGGGCACAACTGGTACGGGAAAGTCAGATGTAGGTTTCTCGCGTCGTCCAATACTCCTGTAGGCGCTTGTTAAAACTAAATATTAATCATAGCTTGCGGTAGACTTAGCACTTAAGTTCAACGGCGAAGTCATCAACGCCGATGCTATGCAGATGTACAAGGGTCTACCAATTATCACAAACCAACTCACGCCAGAGGAGCAAAAAGGTGTCCCACACCATTTACTGGGAACAGTTGACCCTAATGAGCCGACTTGGAATGTTGAGGTCTTTGCACGCGAGGCAACTAGGATTATTCACGAGGTCCGGCGTAGAGGCAAGCTTCCTATCGTAGTAGGCGGCACACATTATTACATTCATGCCCTATTGTTCGAAGATAGCTTAATTAGCATGAAAGGCGCAAACGATGATATTCTAAATCATCGACCCCAAAAAGAGAACATAACGCATTTTCCTATCTTGGATGGGCCCACCGATGTCATGTTTCAACGCCTTCGAGAGGTAGACCCAGATACGGCAGATCGGTGGCACCCCGAGGATCGACGTAAGATCAGGCGTTCCCTCGAAATATTCCTAACTACGGGAAGACGGGCATCAGACATTTACACCGAGCAGAAGCAAGCGAAGGCATTGTCCATTCAAACGAGACGTCCTTGGCAGTCGTTAATGTTTTGGGTATACGCCGAGCCCGAGGGGCTGAAAGAACGTCTTAACAAAAGAGTGGATAAGATGTATAAAAACGGATTAATGGATGAAGTGAAGCTTCTGCACGAAAGCCGGCGAGTGCGATCCGAGCAAGGCGAAATCGTAGACCTCACACGTGGAGTATGGCAATCCATAGGATACAAACAGATGGAGTCCTTTCTTGAAGCTGAACAAAATGAGACGAGCCCGAATGAGGCAGACCAACTAAGATTAGCTGGGTTGGAAGATATCAAAACCGCGACGAGACAATACGCAAGATATCAATTACGATGGATCCGACATAAAACCATCCCCGCATTGAAAGATTATGAGGCAATGGATTATCTGTTTTTATTAGACAGCTCCAACGCCGATAGTTTCTCGGCTAGCGTTCTTGAGCCGGCTTCGAGAATATGCCTAGATTTCTTGAATGGCCATGCTTTAGCCAAACCGACTGAGGTGTCAAACACGGCACGCGAAGTCTTGACGGCTTACGACGACGATAATTCACCACCAAAAGTAGCATTTAAAGTCAAGACTTGCGATCTCTGTAAAGTCTCTCTTCAGTCGGAAGATCAGTGGCAAAAGCATATTAAGGGGCGAAGACACTATCGTGCTGTTCGGAGTAAGAAGTGGACTGCGCTTATTCCTCTTGATTCAGAGAAGGAAAGTTGAATATATTATATGAATATATTTCTCATAGTTATTCGTTCCTTACGGCAAGAATCACTCTAAAAGTCTCGGTGTTAAAGATGAATGATAGAGAGATGATGCTTATGAGTTTATCTATTAATAACCTCTTCTATTGGATTGTTCATTCCCGGGTGGGTGGATCCCGAAATGAGCCTCGGTTAGTTGGTCTGTGCGTGGTTACTAAAAGATTTAGTTAACTAGCTTTTTGGCTTCTTCTACTTTTTGCTCATCTTTTTAGGTTAGGGCCATTCTTTTCTTCACGAACCCCAAGTGGGCATTCTCTCACTGGCTATGCCTATATCCTCACCTCTAGCCATAGCGATCATACACTCGTGGCCAATATGTCGCGGCGCTTACTGAGCTCCAAAAGTTTGCAGATATGTTCTGGCGCGTCCAGCTTAAACCTTGGTCTTCGTCAGACCTTTATAAATAAAGTAAACAGGAACTCTATTCCATTAGGCCGGAAACATGAGATCAGATCTCAGTCAACAACTCAAACTCGTGGATACAGCACCACGGGGCGAGGCTCTGTTCCATGGCTTAGAGTCCAATCTTCACCATGCCAGATTTCGATAGGACATAAAAGAGGACTAGCAAGCGAGGCACAGAAATTTTTCTTATTAGTCCGACCGAGGGACGATGATACATTATATATTGGTAATCGCAATGAAAAACCTCTAGTCTTGGATCGCCACTGGTTGCGCGACTCTTGTCAATGCAGCCTCTGTGTAAACCCAGACTCCGGCCAGAAAAATTTTGGCACTTGCGACATCCCGACCGAACTCCCAATAAAAACAATCAAAACGACCAAGGAAGGAGGTCTTAGAGTCGTTTGGGAGGATGATTTTCTATCCGGTAACCATGTTTCCGAATACACAGCTAATCAGATTGATGCTTCGGAACCCGAATATGTGTTACCCGGAATAACATTATGGGACAAGGATTTATTCGAACGGGACCGTCTCACTATTGATTATAACGACTGGATAGCAGGTGAGCATGGGTTTTTCTCCGGATTACATCGACTTCATACCCACGGACTAATCTTCATACGTAACGTACCATCATCCGAGGAGTCGGTCATATCTATTGCCAATAAGATCGGAAACCTGCAAGAAACATTCTATGGAAGAACTTGGGATGTACGCTCTAAGCCGAACGCAGAAAACGTAGCGTATACAAACGCCTTTCTCGGACTACACCAGGACCTAATGTACATGCAAGATCCGCCTCGTCTACAACTCCTACACTGTCTTGAGAACACATGCGAGGGAGGCGAGTCTATGTTTAGCGACGGCTTTAGAGCCTCCCATTTAATGGATCTTGGGCCACCCATGCTCTTTGAATATCTGCTCAACAAAAAGGTCCGATATCAGTACAAGAAAAACGGACACCATTATCAACTATCGCGACCCGTCATCGCCAGATTAAGCAAATTCAAGCACGAAATAGCCTGGTCTCCACCGTTCCAATCCAGCTACCAACGCATAGCCAAGACCGCGAGTGGTAGCCAAAATTATCGCGAATGGCTAGAAGCCGCAACCATATTTCGAACGCTCCTAGAAGACAAGCATTGGATGTACCAATACAAGATGCAGCCTGGAGAGTGCGTTATATTCGATAACCTCCGCGTCCTGCACGGTCGGAGGCAGTTCAATTCCGGGTCCGGGAGTAGGTGGTTGAAAGGGGCATATATTGCAAATGACGTGTACAAAAGCAAATTAGCCACCTCAAGTAAAAGACTACTAGAGTTGGACGTAGGAAATCAGCTCGCCTTGCTATATCAGGTTTCTAAGTTCAACATCAAGTACAAAATATGGGACGGGACCGACGACGAGATGCTGAACAGGAGGATAATAAACCGGATGTCGCAGGTTGGAGTTGAAATAGGTGGGAGGACCTATACCGAAGCGAATGGTGCTACGATTGAGTACTATTAGATACGGATATGACCATGTCGAATACCCAGGAAGAGCTTCGAGGATTACCCAGCATCAAATCATCAACGCTGAATATAGCCTATTATATCCGCTGATGTCCTCAATAAACTATAGGTACCGATAACTTTACTCGCTGAATTTTAACAAGATAAACTACCCCTGACCTTCCTTTTTCTGCGCTTGGCACTCGCCATCCTACACGATTGATAGCTGCGTGCGTAAAAGTTGATGCCTCTAATTCATCCAATATCAAGCTCATCATTTCCTATGCATTCCCCATTGATATTTTCGCTGATAATCGACAAGTAGACAATTCACCGCCCCCCAAGCACATCGCGAATGAACTGTCGCACCCCCTCGGTTAGCACACTGAGATAGCGGCTCAGAAACAGCTTGCATAACATTGCCCTTTCCTCGTCGGTCTTGTCAACCATAGGCATGCCCATAGTTTTTTCTAATAGGACCCACGCTTCTCCGAGATCTTCTTGTTCTTCTTCTAGTAGTCTCATGGTTACGGGGTCTTCGGATTTCGGCATCGGCTTCTTCGTAGGAGATGGTGAGGCACCATTTGTGAACGGCGCTTGCTGTTCTATCTCTTGCTTGTGTTTTTGATCTGGTGTTTTGTCTGGATTTCTATTTAATTCAAGCCCTTCTTTCTTCAATTCATCGTCCGTAGGATAGTTCGCGGCTCTCGAGGGGGGGCTGCTCGGGGGTGAGATTCGAATGATGATGTAGTCGCCCAGGGACTCTTTCGAAGAACTATCGGGCATGATGGGTGGTGGAATTCTAAATAATAAGATAGGTAGGTAGATAATTGGAGACTTTTTGCAAGGTTTTCGTGATAAGATGTAATGGATATTAGAAAATTCGTGATTTCAGCGGGCTGAAAATGGTTAGGTGCCGAGTTGATATATTAGGTGTAAATACCTAGTAAACATGCAGATAGTATACTCTAGAGCCTGTGGCGTGCCTAACATTACTTACATAGAAAAAGAAAGTTAGGTATGGGTGCATTATGCCTCGTGAGTTCCGAGGCCATCATACGAATGTCCCAGTATCACTTACTCTAGACTCAGACGACACCCATCACACTTAAATAACCAAAACCTATCCACAAAACTACTGGGCAGCAATTCAAAATATTTTGGCTTCATTTGATACGTGATGGGACGAATATGGAAACTGCATAAGTCTATGGGGAAGCTCTACTTTCCTATTGAGTGGTTAGACTTTTGAGTAAGGAACTTTGCTTAAATGGACATATCTTCGAAATGACACGGGAAACTATTACCTGGAAGCTTCTCAAACTTATTGGCTTTAATAAAGACGTCCAGTAAACCCCAGCGGTACGTACGAAGAACGATATGAAGCTAAAGTTAACCTAACGGAAAAACAAGAAAAAAAAGGGGGGGAGTCACACTGGTACAGCTAGGTACCCATGAAGCAGCTTAGTATTCACGACATGTTGCGGAGACCGTATAATATAAATTTCCAGACTTCGTGAAACTATAACGACGATATTTGGTCTTGTATGTCTGAACCGCTTACTTATAGGTAACTTCAAAGCCATTAACACGATAGGGCGCGCATAGTAATTATATTAATAAGTCTCAATAGATGCTAACAATGTAAAATCGCTGTCAAGATAGCGATCATGTAGATAACATAAATCAAGTTCGACTCAACTGAGACAGTTCCCTTAGAGCTTCTGATGCGTAAATGGGTATGATATCTCGAGCTCCCGCTTCAATAACTTATCGCTTTCTCACCCACGTGATCTCATCATATTCCCACTTTAGATCCTCCTTTTCCGCGAGATAGAGTCCTTGCAGTCTATACATCTCGCCCAGTGCCCCACTCAAACATCTCCTTTTCTCGGGGTGTGGTTCCTGGGCTATTCTCTCTCTCATCACCCTCATTTGCACCCCCAGGTTGTGTAGGTCATGGTTTATTCTCCAATGCTCCTTTTGGATTTCGTTCTGGCGAGCGGTAGGCATTTTGGTAGAGGGGATACTGAGGGCGCAGAGTGAGTAGCGTTGGGTTGGGACAAGATTTATTGAGCCGGACTAAGAATTTGAACTTAGGAAGGCCAAGCCGTCGGAATCGGTCGATTAGGGGTCAACGGGCTTCTTACTTGGTGTGGGTGCTTACGGCTGGGGGATTCGCGAGACGTGGTAAGACTCTTCTAGTTAGGATAAAACAGATGGTTATAGTATGGGTTTGATGGAAAGCTATATGCTCTTAAATTCAGTGCTAATTATATTCACCTGCAAATCATACCAAGACCTTGTCAGTAAACTATCACTACTGCGTAACTCTTCGTCTTTGCTACTCGGGTAAGTAATGATATTGTTGGGATTCTAGATGGGACAACTAGGACAAAGGATACTGGCAGAATATATTAGATAGTTGTGAGTTTATGTCGTTGTGTTACAGTTCTGTATGGAACAATGAAGTTGTCTCCGTGATGTGTTGATAATAATGACCATTGTGAATTCATCAACTTTTGGTGGACATCCTATCTATCGGCCTAGATATCTAGACACTTCCACTCAATCATCCGAAATTAACCTATTGTATGTAGCATGACCAGAATACCGGAGTAATCAGAGCTTCTAATGCGCGAAGATCCGTGGTGTCTCGGACTCCCACTTTATTCACCCCTTCTTCTCTGTTCTGTTTCTGTTATTTGATCATACTCGATCTTCAGCACACGCTTCTCCTCGGTGTACTTTGCTCGCGTTTCTTGGATACGATTCAATATTCCCTCCCACATTGTCTGTTGCTCACAGTCCGGTTCGTGAGCGAGAACCTCTTGTATCTCAACCTCTTGTCTATCTAGGTCAAGCAGCTCATGACTTAGTTGCCATAGCTCTCTTTCGATTTCTTTCTGTCGAGAAGTAGGCATCTTCGAAATAGAGATATGGTATAAGGCGGAGAACGTTAGTCTGAGACCAAACCTCTAGAGTGTGGAATAGAGAGGGGTATCTTCTTCCCGGTAGGCTGAAATGAGATTATTGTCGGTACTTATAATGGAGAAGGAATGATGAATGGGCAAATTGATGGTTGATAGTGTTTCAGAAAGATAATTCTTTGGTGGTGGAAGGAGGATATATATACTGGCTCTATTCTAGGTATGCTATTGAAATTTTATGACCACGTCCCGATTCGATCCTTGTCAGTCTCTGTCACGATTCTGAGAAATGCAATGAGTTAGGATGGATTCATTGATGAGTCGAATCGAATCACTGTATCTCGAGACAACGTTACCATAGTCACGGTAGGTACCATTATTAGATTGGTGGTACTAATTTAACTATAGTTACTTACAGCCAAGTCCCACTAGGCAGTGCTTTAATGTTTAGAATACAGTTGATTCCCTAATCACCTATACCTTTGTAAAGCGACTATATGTTGTGTCTCTGTAGGCTATGTATAAATACGATATATTATTACATCTGAAATAGGTAGAACAATCAATGTAGTAGTAACACTGTTGATCTATCGATGTAACATGGGGATACAAACCTTAGATTTGGATCATTAATGAATCTATCGTGACTCACAGAATTTCTTATATTCACAGTAGATACTGACAGGATCAGACCAGAACGTAATCATGTTGTAGAATCATGCAGTTGAAAGGGAAGCAATATATAAATCTCCTCTGCATACCCAAGGGGACCAATTCTTAAATCTATACACCGACCGTCTATGCACCATCCATCCCTACACCCTCCATCCATACCCCAATCATTAGTTATTGCTTCTTCTCAATAGACATCAATACTACCTCGTTTTAGCCTTCCGGTAGGAATATAAAACCTTCAATCTCCCGACTCTAGCAAATCCGGTAACCGAAGATGGCCTCCCATATGGGGAAGTTCGATGAACTCATTCGCAAAGCTCGGGAATGGGAGCAGGGGAAAGCCAAAGTCAAGATAGCACTAGACAATGGAGGCATCAAAAAGGAGGTCAGAAAGAATGTCCAAAAAAAGTTTGATGGCCTTGCTGGGCCGGCTAAACGTTTCGATGATCTTGCAAACGAAATTTACTCGTCAGCGTACGGACAGGAGATGGCTGCCTGCATCATCCCAACTGAAGAAAACTGGGCAAAGATAAAAGGCAAATGGGAACAAGCTTCGGCGGCGGTGCGAGAGCTAATTATAAGCATCAATGAATGCTCGGCCGCTCTAGGTGTCTAGGCATTGCTATGGATACGAGGCGATGAAGGATCAATATAATTGAAGAGATATGGGGGACGTGTTTGCGATGGATTAGTTTGAGAGTTTGAGAATATACATTACTGCCATTTCTTATCATATCTTTCTCAAAAAGAAAACTGTATTACGAGTGTTGAATCTATTTTATATTAGTTTTCGTGATACTTTACTAGCAGAATCCTATCCTACCACGCCACCCTCCACACCCGGTATTTTCCCAGATAGAAGATAAACTTATAAGTCCAAATAACAAATAGGGGTTAATAAACTTATAAGTCCATATAATATGTAGGGCTTTTAACAAATGGTCAATGGCCGTGTTGGAACGGCCTAGCGAATTATTCATAAACATCCGCCATACCTAAGAACTACTCTACTGCATACCTATGCAATATCCTTATGAAACATCGTTAGGCCCTGGGGTTCGATTCCTCAGACAGCCACTTCAACACGCCTTTTTTTTTCCATTATTTTTTTTCTTTTTTTTTTTTTCCCCAACACCCACCCCAACCACTACGCCAGCGTTTGGTGCCCGCCCGCGCAAGCGCGTACCGCGTCCCACTTCTCATACTCCCGCAAGCCTGGGTATTAGGATATCTTTGTCTATTAAGAAAGTACATGTGAAGTCCCTATCTCTTCCAAGAAGTTTAGGAGCACCGTCATACCATATAGCATAGGAAAATAACAGCCGGACACTCAGAATAAGTCTTGGACTATTGGGGCTGGAGGTGTTTCGTAACATGGTTAGTTATTAGATAGTTATTTCATTCTCAAAGTTTATGTATTTATAGTATTGAGTAATACTTTAGCTAGCTGCAGCCATGAAATTACCTGTATCAATACTCTCAAGAGTCAAGATGCTCTGTCACGTCAATATCGAGTGTGAGGGTGAATATGAGAGAGTCTCATATGAGATTAGGTAACATTGATGATTGACGGCTTTGCTGTAATACAGTACGTATCTCCTGAGACCCACAATAAAGCAAGAAGTTGCACGGCCACATCTGGAACCCCTCCAACTACCTGAGTAACGGCGCAGCTGCCACGGGAAGCTACGGTATGTATTGTACAATACCTAAGGCACGACAGGTACAAACCCCACCATCCACGGCTTCCTCATTTATCATTTACCATTTACCATTTATTCATTGTTCAACATCTGTTCGACGTCAACAATCACCAATATTTCTTCTTTGCCCGTATCCTTCTTCGCCTATCTTCTTGTTCAGCAAGCACATGGATTTGTTTTTAACAGCATGATTGTGACTTTGGAGGGTTGGTGATTCCATTTCCTTTTACTTCTATTTTTACAACGTTACTTAGGACGCCTCGCCTCGCCTATCCTAGGCAGTTAGGTACCTGATGTTTCTCATTAACGCACCATTAGCTTGATAGGCATATATAGTTGTTGACTCTGCATAGGAAGACCTTAGTTAAATATTACTTGGTCTCGGCGCGCACCCTAAGATTCGTTAGATACCGAACCCATCTCTACTGTTACGAGGTAATCCAAACCGCCGCGACGTAATCAGATTCACCAGGCAAATTCACGAGGCAAGTAATTAACCCAAGAACCACCACTTTTATATAATTCTGCCCCTCCTTAATATCAAATACTTACAGTAAAACTTAGGCTCGCCATCTCCATCACCCCCCATATATTCCCACCCTGAATCCCGAGATCCGGCTCGCGACGGCCCCTCCGGCCTGTACATCATCATGGCAGTCAATAATCCAAGCTCACAAACCATCGCTGGGCTCTTGGCCAAACTAGCCGACCCAGATCCCGACTTCCGTTTTATGTCGTTAAATGACCTTCATCAGATGCTCACGAAACAGAAGGTGGATTTCCTAACTCACGATTATAATACTTCATCACGTATCGTCGACAATGTCATAAAGACCTTGGACGACCAAAACGGGGAGGTGCAGAACCTGGCGGTCAAATGGTACGTGTAAATCGTGGATTATAGGCAACCCAGAAGTTGGTACTAATGACCCTGCAGTATCGGCCCGCTGGTTACCAAAATTCCCCTCACAGTTCTCTCTCCTACGTTGGACAAGCTCAGTGCAGTCGAGATAAAAAACTCGGTGGATAATTCGATACCCTCCCTCGCTCTACGTAGCGCCATCTCGTCGCTCCAGAAACCGGTTCGAGGAGTCACACCTTCTCGAGAGGTGATTGAGACGTATAACATAGTTAGCCGTGTCCTTATCCCACGTATCCTCGGCTACCCTACGTCCTCCAACGCTCTCAGGCAAGCGACCGGCGAGTCTCACGGTATACTGGACAAAAATAGAGATCCCACCGTAGAATCTGTCGACGTACTTATCGAGGTGGTTAGATGCTTCGGACCCCTATTGCAGCCACTGGAAGTCGAAAAGCTGCAAGATGTAGTCGTACAGGTCCTAGAAAGGGCATCCACCCCTTCCCCCGTGAAGAAACGCGCGGTTGTTGCGCTCGCCATTCTTGCGCCTTACCTTACATCTGATGTCCTCGATGGGTTTGTTACGAAGATCCAGAAAGCCTTAAAACAGCCCAAACTTAGTCCGGTCATGCGCCGTCTCTATATTTCTATAATGGGATCTCTTGCTCGGTCGATCCCATACAAATTCGGCGAGTACTTACCTCAGCTTATCGAATTCGTCTTATCACCTCTTAGCCAGGAAGAGTTACAGAGCCAGCTCGATGCTCTAAGCGAAGGCAATGATCAACTTCATCCTGAGTTTAACGAAGTTCGAGAGGCGGCTTTGGTTGCGCTCGAGTCATTCTTGGCATCATGTGGTCTGCAAATGAGAGATTATACCGATGAAGTCATCGCAGCATGCCTTCGATATTCAAAGTTTGACCCTAATTATGCAGTTGATGAAGACGAAGATATGGAAGAGGAAGATGACGCCCAAGATGACGACGAAGATGATGCAGACGATGAGTTTGATGACGATGCCGGGTTTGATGACGATGACGACGCAAGTTGGAAGGTCCGCAGATGTGCCGCAAAGGCCCTTTATACCTTGATCTCTACGCGAAGCACCGATCTTCTCGAGAAGGGAACCCTATATAATGAAATTGCCCCTCCGCTGGTCAAGCGATTTGACGAGCGGGAGGAAAGCGTGCGTCTCGAGATAATTGGGACTGTGGCGCTTTTAATTCGAAAGACGGGAGAAGGTGTAATTCAATCTATCTCAACCGATGAGGAGCTCCTGCATTCTCTTGGAGGGAATCGAAAGCGTCGAAGACAGAGTAGCGGAGGTATCACATACACCAACAAGGCTCCCTATCTTGGAGCTACTGGTCTTACCTCACCTACTCGCGAATCAGTTCCGCCGACTGGACCCCGCGCCGATCTTAAGAAACTTACGCCGCAAATTGTCAAGTCGGCAACTAAGTTGCTCAAAGGGAAACAAATAGCCACGAAGCAGGCGATAGTCAATTTGCTAGATGATTTAATCGCGGTGCAGAATGGCGGCCTGGCCGACTATTTTGACCAGGTTATGCAACCCATCATCGACGTTACCAGAGGAATGACAGGCAGTACCGGTTCAACATCGACTACATTATCGGGTGCCGCGTCAGCCACTGCTACTACACTACGCGTGGCGGTCCTTCGCTTTACGAGTGATATAGCAAAGACTCATTCATCATACTTATTCCAGCGCTACCTTGAAAGCATTGTTGCGGGGGTGGTCTCTGCGGTCCGTGACAGATTCTATAAAATTTCTAGCGAGGCCATTGGGACAGCTGAGGAGCTCGTTAAAGCTATAACCCCGCCTCGTGCAAGGCTTACGACTGATAAGTACAAGCCCGAGCTACACAAGTTATACGAGATCATAATAGATCGTGCTTCCGCGAATGATGCCGACACTGAGGTGCGCCAGAAGGCCATTCAAGCACTTGGAACATTAATCTCGAGAACTTCATCCCCAGATGGAATCGCTCTTATTCCCAGCGATAAGCGTCAGGCTGCTTTGAACTTGCTTCTAGATCGTCTACGAAACGAAACGACACGTCCATACGCCGTACGAGCAATTGACAACGTAGCGGCACATTCTCTACCGCCCATTGACCTTGACCCCAGTTGGGTCCAACAGGTTGCATTGGAGCTTTGTGGTCAACTTCGAAAGTCAAATCGCGCTCTCCGGGCTGCCAGTATCCAAGCCCTACAGCACCTGGTTCTTTCCCCGGCAGCTAGTAACAAGATCCAAGTAGTCACGGCCAATGAGATCGTGGCGGCCATATTGCCTGTCATTTCTACTAATGATAGCTATCTCTTGAGCCCCGCTCTACTCGTCGTTGCTCAGCTTCAACGAGTACATCCACAGTTGATCTCTTCGCCTACTTTCATTAAGCCCCTTTGCGAACTTCTCAAGAAGAATATCGCCGGCGTAGCGCTAGATTCCTTTGTGACTCTTGTGACGAGCGTTGGTGAAACGGGTGTAGGAAATCCGTTAATGCGTGGCGTTCTAGAAGTCGGTGTCGCAGGCGATCCCGCGGTCGTGGGTAAAGTTGCGGGTGCTTTGTTTGTCGCGAGCGGCGGTCAGGTCGATGTTAGCGTCGAAGGTTTTATCGACGAGCTCAATAAGTCAAGCAACAAAACGCCACCTGACACCGCCAGGCAAAGTCTTGCATTGGCGATATTGGGAGAAATTGGATTGCGGCTCGGAGCCAAGTCTGGCCTCCAACCGAGCATCTTCTTACAGCAATTCCACAACGAGCCAGATAAAGTCTCGGTATCCGCCGCGGTTGCTCTTGGGCGTGCGGGCGCAGGGAATGTGTCGGTATTTCTACCAACCATTCTTGACGCAATCAAGCAGCCCGGCGGCCAACAGTACCTACTTCTCCAATCGATCAGAGAGATCCTCCACCAGGCCATTGCATCGTCAACAGATATCAGCTCGTATGAGAGCGAAATTTGGCTTCTACTCTTCTCGGCATCTCAACTTGATGATAATAAGGCGATATGCGCGGAGTGCATCGGACGATTGGCTATTATGGAGCCTAAGACGTATATTCCTAAACTTCAGGTATGCTTCAATACACTTACTCTTGAATCGCTACTAACTTTTGAAGGAACTTCTGGGAGACCCTTCACCGGCCTTTAGAGGTGTAGCTGTACAAGCGCTTCGATACACACTCCCGGATAGCGACGAGTCGTTCGATCTAATGCTGAAGACGGTGCTATTCGATATGCTCTTGACCGTTCTGAAGGATAAAGACATGGAGATCCGCCGCCTAGGCATGACGGCTTTAAATTCAGCGGCACATAACAAACCAGACCTTATTTTGCCTCACCTGGGTGAATTAATACCATATGTTATACAAGAGTCTGTCATCAAACCGGAACTCATCCGCGAAGTTCAGATGGGACCATTCAAACATCAGGTGGATGACGGGTTAGAAGTTCGCAAGGTAAGTAGTTGCGGTCTGGTGCATCTCTACTAGATTGAAGTTACTAATTATCTCGTCTAGAGCGCATACGAGACTCTCTACGCTCTTATGGAGACGGCGTTTTCACGCGTCAGTTCTCTCGAATTCTACGATCGCATCATCGCCGGCCTTAACGACGAGAATGACATCCGGTCCCTCTGCAATCTCATGCTGAGCAAGTTGATCGTGATCGATCCCGAAGAAACGACTCGGCGGTTGGATACGATCGCCGAATGCTACAGGAAGACGCTATCTACGAAACTTAGGGATGGCGCGGTGAAGCAGGAGGTAGAGAAGCAAGAAGAGGCCATTAAAAGCGTGCTACGCGTTACCCTCCTGCTGGTCGAGAAAACTAAGACTACCCTACCCAGTGTAAGTGGTGGGCCGGGCAGCTCGGTAGGACAAGCTCCGGCGTCACAGACAGTGCAAAACCCCGTGTGGCAACAGTATTGGGAATGGGTCAACAAGGACTTCGAACGGCAACTGAAGTCGCTGCGGGAAGAGAATAAGGAGATGGCCGCATAAGGGAAATTCGAGGCGCCTAAGAAAATATATAGCTATCGCACCTGGGATGCCTATGTAGACTACCTACCTACGTATCCGCGGACTATCTGGTAACAGGTATTGCCGTGCCTGTTACACGCGGAGAAGGGTTGATGGTTTGTTTTCGAGCACGTAATACGCAACTAACTACCTAAACTAGTGGTTCATGGTAATTCAAGTGCTTAGACTAGCTATTCTATGATAGCGGGTAGCTATTATAGTTAAGATAAAAAATGCCTTTCATTTATAACGTTGACATGTTGATATGAGATGTTTTTAGTAAAGGTTACATTACATAAAAGTGATAAAAGCGTAAAAAGAGCTATGGCCAAGCTATCCTTAGTTCGGACTGGGCAATTGGGGATAATTTGCGTTCCAATGACGTAAAGAAATAGTGATGTTTCCACTAGCTGACTAGTAGTGGAAATGGTGCCTTTTTAACCGGGGAAGGCCCCACACAAGCTCCGGTGATGGACGCAGTGAGACCTCAATAGATGACATGGATGACTTTGAAGAAGGAATCACCAAGCCATCGGAGGAATTGGCACCGGAAAGCGAGAATATTCTAAAATAGATATCACGTATTTAAGGTTCATAGCTTTACTATTTCAATTTAACAGATAATTAAAGCTAAACTATAGTAATATCTACCTAGCTATCTTCCATCTTTCTCGGCAAGCACAAGATCATACGGAATTCCTCGGCTGACTGAACCGTAAGAGACATACCCGACTGACTTACATAAGAAACAAACTTTCTTTGGAATTCTCTCGCATTAGATCGAGTTTTGTCCATTTACTTCACTTACTTATGCCACCAAGAATCACATAACTTAAGGTACCTAGACAATGTCGACAGCTCGCGTCTTTACTTCTTCCCTGCGCGCCGTCGTCGGTAGACGAGCTGCTGCATCTGCGCCGGCTCAGCGGCAGTCCGTACTACGCTCAGCTACGAGGAGAGGAATATTCTCCGGTGGTTCATCCAGTGGTCCTCCTCCTCCCGGAAGCTTGGGCGCGGAATTGTCGAGTGATTTGCCTTGGTGAGTAGTTTTTTTTTTTTTTTTTTTTTTTTTTTTTTTTTACTTTTCCGGGTAAATTTTTTTTTTTTTTTAGGGAAAAATATAATATTTTACCAGCAAATACGTACTAAAAAAAGAAGGGGAAAACCAAAAAAAAAAAACAAAACGTCGAGGCAACTAACATCTACCAACCCACAGGTTCATCGCCTCCGTCGTCGTCACCGCCCCAGCCTTAGCATGGCTCATGACCAGAGGGCCCAAAAAGGCCATCGCACACACACCCGGCGGCGCTCCCGGCGGCGCTCCAGTCCTTGTCGAAGCAGTCGTCGTCGAAGAAAAAGATCCCGCCGTAGAATCTAACCAAGACTCCGACACTTCCTCCACTCCCGCCTCCACGCCGCCCGAATCCGAAACCGGATCCGACACCAACTCCGACAGCGACAGCAACGAATCCCCCCCTCCCACAAACCAGCTCCCCGAAGAAGGAGGCAACCCCCAAGCCGCCCACACGAGCAGCCAGACCGGCGGCCAAGTCCCGCCCCCCAGCGCGGACAACAGCGACATGGCGACCAACTACGGGGAGAAGAAGGAGGCGCAGGGGGGCTACAAGGAGATGATCCGGCACAAGGACACGCGCGCCGCCAGCAGCTCGTCCGACCTCCCGTCCAAGAAGGGCGCCGCCGAGCACCCCCGCGAAGACCCGCAGAAGGGCGAGGGGGAGGCCGTGCAGAAGGGTGGGCCGGCGGCTTAAGATTCTTTCATGTATGTATGTAATAAGATGATGATTCTGGGGTACCTATAAGTCCTTACATAGTGGAGGCTCATATGCATGGGGGGGTCTATATTTTGTAAACTATAGAGAACAGGGAGGGAGGGATAGAGAACAGGGAGGGAGGGATGGAGATGGGGAATGGCGGTATTCACGAAAGGTGTGTGGGTCCCAGCATAGATGTGGATAGGGGAGAGGAGGTATTCTTCCCTGTGTAATTCTATGTAACACTGCTCATGAGCTAGAGAAAATGGGATAGAACTACGATACGACGCCGGCTAAATAAAAACTCCCCTTGCCATGACAGTTATGACAGTCCGACTCGCACCTGCGTATTAAGCTTCCTCCGTAGAGAAGCAAGCGATAGGATATAGTTCAGCTAAAGATATATATGCAAAACAGCATTCACAAGGTCGAACCACGGCACGGGACAAGGACTTGCTTTTCATCAGTCTTGATTTCTCTTCTTCTTCTTCTTCTGCTAACTTACTACCCTACCGTAGTTCGTAGTAGTAGTTCCGACATCGTCGTTCTCCTGACTTCTTTTCCTCCTCGGCATTGTAATGTTGCCGTATACCATACATACAGCGATGATGTGCAAAGATGGGCAAGTAGGTAGGCTGGGTGTGAAGCTCAAAACCAACATCGTGCGGAACGACAACGTCAAACTTGCGTTGCGTACCAAACGACTAGTGATTAAAATCATATATGGCCTCCAAACCCCCTCCTCCGGGCCGAAATAATAAAAAACCAAGTGACCGAAAAGACAAATTCAGGATCGACGGTGGGTGTATTTTTTGTTGATTATCCATGCCAAAAAAAAGGTGACTGGCAATCTGTCGTCCGGTGATCCTGTTTGGCAAATGCCCTCTCCGAGTCGAGTCGAGATTGTCCATGTACTCCTTAATGCGAAACTATGTTGTAAACCCTAGTGCAAATCGAGCCCGCCTAGCGACGGTTCATACAAAGGAAATGTATCTAGATGTGTCTTCTTAACGATTCGGCGTTATTATGTCAGCTCATCAAAGGAATGCTGTCGAGAAGGTAAAGCATCGAATGTTCCGAGGCTGAAAGGCTTGGTCGTCAGGTATCGAGAACATGCTTCGGCCATGTGGCAAAGCTACAGGATTTATAGGTCCAGAACTGGCTGGAGCTCGTATTGTCGTAAAGGCCGTTGAATATCGTAAAATGTAAAGGGGCGGCAGGAATCGGAAGCGTGTAATTATAATAGGCGTTAGATCAACATGTAGAACCTCTTCTAATAAGCACAACAAGGTGTAGGTTGAGCTCAAGATTAAACCGACTGGTAGAGCAGGAGAGGCTCGCCAACGTTTTCGATCTCAGGTATCGTGCACTTGAGATCAAAAGCCTTTGATAAGACGATCTTGAAGATCTGAGGAACGGTTAGCATAGCTGCATCTAAAAGGTAGGTAGATGGCGCATGTGAGATGGGACTAACCTTCTGGACGTTGATGCTATGACTAGTACTGCTAAAGATAAGAGCGGCTCGCATCGCCTTGGCGAACCGTTTTGCCTAAATCGGTTGTAAGCTATAGTCCCTTATTTCAATGTCACATGTAAGCTTACCTGATTCGAGATCTCTTCCTGGTCCTCCCTCGGGAAGTTAACGAAGTGGTCATATTTCGTTCCTACTAGAATAGGAATCGCCGTCTTGTTGAAGCCTCGTCCCTGGCGATACCACTCCTTGATACTATTAAGCGTACTCTTGCGCGTCAAGTCGAACATGAAAAGTATTGCCACCGCATCGTTGCAAACCAGGGGAAGCATGTTGACAAATTCTCTCTGGCCGCCTAGATCCCATATGCTGAACGTTATCTCGGTATTTCGTATGCTGATCGTCTTCTCCATGAAGTTGACACCCAACGTCTGAATATAATCCTCGTCCCAACTACCTTCGACATATTTCACCATTAGAGATGTCTTCCCAATCTGCGCATCTCCCACCATGCCGACCTTGATCACGACATGGTTTCGGGTATTGCGATCCGCACCGTTGCTCTCCCTCGGAGCCTCGCCGGTGTAGTGCCTTTCGCCAGGACCGGATGACGAAGCAGGTCTTGACAAGGACTGCGCAGGAGGTTCATACGGATGAGCCTCGAACTGGGTGCTGGGGTCTACAGCGTTCGGGTCGATGCCGTTGTGGTCGATGTCATCGGGGTGCGCACTGTTGGCTAGTCCTCGGTCGAGGGACCGCGATTGCCGATGGTGAGGTTCACGAACTCCCGATTCACCCGCAATATGCATAGGCCCATCGAAACCAACAAGGGTATCATCCTGGACATCATTGACATCGTGGGGGAGAGGCGCGGCAATGTGATCTTGGTCCATTGTATCTAAAGCGTCGTGGAACTGGGCTCCGGACCCCGCCGAGAGGGTTGACGAATCCAGATTGGAAGGCGACAGTGGAGAAGACGAAGCAGAAACGAGAGCCGGACGATATTCAAACGCAAGGAATGTGGGCGAATCTCGGGACAGATGATGAGAAGGTCTCAGATTAGCCCCGTATCTGACTTCATCGGAGTTGTCTTGGAATGGATGAATAGCGAGGGTTCCGACAAGTAATGAGGAATGTTGGGTACGATAACTTCAGCGTCTATACGTGTTAGTTCTGATGTGTATATAATCTATACGGAGATGAATTCAGCTGGCAACCCGTCAAGGTTAGGCTGTCGATCCCAAGATGCAGATGGTATGTAGGTGGGTAGGTAGGTAGATATCAAATCTGGTGGGAAAGGGGAAGACGAAGACCAGAATTTCCCAAGGATTTCCCAGGATTTCAGGCGATAGCAACTGACAATTTGGTCGCCAACAGATGAATGCCTAACCTAAGGTTGTCCAGGGTAGTAGGTAATAGTTTCTTGCATACATACATACCTTTCGTACCTGAGGCGGGCCTTGAAGAAGGTCAAGACGTGCAGTGGGTGGAAAGGTGGTATGTAAAGTCCAAGTCGAGCAAAGTCGAGGTAGGATGCTTAACGATGCGGGATCCCGGGAGATGTGACGGGTGGAACCTTAAGAAGTACGAAATACTACCTGATGTACTATGTACGCGATTGAGGGGCAAAGGCAGCAAAGGGGGCTTCCACTTTTTGCGACAAGGTGCCCGTTTGAGTGGGTTTATTTATTTTAGGTGGGTTATTGCACATGTGGGTTATTACATATGCATGTACCTCTTACAGTACAATATGTACATTAGGTACGAAGAGGTACCTAGTTACACCAACTTTGAAGTTCAATGTTTTCAGGCAAGCGCCTACTGCATACATACCTCCTATATATACATATTGATATATCTGATGCCAAATCCCACTTATTTAACTCTTCTTAATCCAAAGTTTAGATGTTTTGTTTCTTCTTCTACCATCATCCAAGTCCTATTATATACTTGGCATAACTAGCTGACAGTCTCAAGCCTTGGGGCGGCTAAGTTTATGGCACCAGCAATAACGAGCCAATAAGATATCGCAAAATACAGGAGGATGATCACTTGTCGAACGCGACGCGAAACGTCAATTCGCGAAAGGAAACACGAAACATTTGATGTTGTTATTTTGAATCTAGTAACGTTAATAGGTCGTCAGTTACCCATAGGCAGACTTCTCCTCACGCGTAACATACGGATAGTCGAATCGGAAACCATCCTGATTTGGGTATTTACCCTAAGATACGTAGGTCTCACCTAGTTAAATCAATGTTGCGGAAGGCTCCCGTCAGCAGACGAACAGACAGCTAGCTAGGTTAGCTGTTAACGTTGTCAGTTATAATTGGTGCTCCGGACAATTGTTTACTGCACTGTTAACGAGGGGGCAATTAAGCTACCTAACATGCTTGGTATTAAATGAATTTACGCAAACGACAGGGGCACCTGACCAGATATAATCTCAAGTTTAATAGCCTATCAGAGCATACAGGAAGTAGGTGGTTTAGGAAATTAGATATCTTGGACGATGCTTTGGACGATGCTAATGAGCTAACCTAGATTCATGGTACAATTCGGCTATGAAACTCACGTCACGGTTCAAGAAACGCACATATTGGGCTTAGCGCAGAGAATGATCTTGATTTTTAAAATCATAGCATCGCTAAAGTAGCAGTCAAACCTCCTCCGGCGCACGAACGGGGCCGCCAGGCGATGTTGGTAGCCGAGCAGTCAATACCTCGACGCCCGTTTCGGTCACCAACAATGTGTGCTCTAGGATACGCCTATATGTCAGTCATATGAATTCTCCGAACATAGGTACCTATATAAATAGACGTCTAGGTAAACTCACCGAATTGGGCCGACTTCTTCCCATCGATCGTTGTAATAGTCCAGTTATCAGGCCATGTCACGAATTGATGCTTGCCTAAAGAAACCATAGGCTCAATAGTAAACGTCATTCCAGGCTTGCAAACCCCAACGGCCTTGTTCTTGGCGTAGTGAGGAACGTTAGGTGGGCTGTGAAAATGAGTGTTGACGCCGTGTCCGACGATGTCCCTGACGACGCTACAACCTTTTGATTTTGCATATTTCTCGATGACGGCGCCAAAGTCTCGGACCAGGTAGCCGGGTTTCACTACTTTTATCGCTTCTTCTAGACATTCTCTTGCTGTCTCAACCACTCTGACAGTATCGGGGTCTGCTTTTGCCTTGTCGCCAACGTAGTATGTTTCATTCAGATCCGCGTGGTATCCCCCGTGATACAAACTGACGTCCAGGTTGATGATGTCGCCGTCGACGAGTACGCGCTGATCCGGGATACCGTGACAGATTACTTCGTTTATAGACGTGCAAAACGACTTGGGATAATCTTTATAATTCAACGGGGAAGGATAGGACTGGGTATAATTAGCATGGCAAAAAGTTCGAAGATGAGCACAAAAGCACTTACGTCACGTTCTATACAGAGCCTATGACAAAGCTCGTCAAGATAGTCTGTGGTAATTCCAGGTCTGACTTCGGCTGCTAAGAGGTCTAATACCTCTCGGCCTAGTCTACAGACCTTACGCATAGCATCTTGTCCTTCAGCGTCGAGAATATCGATCTTATTCCTCGTAAGCTTCAACTCGCTTGTTGGGATCCCTGTCTCAGCGTAGTCTGGATGCCGTATCGTCTTTGGGACTTCGCGCCTTGGAGAGAGCGGGTAAACCGGCCGTAATGGCCCGGTGAAGTAGAATGAAGGGAATGGATTATACGTTCCCGTTCCGGTCGCTGTAGCCAGTTTAGAAATGCCCTCGACATAGTTGGTTTAGTAAATACCATTCTGCCTTTTATTTAGGAAGGCTTTGTGTATCTTCTTGTGTTCAACCTGTCATATGGTATTAGTATCAGGTTAAAGACCATGGACACGGGCGTCTAGAATGAGTGGGCTAAGGTGCTAGAGGGGCATTACCCAAGCGCTTTTGAAGCAGTCTTGCGAGCAAAAATAGCTGTTGTCGATACCTAGTTTTAGGCATGTTGGGCATTGTAAAGACTCGGCCTTATTGTCGCAGCCTGCTGAGAGGCATGTTTTCTTAAGGTCTACCGTCATTGTAAAAATGTTACTTGGATCTAAGCGACAATTAGGTATAATAGTAGTTAAACAATCGGCTCTAAAGTTTAGATGAAAAGTTCTCGGTTTGGATAATAAAATAATTTTTAACTAAATCCAACCATACCATAGTGTTTCCATCTTGGGGGCCTTCGCTCCTTTCCGCCCTGTCTGGGGCATCTGTCCTCCGAAGGGCGTATCTACTGCCATTGGGTCTAGACCAATCACATTGAAGTATAATGTTTAAACTTGAAATTATTCATCGAATTAGGCTCCATACTTTTTTATTAAGACCTTCTCTATAGGTAGGATTTAATTTATCCATGTATACGCCTAGGTTTCTGTGTAACTCTGGATGTCCCACCCTGACTATAGAAAGAGAAAGACAATCTATTAAGTACTTAAGGTAGGTAGTTAAGATAACAATAAAGAGACATATGGATATCGAGCTGACTTCTACTGCGGCATAATATCCGATGGGCTAAGTTTTTAAGTCTACCAAACAGTTAATGCAATACATTTGTTATAACAACATGGCGGAAGTCTTTAGCGGCCAATCTTAGTGTGAAGCAACGTATACACATTGACCACTTAAAGATAGCATATCTCGATTAAACACGCGGACGAGTCTGATCGGTTAAAACAAGCCATGACTAGACCCTCTTCCGTTGAATAGTCTTCGCTCATGATATAGATTAGATGTTGTCCGAGAGAGGCCATTATGTTATTGGATAGCATGGTTCTAACTGCCTATTCGTCAACACTTTTAGAGATAGACTTGCTTCAGGTTATTCTCTTACATTTTTACCTTGCCCTGTAATACTTAGATACTTTTATTCCGTCCTGACTTAGGGTTGAATCATCTCTCCTAAATAACACTTCTAGACGTAGTGCCTTGAGTTCTGAGGACAAGAGTTTTCCTAAGTAACGTGTCTTTGGTCTTATCGAAGCGTTTCCATCTAAGCGAATTTTTGGAGTTTCGTCCATTGATTGGATGATGCATTCCATTACCTATGTACATAGTATGTACATGAATATTCTAACTAGGCGTGGATATGCCCATAATGATGTTTCTTATCAATTGAGGACCAGTGGAATAACCCGGAGTTTTCGTCACGACGCGGGGCAATTGAAGAATTTAGATTGGCTAATATTAACCTTATCGGATCCTGCGATAGACGTGGGCACAACGCACTGTATAGCTCGGTGAATGATCAGATGATGCACTAAGATAAACAGTGCGGACTCGTATATCGGGTAACTGTTCGGGCCAAACCGAGGATCCTACCAACATTAAACAATTTCCAAGAGGTAGTGGTATCATCGATACGATATCAGTACCCAGTACCCAGTACCAGTACCAGTAAAAGAAAAAGCTACCGCAGCGGGATTATGCGCATTTAAACAATGATTGTTAAGCCTTACAATGATTGTCCTATATTACAATCATTGGTTCATTACACAATCATTGTGTGGCCAACAATCATTGTGTGGCCCGTGCACCACCAAAAAGGAAGGCTTTAATTGGTCGGATTTTAAATAATACTCGGACTTTTAATTGTTCCGGCATAATATTAAATAAAATAAAAATTTATTTTTATTTTTATTTTTATTTTTTAAATTCTTTTTTTTTACACATACGGGGATTCGAACTACGAGGTTTACGGATTACGTGTTATATGTTACATGTTACGAGCTACGGGTTTACTAGTTACGCTAATTGGACAGTTGCAAAGCACGGATGTTTTAGCCTATTAGGATATGGCTTGGCAGCCCGGGCTAATCCCGATACATACTAGATAAGTTACAATGATTGTTACCTACACAATGATTGTTGGCCACACAATGATTGTTGACCTTAACAATCATTGTTGCCCCGCGCATTTTCCCACTACGGTAGCTTTATCAAAGCTGCGATCTACAACATCTCCCCTCTTACGACTGTTGTGCCATAACTCTACTCTATTCTACTTTCATAATGGCTTCAATCGCGCGATGCCTTCGGGCAGCTAGACCGTCGACTTTCTCTCGACTAGCACAAGCACCGCGCACAAGGTCCAATTGGCAACCCGCGACGCTGCGAGCTTTCTCTGCTTCACCGATAAGTGAGTAATGTAATCCGATGTCGCCCCTTCAACCAAGCCACCAAAACTCCCCCCCAAAATACCGCTTACAGAAACCTGCACAAGCACGAACACACACCTAAGCATTGCATTCTTGAGGTTTGTTGCTGACCACCATTAACCGCCACCGCAGGAGATATCCGCAAGTACACCAAGGACCACGAATGGATCGATCTGAACGCCGACAAGACGGCCGGCGTAATCGGTATCTCGGAGTACGCCGCTGAGGAGCTGGGCGACGTTGTATACGTTGAGTTGCCGCCGGAGGGCAAGGAGGTTAGCGCGGGCGATGCTATCGGTGCCGTCGAGTCGGTTAAGAGCGCCGCCGATATCAACGCCCCCATCGCTTGCAAGGTTACCGGCATCAACCTAGCCCTCGAGGAGAAGCCGGGTACCATCAACCAGGTCCCCGAGGACGACTCGCACGGCGGCGGTTGGATCGTTAAGGTCCAGGTTGGCGAGCAGGGCGTCAAGGACTTCGATGCTCTTATGGACCTTGAGGAGTACAAAGCATTTACCGGCTCGGAGGAACACTAGACCCGTAGGTATATGAAAGGGATGGGGGGATTCGAAGTGTAAGTGATGTGTTATGGTGGAGGGAGAGGACAGTCAGGGGCGTCAATCATGTCATGTAAAGGGGGGGGGCAGGTGTTCACCGGAAATGGATATTGGCATTCAACAACCAGCGAGTGGGACAGAGACGGGCTCAACCTTGTATCATAAACTCGTTTGGGGTATTCTAATCATCATGGCGAAAGCATCCGCGCAAATTCTACATAAAGGTTACATAGAATGGACGGCTCAAGTCCATAAAAAAAAAGCATTGTCCGTAATCTTCCCTTAGGTATAAGCCTAGATTCATGCCCCAGGTCTATAAGGCACCTCTACGCCGGTACCCACGGTTCTGCCTTATCTTTACTTGCCTCTCGGTCCTCGTTTATCACATCTAAGATCTTTTGCGCGCCGTTGTCCGTTAGCTGCTGGGCGACTCTCTTGCCGAACGCTATGGCCTCCTCCCGCGTCTTGATCTCTTCGACCTTTTCGGCATCAGCGGCTTCTGTGCCTTCGACATTGACAACTGTCCCCGTCAATCTCAGCGTGTTGTCTCCTACCCATTTTGTCTCTACGCCGATGGGAATACTGCAGCCGCCTTCTAGCGTCCTCATGACACTTCGTTCTGCCTCTGCTGCTAACATGACCTTGACGTCCTCGAGGGGTTTTAACAAGTCGAGCGTCTTCTGATCGTCTGCTCGCGCCTCGATGCCTAGGCCACCTTGGCCAACGGCGTGCAGCATACCGCCACCTTCCGTGGTGCTATCGAGGTACTGCGAGATGCGCCCGTCCAGGCCCATCCGGTGTAAGCCTGCAGCGGCTAGGATTAGCACCGAGAATCCGCTGTCTTGGGCGTCGAGCTTCTGGAGCCGAGTGTCGATGTTGCCGCGCATGTCTTTGAACTGCAAATGCGGGTACCGTCGCTTGATCTGCGCCATTCGTCTAACGCTACTGGTTCCAACTACGGCACCCGCTGGTAGATCTGCCAGCTTCTTGTATTTATCCTCCAGTCCTTTCTTGACGACAACAACATCACGTGGGTCCTCTCGAGGCGTCACGCAAGCCAGAATGAGCCCCTCTGGCAGTGTCGTCGGCATATCTTTTAGAGAGTGTACAATGATGTCGAGCTCTCCTGCCACGAGTTCTGCTTCTAGCTCGTTCGTCCATAGCCCCTTGCCACCGAACTTGTACAGCGCCGTTATTTTGTCCTTGTCTGCTGCTGAGTGCATTCCCTTGATCTCGAAATTGACCGTCGGGTGTAATTTCTTTAGAGAGGTGGCGACATAGTCGGCTTGATTCAGGGCCAATTTCGACTTGCGCGTGCCGACCCTGATCGTGAGCGTCGGCGCCCCAGACGTCGAGGATGTTATGACGGGTTGCGTAGCGGAGGTCGACATATTTTCCTACGGATGTAGATGGGAAGGTTAGGTACGATTGGGATTGCTAGAAGGTGTTTAAGTAAAGATAGGTAGGTATGAAACTAGAATTGGTGCTCTTCAAGCCTTATTCCTGGATATATTTATTAGGGGATCTAGTCACTGTCAAAAGTACCTGACAGGCAAACTTCTAACCTTAGTTACATGTTGAGAGTTGAGATCAGGCCGGAAGTTTGCGCGGGTTTCGCGGGGTCCAGATTTAGTAGAGCGGAAGGATGGAGGGGCAATTCCAGAGTCAGCTGCGGGGCATTTCTTATCAGATACTTCCGTGTCTCATATAGTAAGGCGTGCAATTGAATGTACCTAATCGATAGATCTAAAGTTTTTACATTGGACCCTTCAATGATGGGACCTGCAGCCTGCAGGAGTAATCGGCTTCGGCTTCGGCCCGCATGTCCGTCGGCCGTCCTCCGCTAAAGAAAACCTTCCGTCCCTTACATTTTGATATTGGAACTACTTACCATATAGAGATTCGCTGAGATAATTGCTAATATACTATAGACATTCGAATTAAGTTAATTCCGCTCGGACAAGCCCAGCAAGGCCAAAATAGTAAGGCTGTTTCGAACAATTTCACAGAATGTTTTTCCTAATTCCCGAGACAACTCCCGATCCATGGTCCATGGAACCGTGTACGTCTGTAACTCGAAGTATTATCAGCGAGCCAGAGCCATTTCTCCTACTCAGGTACATCATTCCTAGACAAGGCTTAACAACTGGTGCTGGAGATGACCAGCTCCGAGTATGGTAGTTGTTCTAGACAAGGAGATTGCAAAACGTTCTTACAACCACGTCACCTTACTAACCTCCATATTATTCTCTCCATTCGGGCCTTCATGACAAGTTCTAGAATCGCATTTTCACCAAGCGAGGACTCACAGCATACGTCGGCTACATCTTGTATCACTGCCGATTGTTCGATTATGCAGGGCGGATACGTATATCGAGATTCTGTTCCTGGCTTTAGATGTCTGGCCGACGCTACTTTACTCGGTATATAAGCCTTGAAGCCTATAGGCTATAGCTTCCAACTTCAGGTATCACTTATATATCAGCTTCAATAGAATGTGCGCGATGCCGAACTTGTCAACCTATACTTTGCGGTAATCATTCCTAAAATAGGAAGCCTACCAAGTTACACTTCGTTGTGTTCCCGCACAATGCTGCACGAACATATCGAGATAGACCGGCTCTACAGTCCATCCAAGATATACCTAGGTAGATAGTCAATATAGGGCGGTAGTCACTCTTATGGTTCGCTTTTCGCTTCCGTATAAGGCATCCGAACATATCACGAAGACGTCTTACCAGAGACGTGTCGTAGTCTTTGGGCATCTGGGTCATCTACCACCTGTGGCAATTGCTTGCACTAGAATCGTAGTACCTATTGCTTCGTGTTCTATGAATATCTATGTTCGTTTGAAATAGCTCTATATAAGGCGATGGATCATGCGATATTTAGGGGCCACCGCGAAATCATCGACAACCTCGTCTCTAGCTAAGAACTGTCATATTATCAAGCACTCCTTTGGCGCAGTCCCCCCGTACTGGAATATGAAATTTCACGTCGTTCTTTTCGGTTCCGGCCTCCTAACCGGTTCTTCTCTGGCTTTGAGAGGCCCGGTTCCACGGGTTGACTCGACAGGTTCTGCGCTCACGCTTTTCACTTCGTCATCGGGCCAGACTTCTTTTCCGGTTGGAACGGCTTCGTCTACATCCGGAGTGGCTCCTTTACCAAGCGGTTCCCAGGGTGTTGGTCCAAAATGTGGTAAAGGCTATACCTACTGTGGCTATATGCTCACTGAAAACGGTCATAGTACGATCCCCGGCCGGAGGGTAATCGAACTGGGGAAATCTTTACTTACTAACTCGTATAGATTTCGCACCTAATGATATCAGCAAGGCTTATTGCAATGGCCTCTCGGAGCTCTGCACAAATAGCAAGCCTAAGACGAATGTTTCCGAAGCTGTCTTTGTCTGCATGAACGAGCAGCCGTCTAGCGTTGAGCTCTTGTGCGCCTGTAGTAGCAAGTGCCGCAACGACGCTGACACTAACTTCATCGCCCATTGCGACAAGCCTTGCATCAACGCATGAGCACGGGATAGGATTCAAGCATACGGAAAGGGGGTGAAATGGGAGTTTGTTAAAACATCCACTTGACGACGGGATGGCCGCTGTGTGGTTAGTAGTATGCAACGTCACTCGTTAGTTACATGTAATCCGAATTCTACTCTGCTTATTAGCCTAGGTATTCTATAGGCGATCCTTTGGTTTCCATCGTATGCTCCAGCCACTGATTGCCCCAGTCTGTTCGCGCACTGTCTCAGGGGCCAACGATAGGTCTGACGTACGGAAGGGTTTGATATAATACCCAGCCTTTTCAAATAATATTCTCATTTCGGCCAATTAGTACCTAATCAAATAAGTTTACTCATGATATCATGGCTATCCTTGTGGCGTATAGTTGTTGTGATGAAGTCAGAGTAGCAGCAGCAAAACATAGTATGAAATATATCACAATAACTTCTATTATGATAACTCGGAAATCGTTCGCTAAACCCCAAAGATTAGTGGCGACACAACATATTATGCGTCGTACCGCGCTATTTTAAGAAAAACACGAATCGACTTAACTTGGATTGGTCGGCGGCCGTCCAGCGGCACGGTTACCGCGCCGCCTCGTGATCTCAAGCTCAGCCTCTAGACAAACACAGTCCAGATCTACATGAATTACTCAAGTAAAGAATTACTGATAGTTTTCGCCCAATCAGAAGACATCTTTATGCTATGACGTGGGTCTATGATCTCAAGACAGTCTTATTGTAGGCCGCTGACGGATGACCGCAGCTTTCGTGTTGAGAATTGCTGGCTCGCGTGGTCCGAGATGCTTTAACGTTCCCGTTGAAGAATTGGGAAAAAGGGGGATTATCCATCGGTATCTCGGAATCCGGTCTTTACCTACGTGTACAGAGCTCGGGCTCGTGCATCGCCACGACAGATGTTGGGCTACGATCGCCAGGAGTACGTACATATAAGGTCGGGATGATCGCGCTGGAATAAAGAAAAAAAAAAGAGTTATCATTCAATCAACCAATATTTCAAACACAATTACATTACATATTAATATCTAATAACTACCTACCTACATCTAATTGATATTCGATAGTTATTCTTAATATCATACCAGATATCATCATCTAATATTCAAAATGCTCGCCTCAATCATCACACCTCTTACCTTCCTTGCCCTCGTTGGCGCTACCCCAGTCCCGAAGGCTGCCCAACAACTTTCCCGATCTAAGGGTTTCCAGCTCAAGGCAGAACTTCGAGACCAGACCAAGGATTTAGACCCTTCCGTTGCGGGCACCTACCTCTCCGGCATCCACGTCGGTGCCGGCCAGAACATCGCGGTCGTATCCACGAGCAACCCCGGCTCTTCCACACCCTACTACAGAAACGGCACAGAAGGCTGGGTTGATGTTCTGAACGACCTGGGCACCGAATTCCCGTGGGGTTTCATCGTACAAGATTCGGAAAGCACCGATGCTACTTACCCCGGCGAGCACGACGCGAGCATCAACGTGGGCGGTGGCAGCAACGGAATTACGATTGCGAAGACCGGAGACTCGGTGGCGCTCAGTGGCCTCGCACCCGGTTACTACGCCGTATGCGATCGATTCGTCGGCTACGTGCGCGCAAACATGCAAGTTGTGCGATACGTGTACGAGGGCGAGACTCTGCCGGAGAACTGCGCCGCTGTCAACTTCGTGCCGCAGTGCGCGACTCTGAACGACCTTCCCGCCACCTCGGAATGGACTCACGATTTCGTCCAGGAGGTCGACTGCGTCGTCCCCTCTGCTTAAGGGATTAATGATAAGGGGTTGTTTACCCAGAATTTTAGAAGACAGGGGCGATGAGGGATACGGGAAGCGAGAATATAATATGCATTGGAATTCGATACTATTAATAATCTAATAGAAAGACGCATACAGTAGGACGGCACACGCTATGCTAAAAGTCGCAGCCATGCCAATAGGGCACATCGGCTTATTTAGATATCGAGAGGTATCTCTTCAATATAATAAAACCATTAAGAAGCACCATTTAGCAGACCCCTAGTGATCATCCGTGATTCCAGTGCCATATCAATCAGTTCAACTTAGCAACTTGGCAACTTCAGCCTTTACGCTACTTGTCACGCACTTGAGAATGCTGTTAAAGATTCAAAGCTTGGGATAACTAACACAATGTTCTTCATTGTTTCGCTTCAGGTATTGCTTCAGTCAAATCTTGAGGCTGCGAGTTACCCTTCCGGCGACTTCTTTGCAGTTCACGAAATTCCTCGTAGGTACATTGAGCAGGCAAATAGGCGTGATGCTCCGCCCAGTTATCCCACCATTCATAGCCTTCCATCGATGAATCCGACTTCACACTCGCCCTTGATTGCGGACGGCCGTCCTTGTCATCTTTATCCGAATCTTCTGCGTCTTCTTCGTCCTCACTATCAAATAACGGATCGGGATCTTCGTTTGGTGGAGGACTTTCACTAGCTAATGAGGGGCAAAATTCCATGGCCGACAATGACTGTGGCTTATTGGGGGCAAACGTTGATGGCGGAAGGCTCTTAAGCCAGTCCAATACATCTTGGCGTATACCGCCAATCCCCTGTTCCAGCCACCATCCCACGCCCTCTAAATCGTACGTCGGGTTCGGACCTAGTATGTCATTCCCTCCGGTAAGGATAGGAGCCACGACCCATCGCGAGCCGCTTAACATCCATCGCTCGTGGATATTAAAGTCGGCTTGAAGCCGCGATACGACTTCGTCGTATGGTTTGGAAGCGACTGCCTCAAAGAGCTGATCACGGAGAAGCTTATCATGATGTATAATGATAGGGATATCCTCATCGTTGAGTCCATATTTCTCTGGGCCCTTTGTTTTAACACAGTTCTCGCACCTAGTGAAGAATACGCGTTCAAATCGAACATAATCGGGGTCAAAGTTTGGGCATTTCTTAGTACAAACCTGTGGCATCGGGGGACGGGGTGGCCCGCGATGTTCAATTTCCTGGAGTGCCCAAGCTATCTGTGCTGCCTGGCAGAGGACGAAGAACCTCACCAACTTAAGGGTATTTGGGAATGCATTGTCAAATTCTTCCTCGCAGCAGATCTCCAGAGTGATGTGATAACACATGAATGACGATTTACTTGCACGGCACTGGTCTAGGAATCGGTACCAATTAATTCCTGAAGTTAAAGGAGCGAATGGTCAAAGATTTCTTACATAATTGGGGGATATACTATAAATATATATGCTCAAAGCTATAGCTATACAATATCTATCAGGAACATGTGGAACAGACAGCTTGATCACGCGCAATCCAATTGTTCATAGGCTGGCAAGGATATGATTATCCGTACGCTTCTTTCATTTTATACACACACAGCACATAATGTATCGTAACTGTTATGAAGTTGTTGACGGAGCTTGGGTTTACCTTGCATGGTAGATATGTTACCTATCAAATTGCAGAATTAATAATATTGATATGCCATAATCGTTTCAGGGAGAGTAAGCGTCGAGCTCTTAATAAATACAAGGTGAATAGGGTTTACATGTCGTTTCGTAGAAACTATTTCATTTGATATGTGGCGAGAAAAATGAATTCGGAGCTCTAGTCATACTTAAAGGTGCCAGGTGGGAATACCAGTTTCTCGATGTGTGGAATTACTCCTGACCCCTTATAGAGACCGCTAATAAAGAAATGGCATTAATTTATCCATCTAATGTCGTTTATCTCCCGTCTTTGCTTTCTACGAAGCTATAGCTATTGAAAGAAATTGTCCGTTGGATAGGTACATATTAGGAGGTGGCTTTTGGGTAGAATACATGCGCCATTCCTTAGGGACTTTTAAGTATATGACCAGAGGTGTGGAGGTGGCTGCGTATGAGGCTACCTCATAAAGCCTTTGTTCCAAAAGGAGTTGGAAATTATGTTCTTAGTTAAACATAATATCCGCAACGATACCCGCTTACTGGCAGAACACGACCTTTATCGTTTCTACTTGTACTCGGTATAGCCTAGTAACATGTTAATTGTTCGATATTCTATCTCTTTAGCCATGTTGTATCCTCTAGAAACCTATCGAGCCTTTGTTTTTTCAATACCCCCACCCTGAAATGTTTCTATCATCGCCATGATTACTCCAATTTAACCCGCTAAAGCTTCTATTTTTGAAACGTATTATGTTATGAAACCACTACGATGAAACTTAAGTAAATAGGCAGGAAATAGTTACGACTCCTATAGACTAAGGTCTATGGGCATCATGTAGTGGCTCTCTTTGTCTGTGATGTTTTAAACTGATCCCTGGACATAATATAAAACTCTCGAAACGTCACACTGGGCGATTTGTTGTTTTCTTCACTCGTTTTCTTATTCCTAAACACTGAAGGGGATAAACAATTGGCCCCCATAAAATGTGGCGGTGCCTATTCACTCGAGATCAGAATAATAAAGGAAAGTAATGGACGTTATATTATATTTACGGAGATTACTCTTGTGACTTGGCATAGATTACCTAGAGTCAATGATTTAATCCGACTAACTACCTACCTAGGTAGATAAACTGATGCCAGGGAATACTAAAGCTAGCTGGCTGGTATTTCTAACGCTGCTCAAATTTTCTAGGCTTGGGTACGCGTATACGGGATTAGCGGCTTTAAGAGTCCGAACTAAGATCGTCGAAAATGAAATATATTGTGAATTTGACCGTCTTATAAAGAATTGTCCTATGGTTGAATAGTATAAAAAGGGCTCTATCGTTATGATCGGGCTCCCGGGAAACGTTCACGGCCGGGCCTTAATTAGCCCCATAACTAGATCCGGCACTGCGATTGGTGCGCTCGGAAACTACGCAACTTGATTGGCTGGATTCAACGAATCTCCCAGCATGAGATGACTTAACTTTCTGAGCTGACGAGACGGTTCGGGAATAGAAACGTACGTGGCATGGCTGATTGTAATTAATAGAGGGTGGTATGGAAAATATTTAAATATATGAGAAGCTTATAAAGGTAGTTCTTAGGTATCCCATGGATTGGAATCTTCCAGCAGTCAAGTAGTGCTATATTTTGAACCTCTACTATCGTTGATCGAATCATAGACAGCGCAATGGGTGCCCAGTTTTCAAGCGCTGTAACTCAGTTATTCCCCCCTAAGCCAGGGTTTACCGAGAAAAACATATCCGATCTTCATGGCAAGGTGAGTAGCTACAGCCACTGATATTTGATATAGACTGTATAACATGATGCTTACTTGCTTGGTTTATAGGTTTATATCGTTACCGGTTCAAACACGGGCGTAGGTAAAGAAACCGCCAGGATCCTTTACTCTAAGAATGCGAAAGTATACATTGCTGCACGTTCCCAAGAAAAGGCCGACAAGGCAATCGACGAAATCAGAAAAGCCTTCCCGAACTCGAAAGGAAGCCTAAGCTTCCTGAAGTTGGACCTTAGCGACTTAACTACGATAAAGGCATCAACAGACGAGTTCTTATTGAAGGAAAAGAAACTCGACGTTCTGTTCAACAATGCTGGTGTCCAGAACCCACTCCCAGAACCGAGCAAGACACCCCAGGGTTACGAATATCATCTTGGAGTGAATAGCATCGGAACGTACGCGTTTACGAAGTTTTTGACACCGATCCTCGTCTCAACAGCTAAGACGGAGGGGACGTCTCGCGTAATCTGGGTATCGTCTTCGGCCACGGATCTGACCGGTCTGAAGTCGGTTGGTATCGATATGAACAACCTAGACTATCACGACGACAAGCCATACCTCATAAGATATGGCCTTAGCAAGACAGGTAACTGGCTGCACGGCGTCGAGTTCGCTAAGCGATATAAGGCGGACGGTGTCATTAGCATTCCGTTGAACCCTGGAAATCTCGCTTCGGATTTGTACCGCGACCAATCAGGCTTTATGAACATCGTCACAGCGCTCATGACATACCCTTCCATTAATGGCGCCTATACTCTCTTGTATGCCGGACTGTCCCCCGACATTACGATCGAGAAAACCGGCAGTTGGGGTAAGTAGCCATTCAACGGAATTCTTGGAGTATTTAAGATGTATGGACGGCTAACCTCCAACTCGTATAGTGATTCCGTGGGGGCGAATTCGCTCGGTTCGAAAGGACTTGATAGAGGCGACTAAGACCGAAGAAGAGGGCGGGAATGGCACTGCTAAGAAGTTCTGGGAGTGGACCGATGAGCAGGTCAATAAGCATACCAAGTGAAGAAGATGTTGATGGGGGTTGATGAACAGAGTGAGCTGATTGAGGATCGGCGCGTGGAACTTTACCTATAATTGAATTCATCAATTCTAGAAACATGGAACTGTATTTTGATGTATTGAGGGATGGGTTATAGATAGTATCATTATCGTGTATCGCACGAATAGGTATGTGTTACCTCCTGTAGAGTTGAATAGATCGCACAGAATAATATTTGGCTAGATGTGCGAAGAGCCTCATCACCTAGTATGTTTAATGCACACTTATGCCATTGCCATATCTGGAAGTCATCGGGTGTAGTTAAACAGCCTGATTGGTTATGTGTAAATGCAGTGAGTCCTAGTGGCTTTGCTGTCTTTGGACTTGTCGTAATGTCTTGTAAAGTAGAGCTAGTCTGGGTAGAATTATATTAGCACGAAGTGCTCTCAACCAGCAATATCACTCTTTAATTCAACTCGATTAAGCAAGTATATAGATATTATCTGATGTTTCTCTTTAAACACAATTGAAGCGTTTCCTGTGTATAAAGTGTAAGTGGTCTTTATTCAATCCTGAAGGCGATAATATGCTTGTGGAACTAGAATGAGGTCACAAGTAAAAGTAGAGAAATTGCCATAAATCTTTACTTGGGTACCTCCAGAGCAAGTTACAAAGTAACCCGGTGGAATTGATCCATTCGTAAGCCATGAACATCAAGCCTATGACTTCAGCTGTAGGAACTTTATCTTCTACCGGCCCCTGCAAGCTGAATATTCATATAACAGATGAGGCAGCTAGCTTCTCATAACGTTACTGATTGGTGCCCGCAAACCCACCCTCTCCCCATCTCATGCCATGGGACGTGCTCCACTTGCTAAATCGGGAAATCCTTTGCGGGTCGACGTCTCATTAACTCGCCCCCGGTTCAACCTCTTACAAGACGCCCACATGCCAACTTGCGTAACCTTTGTCAAACACGACTGACGACTTAGGCAAAATCTTGATGTACTTGATGTACTTGATGTACTTGATGTACTTGATGTACTCTCCTAAACGCGTCGTGCGATGTGGGATGTGTGAATTAGACGTATCACTTTTTTTCTCTTTCTTTTCTTCTACATCGGCTGTTCTTTTATACCGAGCACAGAGAACACAGCCTATAAATCCTAAGCCATTGATTGGTTCGGCTTGTGTCGCTGACCGTTCAGATGATCCAGAATTGGTATACCAACAACTATCAACCTCTTATTTGAATATTGGTAGCTCTATGTATCCGGGATCCTTGGAAGCGGGGGATGGTAGGTTCGAATGGACGGTAAAAAGAAGGCTCGGGCACCTATTATCAAATATACATACCTAAAGCTTGACTGGGTATTTCTATTTGTCCTCCCTAGTTGCCGCTCTTATCCCTATTTGGTCGCGTGGGATGAACTCTTCTCCTCGACTAACCTCCTGTACTCCTTGCCTTTCGCGGCATTCCAACTCTTCTTTTTTTATGTTTCTCCTCGTAACGTGACGCCGTTCGAGGAGCTCTCAGGGAGGTATAGCAGATGACGAATGAGACTTTGAACTTGCGCTGCATGGCAGATATTTATTGCGCCTTGTCAATATGATGTCCTGGTCATTACTTCGGCCGGCGCTGGTCGCCAATCCCGCTTCGCCTCGTGCGACAGAGGGCCTTACACGCCGCGCCATATCACACGTCTTAGGTTCGTTCCAATGCATGGAATATGAGGAGGTGCTAGGCATCTCAGCATATTCTTCTTTCGCGCAGTATATACTAAGTAGACGGAATCTATAGACTGTACGGCTCAATCTCGAGCGGTAGCTGTAAGCTGTCAACGACAGTGGAACAGTACCCATGCTAGGAAGCCCACAGTTCTACCCGCGTTGCCAAAGAAGACGTTCGATAGTGGTAGGAATGTTGCGAATAGAATAATTCCAGTGACAGCCTACTCGACCGTTGTCGAGACGCCATCCACGCCTTACGCAGATCTCACTGTAGGTGTGCCTCGCGAGACATTTGCTAATGAGCGACGAGTGGCAATCTCGCCTCAAAATGTTGCCCTTCTCAAGAAGAAGGGCTTTCGTAATGTATTAGTAGAGCGTGGAGCTGGTGCGCTGGCCGACTTCCCAGATGAAGCTTACCAGAAAGCTGGTGCTACCCTGGTCGACACGGATGAGGTTTGGAGACAAGCGGATATCGTACTTAAAGTACGAGGGCCAAATGTCAAGGAAATCGACCGACTCAGAGAAGGTGCAACAATTATCTCAATGCTCCAGCCAGCCCAGAACAAGGATATTGTCGAGCGTCTCGCTGCTCGTAAGGTTACATCATTTGCTATGGACATGATTCCTCGTATCTCCCGCGCTCAGGTATTTGATGCTCTCAGCTCAATGGCGAATATTGCCGGTTATAAGGCGGTTCTAGAAGCGTCCAACAACTTTGGCCGCTTCTTGACCGGTCAAGTCACTGCGGCTGGGAAGATCCCTCCATGTAAGGTTCTCGTAATCGGTGCTGGAGTCGCGGGCTTGAGTGCAATTGCAACTGCTCGCAGAATGGGCGCAATTGTTCGCGGGTTTGACACACGATCTGCTGCGAGAGAGCAAGTCCAATCTCTTGGCGCCGAGTTTATCGAAGTTGAGATCCAGGAAGATGGATCCGGAGCTGGTGGATATGCTAAAGAAATGTCTCCCGAATTTATCGCTGCCGAAATGAAGCTATTCACTGAGCAGGCCAAAGACGTTGATATCATTATCACAACGGCTCTCATTCCCGGAAAGAGGGCGCCCAAGTTGATTACCAAGGATATGGTTGAAGTCATGAAACCTGGCTCTGTTGTCGTGGACTTGGCTGCTGAAGCAGGGGGCAATTGTGAAGTGACCGAAGCTGGTAAACTGGTAACGTACAACGGCGTGAAAATCATTGGTAAGGCCCAAGTGTTAGTTGAAAATACCAAATGACTGACATCGGCGAAGGATATACGGATTTACCATCTAGACTACCAACGCAGTCGTCGACTCTGTACTCGAATAATATTGTTAAGTTCCTTCTCTCGATGTCACCCCAGGATAAGTCATTTGGCATCGATTTGAGCGATGAAGTTGTTCGAGGTGCTATCGTTACTAATAGAGGAGAGATCCTGCCGCCTGCACCACGACCGGCCCCTCCACCAGCTCCTACGCATAAAGCTGCAGCCAAGTCTGAGGAAGAGATAGTTGCTCTAACACCATTCCAGAAGACATCTCGAGAAGTGGCTACGGTTACTGCTGGTATGGGTACTGCTCTAGCTCTTGGAAAGCTTACTGGGCCCATCTTCATGGGAAACGCTTTCACTTTCGCGCTGGCTTCGCTGATCGGATATCGAGTTGTCTGGGGCGTGACTCCGGCTCTTCACTCTCCCTTGATGAGCGTCACTAATGCTATATCTGGTAAGCAGCCTCGATATATCTCTGAACTTGAAGTTGCTGACTAAATGCTATAGGAATGGTTGGCGTTGGTGGTCTCTTCATCTTAGGTGGTGGTTATGTCCCCGAAACAATACCACAAGCGCTCGGTGCAGCATCTGTGCTCTTAGCTTTCGTAAACGTGTCGGGTGGTTTCGTAATCACGAAGAGGATGCTCGATATGTTTAAGCGTACGTTATGTCAGCTAGCTTATTGATATGTTGTTACGTGCTAATTAGGAGCAGGACCAACTGACCCGCCGGAGTATCCATGGCTGTATGCGATTCCTGGTATTCTGTTCGGGGGCGGCTATCTTGCGGCGGCTTCGACGGGCGCCGCGGGACTTGTGCAAGCGGGATATATGGTTAGCTCGATCCTCTGTATCAGCTCCTTGTCTGGCTTGGCATCTCAGGCCACGGCAAGAATGGGTAACTTACTTGGGATTCTCGGTGTTGGCTCTGGTGTTCTCGCCTCTTTGCTAGCCGTCGGATTCAGTCCTGAGGTATTGACCCAATTTGGTACTCTTGCTACGGTTGGAGCCATTTTGGGCTTCGTCATTGGCAAACGCATTACTCCAACAGATCTTCCCCAGACAGTTGCAGCACTCCATTCTGTTGTTGGTCTAGCTGCGGTATTGACTAGTATTGGAAGCGTCATGGGTGACCTTTCCCATATCTCGACTCTTCACCTTGTCACTGCTTACCTTGGGGTATTGATTGGTGGTATCACGTTTACCGGGTCTATCGTCGCGTTCATGAAATTAGCTGGAAAGATGTCTTCGAAGCCTTTGATTCTTCCCGGCCGGCACCTGATCAACTCCAGCATGCTCGCTGCCAACGTAGGAACGATGGGCGCTTTTGTCACGATGGCACCAGGCTCGCCTATGATTGCTGCTGCGGCACTGAGTGCGAACACGATACTGTCGTTTGCTAAAGGGTTTACTACGACATCCGCAATCGGCGGAGCGGACATGCCAGTCGTGATCACGGTTCTTAACGCGTACAGCGGCTTTGCGTTGGTAGCGGAAGGCTTCATGTTGGAAAACCCACTACTTACTACAGTAGGCGCGCTGATAGGCGTTTCTGGTTCAATCCTTTCTTACATCATGTGCGTGGCGATGAATCGGAGCCTCACGAACGTTCTATTCGGTGGCATATCGGCGCCGGCGAAGACAGACTACAAGATCGAGGGGTCAGTAACACAGACCAATGTTGAGGACACGGCCGAATCTCTTGTCAACGCGGAGAATGTCATTATCGTAGTTGGGTACGGAATGGCGGTCGCGAAAGCGCAATATGCTATCAGCGAGATTACCAGCATGCTCCGGGCCAAAGGGGTCAATGTTAGATTCGCCATCCACCCTGTCGCGGGTCGTATGCCCGGACAATGCAACGTTCTGTTAGCAGAGGCAAGCGTGCCGTATGATATTGTGCTGGAGATGGACGAGATAAACGACGATTTTGGCGACACGGATGTCACGCTCGTAATTGGCGCGAACGACACAGTCAACCCCATAGCGCTCGAGCCTGGTAGTCCGATTGCGGGAATGCCTGTTCTCCACGCTTGGAAGAGTAAGCAAGTTATTGTCATGAAACGTGGTATGGCCAGTGGCTATGGTAAGTTGATTTTTTTTTCTTCATGGTAGCCGTTCGCAAAGAAGCAAGGGCCAACGCGCTAATACTTGAATAGCCGACGTTCCCAATCCCATGTTCTACATGCCTGGAACGAAGATGTTGTTTGGCGATGCTAAGGTTACTTGTGATGGTAAGTTCACTTCTCCCTAAATGTTGATATATACCTTATAATTGACTTGTGAATAGCCATTAAAGCAGCTATCGAAGCCCGAACCTAGAATAGAAACTCCCTGTTGCTTCGGAGCAGTTACTTTAGACCCTTCGGAGATCTCGTTTGCATTCTAGACTTTAGAGCATCCAGTATCATGTCTCTCTTCGTTTCAGAGATTCGAGTTCCTCTCAAGATATTAGCTATATAAGTCTCGAATTACCGACATAAATATTCATTGAACTTACTCCTAAGAGGGCGTATTACTCCTCGTTGTGATGTTAAGGGTTTGTCTTCGCGCCCATAAGCTCCGACCGGATCTGCTACAAGGATAGTCCCGAATACCCGGTCACCTCAATCCTTCGTCCATATGACGTCGTAGCACACAGCAGTACATATGGTATTCTTCCTCAGCAATTAATATACCTAGGTAATAATTGCAAATGAGGTCATCGCGTCGTATGTGGCTTCATGTACGTATCAAGGAGATGATGCATGTCAGATTCTACGCATACACATGAGGGGGGTTTGCTTTATGAAGAAATCTGCTTAATTGCTTACACCCGTTTAAAGAAGATATGAAGTATAAGGTAATAACGAATATCTTCAGTTCTTTTATTGCAATTCCTTAACCTGTTACCTAGTATGGAAATCGACAACTGGTACACATCTTCCCTGTCTTCGAAAGTGAAGCTGAATTAGTTGGAAGATTTAATCAGGCATATTCTAGTATATGACTACCGAAAACAGCAATCCATTTCGTTATGGCTACTAGCTTATTTCATTACATCATGTTCCAATTCCTTGTACCTACTCCATACTCCCCTTACGAATATCACATAGTACCCTGCATCGTTTCCCGTACCAATCCTCACAGAGGTCTTCATCACATGGCATTTATTTCGTTAGCCCGGGGATCCCAGGGATAGCAGAAGGTAGGATTCCGCCCTGCTCGTCTTTTCCGCCTCGCTCGGCGCGGTTGACGCCCTCTTTTGATACTAGGTCGCCGACTGGCTGTAGCAATCCGCCTTGGCCTACTTGTCCAGCGACTGTGCCGTGTACACTATCCTGTAGCGTATTGACCTGATCGATATTGGTTACTTTGGCCTTGTCTAGTTGTTCTATTGGGAGATACGCTTTGGTTAGCCCGAGTCCGATCTTCTGGAAGGGGAGGAGAGAGTTTGGGATGAATCCGACCATATGAAGGGGATATAAGTGAAAGAGATACTCGCCTTTAGTCGCGTAGCTAGCTTTGTTATCCTTGGTAAAATACTTGAGGAAGTTGTCCTCGATCCAGGGCATCCAGGCCTCGTATTGCTCGTTGTAAGTCTGCTTTGCCCACTCCATAGCGATTTTCCTTATCTTGCTTGTTTTACTTCGAAATGGTAGTCAATGTAAAACTCGAGGAAATTTTAGCAATATAACTTAAAGTCCAAAAGAAAAGGGAATCAAGCAAGGCCGAAAAGGAAGAGCCTGCTTCTTATTCATGACCACATCGAATGTCGACGTATGTAAACCTCATGAGTATCCTTGTCGAAGCAATGTGGCTGCTTTCCTACGTCATATGGTGGCTGTATTGGAGGGTTTGGTTGGTTGGAAGTACTGTTGAACAGGGACTAAACAAGGAATCAGCCAGTAATTTAGCCACATATATGCTCACACATTTATGTCATCGAGATAACCAGTCACATGAATTCATTGCCGATGGGAAAAGTTAATTTGGGAGTCTCAGGTAGTTATTAGCTAAGAAGCCTGCGATAGGGTGTTGTATGTAAGTCGTGCTCTAATTATTATCCTTCAGACGGAAAACATGTCATACTACTTTGGTACCTAACCTATTATGTAGTTATCGTTCTGGATAGGTACAAACACGTAAAAGCAAATAAAGAAATTCCCAGGATTGGGAGGTGGTTAATTACATGCGTTGCCAGTCTCCGATGCAATAAGAGGTTTGCATTAATCGGATATCACTCTAAGCCTGCATTGAAGAGTTGAGAGGTCTTGATTATTACCTAATAAGTAGGTACTTATCCGCGATGCCTAGAGAATATGCATTCTCAGAATTCCTATCGTACAAGCCATGTAGCTACCTAACGAACTATCCATCTCATTCAGTTCCTTGAGCGCTTGCTGGCGCGGCCACCCTCCTCCGCCTCCTCCTCGTCGCCTTCGTCCTCCCGCTCTCGCTTAGAGGCATTGACGGCCGCGTTATTTGCGGCAACGTCTCGTACCTCCTCACGCATGGAAGCCACATTGGTCTCTAGGACATCCAGTCGTGCGGCAATGGCATTCAATTGAGTACTGTTTTGAGTCAACTGTGCAGTGACCTGAGTCAACTGCGCGATGATTTGTTGAGCAACCTGGTTATTCAAGACAGTAACCGCCTGAGGTGCTTGGGGCTGGTTATTAGCTTGGTCATGCGTGTGAAAGAACAAGCAGCGTTTAACGCTGTTGCGATGGGCAAAGTCTCCTGCACAAGCAGGCCATGGACATCTGAAGTAACCATTCGCTCCAGCAGCAACCGAGCCGTGCTGGTCGGCTATGTGTTGACGGAGATCGGCTTCTGAAGTTCTACGAACATTGCATCCAGGGAAAAAGCAACGTAGACCAACGTGAATGTATCTCAGGTGGTCACTCGCATTTCCTGGCGAGTTGGATGTATGTCCGCATATTGGACAAATAAGTCCATTTCCTAGGAAAGTATTAACAAGGTTGATACATACGAAGGGATGTTTTAGGTATATATGTGTATTATCATAGCTGATAACTTGTTAGGTGGGCTGAACATACCTTGGGCCGCCATCTTTACGTTGTGGGTGATCTGATATCCGACTTATATGATCAATAAGAAGAACTACTTCAACCTTTAAGTTGTCGGTAAGTGAAACAAAAAAGAAACCAAGATAAAATCCCAGTATCCACGTCAAGAAGAGAAATGAATAGGCGGGATAGAACAGGAAACTTACTGCGAAATTGTGACTGGCTGCTCTAGAGACGCGTGCTAGTTGTTTTTCAGGTCGCGAAAGACTCGAGGCTTCGGGGTCAGAAGAGGACGAATTGTTTTCCGATTGAGAGTTGCAACAACAAAGTTATGGTCTGGAAAATACTTGCTGGAAACCTTTCTTGACGGAGAAGTAAATGCCAGGTGACGAAGTAGTACTAGGGGAACTTGAAGTATAGAAGGTCTTGTGTGTTGAATGATGAAATGCAAATTGGTTTCCCTCTAAGGCTTCCAAGGGTAGCTTGATATGATTTCCTTGGTCAAGACATGGCTGGCCAAGGAAGCCTAAGATGTTGCACTGGTGTAGGAAAGGAAAAGATGAAAGAGGAGATGAGGTGGGATGGTGTCTGTATTTATAGATGAAATTGTGGTGGCAGCAGAGAAATAATCAGCTGGGCAGAAAAAGGTGGTCAAGTGTGAGCAAATATAGAAGGAAGGTAAGAGTCTGATCAACAAAGTTTGTTTCATTCACAAACATTGGAAATCACAGAATGTATTTTGGTACTGGGAATTAAAACCAGTGGTGTTTTTATTGTCTTCGGGGCTCCTTATAGGCCCGGGCCAGCACTTGTAGTCACTGATCGGTGTTTGGTGGGGCCGAATTTGTGGGCCCCGGAGGTGGAAGAGGTCCGCATTGTGGACTACATCTCCTACTTATTTTGGAAGGACCCGGAGCTAGGACAGGTGCACAGCAACTTCCAAATCAGTTTGTTTGCTAGGTACATAAGTACTTTACTATTTGTTTGCTTGCACTTTCCCTCTGCTGAGGTAGGTGCCTGAGGTACCTAAGTGTCTAATCAAATCATTGTAGGCAAGTGCCTTCCATTTCTACAGTATGAACTTGAGCTCTTGCCTCACATTGTTTCTATTTAATTTCTGATCTTTCTGAGGAAGTCACCTTGGGACTCGGGAAATCGACAAAGAACTTGGTACTTAGGTACATGGTTACTGATTAGAAAATAGAAATTCCTCGAACCACGATCAGTCCGAGGCTTCCATTGATTTCACGCTTTCTCGAGAATCATGATAGATACCTTGGTACTTCCAATGTAAATACATGTACATAGGTACCTGGTAGCCACAAGCTTCCGTACCTAGGTACTTAGGTACTTGAAGTTCAGAGTTCGTTGTGTAGCAACGAAGCTGTTTACATGTTGCTCAGCTCCTCCATGTGAGACAATGTATGCCATTTCATATTTTTCATCCTAACATTAGGTGCTAATAGCTTAATACCTGGGTACCTAAGGAGAAATGATTCAGACGATGGAAGTGTACCCAAGTACCGTCAAGAACCTAGGCGAGACCTATCAATACCTAGGGGAATCGGGTTTACCAAGAGCTTTACCGGGACTACGCTCTCTTAGTAGGCTTACCGCACGTCTAACATATTTCATCGAAGTGGTGGAAGGCTATATTTAATGCGGATATCGTCTCGATGAGAGATAAGTTGCAGGCTAAAGGTCAGCTCGGAATCGAAACCAGGATCTACTGTTACACAGGTATCTATCACTAGTTCTCATAGGGAATCTGGGCGATGATGGCGAATCAAACTGGTACGTTTGCTTGATCTTAGCTAACTAACGGATAGAATAGTTTGTCATTCGTATGGGCCAATCTTTCCTTAGCTTTGGTGTGATATTTGGTGTGATATGGCATGTGCCTATCATTGGTATATACACGTTGCCCAACAAGAGTAAGGGTGAGCAGCACATGTGGCAAATGTCATATGAGAGTTCATTAAGGGTGCCACTAAAGCCTCGACCAATATGATGAGGTGTGGCCTTCGAGGTAGTTAGAGGACTTAAACTGGATAGGACATATTCGCCCATGTAGGAGTGAAAAGGAAATGACTGGTATTTAAATAGGTAGCCTTGAATGACACTTACATCCCGTGTCTCATACTAGAATACTACTGATTAAACCAAAAAGGGTTTGGGGTTATTATCGGCGGATCGTGGGATTGACGCCCCAAATGACGAGTATCCAATGATGGATCGCGATCCCGTGGAGTGTGTCGTAGATGCAGCGCAACTTGCATAAGGAAAACTCCTTCGAATTGTCAGCACTACCTCTTCTGTATATTTTATAGATTCCAGTAAGCAGCCCAGTTGAAAAATACCTGCTTTTAACCTTAGCTTGAAGAGGGCCGGCGATGCCGAAACTAGCCATAAAGTTGACCAGTCAACATAATACCCAGTACTAGTACGAATTGAAAATTGAGCGATTAATGCTTAATATTTCATAGAGACGGAAGAAAAGGATTGATATCAACTAAAAACGGGCTACCCCATGTTTTGCGTGAAACGTATGACAGCGTCTTGTCACATTTATGTTTAAACACATTGGCTACCTAGGTAGGCTGCATTGGAGATTATGTCCCCTTCTGGCATGTATGATGTCGCTTATGGTTGGCATTTCTCCGTAAGGTAGGAGTATATGCAGCCACCTTTTGACGGGCAAATCATATGCATTTTAGGTGTGCGGCGTAGGTAATATCATGAAGTTTAAGAGAGACTAACATGTCTGTTAACTCTTTTAGATCTACTCTCTTATCATGAAAGATGTGTGTGCTTATTGTCAATAACGAGGTTGGCTCCGTTCCTCTCATAGTTATATGGGACCGTTGTCATCCGAATCTTGATATTTTCCCCTCGGCTTCAGTGCGTTGGATGTATAGTGTTCTATAGTTACTATAAGTTCGAATTATATTTGAACTATGGCTGAGGAGGAGCCACTCTACTACATGCGCCCCGGCCATGTTATTGCAGCGGCAACAGTCCTTTCCGCCATCGATATTTTCGTCGTTGGGTTACGGTTTTGGGCTCGCAAAGTCATGAAACAACCACTCAGAGCTGATGACTGGCTCATGCTGCCTGCCACAGTATTCCAACCCAGAAATGGCCTCGATCCATTGCCTATGCTAACGTAGTACGTATAGCTTCTAACAGTGGGGATTGGCATTTGCCAACTCTACGGTGTTTCACAGAAGGCCCTAGGGTATCGAACTGTGATACCGGACGGCTTTCAAGGGAATCCGTTCGAGCTCGTCACTCCGCAGCTGCGTCTTAAGTCACAAGTAAGTGATGCCGAGGCGTGCAAAGTTAATAGGGCCTAACAATGTAGAACAGCTCGAATGGACTTTCTTTCTCATGCTCCCCATTGCGACAGGGTGTATGAAGGCGAGCTTTCTGTTCTTTTACATACGTGTTTTCGCGACCCAGGAGCGCAGCGCTATTAACAAATTCCTCAAAGCATTCATTGTATTTATCGTGGTATGGGCCGTCGCCTTTTTCTTCGGGATGTTCTTTGAATGCGGACGTAATTTCTGGGCTATATGGAACTCGCAAGTGGAATTTAGAGCGCATTGCTCTAGTAATACGAAGCTCATTCTTGCTCTATGTATTACTGACTTCATCGCGGACGTATTCATAATCTGTATTCCGATTCCCCTGGTAGGTGTCTCCCTGTGATCTACCGGGCCTCGGACTAATACGGATCTAGGTCTTACGGTTACAATTATCCCCAAGGAAGAAATTGGGAGTCTGTTCACTGTTCCTTCTCGGAAGCGGGTAAGATGATATCAATAATAAACCGCGACAGCGCTAATGTATTTAAGGACGGTCATCGCTTCAATAGTACGATTTGTACTCATGGCTGGAAGCTACCTAGGAAGTGTTAATATCACAAACGATAGTATTCGTAGGTACCGGTGGTCCTGCCTCTTCAAGAATGGAAGCTCACTTATCCTGTAGTTGGAACAACAGCTTGCCTATACTGGGGAATGGTCGAATGCGGCATAGGAATGTTAGCAGCATGTCTACCGACTATCCAGTTTCTCTTTAGAAAATGGATTTGGGAGCCAGTTTTGTTGTCTACCAAAAGTATATTCAGTTCGCAATCTACCCAAGCGACTAGAATATCATGGGCCGACGGGTCGCATCAAGCCTCTATTCATGTACAACAAACATTCCGCGTTTCCTACGACCAAGTTCACGACAGCTCTAGTCGGTCGATATCGCCGAATAATTTGCCAAACGTATCGAACGAGAGACTCGTACGAGAGTCGTATCCCATGCAAGACAAATGTGTTAGGACGGTTGCGTAACGTTTGGAAGAATATATATGGTTATGGCCTTAGACTAAAGAGGGGGTGTGTACGTGGGACATTCCGAATACGATATAGGGGTTATATACGATAGGGGATTTCAGGTAACTCATTTTGATATTTCAGGATGCGTTGGATTAATTTAATATTTGGCACACTTATGGTTCACCTAACGACTTAAAGAGTCTGAGAGTTGGGAGACGTATGCGTTGAACGCCGCAAAATACTGTGTGTTGAGATGTCGTCCAATCAACATATATCGGATGTGACAGGCTGGAAGTTCTAGACAAACTGAAGCCTCGTCATGCTATTCTGTTTTTGGTCGAGGACCGTACCTACAATACCACCATCATGCCATGCATTATAAATCAAGGCTGAAGAACTAACTTGGTTGGGATCACACGATACAACAAGGCTAACACTGCGGCCAATTGTTATCTCGCTAAATATGATCGCTCTTACGGAAGACAAGGGATCCGCTGCGGATGGACTACCTAGTCGTATTCGGTGTGAGTCAACGTTTTTTCGCGGTTATACCTTGTCGTTAATTCCGAATGCCCCATGCTTATTTTCAGCCGTCTTATCCGTCGCCAATATGATAAATTTATGTATATATAATTGGAGAGCCTTGCGGCTCAACTGGTAAGTCTTGGCTTTCCTATCGACAACAAAACACACGCATACACACATAGACAAAATGTCTTTTAACCGCATCGCTATCTACGGACACCGTGGCTGGGCTAGCTCGGCTATCACTAACGCCCTGATAGCTTCGCGCGCGCCAGTTAGGGTGCTGTATCGGCCGGGCTCGGACGCATCTGGTCTGCCGCCAAGTGTGCCCAAGGTTGAAGTCGATCTGGACAATCAGAAGCAATTGATTGCTGCTCTTCAAGACATCGATATTGTCATGTAAGCATAGCTAGCAGACTGCTTATCCAAGGCATGTATGTCCTGGCGCTAATCTATATCCAAAGTTCCCTAGCTGGTCGAGAAGCCGTGTCAAAACAACACGCTTTCATCAAGGCGATCCCGAGCACCAATGTGAAACTGTTCGTTCCGTCGGATCTTGGGTTCCGTAATTATTCAGAGTCAGCTTTACGGGTTCCCGTCTTAAAGGCCAAGTTCGAAGTTGAAGAGGCAGCTAAGGAAGCTAAGATACCCACCACGCTGGTATATGTAGGATCCTTTGCCGAATCGACGCTTTCGATTGGGTAAGTATTGCGCAGGGTATAAATGTTGAACATGAGCTAATAACGCGGGTGTGTAGAATCTTGGGAGTTGATGTTCCTGGGAATCGAATCATCTTCTCGGGGGATAGTGCCAACCAGCAAGCGAACATATGCACGAGGAACTACGTGGCCGCGGCATACGCATCCATCTTTGCCAGCACACCCTTGGACCAACTACAGGACAGGGCAATCGGTCTTTCAGAGTTGAGGGCTACGGGGAAAGAAATCGCTGCTGTCTTGAAAAAGAAACACGGCGCAGAACCACAGATATTCAGACACAGTCCGGAGAAGATTGAGAACGAGCTTGAGAGTGCGATTAAATCTGGTAGTCCCCTGGCTTTATCGTGGTACTGCCGAAAGGCTTGGGGGGAAGGGATTATAGTGAAAGGGGTTAGTGACTTATGGGAAGTTGAAGGCTATAAGAAAGCCACTCTCGAGGACCTGCTTCTCGAGGGGAAATTGGAACCCTACCGAGACGTAGGTCCGCAAATAGCGAAGGTTTTCGATTCCATATTCCACTAGCTGATTCGGTAGAATAAAGTAAAGTACCAAGATAGAATACAGAAGATGTACTCGAGATGTTAACAGGTGAACCGACTTGCTAATGATCAATGCTCGAAAGGACTGTAAATGAAAAGGCATTGTTCCACGGGAAAGGGAGGAAAACCACTAGGCATATCAGCCGATGAATATTACAGGAGAAATGCTACCGAAAATGTAAACGTGGAGTATATAGACTTCGAAGTTCCATATCCATATTGCCCGTAGCCATAAAATGCTGTAAGAGGTCAGGGTAGTTGAAATATTCGGCCTCGAATTTGATCCCATTCTAACTGCACAGCGTACGTCTGCATACGACGGCGAGTTATTCTTGTCACGCATTAAAACGTGAGCTTCTGCTATCACACACTACCTCGCAAGACCGTGTCCGAATAAACCCCTTCTCGCCATTGTTGGTCTTGTCGAAGTCTGTTTCTGTGGAACTCCTAGGCTTACCGTTGTGTTGAATATAGTATTGAATTTATCGGGACGACTAAAGAAAACGGATAATAGATCGTTTACCATATGCCCTCGTTGGATGGAAGTACGGTATAAATCTAGGCGACGGTGGGTATATGGCTATCATTGCTTTGGTCCTAGCTTTCCCTAACCATCATGACTAGGTATGTACACAACTTCTTTCTTGAATGTTTATTTCCTCTCGATGGCGGTAGGCTCCCACATCGTAATCTTCGACTTTGTCCTACGAGGATATTAGTAGACGCCCAGACGTAGGCTTGCAGTAACGTACGTGCTATACGGCTTGTAGGCTCCCCGCGTCAAAGTATAGTTAGGAATAGTCTTGACGTCGATATCCCCCCATACTCGCTTCGTGTATGCAAGTGACGGGTCTTGTGAAGGTGCTTTGTCGACGGTGTAGGCCAACCAGGCGTGCCAGCCGGGCTCAATATGGGACCTGAACTCAAGTATTAGTAAATAGTCCCAGAACCGGATGCTTAAAGAATACGTACGCGTCGTAGTCGGAGTTCTTGTAGTCCACCCATCTGGTTCGTACTGCGCTTCATTAGCTTTCATAATTGATGGATCCGAGGTTATAACGACGTACGAGGCAGCTCTTCCCCGTTCTCGAAATATTTATTGCCCAAACGGTCAACGCCGACTAAGGTACCAGCTTTCGTGTCGCCTACATCGGGTCAATATTTGTTCTGGGTCATCATATTTGTCATCATATTTCGCTTAAATCGTACCGATGGTCTATTTCAGGGGAAGCTGTCGTTAGTTTGGAATTAATAGCTCAATGATATCGAGGGTCGACGCACTTGCATTTGGTGGAAGTATTCCTGTCGCAATTCATGTTAGCATCAATCAACAAAATTCGAGGACCAAATGACTGACCTTTATTCCTATTCGCCAATAATTGGTGAGGGTTCTTGTGATGGTCGACATGGTGGGCGAAGCTCAATGGGACTTCGGTCACCCCTTCAATGTTGCTTGTTGCTGTCGTAAGGATAAGAGACGTTTAATTCGAGGTCATCGCATTGAAGGCGCATTCAATTGGGCGGAACACACCGGGCGCTTTAGTCCAGCGGATATTCATCGGTCCGACCTATCGTACTGACCCCCGTGATAATTGGAAGTATCTCAGTACCTAATCTAACGACGTCATTTTGAAAATGCTTATCGATAAGATCCTAATCGAGCAATTGGAAGCTTGAGCCCTTTAGTGTAGAGCTCAAAATTTAATTAAGTCGCAACTCTAGCTTCTAGCTAACGAATTCGTTATATAATATGAACTATTTGATTCCCTCCCGGTAGTTTGCCATGATAGGTCGAAGCGCATCACGATGCTGCTTAAAGCTGCGACCTACTCTTGCTCGTTCCCTGAGTCGACAGGGTCAGCAATGGTGTCGTCGATATTCCATACCTTCAAATCATATGCCGACAGGTAGCGCTTCCAGCTCTACCGGAATGTTGGCACCGTTCGTAAATGAGTTGGACAGGATCGCACCGTCATTCCAGATCGACGGATCGCAGATACAAATCTTAAAAACCCCTACTGATTTCTATGAGACACTTAAGGTCGGTAATACTCCCTTGGGAATGGGGTGAACGGGACTAAGTTAACACTTTTAGGCTAGAATACGTAGCGCTAAGAAAAGAATATTTTTATCTACTCTCTATATTGGGAAGTCAGAGAAGGAACTGGTATGTGTCTAAACCGGTCTATAAGAATGAAGATTAATACTAACTAGAATTGAGATTGCGACCCTTCAAGATGCCCTTCGCGCGAACCCCGAGCTGAAATTGAGCATCCTTACAGACGCCCTTCGTGGAACTCGAGAAGCACCTAATCCGTCTTCCGCGTCTCTTCTCGCTCCTCTCATTACAGAGTTCGGCTCAGATCGCGTCGAGATTCGAATGTACCATACGCCGAATCTGACCGGCTTCCGAAAGAAGCATATACCAAAGCGTATCAATGAAGGATGGGGACTACAACACATGAAGCTATATGGAATTGACGACGAAATTATTCTCTCAGGGTAATTATTTATATTTATTTTACGTCTTTTTTCCATGTAAGGGACATCTAACTAATCATATCTAGTGCGAATCTTTCGAACGACTATTTCAGCAATCGCCAAGATCGATATCACCTGTTCTCTTCCAGTGAAGTGACAAACTATTTCTGGAGACTGTATCAGGGCGTCACATCACTTAGCTTTTTGGTAGAGCCAATGAATGATGATCCTGCAGGTTTTAAACTATATTGGCCGTCGACTAACGCTGCCCCATCCCCTCTTGATCAACCTGCCGAGTTTATCTCCAAAGCTACACCGCTTGTGAGTAGGTTGATATCCCGGAAAGAAACCCTCGATGGTACCGAGTCGCAAGAAAAGAGTTCGTCCATATCGCGGAACACTAGAGTTTATATGCTTGGCCAGTTATCACAACTTATGAAACCAGATTCGTCAACTGAGCTCCCAGTGATGACTTGTATCTTAAAAACGCTTGCGGCTCCAGAGTATGCTGGCTCATCGTGGACTTTCACAGCGGGGTATTTTAATCCAGCTCCATCGCTTACGAACCTTCTTCTCTCAACGGCTTCGCAAAATAACGTGGTCATCACAGCATCTCCACACGCTAATGGATTTTACAAGTCAAAGGGTGTATCTGGGCTTTTGCCTGATGCGTACACCCTTCTCGCCCGGAGGTTCCTGCGCGCGATTAAGGAGCGAAAGCAGGATTCGGCAGTAGTTCTCAAGGAATGGAAGAGAGGCACTGTCAATGAACCAGGTGGATGGACATATCATGCTAAGGGGCTATGGATAACCCTTCCGAACGAACGGGACCCGGCAATTAGCATTATTGGAAGTTCAAATTATACGAAACGCAGCTACTCTCACGATCTCGAAGCCGGTGCTTTGATCGTGACGCAAGACGGCGATTTGAAGAAGAGGTTAGGCGATGAGCAAAAGTGGCTACAAGAGTATGCAAGCCCTGTAACGTTGGATGACTTTGCAAAAACCGAAAGGCGGGTCGGGTTAAAAGTCAGAATTGCAATGTGGATCGTCAGTCTCGTCGGTGGCGCGCTTTAATAATCCGGGTCATATTAGAGCTAGGAAATTCACAATCCAGACTCCAGTCACGTTAGGCGGCGAACCCGAAAATTAAAAGACCCGTAGTTCTCCTTGACTCGGCGAATCGACACCGAACTGTCTGCTGTTGAGCGATAAAATGCAAGAGGACGATCATCCAATCGCCGGGAAAAGCTTCGGAGCCAGGAATTGTCTTCTCAAAATCCATAGGCGGAGCCACGACCTCCGCATTTGATCTCATCATCACTACAATGATACCCATTATAGATGACAAAAAACATTTTCGTACTTATGCCTAGATCTATGGCCTAGTTTGGCTGGATCATATTCCTCTAACAGTAATTTTATGCGGTCGATTTAAGATGTGATCCGAAATTCCGGTCTCGAGACGATGAGATTGTGCCGACACGGCCTAACGATGAATAAATCACGTCGTTTCTATCGCTACGAATGGATATCGGGCATCGTTGATCCACCCCCACTGGAGGTGCTAATTAATTGATTTCTGGAACTCCTAGTCTATCATGCTCTTGGGTGTACTAAGTCTAACTTATAAGACGCACTCTGTCCTCATTAGCAAGCAATTCATTCAACTCCTGTCTTCTAAGAATTCGTTTAGAAGAATCTTTCCAACATGAAGTATCCGGTTATACTTGCTGGTTTAGCCTCCACGGCTTCAGCCACGATTTTTTACGCTGGTGTCGCGGAGTCTGGTGGCGAATTTGGTGTCTGGAGCGCCGATGCCAAAAAGGGTACCGGCTTACCAGGGACGTTTGGCGTCGACTACCAATTCATCAACAAAGCGGGTGTCGATGTTCACGTAGATAAGAACCACCTCAATCTCTTCCGTATAGCCTTTCTACTTGAGCGAATGGCCCCCGTTGCGACTGGTCTCGGCAAGACTTTTAACGAGACCCATTTCAATTACTTCAAGGAGGCAGTCGATTACGTGACAGTCACCAAGGGCGCGTATGCGATCTTGGATCCGCACAACTACATGCGCTATAACGACCCGAGCTCCCAGCCGTACAGCGGTAGTGTGATTGGTAACACCTCAGATCCTACCGCCGCTACGACGGAGCAGTTCGGAGAATTCTGGGGCGAGTTAGCCAGCCGCTTTGCGGATAACGAGAAGGTCATCTTCGGGCTGATGAACGAACCGCATGACATGGAGACCAGCCTTGTGGTCAAGAATAACCAGGCTGCTATAGATGCCATCCGCGCCGCCAATGCGAATAACTTGATTATCCTGCCCGGTAACAGCTGGACAGGAGGCCACGCCTGGACTCAGGGCCCGGATCCGAACAGCGCGCTCATTCACCAATTTACCGACCCGCTTAACAACACGGCTATTGATATCCACGAATACCTTGATGTGGACTATAGCGGTAGCCATAGCGAATGCGTCAGCGACCCAGCGACTAACTTAGCGGACGTAACAAAATGGCTGAAGGTTAGTAAACTTGTCGCATATTACAAATTACTACTGGCGAATTATCAACTGATTCCTTCAATAGGAGCACAATCTTAAGGCCTTCATTACCGAATTTGGCGGGGACAATAACACGGGGTGTGTCGACATGCTGACCGACTTCGTGAATTATCTAGCGGACAATGAGGAGTACATCGGCTGGACAGCGTGGGCGGCAGGCCCATTTTGGGGATCCGCCAGCCCCTGCTGCACAGACTCTCAGAACTACGGTAGTTTCGAGCCGGGCAGCAAGGCTGCCGATGGCGGCCCGAGTCTGTATGATACTATCTGGCTTAAGGTGCTGCAGCCACTTGTACCGACCAAGCTGCAGTGGAAGGGCAAGGCGAGTGTCGAGGGGGGAGAGCTGACCGACTTCCCGGCTTAAGCGTTGTGATCGATCTTCCGGGGTTCTGCAACATTGCATCACCCATTACGATGCTTTTAGGGCGACAATGAAACTATATAATTTGACCGCTCTTTCAGCCAGCCATTGATACTTGACGCATTCTTTGTGTCTTATGCTCGTTCTAATGTCCGTCATCCCGGTGTACTCAAGCTCGGATGTACGACTTAAATGCCGCTCCGTATACGGCTGCCAACATGGCCGACCTCTAAATGATCTAGGAAATTGATATGCATCTGCCGCAGTTGGATAGAACCTGTAGTTATCATGAGGACTCAATTCGCATATATTAACATAAACAGCAACCGTGGGATCCGGAAAGCCGTTGTACCGAGAGAGCCCTGCATAGGTACCTATAAATATATGCCGTGCTACTTGGGGAGTCTTTCTCATTTGTGCGGAACTTCACTCATCCGCTCTCTGCTAGTCCCGATCCGCCGGATGCCCCTTGACTCCACCACGGCAGGGTCCGCCGCATGGATGTTAGTTCCCGCCCCGGATTGGGAATGTTCCGTTTCAAGTAGCTGAATTGCGATTGGCTGTTAACCCCAGAGATCAAATCACTTTTGTTACACGAGACACTGGTGCGTACCTAGGAGGTAGTTAAACAATGTGGCTTTCGGGAAAATCGGTCATGTTTGAACAAATTCATGAGATACTTGGCTTGTTTCTACAAAGTCGGGTCCCGATTCTTAACCGTAACCCTTGACTGATAGTTAGTGACTTTCTTTGTCCTCTTTCACCTATCGAGGATCATCGGTATACTCCGAATATCCTCCTTCAAATCCACGCCAAGTGATGTAGGATGCTGAATTACAAATGACATGAGGAGCGTCATTTGTTATTGCCGTAATACCAACTATTTGATATAACTAAGCTCACCATGATTTCTCTCACGGCGGATACATAATACCCAAGCTAGGTTAGCTTTGAAAAGAGTTTGAATTGGGTTATTGGCTTTGCTAACTATTAGATGTCTTCGAGTACACGTTAATTCTATCGCTGGGTCCTCAATACCACTATTGGTATAGCTCAAGACGAATGCCCAGACCTCATTCTTTACACTGCCTCCATTTAAACATCCAAGATGCCATACACCGCATTATTTCATCTATTTGCCCTATATATCACCCAAGTAGCATCCTCTTCACAATACACAATTCCGCTTTCACACGAGGTCTGCGTATCTCAAGACTCTCCAAATCAGCATTCTCAGCAATACCCAACACTTGTTAGCGGGAATTTGAACGGAACTACGTTGATCGTCCCCATATCTCTTGAAATCGCGCGTCAGGTTATTCCTAATGAGTATGGAATTCTTGAGGAGGCGTACAGAACACTTCTGCCTTCGTTCCCAGATGGGATGTATCCAATGATGGCGCAGATAGTGCACGATCATGACCTCCAATTGCCCGCTTATAACGCTTCCTTACCAGACTTCTCGGTAAGCACAAGAGTTATCTTTTCAGTATTAGTTGAATATTCTGCTAACGATATCTTGGTAGCGTGCTTCTCTCGAGTTTCCGTTCCTAGATATCTTTGGCGGTGGTTTTACTCCCTTCCGGTGGGCCGCAACGTTCATGATTTCGGCGGAAAACCAACTCGCCATTGGGGGAGCAGAGAGCTACGGCGCGGATGTCCACCCATCAACCTTTGATCCCCCTTGTGACGCTTACAAGAACTTACCTGGCGGTACTACATACGCGCATAGCCGGAGCAACAACAGGACACGGGATGTATATATGACCATAGAGTCGTCGCAATCTTGGGGAAATGTTCCGTACCCTCTGGATTTCATCAAGAACATTACCAACCAACCTGTTTTCGCGAACACCCGAGCTTGCGATTACTACACGAGACTGTTCAATACGACGCTTTCGAATAGTGCAGAGCCAGTTGTGGGTAGTGTAAGCGTGAACATGGAACCTTTTAAAGAACCCAAGGTATGGAGCGGTGTGTACGGATGGCGACTGGCAACCCCATTTCTTGAACCACCAGCATTTTCCGAATGTAAGCCGACGACTTAAATCTACTATGGAAGCATTTCCACTTGTTGAGACACCTATAAGTCTTATGACGAGGATGGTTGCTTCAAAGATTTGGAATGGTCTTCCTCGTTGTCACGATTAATAGGGGTGGCTATGGTACCCCTGTGGTGCTGGGCTTGGTGACGAACTAGAGAGAAACTTAGGAACGGTAGTTACCTACGGCTATAGTTTTAAAGACGAAAAGAAAGACTATTCGATATGAATGTAATATATAATTACCTAGGTTCGTTATTAACTATACGAACGTGAGGTCGCTATCAAGTGGGAACACAACATAGCGTCCGCCGAAAAATTATATGTGAGCTTGTTTGAACTGGACTATAGATATAGCTAGACGTCCTTCGTGATGCGAAGATTTAATACTGGGCTCCTTTTATATCCCAATAAGGGAAATTTTGAATTGTTAGAAGTAATATTGTCAGGTTATAGTGGGTCAGGGTGGCTACAGGGGTCTATACGAGTATATAAGAGCCGCGAAGCGCCCTCGTCAGAGGTTGAAAGCCCAGGCGTTACTAAGTTCAATACAATTACTACTTGGTCTACTACCCTGTACACTCACTCTATGCATGATTCACCTCACTAGGGCAACCACTCCTGACAAACATCATCTAATGATGGCAAATGTGAGTAGTCTAAACCCGAAATATGTGATACACAGACAGATAAATCCTACCTTTACGTCTATGTAAAGTACGCTTAATAGTGGAACTTGCAGACACGAAGTATTTAGTTAGTCGATATGCAAACTCTTATTGTTCGCTGCTAATACATTCCCGTAGATTCCCACCACAAATTATATACCCTCATTTCCCCAGTTTAAATGCCTAATGTTTACCTTAGGATGTTGTGTTGAATGCGAGTAAAAATTTCCTATTTAGGATACATGTCTTACTACCTTGTAGATAATATTCCTGCCTTATAGAAAGTAGTGAATATGAAAGGAATAAGTCTGCATATGCAAATGTTTAAGGCTTCTTTATTACTTAGGTCTTGAGGGTGTTGTCTCAAAGTTCTCGAGGGTATTAAGAGTATTGCCCAGCCGTGTAATAGCAGTAAATTCGGGCTATTGTAGGGGTGCCCTCCAGTTTAATAGGGGGTAGGTTACTAATATATAATAAAAATAAAAATAGTATAGAAACATGGTGCGGTGTAAACCTTAGGCTTTTGTGTTGCCTGGGGGGTAACCTCTAGTCTATAACATAGAGACTCGCCAGCTTAAGCCCTTCTATAAGTCGTCTATGTAGAGTACTGGCCTGAATGGCGCGGTTCTAGCTAATACCTCCCGTGTTCCTCCAATCTATTCTCTAATATTTTATTAATACTGCTACAATTTTTCCAACCAATCAGATCTTTAAAATCGCCCCGTGTTGAAGTGAGTGGTCAAGGGACTACTTTCAAGTACAGTACATGGTATCTTGGCATGGAATGTATATATAAGAAGGACCTCCCTCCTCACTCATACAGTTGGTAGATTAAGTCAATATACAACTACAGCTCATATACCGTATCTTTCAGTACCCCGCAATTGGCGACATTTTCCATTACCATTCTATAGTATAACGTTTATAAAAGGTGCAAATAGTATAAATATATTACGCAAAACAAGCTTTATTTAACAATACCAATTATTAAAAATTTTACTTAAAAATTGTGGAACTGGTCTTGTATTGCGGAAGCGTTGTTGAATCTAGAAAGACTACGGGACCACGTCTGTTTATACTCGGCCCTGTGGGGCCCTAGGGGCCTCGTTCCTTCCCTTGATGCTATTACCGTGACTCACGATCGTGACGTGGACCACCTGCCAACAAAAATAAAGCAATGCAATTAATTTTACAAAAAATTCATCGGACGTACGCTAAGGTCCCCTCCCCCCTTTTCTCCCCCTTTCCCCCGTACGCGCTTGCGCGGGCGGGCAACGCAGCTAGTTACTCAAACTGCCCAGATGCTTCCAACTCTTCCAGGTCGTCAAGCCCTCTGCGCTCGCTACCATTAAGTTCGTATTGCTTGAGCTCCTCGGGAATGTCCGCGTACCCAGCGTCGGCCTCAAACAAGTCGTCGAACTTTTGCTTCACGTCTGCAGGAACTGAGTCGTCGTATTTGAATTGGTGATCTTCAAAAGCAACAGTGTCGGCTTCAACAGTGTCCTCCGCACTAACCCCTTGGAGTTCTTTGGGGATCTCGTCTCGGCTCGCGAGGTCGCGCTTGTTGCAGTAGTTGCAGTCCATCCAGAAAGATCCCCGGCAGTTTGCTGCGCCGATGCAGAATCGCGAGCCGGAAGCAGAGCGAGCGACCTCACCGCAATTAGTAGGGCCTTTAGCTTTGCAGATAGCTCCGAGCGCGGTAGGGGGGACGCCCATGAATTCTGCCGAGGAGACTGCACCCGAACTGGACGGGCCACCAGAGCAGCACTGCCAAGGTAAGATGCCACTACATTGATGGTAGTTTCCCTTGCATGTCGCGCTCCTGAAGTTACGAATGGTCACCCCAGAGACTGATCCGGCGGCCATCGTGAAGGTAAGAACAAGGGCGGAGAAATGCATTACGATATGTAGTTTGGTAGACAAAAAATAGCTTAGATAAGGGGCAGCTTAGTATGAGTTAGGTAGGTTAATAGATATCAGGCAAGACGAGGTTTGAATTGACTTAGCAGTGTAAATGTGAATGTGAGTGTTCATAACATATTGTGGAACTGGTCTTGTATTGCGAGTGCGTTGCTAAATCTAAAAGGCTACGGGACCCCCATCTCTTTATATAATCGGCCTTGAGGGCCTCGTTCCTTCCCTTGATGCCTCGATTGTGATTGCCTCAGTGACCCATGACTATAGCCAGCTGCTTGCAACTGTAACCCTAATTGGGTGACGTGGATCCCCGACCAACACATATTTTATGTATCTTCTCGAGCACCGTAGTTTCCATACTATCTAGAAGCTAAACAATACTACACCGTCTATCTTGAGACTTCTTGCAGTGAGTTGCCAAGCATGTTCTTTCTTACTAGGTACCTTAGTTCCCCAGTTCTCAGCTCTCCGCCTCGGAGGATGCGGCAGAAAATGCAGATCGAATTGTAGATTAAGGCACAGAGCCAGGGGAGGAAAACCCAAGGTAGTATTATGATCTACTTTCTACGAGTTGTAGTTTCCACGTGTTTTGGGCTAGGCTGTGCTATAGCAGTTAGGAATGCCGTCATGGTGGGTTTTAGTCTTACGGCACAGCATCTTTGCCGCACTTGGAAAATCCACTGAAAGGGTAATGCCAATAATTTTAATTTACTCTTTGCCTAAATAATTTTGAAGGATTCTATTCTAAAGCTAGTGACAAATAAGCCCCAGCGCGATAGTTTGTCTATGAAGCACATCTATTCCCCTTTACGTACGTACGTAGTTTAACTAATGTAAGTTACGAGTGTTTGTTACGAGTGTTTGTGGGTCTTCTCTAATGTTTCCGCGTATCAGGGGCAAGAATCCTAGAATAAGTATAGGGTGTGGTAATTGGTATACTGAATACGACGAAAGCACAAGCGCCTCTCTTAATCGTATAGACTACTCAAAATCAACAAGCCAAGAGGTTTAAGACAACTTCACAAACGAGGATCAACCTGAATGATCGACAATCTATTGAAAATAACTTTTTGTAACATTGCTCTCACCGTCACGGCATAATCGCTCAGCCCAACAATTATGTCATAATATAATCCTATCGTATTGGCTCTCCAATCCCGTTCTCAATATACCACGAGACTAAGAAAAACTATCATCTAATGCTAAGAATTTTGGCTTGTATATTCTCCAAGATGACAGCGAAGCTCGCCTTCCCATCAATGTCGATCAATTGGCAAAATTCGTATGGTATGTTTACCGCATTACTGTCGACGAAAATAGCACAGGCAACGTTGTAGCAAACCAGGCGGTTGTAGTTAGCACCGCACAAGGTGGATAGTAGAGTCTTCGTTGTCTTGCGTCTAAGTATTTCTTGAAATATGAAATTCTATATAAGGGAATTATTTCCCCAAGTTTCTTACCTATCTAGAATAAATCACCATCAACTCAACTCATATCAATCACAAACCACACCGACTCTCACCAACTCATACCAACATAAACTTTGACCGTACGTTGTCAACTCAATCATAAATACTTGATTTACTTATACCAACTCTTCACAGTATCTTCAATAAAAAAAAACTTCACCAATCCATCAAAATGCAGTCATTTACAACACTCGTTTCGATTCTCGCCATGATGCCCGGCTTACTCGTTAACGCTTGCGATTGCCATCATAACAACGACGCCGGCCGATGGAAGGGTTCTCAAACCCCCTCCAGTGCCATCGCAGAACTTTGCAAGGAAGGAGGCGCCTGCAAGGAAAATGGTCATGGAGCTAGGCTTTGTGTTTTAGGGGATATCTCGCAGTGTCTCTGCGCCGTTGAGGCGGCTGAGAGCTGGCAGAGCAAACATGGAGGAGATTGGTTCCTGTGGTCTGGCGTCAACTGCGGCGACTTGACTGTCACAATGAACGCTGCTTAATTGGAATGTACATATATGCACATGGATACGCATACCTAGCCTATCACTTCTATTCCATGACCGATCGAATATTTTCGAATCATATATAGTTCTACAATTCACATTTCCAATTGCCGAATGTTTTGGCGAAAACTGGTGTACTCGGTAAAATACCTAGCTTACTTGAATATTTACATGTTCCTGCATCGTTAATATATATTTGATAAATTGGGGGGATTTTGTCTTCATATTTGGTCACGTCAACCACTTCAGTGCCTTGTCAACGCGTTAGTATGCATCAGCTATAGCAGCTTTACATAGGTACGTATAGGTAACTCAGATAGGTGGAGGATATACTTACATCTTCTCCTAGTATAATATTTACGAACTTTCGAAATAACAGGTACCTAACACTATATCAATAGCTAGGTACCTTACACTTTCGATTGTTGTTACACGTGGTTGTGCGTCAGAAAACGTGGCTGAGTGGAATCAAAAATGACGTAGTCTGGTTGTAGGCGCTTTGATAATATAAATCGTTGCGCTAAACTGTAACAAGTAATTAAAATGGCGGCACAGGCTATAAGTCGAGTAAAAGTGCCAGGGGGGTTAGAGGGCCTTGTGATATAAATATGCCCTCTATCACATCTTGCTACTCAAATATGTTTCCATATGAGCAATATAGCATTCTATCGACAATATACTCAGCCTCCATATAATTTCGACTCAAACCCAAATGGCTTCTCAGTTACCAACGGCCAGGCCTGACTTTGCCCTGAAAGAAGTGGACCCAGATATTATTTGCATCGACAACCACAGGTTTCGTATCAACTATGACGTTCCGCAAGAAGTCACCGACCGTCTCTATCATCTAGCGGAACAGGAAGACCTCAGATATGAGGATATCCCACATGAGTTGAAGGAATATGAATCGCGCGATCCGCCAACGGAGGAAGAGATGGGAGCATCCATCGGCACTTTTATTGATATTGCTGGTCGCGAATTTTTCATGGGTCCAGACACGCCACAGCACATTTTAAGCCTTGTGGACGAAGTGCTGCAGAGAAGTGAGGAGATTGCGTATGAAGATATCCCTAACGAATTGAAGGAGTATGAGGTGACGAGTGCGACTTTGAAGAACGGGAGTACAAGGGCAAATTAATACCTATATCATATATGAGCTAGGAGTCTCGACAGCCGCTGTTGAGTTTTGGCGATTGAGTAGATCACCAATACGAGAAAGTTGTCTTCGCGAGCATGTGGTCCACGGAGTGTTAGTAGACGATACCGGGTACCTAAAGCCGAACGAACGCAGAATGTATATAACTTGAAAATTTATTTTGATCATTTTATTTTATTGATTATGAGATGAGTTCAATTATCTCTTCAAGTACAGGAATGTCTCAAGCGTTCCAGCCTTAACGCAACGTAGCAACAAACGAAAGTCTCAAGCCGTGAAGTTACGTGTCCAGGTCTTCCAAAAGATACATTCTATTTGAAACTTAGTTGTCTAAACTAGGTACCTGTTAGTTATACGTTAAGTAGGAAAGTATTGCAAATCTTAGAGAATATGTTTAGACCATAGTGCTCAAGACTACCTACATATGCCTATAAATCCATTTAGGTATTTAATACAATGACGTCCAGATATATAAGGTATTTTCAGCCCCTCGAAACAGCCACGCTGTTAAATGTTCCAAAGGGGCTCTGAAATATTTTATGCGATTAGCGTACCTTTAGATCCTGAAACCTACCCCCTTTCCTCAGTTCCGCCCGTTCCGCAAGTTGCAACCTGGTCTAGCTTATGCATCTAATGTAGCCATACTTGAGACACTTCCGATCTATATGGTGCTGATTTAACCCTTGTTCATATTGAAAAGTCGAAGAAGAGTATGGGATACTCAGGTATCAAGGTACCTGGGCCTCCTCGAAATAGGTAAAGCCAGCAGAAAATTCGGATTTATATGGATAAGAACCTACCGTAGGTTTAGTAGGCCCCCTAGGATAAGCCCTTAAGTGAAATTAGGCATGTTAAAAAGCTAGAGTGGAATTGGTTGCCATTCGGTGTTTGTTAATGTCTTACATTGACATAGTAGATTTACTTTCAAGGGAGTTATGCTTTGCTCAAGGGGCAGGCATCTTAAATCTAAATGCTTGGTTAAATTGTATAATGGCTTGAATTCCAACCGAAGTCTCATTTGCTTAAAATTATGTGATTTATGCCATGCATGCCTACCCTACTATTTATTATTGTATATTATTGTGGTTGTATTACAGTGTACAAATCTAGCCGGTATTAACTCGGTCTATCATTTTCTTCGTTTATACATTATCGCACAATCTCTTCATAACTGGTACGATAATCAGTCTCTTAGCTTGTATAATGAAAATTATAATCGACGATATGGTCGTCCCTATTGTGCTACTAGAGACGATCTTTACTCTAGTGTGTCTAAACTACATTCCATGTCTTACTGAGTGCTCAGTCACCTAATCAGTTATGACAGCTATGAAATTTGATTTTCAGACTTATTCTTACGTATGTGGCTTATACTGAGACTTACTTTAACTCACAGAATGCGCGTGGTAGGTTGTTACCTGAACATTATCGATACCCCGGCCGAAAAGTGTCACCGTCGGATCGAAGCGTCATATCTTCGTCCTTACTATATAAGCTCCGACTATCCCACCTATCGATGACAAGGTTTTATCACACACTGGGATTTCATACCGGCTCCTCTATGCTGGTATCATAGATCTTAAGGGCCACCATTCGCCCTACTGGGGACGTCCTCGGCACTCACCAAGGAGAAGAAATAGTAATCACAACCAACATATTAAAATTTCAACGCCTAGCTTACGATAACAATAATGATATACTTCCTAACCATCCTTCTTGCTGTCGCAGTTGCGTCGCCTGCTCTTGCAGATTTCACCATTTATATTGGAAAGAGTAACGACATTACCGACGTCGGCGTCACTTTCAGCTCGACGGAAATGCAAGTCCACGACCACGCACCGCTTAGTTGCTCCGATATGGGTCATGTGGTACCTATCTCGGCCAGCAGTAATAATGATGCTAGCAAGGGACGATGGGCATGCGATGGATGCAGCGCAAAAGCACCGAGAGACTGGGTCATCGATCGATTTGAAATGTATAATAAGGACGATGCCGTCGGTCACTCGACAGACCATCCAGTTCCTCTGTTTAATCGATCGACAGGAGCGGTCAGTAAGTAGAGATGTGCCCCCTTTCATTTAAAATTCTGAGAAGTTAATTAACAGGTATCTATAGCTTTATACTCAACAGGAGATAATAACTACGACATGAGGGATATCAACAACACCTTCCTTGGCACCTGTAACCGCCCTAAACATCCCCAAGAGATGGACTGCTGGCAGCTTATCTCCGCTACATTTCTCACGCATGTTTTTAGTTGTAAGTCTACCTAATCACTAGGTTGGACATAGAAGAAAATGAGCTGGAAGCTAATATCAATGATAGGTACTAGTGATCTCGTCCCGAATGACGACTTATGGGTACAAGACGAATAAAAATTGTTTCGATTAAGTTACAAATCGACGGCACAGCGATGAAGTGATGATGGCGATGTATTTTGTCCATTTGATTGAATTAAATGTTGACTTTAGTTATCTTAAGGGGCTTGCTTGGAGTACTTCACGACATGGCATTCTGGGTTTAACCCTAGTTTTATCTTCAGGAAATATTATAGTTTGCTACCAACTGGTGTTGGATTCAGGGGCTCTGTGCTATCACTTGTTAGGAAAGCCGGGTCGAGGGCTCAGGGAGTCAACGAATGTAAAGACAATACCTATCAAAGTATGAAGAAGTCAAGTTCCTAGTATATATGCTTCCTAAATTAAAGACTTCATAATACTTGCGCCATCTTACATCCAATAACTCATCGTATTCCCACGGATACTTGCATTGGTAGTTCACAGAGAAGTTTTAGTGGCATAGAAGGCCTTGTTATTTGATCCTCACCTATGACCATGCGATCCCCCAAACTCGAGAACCTATCCGCTCTTCGACATATGAATGGAACTAAAGTTATATTAATATAGGGACAATGTTTAAATCACATGACAACCAATAAATAGTACTCACCATAGTTGAAAGATCATGATGGTTGCAAATTAACGCGAATGAATTCATGTGCACGTCTACCTAAGTATTAGACCTATCGGACCTATCGAGTACCTAACAAGGACCAAATTAGGAGCTGGCATTCGAACCCGTTAGTACTCCGAGTTCTTGGGCGGTACTCCGGATCAGCTCCTTTATATCTGCCTCATCCATAGTCCTTAGGCCCAGCCGTTCATTCCAAGACAACTTTTGGAAGTCTTCACCACCATAGCCCTTTCCATACATCATCTGGTAGTAGTAACTAAACCAGCCAGATCTATCGCCCTTTGCTAGCTTCTCCTCGGCTTCGGCAACCATTTGATCTATGTCAAGATCCAGGATCTTTCCGCTTTCCACATCACCGAAATCAATACCTGTAACCTCAGATGCCAGCTTCGTGAGAAGACGCTCACTAATGGCGGCGGAATACATATAAACCGGCTTGTTCGCGGTTTCATCCAGGTGTGCAGGGTCAAGAATCTTGACTACTGCCGCAGCAATATCAGGGAGTGTCGAAGTTCCAACTAAGTTATTACCGCCATTATGAAAGACAGCTTTTTTATCTTTGATGTTGGGACCCAATGCGCCTGCCTTTAGGCACATCTCGAAGAACGGGCCATTGTTCACGGAGGTCCAGGTTGTGGAGGTGCCGTTACTAGCAATAGCAGACTGCAAGTAATCGCGAACTTTGACCTTCTCTTTGACTATTGGTAGTTGTCGTGATAGCGGGGTATCGAGGTTGGTGCTGTACTCTGATGGGATAATCCGTTTCACAGCGGCCGCAATGGCAGCATCGATCATAATACTCTCCGTTGCGAGAGCAGGATTTGGGACGGCGCTAATCAGAGTCAGGTGGTTGAGGTGAGACTCGAGAGACGAGACAGGGCATAAAAGAAATGATGACGTACCTGACTACGGCATCCTGTCCTTTGAAAGCAGACGTCAAATCATCTTTGTTGGATAACTCGACCTTAATGCTTTTGACCCCTGAAGGAACGGGGTTGGTAGAATCCTTGCGTTGAATGGCAGTTACCACGAAGCCTGCCTGTGTAAGTGCATTGCGAATATGAGTCCCTAAAGCACCAGTAGCCTGTAATCCTTTTAGTATAAGTTAACGGGATATAGACTTCATGCTTACACCAAGAAGTGCCACATTTCGAATGGGTATGGCCATATTGAGCGAAATCGAAAGCGAATATGAAGATTTTGATAAAGGAATCACAAGTTGAAGTTGGAAATAATCTTCGAACCGTGTAACTGATGCGCGACCCTGAAAGGTATTCTACATATACAAGAAACATCGATTTGTCATCGGCGTGAACTGGCTCCGAGCTTCTGGGCCACCGGCGTGACGCCAGCCCGGCCAGCCAGTCTCGGCCCCTTCGGAATTTATGGATACGGGGGAAAAGCATCCCGCTTACTAAATATGAACTAGACAAGTATGGTTTATAGATGTTTTATATTGCTGCATTCCGAAATGACTAATGCTGTAGATGTCGAAAACAAAAAGGGGAGGGAATACTCATTGACTTCCCCCGAAAAGGAGGGCCATAGTGGGAATTGCGGGGGTGCATCCGGGGCTGAAAACGCCGGGGACGCAGTGAAAAGGGCTAGCATCATTATACACAAAAAAGCTCAAGAATACTTGCTGTGGCGACCAAAACGGAAGCGCCTATTTCTCCTTTCATTGGCTTGCGGATCATACCCATAGAGGGACTTGCAGGGTCTAATAAACAGTTTACCAATAGTTAAATATAGGTTAATAATTATTTAATAATCATATATAATTAAACGCTTATATCATTACACGTTAATAAATATATATATTTAATTAAATTTAAACGTTTAAACCGTTTAAACGTTTAAAATATTTTTAACATTTATAACTTTTAACGTTTAAATTTTTTAACGTTAAAACGTTAAAATTAATATATATTTTATAAATTAAAAAAAAAAAAAATATATATTAATTAAAATTATAAAGTAAATATATATTATAATATTTTATAATTTATTTAAATAAATTATAATATATTTATAATTTAATTATAAAAGTAATAATAATAAAAATGATTTTATTTTAAATATAAATATATAATAAAATAATATATAATAATAATAATAATAATAATATATAATAATAATATATAATATAAAAATATATTTTTTTTTTATATATTTTATATTTTATAAATAATAATTTATTTATAATTTATACCTTTTAAACGTATAAAAGATTTTAACATTTATATTTTTTAACGTTTAAAATATTTTTAACGCTTATTACTTTTAACGTTAAAAAATTTCAACGTTTAAATTTTATTAAATATTTAAATCAATTAAAATATTTATATTTATCAACCCTCGCTTAAATATCCGCATCCTTATAAACGTTAGAATTTTTCAATCATAAACCAAATATCAATTAATGGTTTATTAAACCTAGCAAATCCTGGTATAGACCCGAGACAAAGGACGGCGCGGCGCTACTCGGAGATCCGGGCAGACTTAAACAGTAGGGAAACGGATGATGGGGGCACCGATAAAGATCTCCTCCAGGATTAATAGGCGTCATATGTGTCTACTGACGTCGGGGGCTCTCGATCTCCTAACCGGTAGCGATAACAATAACGACGTGCGACCATAAACCACCGGTCGCACTACACGCTAGCCTCAGTCGCCTAGCGGATCATCCTCCAGTATAATATCTAAGAATTAGCTCTGGTTTAGCATTAGTCGGGTAGGGGCATTGTCGCTAGGCCGGGAGAAAGTCGTTTGAGTGCAGCGTACCTGCATCCGAACGCGTAGCTTCGTCACGGTACACTCCCGGTACGGGGATACGGAGTTGGTTCCGCCTGACAGAAAAGATAATTAATCCATCCCTGTCAGATAGTTTTTGGGACGCATTGTCTTAGGCACTTGGGTATTCTAGTGCTATCCAGGAGGATCTCTTCGAGAATTATCCCGGGCTAAAATGTCTTGCACATCTCAGATCCCTAGCATCGTGATGCTGAGGTGAAGGTCGGATAGTGGCCCGTTCATTAAATCCGGGTGGATTATCACTCTACTTATAGCGATACCCAGCCACCGTAGCTTACCTAGTGGTCATATATTAAGAGTAATGTTATTTCAGTAGTAATGGTATTTCAGTAGTATTTTATTTTAAGCAGTAGCCACAGTCAAAGTGGGGCAAACCGCAGGTACGTACCCCGCCATACAATTTTTCTAGTATCTTTTCGTACCTCATGTTCATTCATCTTGTATATGCTTTATAATACCTGGCAATACCCTTATCTTATACCCTCTCGTACATATAGCCTCTTATTCAATTCAATTTAATTAGGATGCAAGGCCCGTACGTCTTATTATACTGCTTCTGCTCGGTCGCATGCGTATATAATTATTGCGAGGTAAAAAGGCTGAAAACATGGTCCCTATGTAAGGTTTAAAGGTACCTTGTATTCGTACGAGGCTGGCTGGCTGGCTAGCCAATCAGGTAGCTGTATTGTATAAGGCTGTTGCATGTGGGTGCATCTTAAGAGATTGGGGATTGCGCGAGGTTGACATAAAAGATACATGCGCAGCCAGGAAAGTTTGTATGGGAATACATGTAGTACTTATGCGACTCCTGCGTGACTCTTAATTGTGGCTGGATGATGTGGCTACTGCTGATTTAGCCTTGAAATAAAATACTACTGAAATACCATTACTACTGAAATAACATTACTACTGAAATAACATTACTCTATATTAAGGCGGAATGCCTTTTACATAGCAGAAGATCTATTCAATTATACTGGGCATGAACCTAGATATCAAGGCCTACGAGAACTGTTCAAATGCTGAATGTCTTCGAGCTTAGTGCAATTGAGAGGAAATAGGAGATTGCTGTTCTTTTTAGTGCGCGAAGGTACGAAATGAATACCTGCACGCATCGAATAAGGGGTGGTCGCGTAAAGAAGGGAGAGACTTGGCTTCTTTGCCTGTAAATTCGAAATAATTTATTGGGTACGAGTACCGTAATACATAGTAACAAGTGCCAGGGACAAGGGGGATTTAGCAATGCCATCCCCATGTTAAATAAGAACCACATATTGAGGCTCAAGGCTCAAGTCTACTGAGCGTCATAGAAATACTGTAAAGCTATTGGTTCTTCTTGTAATGTTTAGTTCTAATCTAGTGAATTCCTTAAACCCTGTCGCAAATCTGTTTCAGTCATATTTCTCCTCGCGCCATATGGCACGATCGATTAATACATAGATTTTCGATATTAGTTAGATCCACTTGGCCCACACTTCTTTCGATAACAATAGATCTACATAGATCTACACGAGGATGAAAGAAACAACGATGAAAGTCAAATGCTAGGACAGATATATACTTCTTTCAGAGAACAATTTGATAGTAGTTTTCTGCATACCTTGGGTACCTGTAGGTAACGACGAAATCCGTCACGCGTAAGCGACCAGGTTAAGCTATCGCCAACTACGTCTGGTGCGCTTAGGGGGTATCTTTGGTATTGTTTCGAATCCACCTGATGCTATGACCCAGAATAGGAAAGCCTCTAAAATCGACTGATTATGAGCCGAGCCGCGATGACTTCGTCGGCGCCAGGATCCAGGGGGTTTTAATATCATTTTTTCTGGTTACTTAAATTGACAATAACCCAGTTTTGCCGATCAGATGTACTAGTCGAAAGAGTCAAGCAGCGCTTCACTTCATATTTTCCATTCTCATACTCGCCTATATATCTCAAGCGTTTATCAACTTAAACAATTTATAATTCTTAATTAAACTACTTTTGTCATCTTTCACCATGCCCGCTATCGACACCGAACTTATTACCCGTGAGCTGCCCCAGCTCATCACCCGGGAAATGAGCAATATGAGCATCATCATGAAGAGGGAGGTTGACCATAGAGCGGTTGAAACGTTTCTCGTTGGTAAGTGTCTGCTTAGTCCATTATACCACATCTTAAATTAACATGTTTTAATCCAGCCTTTACCTGCATTTTTGGTGTCGGCGGTTGGATCCTCTGGATGGTTAAGCAAAAGTAGTCGATAACCGAAGCAATATTTTTTATACACAAATCGCCTCCGGCCTTACACCGGAACTTGATCCTCCTACTTCCTCCAGTGTCGAGGAGGGAGGGCGATATACTATTGATACCCAAGATGCAGAAGGACATCTAGACTACAGGCGAGCAGATGTACCACCATATATAACCGTCGTGCTGACGACATTGAGATACCCAACGTTGAGAAGATAGAGATTGTGGGCATATCTGGACCCCTATCATAAGGGGTGAAGTTATTTGACATCAGATACCTAAATTAGGTATCGTAACTAGTTGGAGAAGAATGCGATAAATTTGGTTAAACAATCTATATTACTATCGCTCTATTCTGTTCCAAGCTTCGTAGCCAATTTATCGCTCTTGACGCTTTTAACATGCCATGCTGAGTTGAGTACAGGATCAATGATGATTTATGCCATGGGCATGTTAATTCCGGGAAGCTCTGTGAGCCCTGTTGCTTAATTAGAAGAATGAACCACGAGTTTCGATAGTAGTATAACTTACATCCGTCTTCATCCTCAGACACAACTTTCTTCACGCTGCACTGCCTTGCGGCGTCGATGGCCTGGGTCTTGAGGGTTGCGCAGCGAGCACCCATGCAGCCAGAGGTATCCATAGCTGTCTGGAGGGCATTACCCTTCCATCCGAAGACGTAGTCACCGTGCTGGCCGTATCCGGTGTTGTCGCCTGTGCTGAGGTAGAAAGGCTGAGATCCGTCGGTGGGCCACTCGTTCTTGTCGTTGAACTTGGTGGTGTCCCAGACAACCTCTAGTAATAAAAGTTATTAAAGCAAACAGAGACCCGAGAAAAAGGACATAACTTACCGTACATGAGCTGCGGGATCCGGATGGGGTGGGTCGACGGGCAGGCTCCTCCCAAGCTTAGGAAGTTGGCCGGGCCGGTCGTGGGGTAGGCAACGTGGTCCTGGTGGTTAGGGCTGTCCAGGTTCTTGCCATCCCAGCAACTAAGAAGACCATTAGTATTCCTCCAAACCAAGGGGAAAGAATGCGAAGGAACTTACGTGGGGAAAAGAATGTTGGATCGGATACCACCAGCGCACACCTTGTTGGGGAGAGCCTCAGAGTCGACGCTGCGATTATGGTAAGCTACAACAGTTACTAAAAGGGCGATAATAACAATACTGACTTGTCATCCATGCAGGGAGCACCAACATCACCTCCGTAGTTAGGACCTGTGTAGCAACGGAAGCAGTTTTGCCTCTTCAACTTGGTGTCGGGCCTGGAGCGCGCCATGGCATCACCCGATAGCATACGGAAACCCTGTATAAATGGATTAACACAATTATTTTAAGATCCTCGTCATTGGGTGCTACTGACCGGCTTGAAAGCGGTGATCTGACCGGGCTGAGCCGAGACGTAGTATACGAGAATACCACCTTGGGTTTGGGTGCTGAACTGGTCGTTGAATTGTAGACTAATGAAGTATGAGTGACTGACGACCAAGTAATCTAAGTTCCCAAGAATACGTACGCGTGACCAAGCTGGGGGACTCGCTTGTAAGTGCCATTGCGAGCCTTGAAGTAGAGGTTGGCTGTCCAGTAGTTACTGAAGTCCTCGCCTATATGGACGTAAGTAAATGTTCTATATATTTCCCCCTGAGAAGAAACTTACTGAACTGGCAAGTGGTGCAGTCGGCAGTCTCGGAGACGTCGCCAGTTGTCATAGAGGCGTTGAAGCCGTTTCCTCCTACGATTTGGTGAACGTGCGAGGAGGGGATTGAACCAGGGTTGACGAGAGGGTCGATTCTGTCAATAACGACGTTCGGGCATCCGAATCGCAGCATAGTGGTGCCACCGAAACCACCGCCGAACTGGGGGGCCGCTTCGGCGAAGGCGGCGAAGCCGAAGAGAGTAGTCCAGAACATTGTGAGAGAACTTTGATACTACGGATTGTGCTGGCTGATGATCAGAGTGTGAACCAGATAGAGCCCTTGGTTGGGCATGCTTGGATATATATAGATTCAGACACATGGTGGGAACTAAGAATTTGCTTATTAACTGCCGAAGCATCTATATCCTATTAATATTAACATGGGTGGTACCCAACTTATCGATTTTCCAGAAAAGTCACGGTATGCTATTGTCCCTGGACGTTGTAAAAGCTTAGAGGCTAATATTCTCGGGCTAATATGCAGCACATTTCTGATAGGCCCGCACCGGGTAAAAGGACTGAGACATCTCCAGCATTTCGGGCAAAGGAAGTAGTCTAGGAGCCCCTTTTTACCGGTGATAGGATTACCGATGGCTTATGTATCTCTAACCTATCACTAAAACACTTGCTATTCCAAATCAACAAGGTTCGACCAATATTACGGGACAATAGGCAAGTATTAATTTGAACTACTGGCTGTCATCAAAGAAGATATAGAAGCCATATCACCCTACGTCACTGTACAGCCCGGGGAAAGAAGTAAGTACCTAGGTAATCGTGGGGATAAATCTTCGACGCAGAATAGAGGAACATATTCGGGCCAACTACAATATAGAAGCGATCTGTTATTGGTTCTTACTCTTGCCGGTGTTGGTACAAGTGAGCCTTAAATGAGACGCGAGTCAATTAAATGGTTTGTATTGGCGCAAACTCTGACTGCAGGGGACAGGAAACCAGGTATTGTGTGGAAGAGGTAAATTGCCTCGGCGGCTCCGCGAAAAAGCACGCGGCATGCAAGGGTTTCTCTTGATCGTGGAATCTTCCACAGATCTACAAAATAACGAGCATCGTAGTTCGGATATCCACGGCGCAATTTGATATAGAGCTAAGCAAGGCGGTTAGGCACCTAACGATAACGTAGGGTATGAAGGAATTTGAAGCAGGACCTTGCTTGCCAGGGTATTACCATTACACGTATGGTTAAATGTAAATAGGGGCGAAGTTTTAATCATGTGATAGTCTAACCGAAGATTTCTAGAACAGTGTTTCGCAGTGTGGAGGAAGGGGCAACGTGATCTTCAACCTAGAAATACGGGAAATGGTAGACTAATGTTCATGCTCTACCTAGTGTGTTGTTCGAATATATCATATACGCCTTAATACACAAAGCCAAATGTAAGATGCTGCCAGGCAACTCTCAAAGGGTTTCCAAAGAACTACCTACCTGTTAGTAAGGCCTAGAACGCTCTGAGAGCCAAAATTTTGGAATTTCGGTAAGGTTAAACTCGGAGCTGAATCTGGGTTTGATCCATATACGGGAACGGCAAACAAACAAAATTTTGCCCAAGTCATGATCTATTCTCCAAAAGCTAGAGATTATAAAGGGGAAGTTGTGAGATATCGAATGCACTTTGAGAGAATCTTTATTCGCTAGTCTTAATTCATATCTCGAGATTCGGTCGATGGAAACCGACCATCGAGGGACTTTATACACGAAATCAGTAAAATTGAATTTTAAGAGAGTACGAAAGCTCTAAATCGCAAATATGTTTATCAAAGCACCTGGATGTATGCCATTAGAATTCTTCCACCCGGCTATGGATATGGTTGAAGAGGAATCCCTCGTTGACAGGGATAAGAACTTCCGTATTGTTTAGAAGATTGCTTATATGCCTGGGTAGGTAGGTAGAGAAGCAAACTCGTTTTTCTACTTTTGTTCTTAGTTTTCGAAAATTGAAGCCACTAATACGCCTTGATTGGATCTCTCGATACATATAATCGACGAGCTACGGTGGAATTTCGTCAGATGACTATCAGGAAAACCTTCCTATTCTATGAATGATGGCCTTATGCACCGCCACAATAAGTCATTCTACTGGTGGGTTGTATTATATGTTTCCATTGGTTAAAATAGCGAAAGCTGTACTACAGTTATACCACATTGGGCTCAGCCACCTCATGAAGTGCCCCGCAATGGGATCCCTTTGATGAGTGTATCTGCTCTAGGTAACGTAGATAATAATATCTCTCCCAATACAACTATCTGTCGTACTTGGTCTAGTTGATATCTTATTTCACTTTCAATCCATCGTATGATCCACTAAATGAAACGTCTTATTCGGAGATTTACACATCCGCGCGGGGAAAAGGCCTTAGGAAAAGGGATACCGAATGATGAGGCTTCACATGAGCAAAACTATATGCCCAAGTCAACACCACAAGAAAAAGACACTATGGGTAACTCGATAATCGGCGGGACTCATAAGTTCTCGTTTGTCCCCGGCTTCTTCGCGGATTACGCCCAGATTGCACACACATTGCCCGATGGCAAAATCTCAACCCAGCCTGCTCTGGGAATCTTATCGCGAGATTATGATAGTTTGGGTACTGACTTGCAATTCGATAAAGGGGTTCCTCAGTGGGTTCGATTTGAGAAGTATATCCAATATCTTAATCAGCAGCATGTAAATGACGGTATATCGTACAAATTGATGTATGTAATAAGACATGGGCGAGGGATTCACAATGTGAAAATGGATGAACTTAAGATATCTGAAGAGACTGGGCAGCTCGAGCTGGTGGATGGAATCCCATTAAACTGGAAAGTAAGACAGTATATCTCCTATTACCACCTGTATTCTCTATTCATTTATGAAAAAAGGCTAATTCTATCAGAATCATTGGTCTCACAAGGATGGAGATGACAAGGTAACATGGGTTGACGCCCAACTTGTGGATGAGGGAATCACAGAAGCAAAGAATCTCTCCAAATTATGGCTAGAAGAAGCCGAGAAAGATGCTCTTCCTTTACCCGGAACTATTTATACCAGCCCCCTTGCGCGATGTCTTGACACGACGAAGCTTGTCTACACACCCGTCATGAACATGCACGGGAAGCCTCTTAAGCCTGTGATAAAGGAAAACCTCAGAGAGCGAATCACAGACCATACGTGCGATAGACGAAGTTCCCGGTCGTGGATAAAGCAAAACTACCCCGATTACATCATTGAAGACGGCTTTTCGGAGCTAGACACAAGTTGGAAAGCTGATTCATCGGAGTCACTCGAGCAGCATATAAAAAGGATACAGCAACTTCTCAACGATATTTTCGCACATGATGCTTCTCCTATTATCTCGCTAACAACTCATTCCTATACTATTACAGCGCTCCTGGCGGTAATCGGGTATCCAAAATTCATGGTGAATGAGGGAACAATGGTGGCGTTGTTCGTTAAGGCAGAACGGCCTGCAGCAGAAAGTTCAGCTTCTTGATCATCCGGCATGGATACAGGTATTCAGCTACGCGCGACCCATGAGAAATGTTGGTCATATATCACATTAGGTACACCAAGGGAAAAGTAATAGAGTCGGTATGCACTGCCCCATTTCCTTGCTCGAGTTGTCAGGGATTATTTCTGCGCCCCTCAATTTGATTGGGTTATATCTTATATCTTACCGAGGCAGCGTCTGCAGTATGCCCTGTACCGCCCTTAGAAATGGCCCCCAGCTGCAGGATGGGTTTCAATGCGGCATCGATGCGCTGTATCAATAGAATTCTTTAATTTTCATGAGGCTCTGCACGAATTGCTCCTTAGGTTATCTTTCTCTTGTTGTTTTTCTTAGGAACTTCGTCACGAGTGTTTTGGTATAGAAATAGCTAGAATTACCTGACATTTCCCCCATTCTTTTGTCGGGGGGCATCTATCCGAAGAGGTGCTAGTGATATAAACATTATATTTAGACCAATGGATATTCTACGAGAGATTTCGCGCTTGTCTATAGACAGCAGTGTAGAGGACATCTCGCCGTCCGATATCAACGTCTTACGAGCCCACCCGCCGTCTCAAGCAGAGCCTGATGCGAAGCTAGAGTTCGACCCTGTGGAGAGAATTAATGAAGCGACTCTATTCGATAAGATTCATAATGACCAGTTATTCCCCCAATCTAACCCATCAAAGCCCAGCCTCAATATAGTATTCTTCCCTGAGGCAAAGTGGAGAGCGATTGCCCGTGATGGAGTCCGGCGTGTTGAGGTCTTTGACTATCTACGACTGGATAGTGCATTACTGGCCTACCTGATTTCTTCGAGGGCCGGCTGGTACTGCGTGCCTAGCGACGGACGATATAACTTCATGATCAAGGACTACCCCTACATGCTTGCGTGGACCTTCGATCCGACTACGCTGGAAACACGTGCCATGCTTGCTGCGCGGAGTGATTATAAGAAGCGGTCCAGTCTGAAAAATAGAGATGGGGATTTCCACTTGCCAGGGCTTCGGGCCGCGCATTTATATCATCCCCTCTCTCTCGCCTGCCTATGCCTCACGGATTTCGTATTTTATTTCGACAAGCTCATTGTTGAAGAGGGGTATACGATCGGCTACATCGAAGAAGATACAGGGCATGGGTTATGGGTGAAGGATAGAACCCAGACGCAAGATTTCAACTTGGAAAAGCTTATGGACGCCTCAAGGAACATTGCGAAGATAATCGGCTTATTTGCTAACCTTTTTAAGAGCGTGGAAGTCACACAAACTCTCATAGAGTCTCTACAGGACAAGGAAACATGGAGAGAATGGTACGGTAGAGATGATGAAGAGTCGTTGAGGCACTTCGAGTATTGCGTAAAATCTTTCAACTCGGCTGTAGGGTTGCTGAAGTCACGTATAAAAACGATCAAGCAATCTGGTCGTGGATTCGATGAAAGAGCAAAGGCGCAGTCGAATGTGGTATGAGCTGTCCAATTTCCTGGCGCCCTTGTTTTACGTTAACCATTTGATCGTCGTACTCATCATTTTCTTAGATAGCTACCCTCATCCGCCGACAGGATGCTATAACAAGCCACGAATTAGGCAAGGCTAGTAGGGACCTTGCGGCGGCTACTAAGAAGGACAGCTCCGACATGAAGGTGATCGCTATCATGACCATGGCATTCCTTCCTGCGACATTCTTTGCTGCACTCTTCGACCTCCCCACGCTTGCCTGGGACCAACCTCAAGTAATTACCAACAACTTTTGGGTCTATTGGGCCTTCACGTTACCTACCACACTACTCATATTCGCCCTGTGGTATGTGCTAAATGAACAAAAATTCTTCGTATGGCCGAAGAGTAAGGCGAAGGATACTGATATAGAGAGGGAACCGCGCAGTACTCTGCCTAATGGCTTCTTTGAAAGCCCTGCTCCGCAGATCGATCGTACTAGGCGCGATTTATCTAGGTCACAACATATCTTCTCAGGATTTTAAATAACGACAGACTTAGACCGGTTGCAAATTGGGTTAAAAGGTGGTCGTATCTGCCGGGTGTTTGGGATATTTATAGCTAGGTAATTTAGACGGCTTGGATTTATAATAATCGGGCTCCGGACCCAAACACGGGTAGTTGAAGAATAATTTTCACATTCCATTAAATGCTATCATTTTAACTTGAACGACGACCGAAACTAACTACACTATGCTCTATTCTGAAGATATCTTTAAACCCCCTTTGTGAATGACTTACCCCCCGCCGCGGCATCAAAAGCGACATACTCTTTCAGCCCACACGCGATGAAGACGTCTCTGGGGCCGGCTTTGGCCTTAGATTCGACGGAGATACCAGTATCCTTCAAGGCTTTGGCTGCTTCGGTTACCGCCTCGTAGACAGGCCCTAAGGCAAATGCGGGAAGTATTATCATTCGATAGCCCAAATCTTTCGCTTCTTGCACAGACAAGACGGGAGAAACACCGCCGGGAACGCAATTGAAGAGGCACGGTGTAGGGGCCATGTCCTCACATATTCGTCTGCCTTGTTCTCGGGTCTGAATACCTTCGAGGAAAACTACATCTGCCCCCGCCTCGACCGCATGTCTTAGTCGGTCTTTAGCAGCATCATAACCTAACGAGTCTAATGCATCCGTTCTAGCGATGATGACAATGTCTCCCTTCTCCTGCTCACGTGCTAGGACTGCCGCTCGAATCCGAGAGATGAACTCGGTTTCCGAGACAAGTTCCTTGTTCATAAGATGCCCGCATCGTTTCGACTGCACTTGATCCTCAAGATGAAGAGCGGCGACCCCGGCTCTAATATACTGCGAAACTGTTCTTCCGACCATTAGGGGACCTATGTACCTGTTGTGTAAGTCACGTAGACGACTCATAGAAGTCAAAAGTCAACTTACCACCAAAGCCTGTGTCGGCATCCGCTACTAGTGGAACGGATGTATCTAATGAAGCTATCATGGCTGCATTGTCCCTCATATCGTTCAAAGTAGCTACGCCCAAATCTGGCATCCCAAGTCGAGACATTGTCGTCCCCGCTCCTGTCTATTCACGTTATTACTATTAATGACTACCATGAACATCTTTCCAAAGCGCTTTGCCTAGTCTTACCATATACAAGCAATCAAAACCAGCCGCTAAGGCTATTCTCGCAGTGAGGCCATCGTACACCCCCGGACTGACGACAATATGTCCCGGCGTTGAAAGAGCAGCGCGTAGCCTTGATACGGGGGTTTGTGAGATATTAGCCATTGCGATTGTAGTTTATGTTGGCATATTTCAGGCTTTACTCCTATGGAAACCTCCTGCCCCTTTATCAGCTAAGCCGAAGCCGCTCTGGCTCCGGTTTCAACACAAAGCCAAGAGTGCATTAACCGATATTTCATCTAGGATATACGGATCTGCGTGGCCTATCTCCATTTACGATGTCAATGGGCAGGTGGTTACGCAGTTCGCCGAGTTGACCGATGTCTTGCCGACTTTCACCGAGATGGGTTCGGTAATATCGCCACCTACTTACATGATGTCCGAACATCATAACCTATCACACCAAGCGGCTATACCAGATACGAAGTCGATCCCAGATGCTGCTGGGTTAACCCGCTTAACCATGATTGCCCTTATAGGATAACCCAGTATGCTGAGGCGTAGACCATACCGACTCGCTTATATTCGCAACCGATCGGCCAGTGAGCCAATCTTCCTGGGCTGAATTATTAGCTATAACCTAGCCAGCTCGTAGCCGAAGCGGCTTGCTTTTTATGGAGATAATGTCAGTATGACCTGGCGTGGTAGATGGGTAGCCCTGTGTTGTTACCATCTTGAGCATCCTATATCTAGCAGGCCCGAAGTCTTGAGGAAGACAATTATCTTTAAGTTCCGGTCTTTCCCACCGTATGTGACAGAGTAATGCCCATTCTAGATGAAATGTTCTTGAGCATGGCAGTTTCTAATCAGATTAACGACTTGCTCCGTACATCACGAAATGTGCACATAAGGAGAGATGATGGGTCTCGAGGTACGTCCTATTAGGGCCATGTATTTCCTTGTACGGAATATGAGCTAACAAGACGTATCGTGTAGCTTCAATAGAGTTCATACGGGACTTGGAGGCCCTGGCGCTCAAAGTGCAGAGCGCTGGATATCAGCGGGAAGGCGAAATCTTACAGCACGTAGCAAGTATTTGTCTGACGTCGCCAAACTATGGTGGCTTAGGTCTTACTCCCAGCACGCCAATAGCTGGAGATGTAGCATCTGAAGTATTGCTATTAATCACAGCTTGTAAGTGAAATATAATCTCAAGCACTTTGCTTATAACTGGACTGAATGGAAGTAGGGCTTGAAGCGCTAAACTCTGCCGATCGAGAGAAAGGAGTCGGTACCAGAGTTATGAGTTTTAGACCAGCGGATCGGCCTTCGATGAACTTAACCGAAAAGATATTTGCTATGCACGATGTGGACTCGAAGGGGTATGTAAGGGTAGGAGATACTATCCGTGTTGCAGTTGATTGGATCATGGCATCGGAAGCATCATGGGGTGTAAGCTGACCCGAGCGAGGTTCCTCTTTAGACAATAAAAGCTAATGACAAGATACTAGAGTATGGAAGCGACCTACAATCAGCTGGGATCCCCGGGCATATTCCGGAATGATCGGTTTTGGCTTGCCGGTGACCATGTCGTTGACCCTAGGGTCAATGCTCATCCCAAAATCAAGCCCCTTATTGAAGCATCCGAAAGAGCTAGAAGGGTGTTCAAGATGACGGAGTACCAAGGAATGAACGTAGGTGTTCGATTCAAGCTAGGGTAGGTCCTACGATGAACTTCGTTAACATATTACTAGTACACAATTATGCACACCGAATTCTTTAGGGAGCGTGCACAGCCTGGAATGCTCGTCATAGGGTCCGACTCTCATACGTGCTCTGCCGGTGCAGTAGGCAGTTTGGCCGTGGGGCTAGGTGCTGCGGATGTGACAATGGCTCTTGTTACCGGTGAAATTTGGTTCAAGGTACCAGAAGTCGTTCAAATTCAGTTTGTAGGACGGCCGCCTAGGGGTATCAGTGGAAAGGATGTAATACTCTATGTCTTGCAGCAACTCAAGAGAAACACCGTAGCTGCGGACAGAGTAGTGGAATATACTGGACCGGGTTTAAGCCACTTATCGCCAGATGCTCGATTCGCCATTGCGAATATGACCACTGTATGGAGACAGACCTATTTCAGCTTCGCCTTGTATATTCGCTGACCTTGTGTAGGAGTTTGGGGGCATCAGTGGCATCTTCGTACCTGATGATGTTACGAAGTCGTTTATTGACTCGAGGAAGATCGCACGACACAGAAATTCATCCCACTTCATGCGACCCGATGATGGCGCCAGCTATGCCGAGACAGCGACTATTGACTTATCGAAAGTGCAATCTTTCGTCGCGAAGTATCCCCGTCCCGATGATGTTGTCCCCGTGTCGGAAGTACAAGGCCAGAGGCTTGACGGCTGCTTTATCGGCGCGTGCACGACGGCCGAGGAAGATATCATCATGGGCGCACTAATCTTAGAACAGGGCCTGAAGGCAGGTAAAATACCCGTGCCAAATGGCAAGAGAAAGGTTGTTCCAGGTTCGAGGCCAATCATAGACAGACTTGAAAAGAGTGGCCTGGCAGATATTTACAGGACGGCAGGATTCGAAGTAGGTGTTCCTGGATGTAGTTATTGCGTCGGTATGTCTGCGGACCAAGCAGGTCCTGGGGAAGTATGGCTATCTTCTCAAAACCGCAATTTCGAGAACAGAATGGGTAAAGGTCAGTATTTACTCTCTTCCCATTATTTTGAACGTTTTAATAACGAAGATAGATTCCATCGGAAACCTAGCATCAGCTGCGACAGTAGCCGCATCATCATTCGATATGGTTATCACGAACCCTCAGGCTCTATTAGATGCTATAGACCCAGCAAGATTCGATGCGCTTAAGGGAAGGGGTTCCCTACAGACAATATCAATGACGCCGCCGGCTTATGTTGAGCCAGCTTCTGTCGATCATTCGCGTGGTTCGCAACCAAACGACGTGGTCTTTGACGGTAACGTCCAAATGAGCGATAGCATGACGGAGACTACGGGAGAATTGAAAGGAAATAAAATAACCGGAAAAGTCCAGAAACTAGGCGACTTTATCGATACAGATGCTGTGAGTATATTCTCTTTTATACATAATAAGTTATTGGTTCTGGGTGTTCGAACGCGTTTTATTTTATTGACGCGAATTTTAGCTGGCACCGGCGCAGTTCTTGGTAGAATCCAAAACCGACGAAGCGCTTGGCACGCACTGTCTCGAGTTTACACATCCAGACTTCCGTCGAAGAGTCAAAGAGGGTTACGATATCGTAGTCGCTGGGAAGGCATTCGGCTGTGGCTCGTCGCGCCAGCAGGCAGTCTCGGCATTGCTAGGTATCTAGAGTCTTGTCTTGTCCTTTCGCACCCTTAACAATAAGTCTGGACTTTGCTAAGTAAAATTCTATGTAGGATGTGGGGTGAAATGTGTGATAGCACGGTCCTTCGCGTTTATTTACAGCCGTAACCAGCCCAGTCTAGGCCTTCTCGGTATTACCATCAGCAACGATAACTTCTACAGACTCGCACAAGATGGTGCTGAACTAAGCGTCGACCTGGATACCAATGTGCTCTGTGTCGACGGTAAGGAATTCCCATTCCAGCTGAGCCCCATGGAGAAACAACTCATGAACTTGGGCGGGATTACGCCAGCGTTCCAGAAGTTTGGTAAGCAGCTATTCGAAGCGCTATGCTCCGGTGTCACTGGTACCGCGAAATCTGGTCAGAGGCGTAAGGAAGTAAGCGATGGGTTACAATGGTAGATCTATGTTCTCATGAACCTGGCTACAAAAAAAGTCGGAGCCGAGACGGGAAAACCGAAATAAGACCCCTGAATTGAGAGTGTGGGGTAACTCGATTCTCGTCCGGTATTGCTACGCGTATTGTATTTCTGTTTAAGATAATTAGAAAGATTATAACATAAAACATACCCATCGCCATATATGTCGTATACTAGCTTCTCTATAACTACCGATATATATAGTACGGTTTTACTGAACACCATAACTGAAATCCCTATCCCTTGTTGAATCGGGAAGCTCAGGCCATGGGTAACATGCATCAACAAATCAAGTTGGCGTAAAATAGGACGGTGCCATGCAGTCTCAACGTCGAAAGAAAGCATGCAAAGAATGCCGAACACATAAGGTCGTGCTCGATCCAAATACTTAAGAGGTAACCAACGTTAACTTTGACAACCAGATAAAATGCTCTGCAGAGCCACCTGAAATATGTTCTAGGTGTCGGCGTCTAGGACTCCCCTGCGTTCTCACCTCAGATGCACGTTCCCGGCGGACTAAAGCGCAATTACAACGTGAGCTAGAAGCACTGAAAGGTCTTGTTAACCAGCCTACCTCTCAGTCGGTAGAGGATGGCAACTCGACAGCCGTGCATGTACCAAGTCGGGATCAGGCAAACGGCCAGGCGCGAGTCTTTACACGACCCTCGCCAGGTTTATCTAATGAGCTATCAACAACCATTTCTTCTTTAGATATTCTATGTTTACCTCGAGTTCTTGATGGATGGGAACTGAGTAGCGTTGGGATTAGCGATTGCTTCAAGCTGTAAGGAAATTACCAACTATCGTTTATCTTTCTTCGCCGTAGCTTTTTAACCAACTCAGCAGGTTTCTGCAAAACTATAACCCTATCTTACCAATGTTGGACCAGCGAGGTAGCAATCCGGATGATTGTTACAGCAAATCCAACTTTCTATTCTGGGCTGTCATTTTTATTGGCAGCAGGAGATATACTAATGACCCGACCATCATGGACTTTCTAGCACCACGCATGAACAAAATGGCCCTCCTCGCGTTAGAGAATAGCAATAGTCCCATGGAGACCCTGCAAGGCATCATTCTTTTATGCCACTGGCCCGTACCGACAAGCTCCATGTACAAGGACATGACCCAAATGCTGAGCGGCGCTGCCCTGCATCTAGCTATGCAGATTGGCCTTCACGTTTTAGGTACTGGTCAAGACTTCGCTCGTACCGTCTTGCCTTCGAATGCCGACTATTCTTCTAGAGCCTTTAGAGCCCAACTATGGATCCAATGTCTCATTACATACCACAGGTGAATGAAACACGCAGCATCCATTAAAGGGGCAAATATACTTACATACGACAGCACAAGCTTGTGTCACGGAATCTTACCGTTGATTCCTCTAGACTCTCCTCAAATTAGGCTCTCAGACGCAGATCTCCCTATGCAATTTCCAGATGATCTCAGGGTTCAGCGGCAGATGCACAGCATCTTGATGACGGCGACTGGCTCTTTAATGAGGCTAATCCCGCCAATTGGATCCGACTCCCAGTCCGAACTAAACCCCTTTATCAGCCTCTATGACGCACAATTTCAACAAATAGCAGCGGATATCAAGTCTACCATAAGTAGGTATATAAGTCGAGTCAATTCACCTCGTTACAAACCCACACTAATGCCACTAGATACCATATACCTCTACTGCTATCGCATTCATCTTCTGGCATATCACTTCTTAGATTGCACTAGTCTAAATCACGACGGTTTAATCAACCTCTATATTATATCCTGCAAACTATTTGAGTCTTTGACTTCCCAGGACGAGTCCACTGGGTTTTCCAGGGCGTGTCCGGAGTTCATCTACAAGACAACAATCCTTGCTGCCATATCTATTCTTAAAATCCAGAAGAGCGAACTCGTGCGCCATGTTAATTCTGCCTCCGGGGAAAAAGCTTACTTTTCGGCCATCTACCTATGCCAGAGGGCATCTTTTCAAAGCAATGACCTCGGCGCCCGAGGCGTCACTATCCTCGGACAGATGTGGACGAGCAAGAATATGTACCGGCAACCAGATGGGCGCGTCGACAGCTTAAGTACTCGTATCCGGAGCCGGTTATCCATGAGTGTTGTCTTCGACAGTTTCTGGTGGTGGCGGGTCGAGTTTAATGGGCAGACGAGCCCTTATCCAGAGCAAAACCAAATTTCGCCTGGTGCGTATTGAGTTATAACAATGCGAGCACATGCAGATCATTTCATACTGACTGGTAACAGTGCAATCAGATACCGCAGTGAATTCGAACGCGACCCAACAAACCGAGGTGTCCATGACAACACCAGCTATAGCTTTTCCCATCCACGGTAACATGGACATCATGCCATCGGATGAACCCTTCCCCGACTTTGACTGGGCTGTCAACTTCGAGTTTTTAGACCAAAATTAGAATGGCGAGAGTAGTGCCGATAAAGACGAATATATAATTGCTTATTCATATTACTACGGACGAGCTGAATTGCAAAAATTATAGAACTACATAGTTTTTGTCCGCATTATATAGCCCTTACGCTAGAGGGTTGGCTGTAAGGCCTACCATGAGCCGACTGATGGCGGCGATATCATCACATTCGTCCAGCGCAAGTACAACCTGTTCAATTCTGGACCTTCTTTCCTCGTCAACGATATCTTTAGTCACGGCGCGCCATTTCTCTAGCACCTCCTCATTGCTGAGTGGCGGCTGGACACCTCGTGGGGCACCTTGCTCATAACTTAATGGTGCCGATCCGTCCTTGAATGTGATGGTGACCCTCGTCTTGGCTTTGTCCTGCGAGGACTTGGAGTATTCTGGATTATGCTCACAGGTAGTGATATCGACCAGCTTCCAAACCTCATCTCGGTCCAGCTTGTCGTTCCGGAACTGTGCGGGTGTAACTTGCTCGTCTATTAAGTATACGGCGCCAATATACGCATTGCTCATCTGTGCGCCAGTCGAGGTTAGCGGCCGCACAGCTTTCCAGCCGCCGTGGTGATATGCGGGTTCGCTCATCTCTATAAGGATACCCTTGAAGTTGGAGAAGTCTCGTGTCTGTGCAGGGTACAATCTGCGCAGCGCGGCCATGCAGTCGACCGTGCAATGCGTCCCAGCCATCGACGCATACGGTTTCACCATGATTCCCTCGATCTCCCACTTCACCCCTAAATCTTTCGCCATCTCATCAGGCTTAAACTGGGGTTCCATTCCATTGCCGGAGCTGAACATAGCTAGGAAGCCACCGTATTCTCGCTCATAGACCTTCTTAATCCCGATATACCCACCCTTAGCAAGCACTGCCGCCAGGAGTCCGTTCCTTGACGCGAAGGCATGCTGCATCCGCTTGACCTCGCTTTCAAATTGGGCAGACATTAAACCACCGGCCTGCGTGCACGCTATCCCTAGGGCATCTTCCACAGCAGCTGATGAGAGACCAAAAAGCTTTGCTACCGCTGCAGCGGCTGCTGATGGCCCAAAGATAGCGCCCGAATGCCAACCCTTAGAAAGAACGTGCGTTCCCCAGAGGCCTAGCCCGACGCGCGGGCCTACCTCACAGCCTATAATATAAGCAAGCAGCAGATCTTTGCCGGAGTAACGCAAATCCGAGTTATCCCCCGTATTGTGGCTGTAGTGTTCAGCCGCCGCCAGTAAAGCGGGCAGCAATACAGAGTTAGAATGGACGGGGGCATCGCGATGCCAATCGTCCAATTCGAAGCCCTGTATAAAAGTGCCGTTAAGCAGGACAGCAGAGAGCGGCCCGACCTTACGCTCCCAGCCAAATACACTTGCGCTACCGCTCGTCGTTTCTAAGTCCAGGATTGCGGCAGCGGCTTTCTCAGACGATGGCAAGTGAGCACCGACGAGACCGCAAGCTAGACCATCCAAGATGAGATATTTTGCTCTTGTTATAAGGTCTGTTGGGATGTCCTCATACTTAAGGCTTTCTACCCAAGTACATAATCGTCCTGTTGGCCCTTCTGGGTCCATTGGAAGTTGACTAAGCGAGGAAGTCATGTTGGTTGTCGAGAATATTTGGACTTAATAAAAGAGGAGATACTAATAAACTAGAGAGATGGCCATAGCATCATTTCCGGTATCTACTTGCGGATGAAGTATTAGTCTAGATATATTACCAGATATCTCTCGGAGCCGAAACGGAAAACAACTTATGGCTCACGCTGGTGGCACCAGGTAGTTCAACCGAATAGCGATAGTCGGTCAGCTAAGCCGAAGTGTATTTCCGTTATTATAAGTTATTAGAAGTTCTCCAAATACACGTAATTCATGCGCTTCCTAAACCAACCACCAGTATCTGAAGCCCCTGATGTCACCCCCGGCGCGGCCGGTTGGCAAACTCGGCGAAACAAGGCCCCATGTCGGCCAATATCGGCAAGATACAACACACGGCCGAGGCCAGGCCTACAATTGTGTGGACATTCAAAAGCGGTATGATGATCTGTGAGCATTCCTTAAAGTATGCGAAAGTCGCAATGAGGAATTATCCAAATACGCTGGGAGCCTAAGAGACACGCCCCCTCCCCCCTATTAGGGGGTAAGGCTAAAACAAAGCGACTATTCAACATTTTCATTTTATACACCTCATACCTATAGACATTTATTATATCAGTCCATACGGACCTTCGCCTAATCACGCTGTGAACTTCATCGCCATCTTCTGTCCCGGAAGCTCAGAAAGCCAGCCCTCGATATCCTCTGTAACTGTGTTTTGAACCGCACACTTGTTCATCTCCTCAACGGTCTGCGTCTTCAGTATCCCCTGTACTCCGGGGCTACCGCATGCATGGAACATGCAGGAGTCATTCATAGCACGCTGCAAGGAATCTCCTTTCCATCCAAACACGTAGTCGGCATGCGTTCCGTATCCTAGGCTGTCCGAATATGACCAGACAAAGGGCTGCGATCCATCTTTAGGCCACATACCATCAAACTGAGTCGTATTCCACATGGTCTCGTACGCGACCTGAGGCATACGCACAGGGTGCGAAGCCGGACACGGACCTGCTTCTAGGAAAGCCCCCAGGTTGGTATCGTACTATAAAAGGTCAGGCACTCTATTAAAGGGGACTCAAAATCGCTCCTAGATAAAAACTTTCGCATGGGGAACAACTTGATACATACCATGTGAGACTGGTGGTCGGGACTATCAAGGTTCTTACCATCCCAACAACTCGGAAAGTGGTGAATTGCCATTATACCGGCAGGGCATGGCTGCTTTGGGAAGTCTGGTGTCTCGTAACCTCGGGTTAAGATTGTCTGTAGGCAAGTGTATCGAAGGCCTTTGTTGGCCTTTGCGGCCTCGAGGGTGTTCGTGGTGGGACTTCCAACTGTCATACGGAATCCCTAAGAGCAGGTTAGTCCGAGTGACCCTTCTGATAAGTATTATGACGGAGTCGATAGTTCGCAACTTACCGGCTGGAATGCGGTAATATACTGATCTCCATTCCCATCGAAGTCCTTCTGAGTATAGTAGATCGTCATGCCCCCCTTGATATCAGGTGCATCGCGACCCTCGGTACCTAATTGAGCATTTGGGTACTGCGGTACTCGCTTGTAGGAGCCATTCTCATGCCTAAAATATAGCACCGCCGTCCAGTAGTTGGAGAAGTCCTCGGTGTAGGCGCATGTCGTACAACTACCCTGCTCTCCGATATCCCCTGTCATAGTCGCATTGAAGGCATTTCCACCGACTATCTGATGTACGTGGGCTGAAGGAATGGCGCCGGGTTCAACGAGCGGATCTAAACGTTGGATAGACACAGTTGAGCATCCGAATCGAAGAGCGGCCTGGGAAAACCCGGCCTGGAGCAAGAGTGAAAGCCACTTCATCTTTAGAATTGACTGATGTCTGCACACGGTGAAAGTGAATAGTCAGCTCCAATGAACTCGAAATAACAGACAGACACTGAAGTAGTTTCGTGCTCGATCGACTTATTTCAAATCCAACCCTATATCTACATGATAAGATCTCACCGCCACCCATTCGGCCAAGATGCGGCGCTAGGATAATTAGCCTTAAATACTCAGGTGGTGATGCGAATCTTATCTCCCTTATACAGTATGTTGGCAAATTGCAATGATATTAATCAGCCTATCGTATTATACGATGTCTAGAGTCTAGAGACCCGGGTAATATATGTAGGAGTGAATACAACTGCCGAAACCCAATAGCCCCGTATATTTCATTCTAGATTCATTGAATGCTCTCTAAATATAGATGATGCCTGCTTCCTAAGCATTACTCTGTCATTTCATATAGGGGTGTCATGTCAATGCCATCGATGTCTAACTTCTATTTAGGTGGTGGTCTTACATTTATTATGGATGAAGGCAGAGTTAAAAAATCATTCATCATCGTAAGTCTTTACCTTCCACTGGACTTCAATATGACCAGACAGTCTAAGGGGTTTTTCTATGTTTCTAAAATGTATAGCATGAAGTTAACTCATTGTGTAGTTAATACAAGTTTAATACTCTTAACTTACTTTTATACACTAGATTAACCTATCATAAATTCTTTATAAGTTAGTAACAGTTTTGAAGGAGTCCAACTCTCAAACTTCCGGGATGATTCTCATCTTCACAGCGTGTTTTTGTTATGGCAGAACATCTGTAGAATTGTCATTTTATCGAGTTGAAAGCATAAGATGCTTAGAATAAAATAATATCCGAAAACAATAGATTAATATGTTGTTAATTGCTAATAGCAGACTGAGTATATCAATCCTAAGGTAAGGTAGACATTACGGCATAATTACGGACATGACCCACAAATAACGGCCGGGGAACAATGATCAACGGAACGGCGTCGGTATGAGATCATAAACGCCACCTTCATTATAAAAGAATATAAATTCCTGCAATACTGTATTGAATTGTGCAACTCAATAACTAGAAAATAACAATACTATAAATATTCCTTTTATACTACAAGACTCCTGGTATACCCAACACTGTTCACATAAGATGGAAGGCGAGCTACCACCGAAGGAAGAACTACACCGGCGCGCTGTGGAAGGTCACCCAATCACACAAGCCGAGGCATCTGAGCTCGCAGCTGCCGAAACGGACATCACCGGGTTCGGGCCAATAAAAGGGGGACCAGCAGCGGTAGCTCAGAGCGAGCATGATAGACAACAGAATTTCATCGCCAAGGCGGGCGAGATTGCGCGCAAACCTGTAGATCAAATAACCAAGGAGGATGCAGCGCAGGTTCAGAAAGCAGAGGAAAGTCGTCATCCATTCTGCCATTACGAAGCACCTGAAAGCTGTGAACTAACTTGCGGATAGGCGCGGGCCTTTGGAGAACCTCCTAGAAAGGGTTCGACGGCGGCTAGTGTACAGTCCCTTGCTGATCAGAATGCGAAATCGAAGGAAGTTTGAAGAGGATGTAAATTTGGGCTCGCGTTGTAGTGTTGTTTGGATTCATTGATGTTGGATATAGCCATTACTTTTCTACTCTTAGAAAATACTTTAATTTGAAGTGAGAAGATGTATCTTTCATGCAGATGAGCTTGGATAAGAAAAAGAATTAAAGTTATTTTGAAGCAACTACCTAAATTAATTATTTTCCCGACTACTTTAACCTAATCTTTTGTCGTACAGTTGAAAAGTACCTAACGTAAGCAATAAAAAGAAAGGCACCTGGGTTTGCGCGAGGCGTGTATAATAGAAACCTTCATAAACTTGGAGAACGTAAGAACCTGTGCAATTGATATTATCACACACATACATACGATGGAACGATTCCGGGGGCACCTCGAAAGGCTCACACCGAATGGCCGATCTGAAGAGCAAAAGCTACCAGCGATGCCATCGCTTCCAGATGATCGACCACAGCCCCTGGTGAGGACATCACCCTTGCCAGCGGCCACAGCAAACAGCAAATTCTTTACATCCTTACCTCCAGAGATTCGACGTCGCATTCTCATTGAAGCATTCGGCGAACGTATATTGCACCTAGATTTACGTCTCGAGCACCCAGTAATGAAATATTCTAAGAAAGATCGTCAACCTACCAGGCCGCGCCCTGAGCGACACGCAAACGCGCACCTGTTCCACCCATCGTTACGTGACACTACCAAACCGCGGGAATGGACATGGTGGAGCTGCGTCTGCCATACGCGCTTCCCGAACTGGAATTTTAATCCCCACCCCCCAGGAGTTGGTCATTTTGATGAAGAGCCAGCGAACGATGGTTGTCGCGACCCTTTTGGGCTGCCGCGATGCCTCTGCGTCTTCTACCCTGGCCATGGACCAGCCAAATGTTTCATTGGTGTTCAGGGCTGGCTATTGGCTTGTAGACAGGCATATATCGAAGGCATCGATGTATTATATTCCACGAACCGGTTCCATATTGCCTATGCCGAGCTCGTTATTTGTCTTCCGCGGCTTCTACCCCTCCAGCACATAACGGCTATCACGGCGGCTGAGTTATCATGGAATCTAAATATATCACCCAGCGATTATTTCCATTGGGATGCTAACGATAAGGATGGGCTACAAAAGTGTGATCGACTTACCCTTCTGGCACGTCTGCCGCAAATTTTACCTAACCTACGCTATCTGTATCTCTCGCTTCAACATGTTATATGCATCAGGCAGCCTATGCCGGCAATTGGAGGACGAGAAATGTATGAAGAGATAGAAGAGATTCTACGAAAAGTTGACGCCGTGGTTATACGATTGTCGCGGCTTCAGGAGTGCCGCGTGGCCTTACCTTCGTCCATGTACTCTACGCGTAAGCTCGTGGAAAAGGGTCGAGATATTGCTTGGTTTAGCGGGTTAGACCCGGACCCCGAGACTCTATGGAGAGATATCCCAACTTCCGACGCGCCTACTAACATCGATACCGCGAATCAGTCTATTAGCGGTTATTGGATCGTTCATGGTGTTAAGGACATGTATCCACCGCCACTACCTGAAGCGGTTTGAAGCTTGAGATATTGCAACGGTGAAGAAGAAGAAAAAGGCGATATTAACATGGATGGATGGAATCATTTAGTAGAATTATTCGCTATTTATCAACGCTATATTTACGACGTTGGCACTGGTGGCCCGCTAGAAATAGTTGTTACAGGCCCTGCAATTCCGATACAATACCAATTATCCAGCCAAAGACCCCCGCAGTCTGTTCCTAACGCCGGGTTCCAAGCGTAAAAATCGCTACATTTACCTCATTAGCACATATATCCAGGGGTTCTTGGGCGCTAAATTATACTTACTCGAGACTAATTCCCGCCGAATTAGCAATGGCCCAACACCCATCACCCGTTTGCGCCTTGTAAAACCTCCTACAACCAGATACCATACCCGCCTATCGTCCTGTTAGCGGTTATCTTTAATAGCGTAATTCCTCATTTATTTTATTCATCGTCTACTTACTTGGACTGGAGTTGGTGTTGTGATGGTTGAGGTAGTGGTGCTAGTTGGCGACGAACTTGTCGTACTTGGAGGCAACGAAGCAGAATCGCCTACTGCGACGCAGACGTAGAAGTCTGGTGCTAGGTTGTCGCAAGTCCCTGACCCGACTGCCGGATTCCACTGGTAGAACACATCGGGACTTAGGCCATTCGCCGAAATTATAGAGTCGCAGGTGTCGGTACTGGAGTTGAAGTCATGTTAGCAGTGTTATATGGCATTGGCGGATACGGGCACCGACGAAGAGACAAGCCAAAGCTTGGTACATCCGGCTACCATCCCACTTTGCGTCGGTGTTAGTGGCTGATCCGTAGTAGTTGGCACGGGAGTCGTTCTTGTAGTAGGCGTTTCTGGAATGCCTACACAATACCAAGCACCATCAACGATACCTTCGCATGATTCTCCCCCGAGGCTGGGGTTCCATGCTCGAAAGTCGGATAGGGAGAAAATGCCAAACATTGTAACTATATCGGCACAGGACTCTCCATTACGTTGGTACCAATGAAGACAATCGCTACTTTGGCCAGATGGAATTGTGGCCGGCGGCGACGTTGCGGTAGGGGGCATGGCAGTGATACCACTAGGTCCGACGACGCAGTAGTAATATCCCGTCCAGAGACCGTCGCAATTGCCATTGAGAGCCGGATTCATCGCCATAAAGTCCTCCTCAGTCAAATAGTGACCGTCTACGATGTTGCGGCAGGTATCACCGCTTTGAGCTTGATAAAAAGCCAGACAACCGCCGATAATCCCTGTTTGTGTGGGTTCGGCTACGAAGGTGGAGTTGACTTCTGGAAGTGGTGTGAAGGTATAATTACCTGTGAATGTAGGTATATCGGGTGGTGCATCAGTCGTGGTCCAGCCAAACTCGGCCGTTGAGGTAGTTGGGATACCAATGCAGAGCCACCAGCCGGCATATAGTCCCGAGCAGTCGATGTCGAGGGTTGGATTCCAATCATGTCTTCTCGAAAGTCAGGATCCAGAAAAACACGTCAAGGAAATACGCCGAACATACAAGGAGACTCACAAGTTCTCGAGGGTCAGCCATGAATTGGTAGATACGATACTGTCGCATGTATCAGTTGGGTTGACATAGTACCAGTTATTGCAAGCCGTTGGCTGCCCTGGTTGGGTTCGTTGCGGCGGGAATTTCGTCTCTATCGTGGTCGGGGTGATAGTCCAGTTCGTGATGGGCCAGTTGGTTGTATACGGCTCCGTGTTGGGCGGCACACTAGTCGTTATGGTGCTGCTAGATGTTACGCTACTGCTGCTGCTGCTGCTGCTGCTGCTGCTGCTGCTCGATATAGTGGAAGATGAAGATGATGTCGTTGGCATATTGGGATCTATGCCAACGCAGTATGAGTAGCTGGGCCAGAAGTTGGTACCGCAATCGTCCGTCACATCTGGATTCCAGGTATAGAATTGGTCCAGTGTGATACTGAACTTTTGAGTGATGGACCAGCACGAGTCGCCAGACCCTTCAAGGACTGTGTAAAACGCATTGCAGTTCTTGACGATGTTGGGCATCGTCGGCCCCGAAGGTGACGAGTCTTGAGCATATGCTCTCTGGGCGAGCCATGGTAGCCCCAGGATACAGATTTTTCCTGGCGACAACGTTGTCTCACTTACGTGCCACATATCTCGGGAGACTTAAAGGGGTTCAAAACGCTAAGGGAAAGCTGTTGAATGCCGCAGCACAGTCTCGGGATCAAAACCAAAACCAGCAGCGCGTTTGAAGTGCTAGCTTTCAAACACGACGGTAAACTCATCACAGTCATTGCTCTATACTCGTTCGACATCGTCGCCCTCTCTTTCGATATCATAGATATGACATACACTTGCATATTATATCGCCAAGACTTCTGTATCACGCAGTCCTATATTAAATGCAGGCTGAGCGGTCTCGATCACAGCACCACGCGACTCGGTATTCGGCTCTATCTCTTACCTTTACATGCCAAGGAATCAATAATCAGCATGAATGCAACCCCGTCATCAGAGATTAGGAGACGAAGGTCTTCTAATGGTTCATTATCGATATCGGGGACCTTGTTTTGCAAAGGTGGGAGTACATGCAATCCAACCATTAGGTATTAATCAGGCTATAAAAGATTTCTCACGATCGGTGGCTTAAGCGGCTGACAGCTCGCCGTCGAACCTTCCTATTCGGGCATATAGCTACCATTCTCTAAGCTCTGACTGACCGACACCGTCCTACTCATGACAGGTACCAGTACTTGTTGCTTGTGTACTTGCACCCAAAATTAGGATCGCATGTTCTGGCTCTTTGACGAGAATATTTTTCACTTAGCAAGAAGGGGTTGAGTCGGTCATTGAAATTATTCATCATATCGAACATAGGCGGCCATCCGCTGTCGTTTTCCTCCAGCTGTCGGTATCATCTTTACCATTCCGCCTCTTCTTGATCAAAACAAGGAGAAAATATTAGTAACAACAGAGATGTTCCCCCTCTTGGTATCTGGCTTGGGCCTTATAGTCTTTGCAGTTTCAGGTGTATATGCAGGTAGTCGAGCTTGGGAGTCTAATATCAGGTACTCGCGTGCTGTGCAGCATGAAGCTACTCAGGCTCGTGACCTCTCATTTCAAGCTTATGGCAATAAAACAGACGCTATCAAGAGTCGTGGTATTAGCGGGTATGAACAATTACCCAATGCTGAATACCATTATCATAATGGTAGCTCCCGGTCAATTCACAGGCGTTGGTTTGGCATTGCACAAGACAGCGGATCGCGTTTTTGGCCTCAGGGTAATATCAAGGTGTGCTTCGAGCAGGCTGTTTGGGGATCCGATTCGAAATCCACCGAAGAAATTCTACGCGGCCCCCTAGAAGAAGCTCGCGGGCTCTGGAGAGATAAAGGGCTTGACGACGACGAAGGCTGGTTCAAGTGGGACGTACAGGACGATAAAAAGTGGTGTAGTGACCGTTACAACCGGCCTAACTTCTTGCTGGTCTTATATGCCGGGCCCGGAGTAACCAACATGCTAACGACAGCCGGGATGGGCCCTAATCTAAGTCCAGACAATCCAGACAACACATATGAGAAGCTTGGCCCGCGAATGGTGCTCAGCGATGTGCTAACCATGGGTCACCGCAACGTTGTTGCCAATTATGCGCACGAGATGGGTCACTCCTGGGGGCTCCACCACGAACACCAGAATTCAGACTGGTGGGCTGAAGCCTGGAGTGGTGAGCCGCGCAGCAATTACTTTTTCGGTGATGGGAGCTTCTTTTGTGAGCGGTTGGCTGACTATGCTGCTGCTGTTGCCCGTATCGATGAGAGTAACATGAGCGATTTCGACAAAGGCAAGGAAAAGGTCAAATTATGCCACAACCGCGATATCGCAGCTTATTGGTCGTTTGCTGGTGGTATCAATTATCTACCGGTGCTGTTGTTGTTGTTGTTGTTGTTGTATATTTAACGCCGGGGGCACGGAGTGCCAGGCCTCCCTTGGGGCATGCGGCGTGTGGAGCTAGCTAGGTCTATATACACGGTATGTCCCTGATATCCCACATTTCAAACCCGAAGGCATACTATATTCAAACCGTTTCCGTTCGCCCCGCCTTTTGGGCTCGTGCTCGGCATTATGAGTGTTCGTAGTTGATCCCCTTACGGGGGAGCAAGCCAGGATCCAAATACAATTACAAATACGAAAGGAGATAAGTTTTGCTGTAGGAAGCAGCAGTTCTAGTTTCGGTTTCCCGAGGTGCGTTCGTGCCCTATACGGGGCTGATTTTTCGAGGGCTTAGCGCCGAGTTTTAGTGATTAATGATTATTAGAGAGGTATGAAAGAGAGAGAGAGAAACAGTGTTGTGGTGCGGATTTATAGGGCCCACCGTCCCGGGGCTGCCACCCCGGGCGGCTTTGCGGGTCGGCTATCCGTTACTACCGGTCGGTTGTCTCCTTGATGGAGGCGCCGACGGGTGGTCCCGGGGGAGTGAGTTAGTATAAGGTGCTGTTTTGAGGCTATAGAGCCTCGTCGGTATCTGCATCCGCTATAAAGGTGACTCTAGTTGCGGATCTGTGGGTTCTAGCGGGTGATCTCCGCTCGTCGGTTCTAACAGAGTCCTGTGGGCTCTTGTGTCGGTGGCATATATCCTCAAAGAAGCGTGTGTTCTTAAGGAATTTGTCAAATTCTATCGGGTCGCTCAGCAGCCACCACCAGTACTCCCTCCGTGTTGGGAGCGCTGGTCTGACTGTTGGCCATCTTTCTTTCAGGGCAACGGATTTCCTGCAGTATACTGGATGTTGCGGGGTTTTGATTCTGCCGCACGAGCAGTTGGCATGGTCTTGGTGCGCAAACTTGGTGTGGTACCAGTGAAAATCACCATGTCCTGTTCTTGCCGCCAGGAAATGGTGTAGTCGGGTCCTTGAGAGGAGCTTGAGTTCAGGTGGGCAGGCGAGTTTGGCCTTGAGCCCTAGGCGTATGTACGCCTGTGCGTTGCTGTCTGGTGATTGGATTTGTTCGGTCCACCAGTCTTCGAAGAGCCTGTTGGCGGTCTCTTTTATCATCTTCCGTACCCCTGCCAGTGTAGCCAGTGTACCTGCGGGGGGTTCCGGTAGGGCGGCTCCCTCTTTTGCGAGGGCGTCGGCCTCTTCGTTGCCTTCAATGTCCATGTGTCCGGGTGACCACCGGACCCTGACGTCGAATACTGTCGCGATGTCTTGGAATTCCAGGAAAGCTTGCTGGGAGCTTTCCGAGGGGTCCCCTCTAAGGCCCTGAATTACTGATGTGTTGTCGAGGCAGACGTATATCACGCTGCCCTGGTGAATTCTTATGGCGTGTTTAAGGCCGTGCCTTGCGCCCTCTGCCTCACCATCAAATACTTCTGCGATGCCTAGGCGTCCGCGGCCGTGGGCGATCTTTATGTGTCCGCGGTATATCGCATAGCCGTAGCCTACGTTACCGTTTTCGGCTTTCGAGCCGTCTGAGAAGACGACTGTGTGGGTGTCTGGGAGCTGTTTATACCATGATTCAAACTCTTTGGCGGCCTCTTCCTTGCTTTTCTCCACTATGGGCTGGCGTGAGCCCGGCGCATAGCGGGGGAATAGCAGTTTAGGCCTTGGGAAGTCGGGGAGCAGTTTCGCTGCTGCCTGTAGTCTTGTCTTGGCCCTCTGATAGCCACCAGTGCCTCTACCTCTCGATATGGGTACTGGGTCTAGTCTGGGGACTAGGGGGTGTCGGTGATCAACTGCTTTAAGTCTGAAGGCGAATCGAAGGCGGCATTTCTGTAGTGCTATGGCCGCTGTGGGTATGCCGGAGTCCCTGTAGAGGTAGGGGACTGGTGTCGTTCTCCATACTGGGAGGATGGCCCTCATCGCTGTCTTGAGTACCTTATCCATTTTGGTAAGGATACCTCTGACGGGAGTGCTGACCTCCTGTCCGTTGGCTTGTGAGTGGTTCGTGGGGGTTTTCTTGAGCCCGGGGTACCACGCTTCGGCGGCGTACGTCAGTACCGGCATAATGCACGATATGGTAGCTTTTCTGAGGGAACTTGGGGGAGGCCCGTGGACTGTGTTGGACAGGTCCCTAATGTGTCTTGCTGCGGCGTACGCTTGAGTTGTCCTCTTGTTCATATGCTCGCTAAATGACAGGTGTCGGTCAAGCCAGACGCCTAGCCACCGGAGGGCTGGTGCCTCTGTCTGTGTTATGGTGAAGTTGAAGCCTGGGGCCCTGACTTCTGGGGTGTAGTTGTCCCTGCTTCTCGAGAAGTGCATGAGCTCGCACTTTGCTGGGTCGAATTTGACCTTGGTCCTGGATCCCCACTGGAGGATCTGGGCGACGTCTTTGCCAATCTGCTTGGTGATGGCTTTGCGATTGGACCCTGTTCGGTAGAGCGCTATGTCATCTGCGTAACCGAAGCGGAGCACCGTGTCATGTTTGAACAGCTCCGCCATATAGAGTAGGAAGAGGACGGGGGAGAGAGGCGAGCCTTGCGGGAGGCCGCAGTTCAATCCGAACTCTTCCGTGGTATAATCTTCTAGCCGGACTCTGGCTGTCCGGTCTTTGAGGAAAGTCGTGATTAGCCCTAAGAGGTTGCGGGGCCAGCCTTGTTGCATCATGCGCAGTATCAGGCGTCTGCGGAGTACTGAGTCGAAGGCGCCCATGACGTCCATTGTGACGAGGACTCCGTGCTTCTTTGATTCTAGGGCATGCTCGATCTCGTGGATTAGGCACGCGACTAGGTCTGTGGCCGAGCGTTTGGGGAGCGCTCCGGCTTGTTGAGGGCTAATGATACCGCGGTCTAGGGCGGTGTTGGCAATTCGTTTGGCTATTATTCTTTCTAGACCCTTACCGAGGCATGATAGGAGGGCGATTGGCCGCCATGACCTAGTGCTGGTGTAGTCTTTCTTCCCGACTTTCTTGAGCATTACTACTTCGGCAGCCCTGAAGGGTCTGGGGTGATGCCCGACTCTCAGGCTGGCCTGGAAGAGCTGTCTTACTGGTTCTGAGATATGGTCCCACGCTGCGTTGAGCAAGCGTACTGACATACCGTCTATCCCGGGCGCCGTGTTTTTCGTGGACACTGTGGCTAATTTTAGTTCTTCAGGGGATATGTAAGAGTCCCATGGTAGTGTGGATCTTGGCCTGGAGTGGGTATCCAGGGGTCTACCGGTGCTGTTGGGCACGCAATGGGATAAGAAAAGCCAGCCCGACTGGACTTCCATTATGATCTACCCTAGCACAGCCGGTAACGGCAATACTGGCGATGGGAAGGACCAGGCTATTTTGCTCACCGGGCCAGACGGCGACGTCATCAAACCCGTAACTAGGCCCAGTTCTCTCGATATCGAAGGCCTACGCAAGATGTATGGGTCACCTAAAAAGACAACTTTACAGCTGCTCAATAAAAAGGGGAGTGCGTACTTGAACAAGTTTAAGACCGTTGTAAAGAAGGATCCGGACGCGGGTTGTGTGTCTTAGCTCATGGAATCCAAATTATATTCACGATAATCAAATGTCCTTGTTTGTACTTGAAGATAAAATGACTCCCTTGATTAAGTGTTGGAACGTTTTAGCAAGTCGAGTTTCAATCTAGCTTAGTTATAAAATAAGATAGTTCTCTCTTATTAATTACCTACCTGTTAATACAATTACAACTCATCTTTATCCGGCCACGGCGACTCAAAATCCGGCAGGATGTCTGGAAGACCCTCTAAGATGCGCTGCTTCGGCCGTGACGAGACACTACCCAGCGCATTCAGCAATGTACCGTCATCTAGGTCGATTGCCCAGACCATACATCTATGAACCAGTCAGAGGAAGTGGGGATTATGCCAGTGGAAAATGGATAAGTAGAACAGGGGACTTACCCTCCCAAACACCGTTGGTTCGCATAGTCCATCTTAATCTTCATCGTCTCAGCATCGTCCCAACTGACCCACTGGTTGGTGTCCCAAGTAACAATCTTAACAGCAGCCTCCTCGTCAAACGTAATAGTCGCGCCATTGGCAATGATCTTTACTATCTCCGCCGCTGAGAGTACGCCAGGCGTCCCGGTGCACTCACCACCGTGGGCACCGTCGCTGAATTCGCATCCTGAGTGCATGCAGTTGGGGTCCTTCATAGTAAATGAGCGGCCATAAAAACCTAGTCCCATGACGACGCGGCCTGGGTTGATGTTGTTACGCCAGAGGAGCTCTAATCCCAGTTGAATCTCGGTCAAGTTGGTGTGGGAGTAAGCGTAGGGGCCGATGGAATCAACCGTGCGGTCCCAAACACCGTCTATACGAGATTAATTAGCTTAATGGGTAGAAACGTATCGCAGACAAGTCATAAATGCTTTGGATCGGATGAAAGGTAAGGGACGGTACTCACGGATATCGTATGTCATGATGTTAAACCAATCAAGATATGGCTCCAACTCCTTGAGATTAAAGCCACGGAGATACCAGTAAGACGCGGGCTAAATATGTCATTAACCTCGTGAAGCTATAAGGCTAGGTGAGCCCTTGGGTTAGTGTCTTACCAGAGTAATAGATAATCCATACTCCTTGCCCGATGCATTCAGCCTTTCTCTCAACCTTTTCAAGAAATTCGGGTAATGGTCGAAGTCCGCCGCCACGCCACCGCGGTCATCAGCAACAGGATACTCCCAGTCGATATCCACGCCGGCGAACCCGTTCTGCTGCATAAAGGTGAGAAGGGACTCGAAAAAGGCGTCCTGGTGCGCCTCGCTACCAGCTAGATCGGAAAAGGTCGTACGGTACGGCCCGGGGTCATTCATAGCCCAGCCGCCAATAGCAATCCAGACTTTCAGGTCAGCCTGCTTCTGTTTTATAGCGGTCACACGCTTATAGAGGGATGCTGTATTGGCGTCCATCGGGTCAATCCGGAATGTGGTAGGATTGACCAGCGCGAAGGCGAAGTTGATATGCGTGTACCAACCCAGAGGGATGTCTTCGGGCTTCATGGCTAAGAGATTGGTTAGACTTTGCGCTTTTGATTCTGGGCATAGATTTCCCCGTCTCATATCTACAGACGGATACTGAAGAAGTGCACAAGAAAAGATTAAAGACCTACTGCCGCAAGGCCTTGCCAAGTTCCAGCCCTCGTAGTATCCGATGAGCCTCTGGTCGGCGCTTTTTCCCCCTGGACACTGCGGACTCGCGACTGTCTTGCCCGCGCAAAAGTCCTGCGTCGTGCCGCAGAACCCGAATTTAGAGCAGCAGACATTCAGCGGACAGGCGCTCGCATTAGACCACTGCATACCCCATCCCGGATCGCACTCGGACTTCTGATCGCAAGTGGAAATGCAGCCTTTACCGCAGAAGTCCGGGCCCATACCGCAAGTACCTTTGCCGGTTGTTGGATCTCCATGGACCTGTAAGCTTGAAAGCTCAGGATTCGAATTCGCAATTAGAACTTACACTGATCCGCAGCAGCCTAGCTTGCACGGGTTGGATGCAGTACACGTGTAGTCCGGGTCTTCATCTGCTGCTTGAAGACCTGCTTCTAGTGCGAATGCTGTGAGCTGATTTGACTGGGCCTCTGTTTCATTCTCATCTAGTTTGGCGGCGACTACGTGCAGCAAAAGGTTGGATAACAAAAGTATGGTGGCAGCACATAGGGCCCTTCCCCTAAGGGTCTTGCCTCCGGATACCATACTCGCGGTATGAAGTAACCAAGCTACTTGCGACGTTAGTACTTGGAATAGAATAACCCGAAGGCACGAACAGAGAGTATACTCAAGGAGGTTTCTATCACAGGCTAGGAGTAGAATGCTCGAATGTGTTTGAAAGCGAAATCACTATTGCAAGTCGAGTGAGAGGGTCTTAGCATGTGAGCAGGTGATCGAGCACAAAGGGTCCCCTCGACGACCTTCGATACTACTAGATTACCTACACAACCGTCAACTCTACTACACCATGCGAAATTGTGACTATGTGATAATTATCGTAAGGCAACAAATAACGGTGTGGCATACCTTCCAGTTACTGATATTCATGGGCAGTTTGACGAAGTGGCCAGACTATAGACTATAGCAAGATCAGGGGGTTTGGATCTATTGTATAATTGTAGATGAATTCGGGTTGCTACGGCACGAGTCGTCCAATCCAAGATCTCCATTTAGGCCACCCATTCCAACTTAGGTGACCGCGACCGTCTTACCAATATCACGCTGAGGGTCCATTGTACTGATACTTTGCTTCCATGAGTGCCAAGATTCTGCTGACTCCCGCGTCTGTAAGACGTGAATGATTTTAGCCCCCTATTAATTATATCGCATCGTGATCTTTTCGTTAAACCGGTTGATAGTATGATATGATGAGTATAGTATTAAGCTTGGCATATTAGACAGGATCCGATAAGTGAGGATGTTAAACTTACCGGAGCTCTCCGTGCTCTTAGTCGCAGGAGAATATTCTCGTGACGGGTTACCTCGTCGTTACCTCGTCGAGGCGTATTCTCTCTTACGCCTTCAGTCATTTACCACATTTCCTTGGTCGTTCCCTCAACGCTCTTGGGTGATTCTAGATTCCATCCTTCACTATGCGGTTTGTTTCCGCATGGAGTTTTGCGCTGCTGTTGTCCGTTGCGGATCAAGCCATAGCTCATGTTATTCCCCGGAATGCTTCCAATGCGTATACTCCATCTAGTACTATACCCCAAAGCTTAAAGATTCAGCGAGATTCTATTGATGACCCGACTGCTTTCACATGGGTACAACGCTTTGCAGCCATTGGCGACAGCTATACAGCCGGCGTGGGCTCTGGCTCTAGGTTAGGAAGTATCTTTGATCCGGGTTCGTGGTGGTGTTCACGGTATGATCAATCGTATCCAGTCTTGATGAAGGAGTTTGTCGGGTCTGAGATAGAGGACTTCCAGTTCCCAGCTTGTTTCGGGGACCAGACGTGGCAGATCTATAATCAAGCCACAGCGCTGAAAGACAACATTGACCTTCTCACATTAACGGCGGGCGGAAATGATCTATGTCTTTCCGATATCATTAAGAGCTGCGTCATCCTGGCATATGACGGTGATGCTACTTGCAATGCTATCTTGGATAAGGCGCAGGAAAATCTCGACAGTATTGTCAAGGACAACGTAAAGCAGATCCTTAAGGCACTTGATAGCAAGATGGCTAAGGACGGAGTGGTTGTGTACAATGGCTACGCGCGCTTCTTCAACGAGGATAACGAGGATTGTGCTACCAAGCAAGACTGGGCCCCGTTCTATTGGTACCGCTATCTACAGGGTAGCGCAAGCCCCTTACCCCTGACGGTCGATCGCCGTAAGAGGTTTAACAAGTTGACAACGGGGTTAAACGATGCATTGCGCGCCGTGGTTCACGATGTCGCGGATGAGGTTAGTTACAAAATTGGCTATGCATCTTGGGACCTCTGGGGCATCGATGGCGTCAAAGGCCAAATGTGCGATCCCTCTTCCACTGGCACGTATCCGGACTCTAATCAGCCAGACTTGCTATTCTTCAAACCAGACACGCGCAAGTCTATCTGGCGGTTTCCACTAAAGAAGAAGCGCTCGGCTGATGGAACGGAAACCATCTACGTGGACTTAGACAGCACAGTTGATGGCGAGGTTGTTGGAGAGTGGGATACGTCTGTTCCACCCACCGATGAACAACGTGAAGCTCTACGTGCATCTCTACCTCCTCTGCCAAAGAGAGATCTAGATAGCAATGGTGTAGATATAGCTGTTTACCGCTCCATCCTATGGAATTCAGTGAATCCCCCGGCTGCAGCACTTAAAGCCCTCGATAAACGAGCCCCAGCCACGCCCGGCTGCCCCGGAGATCCGTACCCGTATCTTCCCAATATTGGCTGGTTCCTACCGGATTACTTCGGGCGCATTTTCCATCCCAATGAAGCCGGACACAACGCCATCGCGTCGTTTTCCATCCAACGAGCCATTGATCTACGAGCCGAGGTGCTGGGCCTCAACCCGGAAGTCTGCACGGTCACAGACGAGTTCAAGTGTTGGCAAAAAGAAGGCCGCAAGGGTTACGCTACCGCAGATCGACTAAACGAGAACTATAAGACGTACTGCGACGGGGTCAAGGCACCAGGTGGCGGCGTAACGGCGTGGCAGAATAGTAGAAAGTTCCACGAGGGAACGCCGGATGAGCATGAGTTTGTAATCGAGACGACGGAGTTTGCTAGCGATTTTAACCACTATGAATGCATTGAGAGTATGGAGCGGATCATCAACGGGTGTGATGGTAACGATCCCAATAATCCGATGAATTGGAAGTTTGGGGGCACATGGAAACGTGGCGAATACAGATACACTGTCAACATCAAGCGGGATAACCGTCCCTGGCCTCCGATAACGAAGGCATATGGTAAATGTGACGGCGGATATCACGTAGTGTACAGCGATTACACCATGTATGGTAAGTTTACCCGTGTTCCCAAGTGAAGATAGATTCCACGACCAAAAGCTAATATTTGACAGGTGCTGGGTGGAGCAGTTGGGACAGCGGCCAGGACACAATTATCCCCAAGATGAAGGGGTGTTTGGGGCTAGGTATCACGGCTTGGAAGTTTGAATATTTTGACAAGCCGGATAGCGAGGGTATGGAGTGGAAAGCTACTTTCCACACGCCTGTCTTTGTGAATAATCGCTGTTTTAAAAATAACAAGGTCGCGATAGGCGCTGGTGGCTTTACTAACGGATGCGGGGGCTCTGACTTAGCGTAGCTGATGCCCAAGTTTACAGGGGATGATTGTATCCGTACGTACCTGGGTAGACACGTAGGAATCGAATAGAGTACCTATCTATCAATAGTTCGTTCCTAGTAGAAGAGTATTATGCTTCGATGCTGTTTTATCGTCGTGCAATAGCTATTATGAATTTTAAACCGCCCCTCCCCTGTCAAGATAGTTTACAAACGTGATTTTAAACCCCTATCCGAAATACGCATATCAAATAAGTTCCTACATAACTCTAAAGCAAGTCTTAAACGAGTATAGGTGTTAGAGTCAGACCCGATGTTTACAAGTCAATTCTTAAAGATTCTCTCTCCCGCTTCTTATCACTTTCAACCTCTGTTGTTAGATCCCGATGCTTTAACGTTGCTACCCAACTACCTAGACTTCATAACAAGTACAACCATTTCGGTCCTATGATAAAATTCAATAGTTTCCCTTTGTTCTCGTTATGTGTTATATGTTAGAGTACTGCTCCAGTATAGCCACGTCAGTTGCTCGTCATGACGAGCTTACCCATAACTTGAGACCAACTGCTAGACGCAGCATATTATTTTCAGCATAGGTTAAGAGGTAGGCAGCCGTCGCAAATTATTCATTCCGTAAAGGTTTACATTGTCATTAAATTATTTACATGAAGAACTATTCTTATCCTTTACATCGTAGCCACTATACGCCCATACTTCCAGCTCTAATGTTTCTTACATCCACTTCCGGGGCTGGTAGGAGGTTCGTTATCCGGCCGCGCTAGACCTAAGCAACTCGCAATCTTGTAGAAGATATCAATATTACCATATGTGCCCCCGAAATCGTTTTGGCAGGGTCCCATAGCGAAAACGGCTACGTCTGTGAGCGAGTGTACGCCTGATGACTCGGAAACGGGCAGTGTGCCATTAACAACAAATCCGTCAGGGCTGTCCTCGGCGTTGACGAATAAGTCGTCCTCGTTGAAGCCCGGCGTATTACTAACGACCTCGCGCGGCTTCTTGTGTATGCGGTAGTTTTCGCGGTGGTCGGGGTTGGCGCCGAGGCCTGCTGCTATACTGTACCTTGGATCCCAGTTGACAGGGAAATTAGGGCCAGTCCCATACGAAACACCCTCAACCGGGACAGTGTACTGTGACAAACCGGACTGTTCATAAATGCCAACGGCACGACGCTTGTCACGGTCCGTCTCCTGAGCCGAAAGGTATTTAGTATCAACGCCTCCGAAGACATCGAACCCATGGCCATGGTCAGCGGTGACGAGAACCAGAGTATTCTCTAGTTCACCTATCGCTTTTAGATGGTCAATGGTCGCGCGCACTGTGTCGTCGAGCTCAAGGAGATCACCAAGAGCACGGTCATAATCCAAAGCGTGCATCTGTTTATCGATGGACGCGCCCTCGGACATGAGGAAAAACCCCTTATCACCACCGCGGGTGTGTAGAATATCGATAGCCTTCAAAGTCATGTCCTTCAGACCAGGAAGGTCAAGGGCAGGTTTTTCCGAACCTAGAGGGTCGTTCTCAAAGCTCTCTAAATTCTCCGTGAAAACGTTGCGGTCTAACCAGACAGGAAAATGAGACTGGCAGAAAACCCCAAGAGCCCTGCTGTTATTGCCAAGTTCTAACAGCGAAGTCTTGTTCAAGCTGATTTCATAACCTGCTTTTGAAAATGCTTCGTAATAATCTTTTCCCTCGTAGCTGTCGGAATTCGGGTAAAACTGCTCGGCACCTCCGCCGAACCAGACGTCAGGACCGCCCTGGTTCGTCCATGAATAATTGGTGACCGAGTTCAATCCTTGGTCGACAAGGGAACCATAAGCATATCGCGATCGGCTATGGCCAGTAAGGGCAATGGGGGTTGCATCTGAGAGGGCTGCAGTTGAGACAGCACCCCAAGCAGAATCCTAATGGCTTGTTAGTGCAGGAACATCATGTCAGTTGCCAGTGCCTATTTACCCAAGTACGCTTCAATAATTCAACGATAGTCTCAACTTTCGGGTCGTCGAAGAAATCAGCAGACGAATCGACGTAAACGCTTCATAAATCGAAGATTAGTATATATGGTAGAAGCATATTGGGTAATTCATAACATGACTTACCCCATAGCGTTGACGGTGCTCTTGTGTCCGGTGTAAAGGGCAGATGCCGAGTTAGCGCTATCAGTGATGAAGCTATCGAGGGAATGAGTCTAATGATAACCGTTAGTTGTTAAGGGACTCAAAGATTACAATATGTAAATCGGTCAGTATCATACCATCTGATGTCCTACAACGGGGAATTTGTCCATCTGCAATAGAGACTGGTATTTTCCGTTGATGCTCTTGTGACCAAGCAGGCGCGCAGCCGTGATCATATTCGTGGTCATACCATCACCTATATATTGTCAACATCAACCTTTCTTTCTCGGGTCTCAACAACCATACCGATGAAGAGAATAACATTCTTTGCCTTCTTCTTGGTAGCTAGTGGTCGCACAACCCAGTTAGCTATCGTCTTCTGGCCATCGTAATAGTTCAGCGTGACGACGTAGTTTCCCGGCTCGTAAATCGCGAGTTTCCGATAGATTTTAGACGCGACATTGACGATAGACGGAGTTCCCGCGTCCTTGGCGAAGAGATCTTCGTACCAGCTGAAGTCCCATTTCTCTAGCTCCGGTTCGGCAACGTCGAAGAACTCGGCGATGGTCTTGGACTCGCTACCTTCCTTAGTGATAGTGACTGAGAACTTTTCATCCGGCTCGCCGTTGTTGAAAGCCTCTGAGCCGTTGACCGGAGCATGTACTTCGAGACGAAGGTCGAAGTATTGTCCCGGCAGGAAGTCCGATTGATCAGGCGGCAGAACGCAGCCTAGATCCGGACAAGCACCAAGCCGCTGGAACGTCTGGGCAGTGACAGCAGAGATGGCCACTGCCGCCACAGCAAGGGAGCTTAGTTTACCCATAATAGCTCTCGACTATTACCAAGCTGAAAGTTGGGACAGTAAGACATCGGGTCGGTCTCAGGGGTCTGGAAAACTCTAGAGTTATATAGTTGAAATCAAGCTGAGCTTGCTATGATTATGTAGTGTAACCGTACTACGAGCTTGGCCGTTGAAAGATCCATAATGCCACTGATCCTGCATTGGAAGGAGGTAGTCGAGGCCTTGGCTACCTATTCCTGAGGCCGTAAATGTCGAGCGGTGGGTTCTTGGCAATGGAAGAGACCTGATTATAATTGGTCATTCATGTTCTAGAAATCTCCGATAGTAAATGGTAGCGGCGGTGCTGCCGTCGAAGCATTAATCGCGTAGAAAAATCATATAGGTAATTCATCGCACGTGCTCGACTAGGTAGCAAGTTAGTTCTTGGCTCAATCATAGCTTGTCTAGGTATGCATGGGTATTTGGCGGCTGGAAGTTTGTTCCTGGTTCTTGGTTCCTGGATTTTCAAAGTACCTGTTCTTATAAGTCCTAAACAAGGAGTCTTGGATTTGGTTGGCGAACGAGATATATAGCAGCAGTGCATGTTTCCTATATTGGCATTGCCAATTAATATGTTCCCATTGTAACGTACTATGCGTCGATATGGCGAGCCCTCTTCAGCTTGACCTGGAGAATAAACAATGATCATGGGTAGCTTTCTCGATACGTAAAAGCCAAGGCACGTCGAGGTTTGATGTGGGGATATCTCGAGAGAACAAGGGTTCGGAAAACGTGGGCTGGATTGCCTCCTATCATTGGCCCCTTTCTTGACCAGGAAGATGTGGGTTAGCTTGGCCAACGTCTCCCGTCGCATGGGGCACTTAGGGCTATTTTAATGGCGAGATATACATGTGCCAATTGTATTACGTAGATATAATTAAATATGTAAAAGAATATTGGGTAATACTTGATGGCCTCTATTTTGAATATAATACTCGTTCGTTTAAGCGTACCTACCTAGTTTACTATTCGAGAAGAGACGATTGACGCCTGTAAGCGCATTGCTAGAGATGATAACTTCTCTGCTATGTAGTATTCCTCCCCAGTGCCTATGTAAATTTGTGGTTAGTTGCTTGATCTGCGGTTGAAAATGCCTTTACAGATATACTGCATATAATAGGGCAATACATAAGGATGTCAACTCATTACATGCAGATATGAATCTTGGTTCCAAATTCTCGGGAACAAACCCTAGTGATTATGTGGCAAAGATGTGGAGGCCACCGAACAACGACCTCGGCGACCGAATTGTCCCACGCCTTAAGTACTTCCTAAGGTAGGTAGCTAGTAATAATTCATTCGGACAACTGACCCAGCCGACTCGAAAATGGGCTGGACCCGGTGAATGACTGGATAGCCATACCTCTCACCAAGGACGGTGCATCATAATTGCAGCGCGTAATCTATCGTCAAGTGCAGCAAGAAGTTGAGGTCATCACTTATAAACAGGAGCTCACTTGTCAATTTCAGCGAAGCCCTTCCTATCTAACTCATTGGCATCGGTTTCAGCATCGGGGACGAGTGGGGTCTCTCCTCCCTCTGCGGTGGTCCCTGTTACAGCTAGGCCTGCTATCTCTCCGGCGAGTGTCGAGTCTTCAGTTCCGCCTTCCCCATACTTCTCCCAAGCTGGTTGATTGATCTTCGACTGCCCCCCTTCGGGCTTAAAATGGTATCCTCGAGCCCTAGGCCTCTCTCCGGTACCCTTAGGAAGCACGGATTCATAGGCCTCGGAAAAGATATCACAGTCACGCTCGAACGTTGAGGGTTCTGCGGTAAGCGCAGCTCGGATGCCCTTGAAAAACTGGTCCAAGACATGGTAATTGTGGATTTGAAGAAGTGTCCATCCAAGCATTTCTTTGGCGTTAAGGAGGTGCTGGAGGTAGGCGCGGTGATGCCTGGTGCAAGTATAGCATTCGCATCCACTTGCGAGCGGCGTCAATGATACCTGATGGTCTGGCGACCACATATCTATTCCTAGCGGATATGCGCCTGTTTTCACGGGTGATGGTGGTGGGAATGAGAAGGTAAGAGCGATTCCAGCATCCGAGGCTGCGTTAAGAAATGTCACAGTGAATATATCAATCCCTAAGCGAGTTTGCCGGAGGATCTCTTGTGGTGACGTTATAAAGTCCATAGAAATCCGAGGCAGCGAACTGAGGGACTCATGATTGCTAAGGTCCGGAAGGATATCCGCATCGTACACCGCAAGCCCGGATAAATGCTGGACATAGTCCTGAGATAGGCGGTTTAAGTATTCCCATTGCGTCGGATAAGCAACCGGCAACAGTGGAGCGAATAAAGAGGGCTTAGCAGTCTCGTTCTCACCATTGGTATTTCTTAATTTTATAATTTCGGATAGCCAGTCCTCTGTTCTCTCCACCATGCGGAGCTGCCTTTTCGGATTTGGAAGCTTAGTCCTAATATGTGAATTTCCGAACGTCAGGTCCGCAAGGGGTATTGCAATGTCTGGCTGCAGCTTCTCGACAGCTTGGTAATATTCGCTGTTTTTCAACTTCTGGAAGCCGGTAGATGTGTAAACGGAGACATAGTCTTTCCCATTACCCATAGGAGCTACTACTGCAGGATGCCGTCGAGCACCGAGCACTATGGCTAGTGGCGTGGGTGTAGCGGTATACGCATGTAGTGCCTCTTTGCCATCGATATCTACGTTAAAAACCGCAGGTTGGGCCCTCTTTTGAGATTTTTCTATAACTGAGTGACGTGTTAACCTAGTGGTGGAAATGTAACTATGAACTCACTGGACTTACAGTCTTCCAAAGCCATATATGAGCCGTGGAGCTCTGTATGCTTGGTGATGACATCTGGTGTCATATGTGGTGTTGCTCCTCGTGATGAAAGACCAATATAGTTGGGCGTGTCAATTGGTTTTCGTTTCGGGAGTGTTAAACGGCCTGCTCTAGGCGCTCCCCCTTCGATCACTGCACTTTTCAGGACGTTGAACATGGCATGTTCTGAAGAAGACTCGGCCATTCTTTAATACGAACAAGAGTAGATAGTTGACCTGCGCCTTTCTACTTATAAGCTAGGATAGCCTTATTCGAGTCGAGAATTTCAAGTTGTGAGCTCTGAATTTGTCTTGGTAGCGTCGTTTAGTGAGTTCTCGTAAGGCATCGATATATACTATAAATACTCCCTGGCGTTGATGTAGTAAAAAGAAATATCAAGAAGATGTTTTAGAGGTAGTTATCAGCAATGTGCTTGGGAGGTATTGATTAACTTATTCCCACTGAAATTGACGGAAGAGAGGATCCATAATACTTTTTTACGCATCTAATAAACTTTCCTAGGTACATGCATGTATGTAGGAGGTACTGTATCGATAACAGCCTTGAACTTGGAGATGTCACATTCCGATTGGATCACTTTGCGGAAGCGGACTGGCGGACTGCACGGGATCCACCTGTTTCTTCCAAGGAAACAACTGAGATCCAATCGTCATCTATCACTAACCCACCTGCCCAATGGGCTGGGTCTTAAGCCACTTCCTTCGCGCAGCCTTTTTGTTTCGCGTTCTCAGCGCTGAATCCAACCAAAGTTCCATTCCTTGGCCAACCATCAACTTATTAACTTATCAACTTGTCAACCGCCAACTCCTCTGTTGCGTAACGTAACGACAACTTTCTAAAGGCTGAGCAGGCTCTCGGTCTGGCAATCTCTTATATCGCCTACTTCATCGTCTTCGAGATTTCATCTCATGTATCCTTTAACGTTTGTTCCATTATACATTTAGAACTTGGTTTCTTCCGTAACCTATTGGTTAACCTGGTTCTTACTGTTATCATATCCTAACTGCTATATGTAAGCCAGCCCCCCAATAACCTCCTTCATACACCATCGGGGGTGATTCCTTAAGTCACTAATAGACGCTATGGCGCATTAAATAGCCGTAAATCATGAGTAGCAATCAGTTAGAAATTCGTTCAGTCTCTCCTGACATTGAACAGCAACGGCTGCGTAACGCTTCATCGGCACATCCGGACGATCCGCTTAGCGGCCCGCAACATCTCGAGTTCAACGAGGACGACGACCCTCCGACCCCGCGCTTTATGCAGGACCAAGGCGCTTGGAAGAAATGGAAATGGGTCCCATATCCCGTCCGAAAGTATGGGAAAGCCGCCTTTAAATGGATGAAGGGTCCGCAGAACCCCAAGGTCTGGAAGATTGAGCCACTCTTTCCCACCGTCCAAGAGGCGCCACTTCGTCTGCTCGACAAATACCTTCCCAGCAAGAAGCACAAAATATTGTTGTATATGGGCTATATTGCTGTATGGATTATTATATTTGCCATTGTTATGTGGCGGGGCCAGGCTGCTTCAGAAGTTGCGGGTTATGGCACCCCTATGGACATAGGATGTGGTGTCACATATTGGAGCCGCAATAACGGCTGTGGTCTTGACGGTGTCGACTGCAGACCGTTCAACGGCAGTGGCTTTGCCTTTCGCTGCCCATCCAACTGCGCCAGCTACCGGGTTCTCAATCCTCGAGCAGTAGGGAGCCAGGAAGTAGTCTACGCACCGTTAATCGTCGGTGGACCACCCGATCCCGCCAACGAAGAGAACCCAATCTACCGGGGCGATTCTTTTATTTGCGGATCCGCCATTCATGCTGGCCTCATTTCTAATTCCCAGGGTGGTTGTGGTGTCGTCAACCTAGTAGGGCGCCAGCAAAACTACATTGGCACGGATAGACATGGCATCAAAAGCGTTGCCTTCGATTCATACTTCCCGCTGTCCATTACCTTTGAGCCGGGGATCGAATGCAAGGCTAGAGACGTAAGGTGGTCGCTACTAGCGGTTTCCGTAGTCTTCACCTCCGTATTATCGTTATTTACTGCTTCGTCATCAGTATTTTTCTTTACTGTCTTTATTGGTATATTTTGGCAAGTAGGTATGGCTTCCGACCCGCCGTCCTACACGTCAATTCCCGCATTGTTTTCCAACATTCTGGGCAAGTTTCTTCCCGCCATGTTCTGTGCGTGGGTATTTTATGACAAGATGGGCGTGCGGCGAACTTTACGAGGATTAACGGCCCAGGTTGAGAAGACTGTCTTGTGGCTAGGTGGCTGCTGGGTTGGGGCACTTACAAATTACACTTTCGACTTTATACCTATCCAACGCCTGAATGGGCACGATCTCGAGCAGCAACCTGGTGCAAAGGCAGCTCTTGCTATTATTGTCATCGTATTGTTTTTCATCGCTGTTGGCCAAGTCTGGTGCTTCCGACAAGAAGGGAGATTGGTACGGATTATCAAGCTATATGCGCTGTTCATCTTGGGGATCATCATCTGCCTCGTGCTACCTGGTCTCAGCTTGCGTATTCATCATTACATCTTAGCTTTGCTCTTAGTACCGGGTACCGGCATACAAACAAGGCCGTCTCTTCTATACCAAGGTATCCTAATAGGGTTATTCATCAACGGTATAGCTCGCTGGGGATTTGATTCTATCTTACAGACCTCGGTAGCTTTGCAGGGTGATGCTCAACTAGGGTCCCCCCTTCCTACTCTCCTCGCACCTATTATCAACACTACTCTTTCAACAATCACATTCCAGTGGCAACCTTCGCCGGGATTGCGATACGATGGTATCAGTGTACTAGTCAACGATGTTGAAAGATACCGTGGTTTCTTCGCCGATGAAGACTCAGACCGCTTCGTATGGTCTCGCGACAACGGGTCCGAATATAACGAGTACTTCCGATTTGGGTTCATGTCGGGTACTACGAGTGGAGATTATACTAAGGCCGGTATCTGGACAAAGGACCTTGATTGGGTTGATCCTCAACCAGGACCTTCAAAAATCAAAGCCCGAGATTTGGGCAGGTCCAATACAGAAACAGAACAGGTACCCCGTGCCGTATGGAAATGAATGATGATCGTATTATGATAGCCAATCAATGCAGTTAGAAGTTTTATGAGTGAATATGGTTCATTATTTAACACTTTACAGTCAAGGATCTATTAACTTATAAACGTTGAGTTTTCTGTCAGCTAGTTATCTACCTTTATTGGAAGTTAACATCGGCCCTTATTTTGATGATAACCTCACTACCTCGGTAAAGTTGCATCTTGTTTTTTTGCCAAAATATTAATACAGATCCTATGTAACGCCCCGTATGCTTCCCATGGGCTGTATTCAATCCTCACCTATCCTACAATTTCTAAAAAAAAAAGTAAAGATATTGCCATCGCTATTACCGTACCCGTCTATTCACAAGTCTTGACTACATAATCCACCGTCTGGTTGCCTGTTGCCGGAATCTTGGGCTTGAAATCGAGATAAACGAACTACACGCGTCGCGAAATATCATTAGCAAATACATCTTTTATCTACACTCTGTGCAAGCATAACATACCTCTCCCTTCTCTGGAGTCCAGTCGCCGTTGGTATCGCGGTAGTAAACTAGCTCACTTGACTTTATATCACGAATCTCGGCGGTAGTGTGTGTGAGTGCTCCGTCTGTATGCCATTCGAGATGATAGCAGGTTGACTTGGAGACGAGGAACGGTTTTGAGCACCTCGTGTTGCCTTCCGAGTCTTGGCATTTTTCGACCGCGTAGTCCATTACCGATCCTTCGGCTACGGTACGCGCTGGATTGATCGAAGATTGTTAGTGGGAATTATGAATCAATTAATACAAGAGATGGAACTGAATGAAGGCGAAAATGAGATTGTAGACATACTTTCTTTGAGACTACCGGTTAGAGCCAGTCCCGCGGTTAAGACACTTTGCGCTGATGGGATATACATTTTTAATTGATAAATGATTAAATTTCGTAAATGAGTGAGAGGTAAAGAGTTTTGACGTTGGATAATATTCAAATGATCGAGTTGTTAATTGACAAGTGACTTAGATACCTGGTATGTATTCTTGGCCACCGCAACCACAACGTCATAGACTATTATTATTGGCTGTCATAAGCCTAGCACAACTTCAATGTAAGACTTTCAAGGTTCTTCATCCTGTATGTTTCGGCCCTTGGCGTCCTCGTCGAAGGTTATGCACCCTTTAACTATGAAAAATCTACTTGTTTTTTTTTTTTTTTTTTCAAATAGATTTCACAGCGTTCAATACCGACACGAAAGAGTAATACAAGGCCATAAAGTCTTATAACTCGATGACGTTCCAAGTAGAAGGGGGTTGAAAACACTTAAATGCACACAAGTCGTTCATCTGACTAATTATGCAGTGTTACCATAAGGAGGCGTCTTGCTCGGCCGAGAAAATGACAGTATATAAAAAAGTTGACATAGTAAATTCTTGCTTCTAGTCATTTTCTAATATCCCCCGTCACCGATATCTGAGACCATCTTGATGCTTCGCCCCTACTAACGACACTGCATTCTTAGTCGTGAGCCTTGTTCAAGAAAGCCTGCCGGACTTGAGTGTACTCGTCGTTAGTTAGGTCCGTGTACTGGAGGCAGTCATCGCCGCAAGCAAACGGGACGGTTCCAACTCCATCGAACCAGGGAGCAGCAGAAATGCAAGAGTAGGGGATACCCGTGATCTTGATGCCTGAAGGACGATAATGATTAGCCTGAAAGTTCCTTTCTCCAGGTTCGCAAGGTTCACTTACCAAACTTGGGGTTATCTCCGGTAACCTTGATGTGTGCACCCCTCAGAGAATTGCAGCAGTTCTCGATAACATTCTCAGGAACACCAATGGGAAGATGGCGGGTACCAGGTACCAGACGGGTGCAGGACAGCTCTGGAAGAATGTGAAGCCCGCAACGATGGCGGCGGCGGCGGCAGCTTGGTAACGCATTTTGAGATATTGGAAAGTGAAAATACTTCTGTTATAGAAAGAGGTGCAAGGGCTGTTAGGAGGTATGTGACTGAGATGTCTTGACATTGAGATGCTGATGTCTATTATTTTCTCTTTCACTCAATTAAAGAGACTCCTATTTATACACAGGTAGTTGTAGAGAGACGTGCTACACTTACCTGGAGAGGCCGCCTCATGATAAGAACTATCCTGCTATACCGATAGAAGTTTCTCACGATCTAATCTCTTGCTTCTAGAACGATACCCTCGGAGGACTTTGCTGACTGAAGCTTAGATGTAAACTCCTTATTTTTAGGAAATCCCTGTACACACTCGAGTCCCGATCAATATCATATAAATGTGCTGCGATTCCAAGCATACGTTTTTCATTTGATTATGCTATTCAGGTAGATTCCTAAGTATTTATGTGAAAATGCTGAGAGAAACCAAGTTGGCAAGGAGCCCAACCTTCAAGTATGGCATTTCGTTTAAAAGTATAGTTATCCACCCTAAGTATGGCACATAACCTCGAACAACCCCGATAATCTCATCCCTATAGATATACTTCCTATTGCCGGGATAGAGCGCGACATCATCCATCTCATTATTGTCGCCCTTTGTGAGAATCAATTGCCTATGGGGCGAAATGGTTTAGTACTCAGCAAACTGAAGTCCAAAGCATAGGTAGTCAAGGCTTATCTTACTCTGTAACTCGGCTTCCTGGCCTTGCTCTCCATATAATCTTGATTGCTCTGTGAACCATTGGCAAAGGTGCTTTAGAGAACCAGACGACAGGAATGTCTCCTATCTGGATCTCCTGCTCCTGGTTGGATACAATGATGATATCGCCACGTTTAAAGGTCGGCGCCATTGAGTCTGATACGACGACGTGGATGGGACAGGGAGAGTTGGTGAGGATTGATAAGCCTTTCCATAATATGAATAGAGCGCTTATTACGTGCACGATGGGTAGTAGACGCCGAAGCGAGTTTCTCATAATGATTAAATATAGTGAATATCAAATATATACCACAAGAAACAAGTCTACCGCCGCCTAAGTGAATCGACCGATTGTTTTCTCTACTCTCTACATCCGTAGGTTATTCCGTACGTATAAACCACCAAAGCCATGTAAGCGCCGAGTTTTATTGCCAAGAGGATTCTACTATAAATCTGGACCTTCAAGTTGTTTGCTCAGCTGGAACTGTAAGACTTCTTAAAACTTGGTAAGTCAGTTTACTTACCGGCTAATTGGTTGATTTTAGAAGCAAACCATCACATACAGCTCCCAACCAAAGAGGGTTAATAAGGTGGCTATTCTGAACGTAATAATTCAACCCGTTTAGGTCACGTCCGCTAGATACGGAATTGTCATGTTTGCTGTCGTCATGTCGTAGCGGCAGAAAGTGAAGAAGATTGTGAGTCTATGACTTAAATGGTTGGTACTTAGGTATAATGTAAAAACCTCTCAATAAAATAATGGACTGATATATGAGGTACCCGAGGTAGAACCCTGCGTAATTTTAAAGAAAAGTCGTCAAGACGTAGATCGTAGCGTGATATAAGGTTAATTGCCACCTAGATCTATCACCTACTTTATTTACTCAAGATCTATGCTTCGTCTCTGTGGTTGGGTATCGGGCTCCGTTTACGAGGAAAGACAATATGATGCTACCAATCCCCTCGCGTAATAGGGATAAGATTGATTGAACACGAAACGATCAAAGAATGTCGGCGATACGAGATCGCGATAAGCATTGATCGGGGTCATTGTACTAGTCGTATACGCATATAAGGGAGTTGTCTGCCTGTATACATTCTCGGCCGGATCACGAACCGGTCGAACGGTGGTGGTCCGGTGGGCGACCTTATATCCAATGACGATCATGGTGATTGACTGAGAAGAATGCTACTCTACGCAGGTGGCCTTATTCAACCCTAGTTATCTTATGCTAAGTTAGGAAATTTCTGACGACAGGCAACGATAGCCGGGCGTGTCCGGCGGAAGCTAAGAGGGGCTGATTGGCCGAACCGTAGGATGCGAGTGCGCTGTGAATGAGGGACTTCCTACCCATTGCTATGTATGTCGGTAATTCACCTATCTGATGTCATACCTCATCTGAAAAGCCTTCTGGATCTTAAATGGTCTAGACTCTGGTTTTCCATGAAAGCAACCGAGCTAGTAAAACCTGGAGTTTGGTTAGTTGGAGCTTTTCCTCCGTCCTGTACCTGAAATAAACAAACTGAAAACTTCCAGCTAATATTCTAACGTGACGGCTTTCTTAATCCCTTTGCTGATGGAATTCTGCTGAATACTTCCTGCCTTATACTCCTTATAATATTGGCCATGATTGGTGGACGGCCTACCACCAATCTGGTGCTGGGTACGGTACTTTTTGCGTGTATTCTTCTTACATATCTGGGCTCCGGGTCCGCTCGAAATCAATGGGGCTCGACTCCGAGTCCCGCGAAATGGGCCCCATCACCGGCAAGCCAAGGCAAATCGGATGTGTTCAATAGAACGCTTGGCGTGAGTCTTGTCCCGGCCGACACGGGCGTTATTAGTTGACTAATGGCTGTACATGCCGAAGTTTGAGAAGGTCTTCGTCATAGGGCTCCCCGAGCGTTCGGATAAGCGCGATGCGTTAACTCTAATGTCTTCGCTCACGGGGTTCAGGTTAAGTTGGATTGACGGTGTTGTTGGTAACACTATCCCAAATAAGGCTCTACCCTTTGTAAGCTCTATACTCCCGGCCGATACTAACTGCGAGATAACTAATAAACTTGGCCTAGGGATGGGACCGAGAAACGATGCGGGATAGTAACCTAGGTTCCTGGCGCGGCCACGTAAACGCAATGCGACGCATAATCGAAGATGGAATATCGTCGGCGCTGATTATGGAGGATGATATGGACTGGGATGTGAATATTAAAGAACAGCTAGCCCGATTCGCGGCGGCGGCTCGTTCCTTGCAGTCGGGATTCCACCGAAACCAAACGCTAGAATCGCCAAGCCCGTACGGCCAAGATTGGGATATGCTGTGGCTAGGCTCATGTGTAACAACGTTCGATGAAGACCTCCCCGAACACCTGCGGATCCCGCCCGAGGAGCGCGACTCCCGTAAGGTCTTCATCTATGACGATCTGACGGTACCACCACCGGGGCATATTCTGGGCAACGGTTCCTTCAGTTGGGACGATTATCCCCCGCATACCCGAATAGTATATGTGCCCGGCGATAATGTGTGCAGCTTCGCATACGCGCTGAGTGCAGCTGGGGCGCAAAAGGCGCTGCAGCATATGGGACTCGAGGGGCAGCGTAAACCCTTTGATAACCACCTCAGCGACCTGTGCCGGTTACGAATTAACGGTATGCGGTGCGTGAGCATAGTGCCAAGTTTATTCGTGCATCACCGACCGAGGGGAAGGATTAGTAGCGACTCGGACATCAATAAGGGAAGCGAGAATGAAGAGATGCGTGAGGTGGGATTTACTGAGAACATATTATATAGTACGCGGTTGAACTTGAAAAATCTGGTTAGAGGGTTGGAACCGGAGAAGCAATGGGTAGATTGATATTTGAGCGTACGAAATACAAAATGCATGGCCGGCGTATATATAGGTAATAATTGAATGAAGCCAAGATTATTCGGCAGTTTTGAGACAAGCAAACTGAGCATTTAAAGTTAGAGTTTACGAAGATGGCACTTGATTCAAGGTACGACGATAAATATGAGTTGTAATTACACTTTGTTACTATCACAACTTGTAAGTCTACCTGTTTAGCGGTGTTGAAGCCATATATAGAAGAGTTGGGCCGTCTGCTCTATCGATAAGACATCGGGACTGGAGCAATGCTAAGAAGGACCCACTTAATACATGCAACAATTAAAGGTTGAAAAAAATAATTTCGGAGCTTCTCAACTTTCAATCAGATTCCAAAATACGACGACCACTCCGAACAACAGCGCACGCAACGAGCAAAGTTATAAAAAGGAAGAGGAAAGAAAATACACAACCGTCAAAATGCATCTCATGTACACCATGGACGAGAGCGGCAAGCGCATCTACACCCTGAAGAAGGTCCTAAACGGAGAAGTCACCAAGTCGGCGCACCCGGCGCGATTCTCGCCTGACGACAAGTGGTCGCGCCAGCGCGTCACCCTGAAGAGGCGCTTCGGCCTGCTCTTGACGCAGCAGAGTGAGTCCTACTACTCATCTATATTTTTAAGATATATATGAGAGCGAATCTTAAAAAAGAAGAACACATATACTAACGAAGGTCTTCCATCACAGAGAACAAGGTTGCTGAGAACTCGCGGTGAAGCACTGTACCTACACCCCCCACGGTGATGTGAAACAAAATATCGAAATCGGCAAATTGAGATCCAAAAAGATTCGGTTCGGCTATTCGAGGTTACAAATATAGTCCTGTAATCGGACTGGCGTTCATGGCGTGCGAATCGGAAAGAAAGAAAGGCGATCGACTTTCGGGATTATGAACTACCCACGACAAGCCATCCGCCTGATGCCGTCTTGCGTATGGGTAGCTGGGTCTTTGCAAATTCTATTATACCAGTTGGTGTTCTCAATATGGAGTCTGAACATATTTCTTCGTATTTGATGGATATTTGGAGGCTTGTGAATAAATATGGTGACCTGAGACCTAACCTACGCCAGCAAGGATATGACAAGGACACCGGGCATGATAGTCAAGCAATCTTGTCTTAATGAACTATCTTGACATTTCCTTAAGGTGTATTTCCGAAGTGTGTAGTCCGTATCGGCCCGTACCATCAATCCCGTTTTAAATACCGAGCCCCATAACACCTGTATGCTATATCACATTCCATTCATGTCCATCTATCTTTTTCGCGAATTCACATTCCTCCCCGCTCCGACACGTATCCTGCCCGGACCTCCTCCGCTTCTATCCCCCGTCAAGATACTTGGAAGATAATCCTCATCCATAATATCCCTCTGCTTTGTTTTCTTCTGTTCCGTGGACTTCTTAAGATATTCCTTCTGATCCTCAGCAAAGATAAGCTCTCTTCCCCAGCCTCCCTTTCCACCTCCCGGACCACGTGCCTTTCCGTTTGACGAGCCGTGTACCGGCTTCGGTACGCTGTATACATTTCCGCGGTTGTTCCACTGGAAGTTACGCTTGAGGTGTACCGTAAACTCCCCTGCTGCGTTTGTCGAGCAGCTCACACGTGTTAAGGTAGGTTGCCCGCATCGTGGGCAGAACTGCTTCCCCATGTCCCGCGAAATTGCGAAGCACCCGTGACACCGCAATACCCACGTCTTGACGCGCGTAATGCGCGCCAAGCTTGGAGATACTAGATTGAGATTTATTCGTAGCGCTACGTTCTGCATCGCGTAATCTGATGTGAGGAGTGCTACCTGCAAGAACTTTTGGATCGGTTGCTCCGGCGCTGAGAGCTGATCTTTAGCTTGGTGCTTCTTGAGATTCGATGGCGTGATCCACCCGTCTCCATCGTCATCTTCGTCCTCTTCTTGCTGGTCGGCAACTTTTGGTTCCGATGCCGTAGCATCATCTGGTATGGTATCAATCGTAGGCAAAGCGGATGATTCTAAGCTGAGAGAATCAAGGGCTTGAGTGACGGTCTCTTGTTGAATAGTCGGCTGCTCCTGTATCCTGGATTCGATGTTTGAATTTTCATCTGGTTTACCTCCTTCTAATTCGATTTGCCCTGCTTCGTTTTGGCTATCAACTTCTTCCGTCTTCTTATCTTCGGAATTATCGCCATCATTTTGTTGTTCTGCAGTCCCACTCTCTTTCGCCTGCTGTGTAGGTGCCTTTCCGTTTAGGCCTTTCTGTCCGGGTGTCTTTCTTAGACGCCAATCGCCGCCATTCCTTTCGCACTCTAGTTCGTATGTTAATGCGATTAAGTGTAAATCGGGTCTGCTCAGAACCTCGAGGTCTCCTGTGCGCCGCGCAAAATCGGTGATGAACTTGATGCTTTCGGGGCGCGGACTGCGCAACTTCAAGAAAGGAACCAATGTTGTCTCGACTCGCGCCCTTGTTGCGGCATCTCGAATTTCAGATATGACGGACGGAAGCGTGTATAGTTCGTGGGCTTGAGCAAGGAGAGTGCTGACGGAAGGGTCGTTCTTAATTAAAGGGCCTGTGTCGAGGACGAGGGAATGGATGGGTTTTGAGGGTGCGGATTCTGTATCTGTTGGTGCGTTTATAGTCTCCGCGGTATTTACCGCTTGCTGAGGTTCTGTTGTTGCCATCTTTCCGCTTTCCAGTAAATGTCTTGTCTAAATTGATACGGCGATATCACGAATTCGGAAGATGGTGGGGTTGTGATTTCATCTTGTGAATTTGGTGGTGGGCAGCGTGGGGCCCTGAAAAGTTTTGGCGGGGAGATCGGGCAGAATCTTTTGCATTTAACTCCCGGGCGTTTAACTTTAAAGCCCTGCATACATAGTACATAGGTACCTAGGTACGTAGGTACCCCGGCGTTTAAACACATGTGCTTGATATAAGACCGTTGCAGTATCGTTCTGTTTATTTTATTCTTTTATTTCATTTATCATTCCAATATATAGGTGCCCATATAATTATACACTTGAAGCTACCTCATATACTCGTATAACTTCATCTACGTCCACTAGTCGTAAACATTATCACGAAAACAAGCATATCCTTTGCATCCTCTGAATTGAGGATTAAGATCTTATCCAAAACAAGAACACTTCAACACGTATGAACTACGCCCCCTGAAGACATTCAACTGAAGCTATCTATGTCAATAGCCTGGCTGTGGTTAAAACAGTAGGGTTATTCTCTTAAAATGGGGATAAATTCAACTTCAAACTATTGCTGTGATTACGTACCTCGCTATCGGAGTAATCCTCAACGATGGTTGAATATAAATCCGCTCTATAGACTTTTATTTCGATTCATCACACCGTATATACCATATTTTAGGTAGATATGGACATATACATTGCTAGAGGATTCGAGGATCCCTTCTTCCAACCAACGTACTGGTGGATGTACGAACAAACCACCCTTAAGCACATCCCTGCTGGCTTTTTGAACCGCTCAGGATTCGGACATCCTGAAAAATAATTTCGATAGCCCTAGGCTATAGATATTGCACGGTTGACCAACTTGTATCCCGTTGTGGTATGGGATTTCGATAGTCTTCATGGTAGGTGTAACCAAACCAAGAGCCGAAAAGCAACGCCTACGCCGAAACTTAATCGACCGACCACTTCCACGCAATACCGACTGGTAGGTTTGTCTCAAAACTTGCTAGGATAGTACAATCCGACTGATGTTCATAGATTCATGTGGAATCCTAATCGTCGAATCATGCATCTGAGTATTGAATAGTTTAAAGTGACGTATTTTGTTAGGGGTCGTGCCCCGGTTACGTGACCGTAAACTCTTGCATCCCGGCGCACTGGGACTAGGGGTCTGGGACGTGTATGATTCTCGCCAAGCGCAATTTTAAGACCGAAAAAAACGTAGGAGGGTGCTGCAGGATAGGCAGTTAATCCAGATTCTGGTCGCTTCCCCAGAGCTTAGCTGATATGAAGTATCGACAGAATGTTAGTAATTCCTCATCCAAGAGATCGTTGGCACCCTGGCCTCCAAAATACCCTGTCCACCCCCAATGCTTCGGGGTGCAGTCCTATTGACCAAGAAATAATTCCGGGGCGCTGGGTGTTTGTCTTGTTCGTGGTGTTGGTCAAGTAGGCTTTCTTGCTCAGAATAGGATCGGTCACTCCACGGAGGAACAGCACAGCTATGCCGGGTTTCTTGGGGAAACATTGTGGTCTTCTCCTATTAGCCCCTTTGGCTAATTCAAGGTGGTAGTAACCATTAAAGTGCCAAGACAAGCCGGCGAGATTGGTAACATAGTCCTTGTTAACCAATCAGTAGATACGATAACTTGCTTAAAAGGTTCAAACGGTCGTTTGTGAGTATTCGTTATTAAGCCAGTCGCTCGAGAGCCACGATGCAGATTCGAGGCCGTTATTTCCGAATGACTCGAGATTGAAGTCAAAGCCATCCATCGCACCCTCAAAGGCGTTATTATTATCTATTCCATCTGGTGGCATCACAGAAGGTAGATTCGACTTCGTTATGTTAAAATCTCCAATAGGTGTTCCTGGCAGCGGAGATCCACGGCTATGCTCTTGTGGTGGACGGGGAGTCGAATGCTGGATTGGGGTTGGCATTGAACCACCTTGTGGTGAGGTTATGTGAGCTGAAGGAGATAGAATAGGGATGTTAGTAAGTCCACTTTCGTCGACAACTTGCATCTGTTGAATTGGGTTATGGCGTGGCATGACATGTTGGGATATCAGATTGGAACTGTTTGTACTGGGGCTCCCTGGGTGGTTCGGTGCAGCATTTGTAGTGAAGCCACGGGCAATCAATTTTTCGAGATCAGCAACCTAAAGTTATATCTATACTCAGTAAACTGTTATGCGATATTCTGGGATGCGATAACTTACAATAACAGTGCCAGCTGGGACGTGATCCATCGACTTCGCAATCGTTAGGCATCTCGTACCAAGTTCGTGTACTTGGTTTGATGTTAAACTGATTTCCCCCTGGTTCCTCTGGTGAGCAAAGTAAATAATCCGAGCACACTGATAAGCGCAACCGGGTAGATCAATATCAGTGACGGGCAGGCCTCCGTCAAGCGATAAAACAAGTTTAAAAATATCTGCCATAGCCAAAGCGTGCTCATAACATTGGCGTACGCAATATGACACAAATTGGGGATCCAATTGATTTAAACCCGACTGTGGCAATGCCTCTTTGAGTCCTACAAGGAACATTCGGTAGAGATCACAGTAGCACTGTCGCCACCAGACATGGATCATGATATAAACACACAATCGTGGTGAGTAAGCTCGCAACTGGAGGTTACTTTCTGAGAACTTGAAAGAGGCGGGTAAGTGATCGTTGAAGCCGGCCAGTTCTTCTGATAATACCTTAACCAACTCTGGCAGTTGCGCCAGTTCAGACTCTGGCATGCCCAGCACATTCTTAGTGCAATATAGGACTCTGCTTCTCATCCATAGAAGTCGCACGTGGAGCGCGAGCGAACCGACGTCATCCGGGAAAGGTCGCGTAGGGACGGGGCGGAGGTATTCAGTTACTTGTGGCAGATCAAATTCGAAGTTGCGCTCGGTGCAAGGAAGTTGAATGTGCATAGATTCGGATGGCATCAACGTAAAATCCGAACACCCGCCATTGATACCAGAGTCGATAGTCATGAGCGCCCACATTAGTCTCCTCCGTGATTCTCGTGCTAAGAAGCATAGATTCGGGTTTTCATAATTCAGGCGTAGGGCATAGGCAAACCGAGTAGCTGTTGCCGCCAACATAAAGGCGGTTGTGAATTTGCGCGACATCATACGGTGTTTCATAATGAGGACGAGGGCCTGTATCTTAATAGTCGACGGATTCTCGAGGTCCTCAAGCACCATTTTCTGACATTCGTCGATACATCTCGCCCCATACTCTCGAGTGCCGGGGCCCAGGTCTATGATAAGTGAAGTGATGCCCACTAAAGCAAGAAGCAAAGCTTTATCCATCATGCCAGCATGATAACGCTGCATGAGTGAAGCACGATGAAGGAACGAAAAGATAGGGACGTGGTGAATTTGACGAAAGAAGTTACTAAATGTCCGCTGTATGATACCTTCATCTGGAAACACAAACCTAAGTTGGATTGTTAGTTTATACACGCAAGGGGAAGAGGTGAGCTATCGAATGCGTACGGTTCATTGCTGGATGCTGTACATGTCGAGGACTCATTTGGTTCGAAGTTATTCTTATCGGGCCTTTGAGGGCCGTGATGAGAACCCTGATTATCCTTACTCATCATTACTCTTTTTTCCGGTGGTTCGGAGGAGACAGACTCCAGTTCGGAATCAGTGGCGCCCTGATGGGATTGCTGGGAGACGCCGCTAACGCCTCCGGATCGCTTCGTCGGTTTGTAGACGCACTCAATGCCTTGAGCTTGACACCTTGCGCATTTCGGGGTTTCACCACTACATCTAGCTTTCCTGGAATGGCAGTTGGCACAAGCTAGTCTAACACGTCTTCGCGGAAGGGTGAAATTTGTCAAACCCTCGGAATCCTGGGTGGGAGAGGCGGCGTCTTGAAATGAGCACGTGAATCCTAATCGCTCGCAATTTTGGCAAACGTCGCGACGACCATCACAACGGACTTTTCGCACTCTGCACGGAATGCAGGTCTGACTCGATTTCTTAGGATGTCTGTTCGTAGGGTCGGCCGCAGCAACGTCTGCTGCGACCTCAGCTGCTGTGTCCGCGGCCACCATCTGCACGCTCATATCTTCCAGATCCATTCTCCCAGATCTTGAGCCTGGACATGAGTGTTGATAATTCGTAATGAGAATGAAATAGGAATAGCTAGCTTCTTTTTACAGAATCGAGTTTCAGAATGCGAAATGGCGGTATTGCGTTATTACGGATTGTGGACATGTTACACCTATCAGAGTCACGGAATATTGGTGCAGGTAGTTAAGATTGGAGGGAATTTCACGCTGGGAAATTCGGCTCTGGTAGTAAATTGCGAAAATGGAAAATGGCAAATGGCGGGGACCCGGCGAAAGCGGCCAAGCGGCCAGACGACCTATGATTAGCGATTAGCGATTAGGGATTAGGCTTGTCAGACCACTCAGTCCCAATCATAGTGGGCCGCCTCAGTGGAATGTCTAGGCGGTTCCAGCAAGTCAACCCACTAGACTCCCTATAAACCGGCTCCGGCTCTTGTTAGTCAAATAAATACGTCATGAGATAGAGGCTCAAGTCTTGTCTACCTACAAAACTAATGAGTAACAAATACTCAAACATATTCCGGCAGATAATTATATTTCTCAAAAATCTGATCGTTATGTTTCTATCACTTTCAACTGCCACAACACGTTCGGAGGTTGTTAGCATGTGGCAATTATATTTTCTTCCGAGTTTAGGTAGTCAAGGAATAGCTTAAAGTCAAAACCACCAACCTTTATATAAGTCGGCGGCAACAGCCTCTTTATCTTATTATATTTATATCTTCAATCAAATTACTCCAGGAACCTAGCTAGGATATACCCCATTCAGATCCACGTGCAAGATATCTGAACATAGTCACTCACGATATCTTCAGCTGTGTGTACTATGACCAAACCTTCTTGGCGTCGTTTTAGCTTCAAAACTATTTTCTGGGGTTTACATATGTAGATTAGTGTCGCTCTAATGGAGCGGTGACTAAGAATTACGACCGAGGGATATTCACCCCTTTGACTATCCATTAGTCCCGGGGGAATATCTTCTGCGAAATTCCCAGGGAGGTAGTATGTATTGGTAGAATTGGATAAAGGGATCAAAAAACGCGCCCTCCATCATCTTAAAATCACCCAATCATACTTAACAGCACGCACGTCAAACGGGATCAATAGTGTGTCATCTAGATCTCTAAGCCCCGACAACCGTGCCGACAACCGAGGGCCGGTGGAGCCCAAGTTTTGATATTTAATCAATTATGTTCTTTTGAGAAGGCTAGAATCCCATTATTGATCCTGGTTCGATCCTGTTTCCGGAGCTATGTGACTTTCCAGTTGAAGATGGAGACAGTGCACGATCATCTATCTCACCAAGACTTCAGAGAGCTTCATCATCCCTGTATCACTTATCGTGTAACGTCAAGTCAAAGCGACTAGAGGTAATTAAGACTATCTTAAAAGGGGCTGAAAGAGAAGAAGATGAAATATTATGAAACACCGACTAACTAATGCTAGTATTAAGATCTTATAAATTGAATGCAGTTATTATTAGCCAAGCTGTTATATTCATTGACCAATAAGGTCACATACATAACAGAGGCAGTTGTCAACTTAAACCGTAGTCTTACTAATAAGAACCCAACTTCGTTTGATTAACTCATCAATGAAGCCTCAAGTATGAAGAGACAAGCAGATGATATCAGAATTCGACAACGCATCACAATGAAATAAGCGACACCGCAAATAGGCATTATATCGTGAATCATGAGATGCATTAACTAAGGTACCTTGTAAGATAGCTTGAATTTCTGACCGAGCTTCCTAATACAACATCTAACCGTATCTAATCGCAGCCCCTTAACCACCTAGTTCAACAAGAATTCGGGTTTCAAGGTGGCATGTTCACGAAGGTCTTTTAACTTTCTACTATATCAATTGCCGTACTACCTTTTTTGAGGAATGTAGGCTACTAAAGCTATTCGGCGTCAATTATATTTCAATCTTATAACACGTAACAAGAAATTTCAATAGCTATTCCTACACTTCCTCTCATTATTTTCAACTATAAACCACAAATCGATAATGTGATGAGGTTTTCACTCGCCCCCGCCCATCATTTACATAGCATTAAAGATCAATTCAAAAGAGAGTTCTCCGTATATCTAAGCGGGTGTATTCACGGGGTTTTCCTTGGTATTTGGGTCTTGAGGCGCTCCTTTAGCTGTTTCCTCTTTAAGCCTCCGCTCCCTTTCAGCTCTCCCTTCACTCTTAGGATCATAGTACGCTGTACATCGTCAGCCACATGATACAATTACTCATTAAGTATTTGTTTAGGTTTAACTTACGTTTCTCGCCGAAGACCGTCGTGCGAATTCCCCTTCGAGGAGCTTCATATGAGCCAGGGATAACCCGATGAAGTACACATCTGTTGTCCCACATCGCTACACTGCCAACTTCCCACTTCCACCGGACGGAGTGATCATCCGCGGAATGGAGGTGATACTGGAAGAAGTCGAGGAGCTTGTCGGACTCGTGTTTCTTCAGCTCAGCGAAACCGGTGACGAACCCGGTGTTTATGTTCAATGCCTTCAATCCGGTAACCGGGTGGGTCCTAACGGCCGGATGATGCGAGTCGATAGGGGGACGGTTCGGTCCGACGCCCCACAGGTCCAAAATTGTGTCGTACTGCAGTCTTGAAGTGTGCACCGCATGTAGGCCTTCGACGAATCTCTTCATCGCGTCACTCAATGTGTCATAGAGACCGTAACCGGAGACCCAAGCCGTATCTCCTCCCACGGGCGGGTGCTCTTCCATTCGGAGGAGAGAATACGATGGGGGGTTAACCTCGAACGAAGTATCGGCGTGCCACTCTCCCGAAGGCCACGGGGTATACTTGAGCAACTCGCGGTGGTCCTCTCGGCTGCCTCGGATCACGACGTGTCGAACATCCTTTTGGGCAGGATGTTTATCCAAGGTACCATAATGCTCAAAGAGTTTTACTTGCCCGTCAGTAGTTAAATCTTGGTTACGGAAGAAGACGACTCCACGCTCATTTACAAGTAGCGCAAGCTCATCTAGCTGTTGTGGGGTTAATTGGGAGAGCTGCACATTCTCTAAGACGGTGCCGATCGATTCTGTTAAGTCGACAGGTTTAGCGACCGAGAAAAGAGCTTTCTTCTCCGGGTCCGCAAATGTAGCACGGTCCTTCTCCGGGATTATTTCTTCTCGAACGGGCTCTGGTGGAACATGATTCTTGATTTTCTCGGAGAAGTGCGGATGGATGGTGATTGGGAATCCAGAGTCCTTGGAAATATGCTTTAGAGCTTCAAGTCCAGCTGACATTTTTCCAGTTTGTAGTAGGAAGAATCTCAATATCTTTTGTTGTAGACCCCGATGGTATATCAGAGTCCTATACTCTACCCACTGTCGCTTATATATATCTTGGCTCTCTAGGTGGATTTGGAGACTAATATGACGTGCGTAGCACATCCCACCTATCAGATGCAAGATTGACAATAGATCAATAGATAGCTTACCGTGTGGTTGCGTCCATCGATGGCGTTAGGCACGCCTGAGATCACATCAGTCTTCACTCTCCCCCTATGTCGAGCCGCAAGCTACTAAAACTCCCGATCAAGAGTTTTACAGCTAAAATACTAAGAATTTGATAAAACGATTGTCTACCCGTTGACAAAACACGGGGGACTCATACATAGCAATATTGGTCTCAAAAGAATACCATTCTAGAGCAGTCTATTGTAATAAAATCTGGACTTGCTAACCACTGGATTTCCAAAAGTTCTCGTCCGCAATTCTAGTCTAAATTAGGTACCTGAGGTAGCTAATAAATGTCGTTAGTGAATTCAGTTCGAACCTTCATCTTTTCGTAGGTCTTCCCCTTGAATTTCAGCGTGACTCTCCAAGTCGGATTTATCGCCTTCGGCACCAAAATTTTTGATCACCAACCAAGCCGGTAATATGGAAGCACCCCATAAACCAAAGTTTATATAGGGGCCGCCAACAGCCGCAATGATGGGAACTGCATTTAATCCATAACTAACAGCTTGCCAAGCCGATTCCGTTCCACGCAGTAACGCCGCAAGACGAATTGTTTCTTGCGGACTCGACGATATCTGGCCAATAATGAAGTATGAGAAATTATAGTTGAGCTGGAAGCCAGAAACGAGAAAGACGAAAACACCGAATGCCCTTCCGAACCCGGGATCATTCCAGTCGAAAGTAGGTTGGGTCCGATGATACTCAGTAACGTTGATCGTAAGCCATAACCACCAAGCACCTTGTAAAGTCATGATGACCGCAAAAGCGCGGCGTGACCTCGTCTTAAGGGAGATTTGGTGCTGGTCTAGCCATAGCCCAAGGAGGTTTCCGCATATAACCGCTACGATTCCGGATAGAAATGATCCAAGAGCTCTTGCGCGCACGCTAAACCATAGAGCGTTATAGGTGTAAAAGACGGCTTCCGAGTAGACCCCTTGACCTATCCACAGAACAATCAAGAGGAATTTCTTGGTGAAAAACGTTCTTGTCGTGGTCTTGATTTCTTGCCAGGGATTGTCGTAGATAACAAGTTGGACGGGAGTACCATCTCGACGTTGGACCTTCGATGGTGGATTAAGGAGTACAGCAACCAACGTCCCGCTTGCCTGAAGGGCAATGAATATGATGTATACCGTATAAGAGACTTTTCCAGCCTGATTTCGATTTACGTTAAGCCCCAAATTCACAGCTCCTCCTAAGATCTGTCCAAGTCGAGTCCACGTTAACCAGTAGGCGACCATTCTCCCTCGATTGCGCGGCTCGGGATAAGAAATAGCGATTGCTGTTTCTGCCGCCCAGAAAATTCCAGCTGATACGCCACAGAAGGCAGCTCCAACGATGACAAGCCATTCGACACCATATCGGTTATTCAGATATAGTCCGGCGCTATACGGGGCGTAACCAATGGTACCGACAAATAGGGCACCGGTGATTCCAATATACTTGACAGCACCACTGGTCAACCAGCAAGATACTATCATAAGACAGAATGTGAGTGCATTCCCGGTGTTAACGAGGTAAGGCGATTGGGAACCACCAGCCCCGAGAGAGTTCATTGCTCCCCATAGCCCTGGTGCAGCAAAACTGCAGAGCCCGAGGATTGTGGCATTGTAAAACACTGATCGATACCATTTGACTAACGAATATTAGTAGGTATTTCATGATTGCGATAGCTCCACGACTCACCCTTGATAGGTTTTTGCTCAGTGTCCCCAGGACTTCGAGGCGCTGCATCTTCTACATCCGTCATATTGACAATCTGATAGGCATATACTAAGAGGTAGGTAGACAGTTAAACAATCATGAAATCCCTTGAAGAAATGAGGCTTATTAAGTATTTATTATCTGAACTTTCCCATGCTGATTCTAATCGACTAGAGGTAACACCCCCGAAAAGACTCCATAGAAACCCTTACCGAGAAAATCGCGCCTTACCTTAGGGTTAACGCGTGATACTATATAGATCGGAAGATAGATAAAAATGCATCACATAGATCGCCAAGGAAAATAACTGATTTGCTTATTTTGATTATCGTGGTACAATACGTATGCGCGGGCAAGCACGCCATTCAGCCCCTGGAATTAATCATCGACTCTATCCCGATATCTGGGCGGCTTTCACCTCAACTTCATACTCTTCATCCGAAGCTAGTCCTGGCCAATTATAGTCTAATGCAACACTGTGTTGGCAATAGTCTTCGGTCTTTTATATGAAACAGCTGTAGCGTCCGTACTGAAGCGCTTAATAGGGGTCGGCTATCACGAACATTTGGGTAAGCCGCTCCACATAACAGCATGCTGCATAGAGTCGTAATACTAATAGAAAGTTAGAATATTAAAATAGCTAGTAGCTATAACATCATTGAATGTTCATGACACATTCAATTAGCTAGTATTTCAACACTGTTACTCATCTTCAATAGGTCTGTCTGTATATTTACTGAAATTATAGGATATCATAAATCCCCAACGCCACGGAATTTCCGTAGACCAATGGATAACCAATTATGTGCTCGCCATATCTCCTGCATAAGCCATTTCATCTTGAGTTGTCACGATGGGGTATCAAATTTTTTATTTGGGGATAGGTAATATATGAAGCAGTACGCCCATACCTACCTAAGATTATATACTCTAACCATATCTCATAGGATCAATAAATATCTAAGCTTATTATTCAGTTTATTCAAACAAGTGATTATTACCATCTTCTTCGTCTCCGAGTCTGCGACTTGTTAATAGAATCGGTTTTGTACTAAGCCACTCCAATCTGTGGCGGTGCTCAAGTAAAGGAAAGCCACTTTATATGCATCTACTGAAAGGTTAGACAACAACGAATCTGCGGGCCAAACCACGGACGTTTACGTGTTCATAATTAAGGAGTCGGAGCTACCGAATTTGACGTCGTTTAATCCCCTTCCGTTCGGATCTCCGAAAATAAATAAAAGGAACCACTCATTATTCTTACATAATTTTCATCGTGAGCCATTCCGTCGACCCCCCTATTTTCCACGACTGACATCTACCACAAGGTTTAAGCAATTATGGCTGCCCAAGAGAAGAACCCAACTGAGCTTGAAAAGGCCTCTGCTTTAGCTTACGTACCAAAGTCTGAAGAATTCGACAAGATGATCTCTGGGATGCTGTGAGTGCTTCCCTGCTGGCCAGATGACATCATCACCATCATCTTGTATTCAATCTGGCTAAGGCTGAAGTACGACGAATCTAAGGAGCTGTTTCGCTAATAATACCCGACCGCTTAGCTATGATGCCCATGATCCCGAACTGTCGAAAGCACGCTTCAATGCTCGGAGGTGGATGCACAAATACAACAACTACTTCCCTGATGACCCGGAAGCGGACTTCGAATCCTTAGCGGAAGTTCGGCATAATATGCTTAAGCAGTTCTTAGGTCATGTTGGGAATGGTGTTTTCATTGAACCATCACTCGCCGTGGACTACGGATGCAACATTCGCCTTGGGGATCGATTCTATTCCAACTTCAATCTGACCATTTTGGATTGCGCACTAGTCACCATAGGCGATCGTGTTATGTTCGGCCCGAATGTGTCGATCCTAACAGCTACTCACGAAACTGAGGTGCAAAGTCGTAGGGACGATATAGAGTACGCCAAACCCATAACTATCGAAGACGACTGCTGGGTAGGCGGTAATGTTGTGATCCTACCTGGTGTCACAATTGGCCAGGGATGCACCATTGCCGCTAGCTCGGTGGTAACGAAGAATATTCCGGCGTGGAGTGTTGCCATGGGTGCACCTGCACGGGTTGTGAAAAAGGTGACTCCTCTGGAACCTCATAGTTAAGGGACATCAGTTAGTTCTACACTATTTGCGTGTGACTAAGGTAGATAGTAACTAAATAGATTTGGCAATAGACATTGGTTTATATTTCTGCCGCCTAGTTATTATCACATGTCCCCCTTTTGAGTTGAATTAACCCATGTCATCGGTATTATCATTCCTTGTATTTATATGAGATCGAAATACCGAACATCTACGCCAATACTGTTGAAGAATTTAGGATGCACGAATAGAATGGCGTGACCATTCTCCTTCAGTTGCTCCCTATATTCGGAGAGATCTATCGGCAGGTTCTTCAACCTCGGGTCCTCGAAAGTAATATCCCCTGATTCCGTACCCACAAAGCCAAAAGTAGCTCGGTGAGCATGAGTGGTTAGGTAAATTTGAACGTTTTCAGGGAGGGGCCCTAATAAGGCCTCTCCGATGCGTAATTGATCGATGTAGGCTTCGCCCATGAGAGTAAACTGACCATTGGTCATGGGCCGAAGTATCATAACTCCATTGCAGCCGATTAGGACACAAACATGGTCACCAACTTGTGTATGCGGGGGAACAATTCCAAAATATCCGTTGCTGCACCGTGCGAACCTTTTGCCCCCTATGATGCGAGCTTGTTGGAGGAAATCGTATCCAGGGCTATTTGGTTTGAAAAACTCAGGATCGTAACATGGCCCTGAATATAGTTCCGTAACTACCCTTTTGGCTTCTCCCAAACTTGGCAGCGTGATAAATGGGATATCAGTGGACTCATTGGCGATGCACCCGTAAACCAGAGTTTTAGCATAGGTTTCCACTACTTCATCCGGAAGTTGGTTGCGCTCGATCTGACTAGTATCATGAGTTAATAAAAGTTGGTGGTAAATATTGAACATGTCTCTCAGAGTGGCGTTAGAGAGATCTGGAATGTGATAGACTTCCATGATTTCTGTAGATGTCACACCTGGCACGCGGAGTACCCCATCCACCGGGGATTCTACATAAGTACCCAACCTAGAGGATGCCAGAAACGGTTGTTGGCATAGTTCTCGAGCTGGTACCGCCTTGGACCAGTTAGGAACCCAACTTGGATGCAAAGCATTGGGTTCGAAATGACAGTCGCGGAGCAATGCCAGGGAACCAAACCTCTGGATCCAGGTTAACGTTACATCTTTATATATTTCAATCCACGATTTGCCATAATCCGGAACTGGACAACAGTCCCTATCGGCCGACGTCAAAAGCGATCTGATCGCGAAAATCTTATCCCTAGGGTCACGGCATATAGCTCCATCAAAGTGGAGACGTAGCGACATTAGCGATATGTTCCTTCTCGGAAAGATGAGCCCGCTTATGAAATACAAGCGCTGACGAAATGCGTGGGAGTAATGAAATTCGACTGGGGGTTTGACGAAGAGGCATAGCAACGCTTTTCGAAATGTTATCCAGTTCGTCTCTGTTGTGCCACATTGCAAGATGGCGTGGCTATTGGCAAGCATTATCTCCTGTCTAATCCAAAGCCTCTCGAACCAGTTGCGATGTAATATGTGATATATTGCACACATGTCTCTTTCTACCACCGGTAGAGTACGGGCCTTATCACTAATCATTGGGTCTGCACAATATTTTGCCGGCCACATGTTCACGGGTTCCCAGTTCACGTCAACTTGAGAACCAATATAAGACATGAGGTTCATTCCGTGAGCGCCGTCGTTGTTTTCTTCGCCTAGAAATCCAACGACACGATTGGCTGATCGAAAGATAGCGCCCATTCTCATGACTTGTTGGCTCTTTTCGATGTTATTTGACTGGTTGATACATATTGCATCAACCCATATGGCCCTGGACTCGGATGGTCGGCGTAGATATCGCAAGGAAGCAAACAAACTCCGCGTTACGGGGAATATAAAGGTCCTTTCCGTATCTAATATAACCCGAATAGCTTCCGGATCATCTTCTGACCCCCAGACGTAAGACAGAGCTTCATATCTAAGAGGATTGGCCTCAAGGAACTCAACGACGGCCAAACTGATTTCGATCTCGTCTTGCCAGTCTCCAGGATGGATGGTGGCTATTCGGATAAAGCCGTCCTCGGGAAGGGGGTATTCATCGTAAACAGCCATAGTTATTAATTACCAAATAATCCTGTTTGAGAGCACGGGAAAAGGGAGAGTTTGATAGTTAGAAACACCCAAAACTCAAGAAATTATTTTCTGTTATTCAACCAGGCTTGTGTAACCTGCTTCATTGCCTGAAATGCAACCCTCCATGTATGCCCAACCTCCCTTATTCACTTCTTATTAGTCACAATGCAGCCATTTGTACTCTTTTGTTCCATTCTAAACTTAAGAAACATGAATGTGTATGGATTCGATTATAATTTTTCTTGGACATTGAACCTGGGTTGTGTTGTATACATCGCTTACTTAATATACTATGAGCCACCCGATATTGACAGGATACGTTTTTAGGATTCGGACATTATTATTAATACCTCTTATATCTATTTTTATATATATCTAAGATCTCAAATGTCGGGTGTGAAAAGGTACGTTTTTACTTATCTCCTAAGGTACGAAGACTGTTATTTGTGGGTATTGAGCCGTGAATCAGTCAACGTTGAGATAAGACGGAGCATGACACTAAATCAGTCAGTGGAGTATTTAGCGTCACTACTCTTTTTTTTTTCCTCGGGAAATTAAAATATAGCATCATTTATCTCATTATTGATGTACTCAAATAAGAATTGTTCATAAGAAGTTAGGCAGTTGCATCTTAGTTCCTGGGTATTCGAGTAATTCATCCTCTTGCCAATACCTATGGATACGCCACCCACGCCGCTTACTCAACTAGTCTCTCATTTTATTAACCGGCAAGTTTTACTCAACTTTTATATCATAATTACCTATTGTACTAATATACCTGTAAAGTTCCCGTGACAATCAACCCTCGGAGTGGACTGAGCTTTGGAACCATGATAAGAGCTATTTCTGGGATCGTACGGGCCCATCGCCCGCTCTCATCGACTGGATCGAGTCGCAGTCCGAAATATCGCAACCTCATCCTAATTATCGACCGATTGCCCTCATCCCCGTAAGTGAATCCCGTAAGAGAATAGCAAGATGCCATGCATCATTCATTTGACTGACCTTTATTACGGCCTGAACGGAATAGGACTGTGGGAAAGGCTACGATGTTATTATGCTAGCTCTCCACGGCTTCGACGCATATGGCTTAGAGATCTCTCAGAGGGCTATTCAAATGGCGGAAGTTAATGCGGCAGCCCAGTTTTGCGAACCATCCAGCTATAACTTTGGCTCGTCAAAAGCAAGTCGATCAATTAAGTACCGAGGTAATGTGAAGTTTATCCAAGGAGACTTCTTCGAAACAGGCTGGGAAAAGCAGATAGCGACCGAGAATTTTCAGGGCTTCGACCTAATTTATGATTACGCTGTAAGTTGTCGAACCTACCTATCGGTCTACTAAGCAGATAAAACGGTGGAGTATTCGCTAAGATAATGGATGCAACCGTGATACTGATATATAAGGTAGTTTTTATGTGCCCTACCCCCTGATTTACGAAAAGACTGGGCTCGTCGCATGCGCGAGCTTATCTCCCCAGTCGGGGTACTTGCCTGCCTCGAGTTTCCTTTATATAAGGATTTAAGGGCTCTTGGACCGCCTTGGGGATTGAAAGACGTCTATTGGAACATCCTAGCTGAAGGCGGCGATGGTATCATGTCTGAAAATTCAATACAAGATACTAGGATGCTAGAGGGGTCATTTCAAAGAGTGGCCTACTTCAAACCACCACGATCGTATGAGAATGGGAAGGGCACTGATATGTTTAGCGTCTGGAAACCGAAAATTTAGAGAATATCAAACTAAACTGATAATATTGGCTATGGTTTTAGCTTACAAGATGATGTGAAAGGACTTTGAGTTGGGACGTAGGAGTGAAGCTCGATGAATATGAAAAGGGGTTCGGAGTTAATTGACACGTAGGACTGGTGATATCTCCGACTTAAAGGTCCGTGCACAAAAGCTGACGTATCGAGCCAAGGCAGAAGTTAACAATTTCGAAAAATTCTCAATGTTTACATCAATTGTACCATTTCTCGGGACTGTGTTTAAAAATCCATCAGACTAGATTTAAATTCCGATATCTTATTATTTAGTGCATTTATCTAAGCTTTCATTACGATGCATAGAATATGAGTTTCTTGCCACCGTAGGCCTCGGATTAGCATATTATGCCCCCCTTGATGCCTGCTTAGAAAACTGAGAACGGTAGACGCTCAGCGTTGCTCTAAGACGTTAGATACGCCAAGATGGAGAGCCAACCGAAGAGTAAGCGGCATTGCTGGGAGTGTCGCCGACGCTGTTTGGTCTGCGATTTTACAGAACCCACGTGCCAAAGGTGTTCCGCGTCGGGAATCGAATGCCCAGGATACGGCGATGTAAAACCAGTAAAACTCAAGTGGCTCGCACCCGGAAGAGTCATATCTCGGGGTCGAAAACGAAACAAAACACCATCTAGCGAAATTGAAAATGGAATGACTAGGACCGTAACAAAACGGGCGCCCAGCGAAACGATGTCAAATACTCACGTACTCATCCCGCGAATTGAGATCAAGACTGAAGTCTATGCTTTAGCTGAGTGTATTGAGTACTGCAAGTCACTACCTACCTAATCAACTGAAATAAGTTGATGTTGATAGACTGACCTCAATCGGGTAGTTAATTCTTGCATATACCGAGATCTGCTCCCCCTCTGTGAACTCGGAGATAACCCTCATATATACCCTCTTTCGACCAAGCACCTTCGGAGGGCCTCTTGGGCCCCGGATTATCTTCGCCTTGGTATGATCTGTATGATACTAGGTCACCGAATCAACCGTACGAGGGGCAGTTTTGAGTCCAAGGAGTTAATTGAGAAGTTTTATCTTTACTGGGGCCTCGCCATCCGCTCTCTTAGAGATCATCTCGACATAGAGGATAAGCGTAAGGACGATACCATCATTGCCGGAGTGCTAACAATTCTTCTCGTCGACGTGAGTTAATTATTCATAATATGATATTGGCAACGTACAATGTTAAATCATTACAGGTTCAACTGGGTACCTCACTCAATTGGAGGTGTCACCTCGAAGGAGTCTACGAATTAATGATGCTGCGCGGCGGCTTTCAGGCAATGGCTAGGTCGAAAGTCTTAAAGCCACTATTACGTTGCCTCTGGGTGTACGTGATCCCAATAATCACCATAAATAGAGGCGATACGAATACTAACCTTGAAACAGTCTTGCTGTGATTGGGAACACAACCTGCCCTGCATCAGATCTTTCAAGAATAGGTTCGCAACTTGATACAACTGATTTCCTACTAGAAGAATTTAGTACAGCAATGTCTCCTTTTCACATGTGCCCTTTGCCCCTATTTGCCGAGATTATCAAGATTAATCATCTTCGAATGCGGGCTACGGAATATATCAGCACTGGAGCCGAGGAGCTTTCGCACGAGGCTTATAAGATACTACAGCGCGTCCACGATTTCCTTCCCGAACAATGGGCCGATTCCAAACGCTCATCCGAAGACTGGGTGCTTATTGGTAGCGTATACCAGGCTGCTGTAGCGATTTACCTTATCTTGTCTCTGCAGAGCTTGTCCGTTCTCCATATGACGTCTGAGCTAAGCGCTTGTTGCACCACGCATGGTGAGCTTCTACAAGCACTTATAAGCGACGGGTTATCATCTCCGAAAACCCAACGATTTATGCTTTGGCCGCTAATCGTATTGGGGATATATGCGGCTCGTGGCAGTCCAGCGATGCGTTCATTCGTTGTAAGCCGGCTACCGGAACTCAGTCACGATACTGGTACATCCGTGCCATTGATGGTTAAACACGTACTTGAGTCATTTTGGGACTCTGGCGAGAGTCGCTGGGATTCTTGCTTTAACAAACCGTACATATTTACGATGCAAATTGCAATCGATACCAACGGCTTGCCGCATACTACTAAGACAATAAGTTAGGGGTGATAGAATATCTGAAGAAGTCGGATTGATATTTGGTAATTCTATAATTGAATCTGGACGATTGGGACCTGAGAACTGTAAGTAAATTATGTGCCGACCTAATGGATATCTCTATGTATTTCTAACAAATAAAAGCCATAGTTCACAGACCAGCCTTTCTATCTCCTAATCCAAGAACACAAGTCCCAGTCAACCCCTGAGCCAGCCATGGGCATTCATTATAACATGTATAGTACGGAGTTCGACCCCGAATAGTACGTTGCCTATACAGTTCGCTCCCCCCATGAAATTCGCCAATATAACTCCCTAGGCCAAGGCTTGAAATTAATTATCGCCAAAGATTTCGTGGACCAATTACACTAGCTAATAGTATATCGCCACCCTTCAGTTTCCAGAGCCCGGGTATTGGTTAAGCTCTTCGAACCCTCGGGTCTGCTTCCTTTTGCGAAATAAGATGCCGAACGTCAATAAGTTCGCCGTCTTGGCTAGGAGCGGCCGGTTATCCAAGTCTTCTTCTCCATGGACTTCGGTCCCGTCGCGTGAGAGATAGATGTGATGTTCCTTCGGCAGAAAGCGACAAGGATTCCACACGTTCCATAAAACCGAGTTGATGAGCATGAGGGTTGCCTCGAATATATAGAAGAAGAATTCGTATCGCAAGATCGGACTCAGGTTTCTAAGAGCCTCGATATTACCGAGGTCCACGTTTGTATTTCCCGTATGCTCTACCAGCCGGTAAACGCATCGTACGAGGATCAATGCCATACTCGCGTACAACGTTCGAAGGAGAATCCCAACACTCTTGACTTGTACATTCGCTCTTGAGCATCGCTGATGGAAGAGACCGGCAAGGCAGATAAAAATGGCAATAAGGCAGAGCTGGATTATGAGGGCTGCTATTGTCAAATTGCTACCGAGAGATTGCGTCGAACTCGAGGATGACGGGTTCGCGGATAGTGCTACACCCAGAGAGTTCAGTGCTTCGACAAGGCCCATGAGACCACCGAATATAGTTAAAACTCTAGCAGGGGGGAGGGGTGCACACCAGGGCACATAAGCAAATATGCGGCCGAGGACATGATAGTTGGCAAGTTCTAGGAGTGGCCTATAATGTCTAATCAGCGAAAACCATAGGCGATATGTCGACAAGACTGATAAACTTACGGGCAGACGAAGATAAAGACCTGACTAAGGATATACACCATTAAAGGCACATTCGTAGTCACGCTATACATGTAGTTATAGGCTCCATATTCGCGCATCGCGTAACCAACAGTGAATAGTACCGCGCAAACGGGGTGCAGGCCGATCAACTTCCAAGCTCCATAACGACTATTATAACTGTTAGGGGCAGATTGAATTTGCTTTGGGTGAATATACTAACTAGCATTGCCAGATATGAAATATGGCTGAGAGGGCATACGCAATGGCGAATATGATTGGTGCAACTTTATCGGGAGCATAGACGTATAAGCTGTATAAGACTAGGTGAGGTGGTGTTAGTAGTATACCCTTGATTGGGGAGGTAGAATTCTTACTAGGTTCTCCAGCTGCCATCTTGGAAGAATAAACTTTTGACAGCCGTAATAGAAGCAAAATAAGAAATGAATGAAAAATGAGGATCTATATGTCGAAGATATAAGATAGATCCTCCTTATTTAGTTATTTGCCCAGTGTTTAACCTCTAGTTATTGTTCAGTAAAGACAAGACGTTTATTCTAAAATGAAGAGAAGCAAACAGCTTTATTAAAGTAAAGAACCCAAGAGAAATAATTAGAGAAAAAAAAAACATCAATGGCGACCCTCGCAGCCTCATCTAACGTCTACCTACTAGGACGTAGCCATCGTCACTTTGCGAAGCACGGCGCTTAACCCAAATAGGATAATAAAAATGCCAAGAAATGGCATCTGTGGATTTCCTCCAGATCCCCACAATGGGCAGAATGGCAGTACGTATGCACTAACCCCAGATAGGACAATCCAGATGCCAAGCCGGGCGGTACGTCGACCCGGAGCTGTCCGAAGTAAATTCGAGCTGAGGCGAAGCGGACAAACGGTAGTAGGCAGCATTGTAAGAACTGAATATTAGGCTATTCAACTATAACCCTTACGTATACATGCTATCCCATGCCGTTTCATTATCTTACGTAGGCGTGTTACTTTTTTTTAGTGATGTTTCTAAGAGAGGAACAATGCGCTGAGGGAACCGGCATCATGCATATCGCCATATAATACGATTAGCGCATATAGGGGTAATTATATGCAATTATTAAGAATTCATATATGCTCCAGTAGGAACCTTCCTCAAGTAACCCCTATTCTTTCGTAACGCTTTTAGCCCTTCTCATCAGTACTTCAAGGTCTAATCATTAGCATCAAATCTTGTGTACCATAGTGGCTTCCCTGTTAATATACCCATTATTCCGGGACATACCCGCCGGACTGCGGTACTAAGGTCGGAAGCAGGCGGGCAATTCAAACGGGGTCCGTCGCTCCACGTTACCACAGTCTTACCGAGTTCTTCAATCATAACATGAAACTCAAATCGACAAAGACGAACTGTTTATTATAATTTTTATTATGGTGAGCATTGGCCAAGTGTAGAAATATGTACAATTGACCAAAACCCTTTAACCAGTTCAAGTTCGATATACCTAAAGACTTGACAGAGGAGGTAGGGTGGTCGTGACTTACATTCAAGTCATAGGCTATCAAAACATAGGCATGTTTTGCTCCGTGTTAAGTCCATAACTCTTTTAAGAGGTCGTAATAACTACAGACATACTTTTACTGAAGGGTTCATATGGAAGGCCTGAAGCCTATGGTTGGGCAGGCTAGATACAACTTTACTGGTTGAAAATTCTCTAATAAGAGCTGAATTCATTCATAGAGGGCGTCATGGTCCACATCCGAAGCACTGAGCCAAAAGAAACACAGCCACTCTGTTCCAGGAAATACTTTTGAAGTCCTAACGGAACGTCTCGATTAGTCCTGCATGGAGAGAATCCCCGAAACTAGGTTCCCACCTATCGCATTCACATAGTAGTTAAATTTAGTCTAGTTCTAACACGCATGGATTTTCGTGGAAGCGCCGAGATTATGACCGGGTTTGAAAGGGTCGTGTTCTAGATCTACCAGAGGGGGCTTAAACCCGTAGATCTATACCTCTATCTAGACGTGGCACTCATTGCTATGGGAAGGATGAGGCGGGCGGCAGGGTCAATATGCCCATTTCGCCTCTAATATAAGGCGTAAAAGTCCTGCACATCTCGGGCATAAATCTTCCTCGACCACACGTACTCTAATAAATAGAAATAGAAAAAATAGTAGTCCCCCTGAGTTATAGTATCACCTCCATTTCTGATATTTAAGGTCGTGATATGCTAGGCGTAGACATATATGTTATGAGACCTGAATAAAACCACTACGCTAGGCAACCTGATTAGGCAAAAAATACTGATAGTTGCCCCCTAACGCCACTATATACAATATCCAAAGTTACAAGTCCGTATTCTCCATCCCATCCCCTATTCCAATACTCGAAACTCCACACTCACATCCTCATCCAACGAACTCCACCCTCCGCAATCTAATCACCAAGATATTTCTCCTTGCAAATACTTTTCAAATACACCAAATTGCCCAGCTCATCACAAGTCGGCGGCTTACGGTCCAGCGCATTAGCACGCTCTCTGAACTCCTTCTCAAGCTTCTGCGCCTTCTGCGTCGAGTTCCATCGTGTCACCTCGCAGATGTTCAGGTACGCCAGGTCGTTCTCGCAATACTGTACCGAGTGCCATATGTACTCGAGCTCGTCGGCTTTGCTTCGGATGACCGACCCCATCGTCTTCGGCCTGTCGATCTGGTACTCGTAGTCATAGTATATTGTGATCTCCTGCCCGGTCTTCTCATCTATTACTTTTTCTAATCTCACGTCTAAGAGTTTACCATTGGAATTCAACCACCCTTGACCTTGCGAGCGAGCCTGGGCTTTCTCCGCCTCTACCCGCCGATATCCCCCTACGTGGTCTAGATCTCGTGTCAAGCTGTTCGCCGCAGCCACCATATCCTCGGCGAATTGGCGAATTTGTGTTACCCTGCCGAGCTCTTTGATAGTTCGCTGCACACGGTCCTCCTGCGAATTCTTCTGTAATAACTCTTTCTGCGAGTTCTTGTTGAACCTTTCGTACCTTTTCAACTCTCGTAATACCCCATCGATTGTCGACTCTATGTCCTCCCTACTTATCATTGTTCCGTAACGGAGAGCCTCGTACGTCTGGTGAATACCCCGACGAACCATCGTACCATTGCTAGCCTCGTTCTCGTCACGGAGAAATTTCACATAATATTCGGCGCAGGTCCGAGCAACATTACCGCGCAATGCACGCTGATAGTTTTCGACGTCTTGCCTTTTCGACCTGTTCGTAGTGAAGATGTTATATCGTATCTTCCGATAAACCCGTGAAATGAAGCTAGAAGATTGGGGGTTAAGAGAGCCTAATGCGGAGCTTCCGAGCCAGTCCGCGCTCTCCGGTTTTTTACTAAATGACTCGTAAATCTGATCGAGTTCGTCGAGCTCTGATGCTATCCTTCTTGCGCGTGTGATCAGCATATCTACCGCCCTCCCAGTCGCAGCGAGCACATCTAGCTTCTGTCCCTTAGCAGCCGCATGTAGATGCCTTCCCGCCAGTTTAGATTTACGGTGTAGGTACACGAGTGTATCATATCTAGCCGCGATATGAGTTCGGACGCCTTCCCACCTTCCATCCTGGACGTAACTCTCTATATCATCTGGAAATAGTGAGGAGGCAAAGTAAGTCGGCAATTCCTCTTGGTAAATTTCACTTTCGTTTTCATAATGCCACCCCGGCCGAACTGATAGTAGCTGCGGCACGTGGTAGTTGACAGTGATATTGATAGCCTCAAGTAAACCCTCGACCAAAGTACCGTCAAACCATACCGGGTCCTCCGGTACAGCAGAGGCTTGTCGATGTGTCCACCACTCTCCAAACGTAGCACTGTAGAAAGGAGATAACAAAGCAGAGTTTCCTTCTGTTGCCTTAACTGCGCGGAGATAATAATTAGTTCGAATCGCCGGGTTCTGAACGATGCGCATATATCGGTCGAGCACTTCTACGATCGTCTTTGGGGATACGATCTCCTCTTTGACTTTTACGTGGTCTACGGCATAGTAAGGCCGCACTCTACCGTCTTCCCATGTCTCCTTTCCTGGCCATCTTGATCTAAGTGAGGTCGAAGGATCAGAAGACGTGAAATCGGCACCAACACACACCAGTAGGGATACGGTTAAATAAATCAGAAAAAATGGCATTTTTTATCCAGTCCGGAATTTTGGACACACACTTTCAAACTGGATATGATAAGCATCAAGAACGAGCGAGCATTGTGAAAATTACAAAAAGGGATGGAGTTAATAGCTTTAATTGAATGCATTGTCCAATTATAAGTACCGCATTCGGCGCATTCATGGTACTTCCATCTCACGAAGTCAGCATAGGGAACAAAGCAGCAAAAATCATGGACAATTACAAAGACCATAATGATGTGTTTGGTTATCACACTTTCCATAATTACAGTTTTCCGTAAAGTCCGCATAAAATAACAGCCTTAGGTAATACTTTGAATAGCTCTACCGTTCCTAGGTATGGGAAACTTGGAGTTCACGTCACGGCTCATGACTTTATAACAACCCCCTTTAAGTGATAGTCAAAGTGGGCAATGCGATTGGTATGGATATCAATGACGACTAGTATTTCAGAATCTAACAAGTTATGAAAAGAAAACGACTTAAGTCGTCAAATTTTAAAAGGAGCTTTACGGTTGTGCGTAAAAGGGTCAAGACAACGTGCGCAATCAGCACGTAAATATTATAGATGCAATTCCAATGTTTGGCAAAGATTATTATTAGGTTAGGTAGGTAGGTACCTAGGTAGTCTACACAGCAAACAAAGCTCAGTCCATCTGACTTGAAGTAATTAGATTGGCCCCTTGATCCAACCTTAAACCAATAGTTCCGCCGAAATTAGTCTATCATGGTCCATGGAACTTCCCTCGAGATGCCACTTTGAAGCAATCACTCGTAAGTAGATACCTAATCCTGATATTTTCACGAATTATTACGCCCACGAACTATTACGCCGTGCTTCTTCCTCCTCTACCTCATCAGCCCAGCTTAGGTGCTTCGATGATTCAGGCGTGCAAATCTTCGGCTCCTTACTGTCGGTGGAGGTCTCATCCATGGCGGCCTCGTCTTCACTTTGCTGTCCCTTGGCTGCGCGAGAGAATACGGAATTTGATCCGATAATTGTGCCGCTAGGGCGCTTCTTATTTCTGCGCTTCTGAAGACTTGCTGGGATACCCTTCTCTCTGGGTACCGGCTTGGTCGACTTGTTTGCAAGTTTCTGCTCCGTAACCAATTCCTCGTTCTCCGCGGGCTCCGGACTATTCTTTGGATTGCTCTTAATCTTACCCTTAGAACTTTTGTTAAGCTTGTTTTTGGCTATAACATCCACCCATCCCTCGATATCTTTAAGACTTTCCGGTGCATTTTCATCTTCTTGGGTAGGAAGGACTGCGGTCTCTGCCAAGTTGATTTTTGGCAAAGACACATTACTCCAAGGCGCAGTACGGCTTTCTCCTAGCTCGGGGCTTTGAGTTTTCCAGAAGATCAACTGGGTTCGAACTTGACTCGGTTGCTTGTCGGCTTTGTTGACTGGAAGATCCACGGGTTTAGGGTGCTCATTTACAACCTTAGCTGGGGCGGCACCATCCATGATATCCACTGATTCATGTATTCCTTTGGAGCGGTACCTGCTGTCGATCTCTCCAACTTTGGACTCTTCATCGCTTCTTCGACGCTGGTTCCCGCTTGGATCGGTTTTCTCATCGTTCTCTATACCGGGAGTCGATTGTTCCTGGGTAATAGCATGTGTCTTACCATGAGCCTTGTTTTTACGGGGTGGGGTAGGGGAAAGTCGGATAATAGAAGGATCAAGTTCTGACAGGGTCTTGAAATTTGAGGTAGCATTAATGTCCTTGCGGGTCGGGCTATGAATGGCGTTGTTGGATAGGTTGGAATCAACAAAAGGACCATTCTTGTGAGCCTCATGGGCATCCTTGATCAGCTTCGGGCCATCCTCTGTTTTCTCTTTAACGCACTCGACAAGTTTCTCGGGATCCTTAGTGCGGCCCTCCAGCTTCACATGATGGTCGTCCGTGATAGGATGTTTAACATCGGTGATAGAATTATCAACCTGGCTCACAGGTTGATGTGTCGTAGTGTCAGGCTGATGCATTCCTTTGATAGAAGGATTGTCCTTGGGAGGCCGGTATGCCTGTTTGGAGGATTGGTTCTCTTTCTGAGCTCCGGATCTCTGACTATCGCCTGCTGGATGTATAGGTCGGCTGTGAGACACACCACCAGCCTGCTTCCGTGCCTGCGGAGGGCGATAAGGTGATTTCAGATCCGGTGCCTGCACAAATTTTGAGTGGTCATCGTGACGATCATTTGGACGGTCCATCATAGCAGACCCGGAAGGTTCGGTTTGCTTCGTAGCCATACGGGTAAAGGCTTGATCACTGCCAGGGCCGTAGATTTGGCTAATAGAGATAATTCCTGTATGGATGGAGTCTCGCAATTCAGCATTTTCGCACTCGAGTTTCATAATCAATTCATCCTTAGCAGCCAAGTCGTCTTCCTCTGCCTGGGTAGCAACAGTAATAGAGCGAATGTTCTCCCTTAGCATCGAAACGGAATTCTGAAGATCTTCAATCTGTAAGTCTTTTCCAGCTAGAGCCGCCTTTGCTTGAATTAGATCACCATTTTTGCGAGACAGATCCTCCTCCAAGGTCGAGATAGTAGCTTTCATGGAAGCGAGTTCGGCATGAAGGTTAGCCATATCTTGGATACCTCTGGCTGGAACTGTGTCTTGCTGTTGGAAGTCGGGCTTCTGATTCACCAGCTGTTTTGCAGCTTGTACTTTCTGAAGATATTGGTCTTTGAAGGTAAGAGGCGTAGATATCGAGGATTTGGCGGAATGGATTGGTGACATGGTTTCATGTTCTCTCTGGTCTGATCGGGTGACTTGCTTCTTTTTGTGATCACCTTTGGCTTTGAACGTCATCTTCTTATCTGCCGATGAAGAATCATGAGGCTTGTCATGATAGTTCTCGTTCTGACGCTTGTTCTTCACGACGTTTGCCCACGATGAGGCACGGGGACCGGACGCATTATCCATAGTTGGGTAAACTATTTAATGATACTACCTGAGAATCGTTAGTTTTGGAGAGGACAAATGCTGTTCACTATGCCAGCTTACCATCAAAGGAGAAATTAAAACATGAAGGGATGGAAACAACGACGCTGGACTACTGTAGCTCTTTCGCAGGTAGAGATGCGCGAGGCGGAGAGAACAGCAGCTAGGAATATTAGCAAAATAGGAAGAAAGATTAGGAAAATATGAATGAATGAATAAATGAATGTATACACGCCAGCATATGCATAGTTTGTGACTTACTTCGAGGAAGAGGATCTTGTTCTTTGATAGTGAACGTGGAGGCTGGAGAGAAGTGTCGACAGTCTCGTATTGGTACTGCCAATGGTGAATGTAAAGAGGGAAAAGGCCAGCTGTTGCAGAAAGTGAGCAGCTGAAAGCTCTGGATTGCCCAGGCAGAGAAGTTTCTATCGTGTTCTCTGAGATACTGAAATAGCCGGGAATCGAAGGTGCGTAAATCTTGACGGCAAGGAGAGAAAGAACTATGGTCGGCGAAATACAGCTGCAACTCCTGAGGAAGGAGAGGGAAGGAAGAATGGATAGTAACCGCAGAGCTGGTGAGCATAAAATAGAAAATGAAGAGAGAGAAGGACTGAATTTAATTGAAGGAGTGATATCTCGATATGTACCTGAGGCAGCACCGCAATTGATCGCACCTACCTTACGTACCTGAATACCTACATGTAATTGCAAGGCAGGTGCATTTGGGATGCTTTGCGTACCTACCTATGTACCTGGGTATATAGTATGTGCAGTTCGTTAGATAACACTACCTAGGGCAACGCTTCGTGACTTCCTAATCGTAGGCGGATACATTTACCATTACGACCATGTACGTGAAGGTATCTCAAAACTCTACATCAAGTGAAAGTGTCCTGCACGTACGTACATATGAAAAACACCAGGATTCTCATTCGGATTCCCAAAAGATTATGAACGTATGCATTACCAGCTGTTACAGATAATTAGCTACCCCAAAACTAAAGCACTGCTATTATCAGATGGTTAGCATATAGTGCAGTTTGTCCTTGGTCGACTTAACTACCTAGGTACCTTAGGTCTCTAGGTATGACACAAAACATCCGTACTATTAAGACAAAGACTACTAAAAAGACAGAGAAAATAACAATAATTGATAGCAATTCTCATCGTGTTATATATCTGTACTAAAACTAGCAAGGCTGAATGAATAATACCTAAAAATGTAGATCTCAAAATGAAACGACGTCGAGACGGGAAACAACTCGAGGCCGAGATTAACGACGGATCCTTCTTTCCCAAGAATGTTTACTCTGAGAGACACCCGTAGCGACAAAAAGCCGCTGTGACCATTGCACGATATCCCAAAGTTGGAAAGATATCAGCGGTCTGGATGCTCTGGCTATCTGAGGGAAAAAAAAGAAGGAAGAAGGAAAAGAGCCGCGTTCACTTCGCGATGAATTTTACTTTGCGGGACGTTTGTGTGCACGGACCCATCAGTCACGTGCTTTGTGACTAAAGATGTGAGGCACTTTGGTACTCAGGTACTTCGCTACTTCTTTAGTTGCCGTGGTCATCATAGATCATATGCTATTTGATTGGCCGAACTAAGAGCCGAGGATAGACGTGGGATTGGCCGCAATTGGTTTTAGACTTCCTCATCCAAGACTGAGAACCAATTATCCATCCCAACCTTTCGCTATTGTAATCGTCTGGTGAGGGCATCAACGTTACTCTCAAGTCTTTGGTCGAAAGTGACTCTACTGGTAAGCATAGGGACCTTACTCGATCTATTGTAAAGCACAATACCCTAACTTATTCGATCTCTAGCGCCGTCCGAATCCATAGCGACTCGGAGAATTTCAGTCGCATACCAATATCCTAATATCCCGGAACGATGAACGCACAACGAGTTGGCCTCCGGGCTCTACGGCAAGGTACTATACCTCAATCTTATCTCGTTTGCTCAAGTTTTACTCCTCGTCCCGATGCGATCATGACTTGCGACAACTTGCTAATTTGCCAATTTGCCAATTTGCCAATTTGGTCCTCTGTATAAGCACGTCATAGACCAATTTTGCTAATGAGCAATCACTTAAACAGCCGCCGTCAAGAAGCCCAACGCCCTCTTCTTCGAGAACCTCCCTCGCCTTGCCCTGGGTGCGAATGCGGCAAGCCTACAGATCAGGTACATCCCGTCTATTCCGAATACTATCTTTACCCCTCCAACTGCTTCCTTTGCTCCGCGCAAAGTACGCTTTCGGGAGTAATGAATTCCCAAGTCGCATTACGAAAATATATTCGAAGAGACATCTACTGGTTGCGACCTCGGAGAAGCTATAGACAGGCCTATCTTATAACCTTAAACTTCATACTAACGACTCCAATAATATAGAAGCGCATCAACCCAAAAGCTTTCCGAGAATGACGCCCAATCCCTACTCGCCTCCCAACGACGACAGCGCCCCGTATCTCCTCACCTAACAGCCTACGACCCCACCCAGACGTGGTTCGGTGCCTCGATTTGGACCCGTATCACCGGGCAGTCTCTTAGCGTGTCCCTCTACGCCTTCTCGCTCGCCTACTTAGTAGCTCCTCTGACCGGTTGGCATATTGAATCTGCTACTCTAGCCTCAGCGGCCGCCTCTCTTCCTCCCGCCGTCTTTACTGGCCTCAAGACTCTTGTTGCCTGGCCCTTCTTCTTCCACTTCGCAAATGGTGTCCGCCATCTTACTTGGGACTTGGCCTACGGCTTCAAGAAGGAGACTATCGAGAAGACCAGCTATACCGTCTTGGGTGTTAGCGTAGTCGCTACCCTAGCTGCTGTTTTCCTACTATGATCAATCCGAGGCGCTACAAGAATAAAGATTACGGGATATGCCGGTATGGATAGTGGCCGATGTGTTGGAATTGGGGGCGTTGGGTTGTGTGGACTACGAAGGGGTTCATTAGGGTTAGTCTTTCATCCACTGCCCACCGGTTGAACCTGATAAAAACCTGATGGATTGGGAACCTGTATGAAACAGAAACCTGTATGAATCACTGATGCGTGGATGTTACCTGGAATGCAATACAATATGTATATCCCTTTTGTCTACGTGGTTTGTTCGCCGCTATTCACCGGCCACACGTTGAGTATAAATTTGAATAGAACAGTTTTACTCACGGCCAACTCAGCCAGCCATGCAATTGTCGCAATTTCCGCCGCCTATCCTAAACAAGCAGTGCCGAAACGCCATTCACCTCTTAACAAGGGTATCAATCCAGACACCTGATCCCAAAATTGTACTGTAGTGTAGTGTAGGACTACCGATAAACCGAGTTTGCGCTTGTAGCATTCTTGAAAATCGCCAGGCAAGACTATCCTACTGGAAGTCTCGTGCATCCAAAATGACTGTATTCAGCTTGTGATCGCCCAGGGCGGCAACGCGCTGGCCGATAATGTCGCCCAAGAATGCCCTAATCTGGCTAGCCTCAATGTCGCTGGAGAATCCATTCATGCCATTAGCTAGAGGAGCATCCTCTTCCGTTAGGAGCCGGATGACCTTCGTGATGACACCAACTAAGGCTTCAAACTCTGCGTTAGGAACCTGCTCGTTCTTCTGCCGTAGGGGGAGGAGCATCGATGTCTCGAATTCTTTCAGGTTGCGCAGTAGAAGAACCTTAACAACATCGGCGCCACCTGCCGCTCCAAGGCCGCACACCGCACCGTACCAAACAGACGGTGGAAGTGATGGGTTAAGGAAGTTTTTGAGACATGTGCGAACGAGCTTTGGACGAAGCATCTTATTAGTGTCGGAATATTTCCGAGCAAGCTGTCCGACAAGCGTGGCTGCAAATTCTCTTAGACTATATTGTTCCTTGAGTGCGTCAATGCCATTTTCGGCACCGAGCTTGCGGCCCAGTATGCATGTGAGCACAGGCGCACAAAGAGGGCTGGCATATGGCGAAAGGAAAAGTCGATCGTTATTTATTAAGGCGTTAGTAAGTTCCATCATCTGTCGTAAGACGAAGATATCATCTAGGTGGTGTGTAACTTGAGTCGAGATGAAGTTGACGAAGTATGGAACAAGCTGGTGGATGCTTGGTTCGGAAGCCACAGACTCTAAGGCAGCTTCGCGCAATCGCTGCACTTCAATATCCGGACTATCATCCATCAGAGCAGCCTGGATCTTCTCAAAGTATAGGACGAGTTCTTGAGACAGGATATGCTTGACCGAAGGCTTGAAGTTAGGATTGTCCTGGCCAGAGAGAGCGGCAAGTGCGGGATTGGCGCCGGGACCTTTGGATAGAAGATCTTGGGCCCGCGACTCTGCTGTTGTGGGATTTTCTAGGGAGTTAGGTTGGACGCCCTCGACGGATAGCCAATGCTCTAAGGGTGCGTAGTTAGTATTTATTAAGATATATTGCGAAGCTGCAGCGATATCTTCCAGCTTCTAGGGAACTTACTAGTAAACGTTGTGTCTCGAGGGATCTTGGGTAAGGGCGCATTGATCAGCTTCTCAAAGTCGACCTCTTCATCTTCCACATAGAACAAAGCTTGTGGGCCCAGACTAGCCTCGCCGTACCTAAGCGCTCGTGCAGAGTCATAGCCATACAATGGCTCCACATCAAGAACTCGCAACGCCTGTGAGACATCCTGAACGGTTAATGTGGTGCGCTTTGCAAGTCGCATAAATCGCAGGGCCTCGACGATGACTTGGCCAACCCGATACTCGACGTCCTGAGAAAGTGTTCGTAGTCCTTCGTCGCTCAACTTAAGAATACCGACTGATTCTGCAACATCCCTAACGCTCTCTTGATTCCATAAGAGTCTTTGCTCTTGAGCGGGTCCTTTGCTTGAAGCATCTTGAACAGAGGCACGGGCTTCTCTATTTGCCGACATTGTGGCTAACGGATTCGCCAATGGTAAAGACAATCACCTAATGATTCCTATGTGTCGAGGTTTGAAGACGATATAAATACGTAAATTGACCCGAGAGGTAATCAACGACTTGCGCCGTTGATGATTTTTAAGATAAATGTTCTTGCGGATTGTGCGTGGGTTGCGCGAGAAGTTGATTATGGCAGGAAGGCGACACCAGAAAAGTGAGAATTTGGAAGAGAAGATGGCTTCGTATATGGTTTTGAAGGAATAAAGGTGGGTGGTTGGGAAGTGGCTAACCACCTGATCCTGATACCTCGATCAAACGTAATAGTAGTACGCTTAGGTACCCAACTTAACCTTCCTCTTCGATGAGTCTGTGCAGTAAATCAGAGTAATAAATCGATGGCTAGTAGTGACTTGCGTAAGCGATTTGAATACGATGTCCGCTTGATGATGTGCCAGGCTTCGCGAAACTTGGAATCAGCTCCAGTAACGCGTATGGCACGCCAGACGATAGACGGATCTTGAAGCAAGGATATAACCCCACGATCAACAACCAGTATGTAGCCCACAGCTAATTAGATGCCCATTTGACGCGTATTCGGCTTATAAAGATGAAGGGGTACTCACTACGCTTTTAGGGTACTAGCAGAGTAGAAGTCGATGCAATCAAATTAGATAAAGTGGGCAAGGCTACATGAGTTCAATGTTTTCAATGTTCAAGAAAGTGATGAATGATGAAAGTAAAAGGAGCTTCTCAGCCTTGAACTTAGCAAGCGGTCGAAGAGTGTAGTGGAGCCGTCCTCCCATTGGTTGGGAGTACCTGATTAATCAGAAAAGCTACCTAGGTACTTGTAACTTTATGAGTGCGAAGTACTATGTACCTACGTACCACACCCCACCAGCGCAATCTCAAAGTTGAAATCTGATAAGATAAAGCTGAGGTAAGATAAAGCTGAGATAAGATGAAGTTGAGATACCATCTACAACAGCATCACTTTATGTGCAAACACGAAAATTCGCTATTTCTAGTCATCTTATGACTTATGATACTAACTACCGACATGGATAATATCGCTTCATAAGATATAGTTTTTAACCAAAATGGCCAACCACCGATCTGTATGGTCAAGCACGGGACAATGGTTAGCCAGAACTTGGCTACGCGCCTCGTATTGTTTGGCGACTGGCTACCAAACAATTATGAATTACGTGATAATATCAAGTGCAACCGATTTATAACATAAATTATATGTCAACTATATATTTACTTATGTTGTCGGAATGCCCAAATTTTATAATAATTTGCGGTGTGGAATTAACCAAGGTACCTGATGTAGGAAATAGTCTGGTAGTAGTTAAAAGAAAATGGAGGGGGGGATTTTCGAACCTCAATTGAATCGAGAACCTTTAAGTTGCCTGCTCGCAGCCTTAACCACTACGCCAAATAGCGAATTCAAATGTAACTATGGGACATGTACCTCGTGTCGAGTCCACGTCCAAGCCCCCCACCTGTGCCCCCCAGAATCGCCTCTTGCTATGCTATCACTCACCCACATATCTATCTCCATGGACCATAATAAGGACTTCATAAATGGCAAAAAATACTTGACTCCAGAAGCCGACGGAACGAAGCACAAATTCCATCCGGAGACGTGGGTAGCCAGAGGCGGTAGGCTTTACGGACCCGTACCAAAACCCGGTGTTTTGTCATCCCAGAAGATATCATCGAGGGATTACCCTCTAACCTACGATTCAGAGAGTACGCAAGGTACAATCCGGGGGTATTTCGCTTTGGTGCTTACGAAATTTGGTTCTGCTTTTTACAATTATAAGGTCAACTTCGGTTCCTACCAATCCCCTAGGCAACCACAATTATGCCACTCCGCCATGCAACCTGCTGTCAGCTGTATCCCCCTGTACGCGTCCATATATTATAGGTAGCATTTCGGCAGTATCTATTGCAGTACTAAGCTCTTTTTCTCATATCCCGAGACACTCTATTTTATTCAAGCTACGAATAGGAGGTAGAAACCGAAGTATCAAATCTGAAGTATCGTAAGAACTTCAAATTTTGAGGAGTGATAATTCAGCTAAATTGATTTGCATGCCTGTTGTACCTTTTCTATGTTTGAAAAAAAAAACCGTGAAATGCATTGTAATGTAAGTCAGTGCCTCGGATTTAGGGGCTGTATATTATGACTAAATAGGGGGGTATTCCTACAATGTGTTAGATAATTAAACTTCCTATTCCTGTATGAAAATCTTATGAGTCTACGTATGGTAATGCTAAGCTGTTTAGCTGACGTAAATATATCTTACAAAAGAGACCAATCCCAGGTCACAAGTAAGCCGATAGCAAGAACCCTTTGACACGTTCTTTGTACGAAACGTTGTTCCAGCACTATTCTTTACATAATATTTTGCTCTTTGATCTACGTCTCGGAATATATCGTTTAGGTAAGCTCAATACTATTTCTCTATTAAATGTTTCGTCATTGTATATATCAAAGCCCTTCCCAATTTCACTACAACAATATCTATTAACCTACCTCTCCTAGATGCTGCAAGACCTGTATTCTACCCTCTAGGAAGCAATACTACAAAAAGGAGCCACGCATACATCTACACCCTAGTAGTTATGAGTGTCTACAATTCGCTATCTGATGATATCCAAATTGTAGGAGAGAGAAAAGTAGAGGGTCATGTTGATAGAAGTTTCGAAAATCTCCAGAATAATAGGCCAGTTAGGGTTACATATCCCACGGCGGGTTACCTCTACCCGCGACCCGGTTTCTCAAAGAACCATCTAGAGCCACAAGCTCCTACCGCACCTATCCAATATACCGAACAGGAGAGGTCTGCATTTCCATCTCAACTCGACGGCAGTCATAGTTATGAATTATACGTCAATGCTTTCTACCGCTTGGGGTTAAAAAATCCAGCAGAAGACATCTCAAGTCGTCGAGACTGGGACGCTGTCATAGCTTCACGCAGCCTAAATTCAAGAGCCAACATCTGTATCAATGGCCCAGAGTGGGACGAAGAAGATAGATGGCTCACACGGTCCGAACTTGAGCAAGGTCTCCGTCTTGCAACATCAAATCCCGATGTATGGGTTCCGTTCGGTTCTAGATTCTGGTCAAGTCCCTTTGAGCACGGCAGTTTGAAATGGGATGGTGATCAAAGGAGTGACTACTACTCCCATGACTGGATGGTTCTTCCATGTAATACCAAGTCAGGGTCTAATGAGGGTGAGCACTGGCAGTTGGTGATCTATTCTAAACAGTCGAAGACCGTTTACTATGGAGATTCATTCCGCCCCATCAAAGCGAAGACGGCTAATACAATAGCCACAAACCTGAGACACTTCCTTATGAACAACGGCATTGGTGACCCTGGGATTTTACAAGCTGTCATGATAGTGCTACCATTACAAAGTGGACTCTGGCAGTGTGGGTATAACGTGATCGAAGCTGCCCGGGCGTTCGTCTACGAAAATGGACTTGTGAACTGGCACAATTCACCTTTATATAGAGGCATGTCTAGAGTCGACAGGGACTACGCTCTGGTAAAGAATATTGAGCGCTGGTCCAGGATCGGTTATCGAGATCATCATGACCTATATGATAACAAGGTCGGTAGCTATCGATACAATAACTAGAGATGTAATATGAGAAATTCGAGCAAGCAGTACTAGTCAAATGCTGACAAGTTATTAAGACTTAACATCAGATTAACCCATCAAAAGTTACATTTTCTGTACTAGGCTACTCCTGCTCGAAGACTTCACTAGTAGGATAATAAAGGGGGTACTTATATCGACTTGGTTATTATAACTACTCGTAACTAGGGTTTTCGTAAAGCTATTTAACTACAATAAAATTCACTAGGCTCAAGCCCTTACAGGTAGGCTATGAATTGATATTAAATTTGAATCTAAATTAACTCTAGGTATATTTTATATATGGGTACGTACCTAGGTTGCCAGTCAAGATACCTTGTTGCCATTATGATCTATTTGACCAATGTTGTTCTCGATGATCCTCAAGTATCTTTCACTCGTCATCATCTCCTTCTCGAGTTTCTCTTCACAACAACGTAGTGCTTCTGCTAATTCCTCTAGCTCTTCCTTTGACTTCTTGGCATCTCTCGCTTCTTCTTCTGCTTTCTGACGACGACATCGTTCTTCATACAGCTCTGCCGTAATAACTTCTAGCTCTCGCTTTACTAGTGTGTTTTCTACTGATAGTTCACCCCTGTGTCGTCTTTTTGTGCCCCTGTTTTCTATCTTCGAATCAGCGGTGGAACCTCTGCAATTCCCCTTGTGCCTTCGCAAAGTGTCAAAGGGCTTCCACTTGTTACACTTGTCACACCAACCCTGCCTGACAAGAATATATTTGTCTAAAGCCGTGGATGGTTCGTCGTAGTTACTGCTGGTATCAACCATTCTAGTTATTCGTCAATTAACTGTTCATACTAAGCCCACTTAGGGAAGTGGTAGCTTGATTAGCAGGGACCAAAGGGGTTCACATACCGAATATTTTCTTTGACATCGTCACTAGGTCCCAGTATTCCAGGACTTCCACCATTCGATCCCATAGCTAGGGTTGTGAAATTGGGAACGTACTGCGGCTTAAGTATAAAATGTGAATCATAATCTGGCTGGAGCGACTCACCGGCTGTTGTCATATGGGTTCCCGTCATAACGGTTCCTATTGCCGGGCTTTGTTGTTCGGGTACGAAGTCCAACGGCCGAACGCCGAAATCAACATGTTCATGGGAGGGAATGTTGTTGGGAAAAGTAAAAGCTTCTATGTCATGCTCTTTCTTGATTTCCTCCTGAACGAACGAATGTTTACTATACTCCATAATACTAGAAATGCTGGTGCAATGTTCCATGGCATCAATCTTGATGTGCTTTGAAGCGTTTCTTGACCCCCACTCCTAGTCCCTTAAATATAGGAGCGACCGTTATGATCGGGAGCTAACCTTAGTAACTTAGCTCATTGCATTATACAATCAACTTCTTTCAATTATAGGTAACTAGCAGAACTTGTTCTTAGTTCCTTAATCAAAACTATTATGCACTTAGATCTCTTGCACCTTATATGTCCAATCGTGTTTATACATGAATAATATTGTTTACATGCTACTTGTACAACCTTACAATATGACGATCTAAGTCTAGATACCTAGGCCTAGGGTATCTACTAGAGCAAGAATAGAAATAGTGCAATTGGAATTAAGCCATTACTCCTCCCTATCAAAGGGTTAAGTACGCAGTTGCATGTATACAGCTTATCTTTGATTAGACTTTCTTCTTCCGCTCAGCTTTGGCCATCTCGCTAGAAATAGGCACGACACTCTGTACCACCATATCCTATGGATCTAATTAGGCAAGAATCAAAGACTTAAGATGATCTGATACTCACAAAAAGTGACTTGGGTAGTAACCAACATAATAGCCGAAGCAGGAGTGCGTGGGTACCGGCCCAAACTACCCCAGTAGAGCCGCCTTCGATCTCTCTAACAACCTTAGTTGCATACTGCCTCGAGCTGATAGCACCGTCTTGAAGCCGGCCGTCACTAAGACTATAGATGAAATCCCGAATGCCGTAATACTTCGAAGACGCGGGTAGTTCGTCTCTCTGGTATTTATCAAAGGACCCAGTCTTCACGGCACAGGTAATGAGAGTAACGGTCCGAACTCCGAGAGGTTGGAGTTCATGACGCCACGTCTCGCTGGCTATGGCAAGAGCAGCTTTCGAACTATTGTAGACACCTTATTGATCAGAAAAGAGAACTGTGAAGTATATTGATTAAGTACTTACTCGAAAGCGCCATAGGGGAATAAGCACTCGCAGACGAGTTATTCACAATGCATCCTTTGGCCTCGATTAGGAGAGGGGCAAAGGCTTGAAGCATAGCGAACGGCGCCCAGAAATTGAGGTCAAATAATCTTTTACCATCTTCAATAGACGTATCTAGAGCTGGTAAAATTTTGATCCCGGCGCTGTTATTGATTAGGATGTCGAGTGTGCCGCCAGTTTCTTTTTTCACACTCTCAACAGCAGCAGAAATCGACTCTGACGATAGTACGTCGAGAGTTAGAGCCGTGACATTCGCCGCACTGGAAAGAGTAGGTGGAATTTTTGATGGATTTCGTGCAGTTGCAAAAACGTGGTAGCCCTTTTCGCGGAAGACCTCAGCTAATGCTGCACCGATGCCTCCGGAGCTGCCGGTGATCAAGACCGATTTCCGTAGAGACATTGTATATTATAGCTAAGAAATGAAACTTGGTTAATAGGGAATCTGGAAGTGTAGATGCCATGATATTAATAGGAATTCTTGAGGCTTTTATAGAAATAAATTTGAGAATAGCTCCTGTGAAGTTGTCCGATGCTTACAGGTTGTAAGTGGTATGAATCTGAGTCGCGGCCTTCCCACCCCCGCCAATTCTTAGCCGCGATTCCCTAAACGGCAAACAAGACAGGTCTTGGCACTGAAAATAGCGCCGATCGTGAGATATGTAAGCAACGTCCCTCCGTGTTAAACAGTTCATCTCGCTTTGCGTCTCCTTTCCACCATTATTAATCATGTCTTTACTGAGTTTGGTAAACAAACAGAAATGCCAAGGCCGGTCAAGATGCCAGGTCCAGATAAATCCGGAAAGTCTTCTGCCTCATCAACAGGGATGCCGTTCATTATCTCGTCGAGCATTGAGAAAACCGATCCAGCCACTAGGAAGCTAATTAGAAGCTACGCAAGACGGGGGAAAACACGAAAAGGGGTTCGCCCTGCCGTAGACCAACGACCAGCTAGTAGGACGACAACAGTTATCCGTGGTCGGTCAGAGCCACTAAAACTAGAAGAAGTCGTTGAAGTTTATACCCCATTAATTCCGGGTCGGATTGGGTTAAACCTCTATTTCGTCAACTTTTCCGACGATGTAGAGCCTTTGACGCTTTTCAACATGGCAAAAGGTTCTTATTCCAAGCATTCTTAAAATGTATAAGTTAGCTAACCCTACATAAACCCAGTTACGACAGTATCGAGGAAAGTTACATTCCCCTTACGAGCAGCGGTTAGCTTCGAAGGGGACAATGAAGGATGGAACTCCCCATTCGGACGAGACGCCGTTGCTCTCCACATAATGGCTTTTGCCGTACAAGGCTTCATTGACAGAGTCCTACGCCGCCAAGAAAATCTTAACCCAGTAGCCATACTACATCTCCAGAAGGGACTAAGGCTTCTTCGCGAAAGGCTACTGGGGAACGATGAAACGAAGATTTCGGACTCGACAATGAGTGTGGTCTTGAAACTAGCGAGCGTAGCACAGTTCGACGGAGACTATGAGACCTCGAAGAAACATATGGAAGGTCTTCGCAAAATGGTCGACTTAAGGGGAGGCCTCGACGTTTTCGAAGGAACACCGTTACTGCTAGAGATGTTAAGGCAAGGAAATACAAGGACCCGTACTTTCTGGAACCAAACACTAACCCTTTACAGGTGTGACCTAGGGGTCGCATTACTCAATGGATCACGCCCTATATTTTTCATCCAGCCTTCTGAGCCGATGCCTGAATACCCCGAGAAACTGATGCCGGCTGTTATTGGTGGGACATCAGCCCAAGACGATATGAAACTAGTTCGAATCACCGATGATGAGCTAGCGACGGCTTGGGCGGTCTTGAGAAGATTCTGTTTGTTCGTCGATCTCGGGACCCAAACTCAACGGACAATCCGCTCAGATATTATCTACGAAACAATGACTGCGGTGACATATCGCCTGTTACACATGAGCTTCTCCTCCGGTTCGATCGATGAAGCCGTACGACAAGGCCTTTTGGCCTTTTGCTACCACATCTTCTTGCAGTGGCAAGACATTAAACCACTGTACTGTGACTTGGCTACCGCATACCGATGCTGGATTCTTAACCTCAAGAGCCCTGATGTGGTTTCTTCTCAGCTCATGCTCTGGCTGTTGATGATCGGAGCGGTCTCAATCTTCAATATATCAGACGAGTTGTGGCTAAGGAAACATATAGAAGAACACGTGGGCAGATGCCAGATTAAAATATGGAGAGAAATGCAAGATGTACTGAGGTCATTTATGTGGATTGCAGTGCTAGATGAACAACCGGGGAGAGATGTCTATAATTCTCTATTTAAATGAAGAATTTTATATACTCTTATGCTAAGTCGAGTCATCAACCCCTAACGCCTTGCGTGCTATCCGTCTAGGTTAAATCGTTGCCTTTCGAGGAAAATATCGTCATAACATCGTTAGGTTTCTCTCATCCATTGTATCATATTTCCGTCTAGCGCTCATCCGTCATAACAACCTTGAATATCAAAAGAAAATAAATAGCCAATTTGGTATGACAATGGTAACATAAATCCACGGGCGACGAAGAAGCGGTACAATTCGATCATATATCAGTATCCCGATTTAGCCCTGCGTTTCTTGGGGTTCTTGACACCCATTACTTTCGATGCAATCAGGCTGCTAATCGTGCTTTCAGCGAACCCCTTGACCCCTTTAGACTTTGCTTGTCTTGGGTCCTTGTCGATAAAGGCGTCGATCGCTGCTGCGCCCAAAGCAGCTGTGGCTATTTTGGCGCCCTTATCGCCTGTCCAGCTGCCTGGATCGTTGCGAAGTCTGAAGGCAGTGAGGCCACCCGCTTCAAGAGCTGCTCGAGCTGCCATTTGCCATCTCTCGGCAACAACTTCTTTAGGTACCTTGGAAGATCTAACGTCGGACGACACAGATTTAGACTTCCGGCCTCGGTGACGTGGAGGAGACGGTGACGGACTCTGAGTGTATGAACTAGCTCGGGATCGTCGGTGGCGTCGACCTCGATCGCGTTCATAATCTGACTCGTCACTTACGGACGGAGATCTGTGTCTCCGATGTCTACGCGGAGGGTCATCGCTATACGCTCGCGAGCGCCTCCTGTGCGGCGACGGGGAAGGAGTAGGAGAGTGGTGCCGATGACGATGGCGCTGCCTTGGTTCCGAATCGTAATGTGAGCTACGGCGAGAATTATCGCGACTCTGCGAGCGGCCTCGGTCACCTGATGCGGCCTGTGTTGCAGCATATAATGCAGCCGCTTCGCTGAGGAATTTTAGGCCTTTCTGGCCCATAGACTTGGTCCGTTGCAGACCCTGCCGTTGAGGGGAGCCTTTATCTTCATGGTGTTTGCTTCTAGATGCCTTCCTGCTGGGGCGAGGTGGTGGTGAGGCATGTCGAGAAGTTCTATGGGGTGATAATCGTCGATCAGGTTTTGATGGTATGGTATGCGCTCTATCGCGGTTCGGATATCGAGGAGGACTGGCGGTTCTGGGATTTCTCCTGGGAGGACTCTGTCGTCGACGTGGTTCAGGACTTGGGGATATACCGCGATGAGATTTAGAAGCGTTGGAGACTTCTTCAGTACCAATGTACTCGTACCCAGTGCTATTGATAGGCGAATTCGAATGTCGGTACGGGTCGTCAAAGACATAAGGATCGTCATGGCGACTGTGATGGTTGCGCGATCGAGATGCCATGGTTGGTGTTTGCGTAATAAAGTCTTACGAGAAATGTTAAGTAGGTAGGAGTCGTCAAGTACCAGTATCGAAGGAAAGCAAGCGGTAAGCTACAAAACGCAGCGCAGTGGTGTGCTCCTTTTAAAAGCAAAAGCAATCTATGCAACGTATTGTGTATGTAGAATAATACTGGGGGACCTCCCGAGGGGCTGCAGGTAGGGTCTTATTACGCAAAGCTGCGCCTCGACGTATTCTCTGCAGCAAGTCGATGTTTACTGGTTGGTGATGCCCTCAGAAAATCACAGCGTTGCCGATATTGCTGTCAGAGTCTACCAGTGTAGCGAATAACTGTTGTGAGCATCGAAAAACTTTTAGAGGATTGCATAAGAGGTGATGTCAACTGGGATTACAGCTCTTCTGTTATTTGCAGGGGGCAGTGCGGGTTGAGTGGGATGGCTTGGATGGGAATAAAATGGGAGGCCTATTACACACATACAGATGCCAATCATAGATGTTTAACCTACCCTGTAAGTAGGCCGGGCTAGACTTCTACATAGCATATCGCAATACGTATATGACTGCGTATGGTTCGCTGGAGCTGGAGACGAATCTGTTGCCACTTTAGATGATGCATCCCCCCGCATGATCTCATAGCGCTCCTTTGCGTGGGCCAACACATAGACAGCGGGCACGCGTTCTCCCTGGCCATCCAAAAAGGTGTAACAGAAAGTAACGGATAGCTTTGCTCTCACTTGAGTTGAGCCAAGTAAGAATGAAAAATTCAGAATAGATTCATTCATCTTGATGAAATCTGTACTGATGCTCGCCAAGTAAATAGAAAAGAAGCTTTGGATTCTCTTCTCGAAAATCTGCGGCGGCAAATGACGCTAGTCGTTCGGTGAAGTCCGTTCGATGTCCAATATGCGGCGGCATCTGACGCCTGCACTTGGCATTGGACATATGATGATAGGCAACACAAACAGGACCGTTGAAAGCTGTCACAACGACAAGGTCATACAATGTGCGATGACATCTCGTGACGATATTTAAAACGTGATAAGGCCGGTACAATTATATCACGTATAGGGTCCATCTTGTGTTAATTGGAAGTTGTTCACTATTTTCGGCAATGGTTTCGTTAAGGTCCCGTATTTTCTAGTATGAGAGAGCTCGCGTCGCAGGAATCGAAGAATACAACTGACTTGGGGATTGAATTCGAAATAACGCGTATGACATGGCTTGATCTAAAAAAGCCACATACGAACCCGGATCTACCCACCCGGCCCCAAGGAACGGGTACCCCTGACCTCAGTTTCTTTTTACGCTTAATAGTTGAACCGATTCCGTGGTATTGTGCAATACCTGGGTACAAATTCCATCCAATCCATGCAGTTCGAAACGCCATCATTTTAGGAGTCAACATGATGAGATCAGTTGGCTCTATGTTGTCATCAACATAACATTATTAACAGTCTCCCGATTCTATAAATTTTTATACTGGCCTAATCACACATATATACTCTTAAGTAGGAAGAGATCCGAAAGCGAAATGCAAATCCCATGATTGGCGCAACATAATAGATCAGAGGTAGGAACCCGATGAAAAGGAGACTTTGATACTAGACGACAACCGATGGATATATAACCTAACACTACGAATATATTTCTCCTGAGAGAGGGATGTTTCAATGGTTCCGTAAAAACTTTATGATCAAGTCTAGCCCCTCCACAACTACAGCTGGTTTACACCGTTCATATGGAGAGCTATAAACACACCGCCAAAACTTCAGCTCCCAAGTCATGAATCCACATACCCCCAAGACTCACATGGAGTATATGGCTACCTATAATTAGCGGCGATACATCCCCCGCAATATGTTCGATATAATAGAGGTTGCGGTGCCAAGTGCGGAAGAAAGGTTAATGCAACAGTCCGGTTAATTCCACCGCGTATCAATCTAAATGATCGTCCTTGACGTTTCTAGAACACCCAAATAAATTTTTCAAAGTGAAGGCTAGTCCTACGCTACTCCGAGTTGGATTAGACCTGTTCAATACGAATGCAATATGCTGATCCGAAAACGTCAGCAGTCAAACAGACGACCCTAAGTCCATAACGTGGCTAGGATCTCGTTCGTCCGGAGCCCGGTTCTTTGCAACAAAATCTACATATGCAGGAACGGGTAGTCTAAGATACGATACCATGGCGTTGTTCATCGCAACATGAATCCATACTTAACTAACAATACGGCAATAGCCTATGACCCCTTACTAGGTTAATTCCAATACCTCCAGTACCGGCTCTATCCTGCGTCTCCCAACCCCATATTCCGGGGCCACCTCTACCGGATGGAGTAATTAGTTTCTAGCGGGACGAAATACCGTTTACAAGATTAGTATATGCCAAGGCATCTGATTTCGTACCAACGCATCCATGGTGTAGCTACATTCCGGGATTGAGATGGCATTTCTCTGGCTACATAAAAGCCTGCTCGGCCACACCCACCTTAACTACAGTAATTCCGTAAAACAGACATAGGTAAATATCGAAAGATCAATTATTCGCAATGCTATTCAACATCATCTTCTTTGCCCTTGGGGCTGCTGCTATCGCCCTACCAGAAAAAGCCGATTGCCCTCGCATCAGATGTATAGACGGTGTTAACGAATGTGGTTGGTACCCCCCTATGAAATGCCACCGCTCTTTTGAGCAATAAAATGGAAGTTAACTTTCGTATAGGAATCAAGTACGGTAGATGTTACGATATGTGCACACATTCTCAGCCGAGTCCTCCACCATGTCCGGGGATCACATCGGCGCCGACGACGTTGTCGCCCGTAACATCAACTGCGGCGCCTTGCACTAGTACCGGAACTGCCTGCGTCGATCATCTTAGGAGCTGCGGATCGCCTCCCACTGCTATCCTTACTTATGGAGGGTATGTAACTCCTACTAATCAAGGAAGAGCGTATGTCAATCTAACACTTATAAAGGTGTTACCCGGCCTGTGGCCCGACGCCGACTTTCTCGCCTCCGCCATGCCCAGAGCCAACCGAAACTACTGCTGAATGAAATCACAACACCTAGAACGAATAGGATATGATAGTCGCTTCTTGTTACTTGAGAATCTAAAGCTACTGGCGAAAACTTTCTTAACCCTGCTCTGCTTAAGGTATGTTTGGTGTTGGATGAGCGCGTACTAGGTCTGATAGAGACATGGCTTGGGAAAAAAAAAAGGCGTACATGTAAAATGATTGGTTTGAGTTAATTCGCTTTATTAAGTTTACGTTGACCGTGGCCGACCATAGTGAGGTTCCTTAAAATTACAATACACGAATATGAAGTAGACATGAAAGGAAGAATGGATCAACGGCCTTGGGAGTCTACTACCCACTCATTGTAACACGCACCAGGCGACGGTTCACTTCCAAAAGCAACATGATCTATCAAGTGCATTATATACATAAAACCTTATATTTACACTATATACAGGGAGAATAATAATAAGTTGGTCAATACTAACCGGGTCCGCCAGCCCCGCGAAACACCGGGAGCCGAATAGCAAGAAAACAAACCAAAAACCTAAAAATAACAAACAATAAGATGCAGCTTTATGCAGCCGTGGTATCACCAAACCCGTCGTCTACGTCCGTTCGTCTATAGAATCAATCACAACCATTACTCGTCCTCGTCCTCGTCCTCCCCCCCTGCCTTGCCGCTACCTCATTCATCCTAAACCGCGCCCGCGAACTTTTTTTAGATGGGACAAAGGGAAACGAGCTGGGGAGGTATATATGTTCGTGCGTTTACGCATGTAGTTTACAGCATGAAGATGGCGGCGAGAACGGCGAATAAGCCGGTGGCACCCGTGGTAGCTACTTGAGCGACGGCGCCGCCGGTAGCGATGGGGATGGCCGGCTTAGAGATTGAGCCGGTGGGGCTGGGTATGGTGGTTGTGTTGGCGCTGACGATCGGGGTGGTGATCGGGGCTGGGGGAGGAGGAGGCGGGGTCACGATGGAAGAAGTCGTCACGACGGAAGAAGTCGAGCAGGGCGGCGTAGTTGTGACGGTGACGATCTCGACGGGGGTGGTGGAAGATTCGGTCTCGCATGAGCAGGGCGCTGTCTCGGTAACGGTGCTCTTGATGACGGTGGGGGGAGTCTCTTTAGGAGTTTCCTCGGGCGGTGGGGTCTCCTTGGGGGTTTCCTTAGGAGGAGTGCTCTCCTTAGGAGTATCTTTCGGGGGGTTACTCTCCTTGGGAGTATCCTTAGGAGGGTTGCTTTCCGTCGGCGTCTCCTTAGGGGTTTCGGAGGTCGACGTGGAGGTCTCCTTTGATGAAGTGCTGCTTTCCTTAGGTGTCTCCTTGGGAGTCTCCTTGGGTGGCGTAGTCTCCTTCGGGGTGTTCGAAGGTGGTGTCTCCTTAGGAGTGTCCGTCGGCGGGGGAGTTTCCTTGGGGGTTTCGGTAGAGCTGCAAGGAGTGGTGGTTGTTATGGTGATCTCCACGGTTGTGTTTTCGTCACACGGCGTGGTAGAGGGAGTCTCTGTAGGAGTCTCTGTAGGGTGGGTTGAGCAAGGAGTGGTAGTTGTGATGGTAGTCTCTATGGTGATATTACTGTCGTCAGAAGGCTTGGGAGTTTCCTTCGCGTCCTTGCACTTGTCCGGGGCAAATTCGCCCACTAAGCTGGACAGCTTGTTTACGACCTGGTCGGCAACGTCCTGTGCGATGCCACGCGCCTCCTCAGGGACCTGGTCAACGACGCCGTCGACAAGAGACTTAGCAGCACCCCCAATATCCTGAACAGCACCACCAACGATGGAGCATAGCGCCCATTTCTCGAACTCCTTCTTCTTGTCCGTCACATCCTTGAGCAGGCTCTCAGCCGCGGGACCCAGCGGTGTGACGATATCCGTCAGTCCTATCGCATCGACCAACGAGAGCTCATCGTCACCGCTGGTTAGTTCCTTTCCGCCATCTGTGAGGAGTTTGACGAGGTCTTTTGCGTCGCTCTCTACACCCTTAATGTCAGAGCCATCAAAGGCCTTAACAGATCCATCGAGTTTCGTAATAGCATCGGAGACCTTTCCAATAATCGATTTTATACCGTCGATGTCCCGCGGCGCTACCTCATTCGTCCACACAGGCATCGGCTTAGCCACGACGCCCGTCGCGGACAGAGCCGCTAAAGAGATAACTGATGATGTCTTCATGTTTGCGATAGAAACAGTAAAAAGAAAAAAAAAAGAAGGGAAGGATTCCGGATCTCTAATAATGAACGCAAAACCAATGCAGCCGAATGACTATGAAATGAGTGTCTAAGACGGAAAAGAAAAAAACCCTAAGAAACACAAGTTACTATCCGCCGATCATCGACACGGCTGTCTGCCTTGGTGTTATATACGGACTCGACGATGGGAAGACGGGGCTACGCCAAGCTGTTTGAACTTGCTGCTGGGCCGCCCGTGGATGTAGTACAGGGTATAGCCAGCTCAGAACTCATCGTTAGAGGTCTATAGGATTCTAACGCCGAGAAGGCTGGCAAGGAAAGTAACGTAGCGTAGCGTGCCAGATGGCAAAAATAACTTCGCCGTCAAGGGTGTAACATGGGTATTAGGTCAGGATAGGCTATCGCTATTGTCTAACAAGCAATTGCTTAACTATCGAGTAAGGTGATCTGGGGAAGATCTAATGATCGTTGATTCCCGTGCCTGACTAGGAGGGCACGCATCTTGGCGGTAGGTATTAAGGGGAGTGGAAGTATAGATTGGACCCCCAAACGGGCATCTCAATATATGGTGGACCGCCTGCGACGCCGCGAACTGCCTATATAGGACAACCGGCACACAGCCTCATGTTGACTTGCTTCACCTTAATGGACCGGCGCTGCATCGAACTAGAAATAGAAATAGACAGGCAAAACTAACTCAATATTAATGGTAGGTTTTAACGAAGGCTTTACCAGGAGAACAATAATTTTCACTTGTGCATGTTAGGTACTCTGTACGCTGAATCTTCTCTGACTCGTGAACTCCATCAACTCAATCAACTTTGAACCACACGGAGATAACATATCATTGTTTGTCACATTATGACTTTTCCTACAGAGGAACGAGAAGAAGAAAAGAAGGCCAAAAGAGATGAGGGTGCAGAAGGATCTATTATTTTGAAACATGGCCCTCTGGATCAAGAGAATCCTTCCAGCTTCTGATGGCGGGGCTCGCGAGTAACAGGGCTTCTAGGCCAGACCCAGGCGTGGGACGAGCAGCCTACGAAATGGAGAAGTCCAAAAGGGTATTGGGAGCGTTGGCATCGATAACGAATTTATATTTCCGCATTATAGAGTATCTCTTCGATCCAGTCTGTGCAGAGTTCCCCGGGGTGCCATGCTCTTGGTATATAAATACCTAGAGATAATTATAGAATCTCACAGGTAGAAGCTAAGAATTAAGATATGGAATCCCCACTGAAGGATCGTGAATGATTCCGACCGAAGCCGTTGATTCAGGTGGAGCTTGTGCCTCACAGAAAATCGCCATTTTGGTTTCGAATAGGCCAAATCAAGTAGGTGATACATTTGAAGGTGAGTAAATATCTAACCTAATTCCAATCGAATGGTGCCATCGCCTCACGGAAGCCTTTCGCCCTTTCTCGTGGCCTGCGCGACCTCAGACTGCGTCGTATCTTCCGCATATCTCTTATACGCAGCGATATACTGCTCATCAGCGCTCCAAGTATCTTTCACACTCTGTCGCGCAACTATCGCGTTATACCATTTCCTCCACCTGGCCCATATCTTCTCTTCTTCGTCATCGCCGGCCTGTCCCGGAGCCGGAATACCCACTCCGCCGGGCTTGTAATGATCAATGAGGAAGAGGCGCTTCGCCCAGGGTGCAAGCATAACATCCACCAAGCTGAATGCACGGCCGAGAAACCACGGTCCGCTATCTTCGCCAACTTTCTCATTTTCTAGAATCTCTTTTACAAACGTCTTGATTTGGCCTAGGAAACCCTCTCGCGCCTCTTCGATGCTATATCCCTTATCGGAAGTGTGTTGCAGCACCCGATAGAAGCCCGGGACGATCTTATTGCTAATATGATCAATCCAGAGTCTACACCGAGCGCGCTCGTATGGGTCGCGGGGCAATAATCCAGGCCCATTTTCCTTCTCGTCAGCATACGCCTCATCGAGATATTCGCATATAACAACACTTTCGTACAATGGCTTCCGCTTATTTCCCTTACGTTCTGCATCCACGGGAACAGCTAACGTAGGCACAAGTCCGCGCGGGTTGAGCGCTAGGAACTCGGGTGCTTTAGCGTACGGATTGATCTCGATATACTGATGCGGAATACGCTTTTCATGCAACACGATCCAGGTCCGCTGCACGAATGGGCAAAACCAGCCTCCGTATAACTTGAGGGGATGTTCGGCGGCGTGATCTGCTGCGAATCTAGCTGCCGCGCCGGTGGCGTGTCCCGGTAGCGAGGTATCCACTGTCGCCGGCATGATGCTTTTCTGTTTCTTAAAAGCTGAGTTAAATTGGTTAAAGTGATGCGATTGGAATGGTCGTGGTCGGTGACGTATGAGCAGCACTCGTTGGATGGTGCTTACTGACTGGCCCCTCATCAGATGCTTGAGGATGTAAGAAGTTTGAATGATAAGTGAAAGTTACATGAAGCATTGGATCGTTACGATGACATCAAGATTGTAACAGCGGTAGGTCGCGGTTAGTTGCGGGGAGTGGGAATACATAATAGAATAAGTGACCACTAACACCACTAACACCACTAACCATTTAGTATACCCGTCGAATAATCGATCAGAATTGTTTATATTATCCCAAATATAATATTAACAATTCATTATCCTAGATTAGGTATTTGATATTAATACTACTACTATAATTCTCATCATCTTCATATAGATGGACAACTCAGTTGGGTATCATCCACTCCGCTCTTCAAAAGCCAACACTCAATCTACATGCAGATCTCCTTAATACAAGTCTCCTTAATATCCATCTTTAATCATCTTCTTCCACGTCCCACGACCCGCCAGTCTCCTCCTAGTCGCCGTCTTGCGGTTTAGATCCGGAATGACGTATTCGCCAGGTCTCTCCGCCCGCACCGTCTCCCAGAAGTCGTAGCCGCGCTCACGACGTCGTTCTGCTCTCTGCTCGCGCTGTTCTCGTTGCTGCTTGCGTCGCTGTTTCGCCTGTCGCGACGCTTCCGGCTCTAGTTTCGCGAGCTTGGCTGTACTCTGCTGCATCCATTTCTTCGCCAGCTTAAAACACCCCTTGAAGGCAGCTTGCACGCGACCGCTAAAGGCTGCTAGGAGTGTGCCGCCGATGAGCGCTACGGATACGGGGACTATGATACCGATTAGTATAGTTCTACTATTTTTTGCCTGAGAGGAAGAAAAGGACTTACGTGAGATGGCGCCGATAAAACCAAGACTGACAAAGTTATCGTCTTCACCTCCCCACTCCTTAGTATTCATGCCAAACAGACTGGTAAAGAAGCTCAACGGCAAGAATAACACTGTAAACGTGGTGAAGATCATGACTGAGAGGTTTTGGGAACTCGCTAGCTCAGTCTGTAACCGCGACCACCGTACTTCGTCTACTTGCGCTTGACGTTGTATCATCTCTTGCAGTTTCTCGTACTACAAGTACTTTATTAGCAGCTGTTTCAATACCCCTATCGCATACGCTTAGGTTGGGTGGCCCTTACGTCTTTCTTGGTGTTATCCACTCGCTTGATCATGTCGTGTACTTGTTTCTGGTACTCCTGCAACCGTTTCAAGGCTTCTTCCAGGAACCCCCTACCGTTCTCGGTAAATGATAGGAGTTCAGGTCTCTCGTAGCTTTCCTTCATCGTTTTAATTGCAGCCTCTTGTTCCGAGAAGAGGTTCATCATTGTGTTGAGCTCATCGTCCATGTCCCGAAGCTCAAGTAAGGCAGATGTGTTTTCGCGGTTTTCTCTTTCCGACTGCTCTAGTTCTCGCCTGTGCCGCTGCTTTATGCTCTCGGATCGGTTGTCCTCGGGCTCGTCTGAATCCGAATCTTCGAGGATCCTATCTCGAAATGTCTGCATTCGGAAACGTTTGAGCGATGAAGTCATCTTTTCGGTCTGTTGATTATCAGTAATTATTCTCATCGATTTTCACATGCAAGAGTCACGTACAAGTATCCCAATAGCCTCTTCAAAGATGCGGAATATTTCTAGGTCCGGATGGGAAGTCCTGTCCAGTAACACCGTAACCGCATGTAAAGTTATGAAAGCAGCGAGATCCAATGCATTCTCGCAGCGACCGCTAAGGTCTCCGTTCAACTCATTATATACACTGTTTCTTAAATCCGCCTGTTGGAACAACGGACCTTCCGTCGGATAAGATTCTCGCTTCGGGAAGAAGGTCGTCAAAGTCGCTTTCAGAAATGTTAGTCAATCATACACAATTAATATGACCACCCTCTGGAGTAACTTACTCGTATCAACCGCCCAAAGCCATAGCTGGTCGACCATGAGGACATTTCCATTGATAATGTCGTTTTCGAGTTCCGAATCACTCTCTTCCTTATGAGTCGCCGTATCCGCGGTTTTTAGTGTGTCCACGGTCGACATCAACCGACTTCCAGGTGAAAGTGAGCTCAGAGGTTCTTTGCCGTCACCTACATGATACATATCTCGCTTTCGCTTAAATGGTATCGCAATCCTCTCTTTGGTAAGCTTGTACAGCATTTGATCGTCGTCTCGTGCGTAAGTATCTCCGAGAGCCGGATAACCATACTGATCTAAGGTTCTACGCGTATTAAGGGGTGGGTCGTGCCCAATATACTGCCAGATCACCCGCGACTCAAGCGACTCAAGCTCGGCAACATCTCTCGGAACAGGTCTCGCTCTACCTTGATCCATCCTCCGCCTGATGATGTTGCGGCGCCGCACTATATTTACATACGTATCAAAGTGGAGATACGGTAGATAGAGGTACAGGTGTGTCGGAGTGATAGCAGGGCTAGGGCTCCTACCAGATCGTCCTGGAGATGGCGGACGGGGTGAGCCTGTTATGAAGGTTAGTAAGGTCGATCTAACTCTCCTATACTACTACAAGATAAGGTGTTGATTCCTTACCGGCCTCCGAAGGAACAAAAGCACACCCAGGCTTGACATACGAAGCATGTAGATTCGCGTGTCGCCCTTGTACATGTCGATTAGCCCAATTTTCGTTGCTAAGGAGCTTTTCAAAATTTCGATTCTGCGTCTCGGAGAGCTTGTCGAAGATTTTCTAGGGCGTATTTAGTAAACCTCAACAATGAGATACCTAGTGGAATGACTATACCTTAACCCAATGTGGATTATTGAACGGCAGATGAATCCACATAAACTTTCTTCTAGCAGGGTCCGGTCGAGAAAAGCCAGCTCCCATACTCTGTAATGTGGAAGCATGACTGATATCACCCTTCGACTCAAAAGAATCCTCTTTGCTAGTGGTTAAACCAGCCCCTGTTGTCCTTGGAGAAACGCCAGACCCCTGAGGCTCAGAGCTAGTAGTTCTGGCCGTCTCGGTACTACTCCTGGAGGATGGACGATGGAACCCCGGTGTCGCAAGGGCGGGAACTGTTAGCCCACGGCTTCTCCTTGGCGAAAAGGCTGGGGTAGGCTCCGTTGATGCGCCCGATATTGACGGTCGCGAAGAAGCATGGCTTGTCACAACGATCTCAGGTGACTGGCCGGTTTTAGGATCATTCTCAGAGTGTTCGGGTGAGCTATTCGGTCGCACCGAGCCCAGGAGCATCTGGCCAAAGTCCTGTACGATCCCTAATGCGCCTGCAATTGGTGACGGACCGGATAATGGACGCCGTGGTCGTAAGATGCCCCGATGCCGCCTAGCTGCTACAGTGTTCATACGTTCCTGGAGGCACTTCTCGGGGCCTTTTTCAAGGAAATCTTTCAAGATATGTTTCGAGATGTAAAGCCTGATTTCTTGACCAGATTCACCTTCGGGGTCTCCGTAAAAGCCGATCAGTTCAAGCTTGATGTTTTCGCTTAACCTCAGTGGCGTATGTTCAAGATTGGCGCTTAGCTCTTCTGCCTTCCGGACCGCAGCTCCTAAATCAGCTAAAAATGAGTGCATCGTTCGAATGTTGCCAAGTCCGAACGAGGCACAGTGAGCGTGATCGCTCTCGAGGGATAAGGCTTGCTCTCCTCGATTACCAAGCAACCCTGATTTAATAGATGTTAACGGCGCGCTAAAGTGAACTTCGTCAATGTCAGAACTGCCGAGGCCGGACAACTGCGAATCGACCGTCTCGTAAAACGTCCATATACGTAACTCGCTAGCAAGATCCATGAACTGATCATGTATCCGAAGCAATGACTTGTTCCCTAACTTCAATTCGCGAGCGATAGATCTGGGAAGCGGGCTTTGTAGGAATAGTAATTGCTGGATGCTGTCTCGTAGATGGGGCATCGACATGTAACTTGAGCCGCGATGCGGTGTAGCTAACACGGGTTAGTAGCCACACATGCTAATAACATACACGAAGATCAGGTGAACGGAACCAAGGCAGGCTTACCAAAGAACGCGATGCCATGGCAATCGAAGATCAAAGACCGAAGCTCGGGCTTCTGGTTCGCCTTAACCAAGGCCAGTTTCGCAACAAGTCCGCCAATGCTATGGCATATAAAAAATATAGGTCTTGATTTCGACTGGCCCATGCGGATCTTCGAAATCTGATCAAGCAGGTCATCGGCAGCCTGATCGAGCGTCATGCCCTCTGCCAATTCACGGTGACGGTAAAGCATCACTCGCGCTGTGCTAACTTCCTTGCGGATGCCTTGCCTGATCCACATCTGGCTCGCCTTAGGTAGGGGACGGTTGATTGTGGGTGAGAGAATGCTGCTTCCTGGTAGCTCCTTGACGGTTGAGTAGCGGTGCAGCTCATTCGACATGGGAAAGCCAAAGTAGTCTTCCGTGAGGGGATCTCTAGCCCAGGTATCGACGGGAGACGCGCCGACGCAGGGTACAGCGATAATATCGACCGTAGTCTGGTTGTAACCATGGCCGTCGATGTCGCCGTCGATGTGTGCGAACCCTGGCTCCGGATCCCAATGCGAGTAGCTACTATCCATAGATCTCTTATTATCGAGATCATCACCATATTCCGAGCCGTCGCTATGCGATGCTGCGTGGTCACTAGTAGCTCCGTGTTCGCTAGTTCTGTTATTCATATTAGGAGCGCTAGTAGTAGAGCGCGTTGCTGCATCTTGCAACTCCAACTCAGCTTCAAGACCCAGGCCACCCGAGTCTTCACGACCGGCTTCTGCCATTTTGACTTAAGTGATCTCGACTCTTCTTTAGTCTTAACCTTCTTCGCGTCACGATCATGTTAGACGCGGGTTTTCTAGTCGCGCGTTACAGAGAGACCACATCAAGCTTTACACGATCGCTCAAAGTCGCCGATAATTCAAACTAACCGCGATATTTTATTTAGGAGGATGACCAGAAGTCTTATAAAATAGCGATACGGAGTCAGCCTTGCATTTATCACTGCCTACCCTCCATATGCCTTCTCCTCGTCAGCTGCTTTGGCTGCGGCTCTTCCCCCATCGAGATTCCCCAGAGTCGCAGACTAGATGGATGTCTCATTGGTTGGCAAGGGCAAGACATGGTGGCTTCGGGCGTAACCGTAAGATGAAGATCCTCAGCTGACGGCAGGGGTTCGATGCGGCTGGCGGCCAAGGCGGTTATACGGCAGCTAACCCTTTTTGCGCATATACTCGAATGAGTACTTGAGCACATATTTATAAGTGGACGAGGACGGGTTGATTGGTTTGATCTCTCTCAATATAATAATAATGAAATCTTCCACTTATGAGATACCTAAACATACAAGTCAATATGATATCGAAATCAGGAGGACATCATGGGTATTCAAAACTAGCGGAATTCCGAATGTTGTCGTTCAGTAACTACAGGAGGTCATATTATGTCGGCAATGATTCATCGTAGATCGGCATGCTTACCTCTGACGAATAATTATGAGATTATTTACCAGTTTGGCATGATCGCCTGTCAGAAAACCATAGAATGAGGTAAGATAAGATCCAGTTCTTATTGTACACATGAGATTCTCACATTGCCTACTAATCTACCTATTTAAATGAAGCCGTTGGTTAAAAGTCCCATAATAACTTATTAACTACTGGGTGCCTATATACATTCAAAGCTATTCGCTAGACGGAGAGTTACCTATGCAGTGTCTCACTTGACACTATCTTAGGTACCGGAGGTACGTTGCTGTGCCGTACGAACACATGAACATCTCTATGCATTGATCTTAATGTGCTCCGTGAGCCTGTATTATTGGATTTCTTGCCGGCTTCGATGCAGCTATTTTAGTGCGCAGCCCTACGAGTTCCCGTACGAATGGAACCCAGGATCCACGGCAAAATTCTATAACATAACAGGTTTAGAAGAGAAGCGGTACTATGCCAACTTTTAATAGGTGCCTAGATATAAAGCAGCATGGAACGAAAAGCCATTTTATTTCAGTGATTCTTGAGTCCAAATATGGTCAAACGTATCACGTCAGCTCAAACACGGACGATTTCTAAATTACCAACTCCCAACAGTCCCGCCATACGCCTATATATTCAAAGAGTAACGGCGCGTGAATGCACACGTTCATATGAAATATCATGCTAATCCACAGCCATTATGGGTGGGGTTGCTTCTATACCGACAGACCCTTCACGAAAGGTGCAAGTCATCTCAGCAGGATACTCGCGAACCGGGACCGTTTCTATGTCCATGGCTTTAGCAAAACTTGTTGATGGGCCAGTACTCCACGGTGGGACACAGATCTTAACACGTGATGATGGTAGGTTCGATGCGATTAGGTACCAACGGCACTAACACCGACTCAGATTACTGTTCAACGTGGATCAAAGCGTACGAGGCTAGGGAGGCTGGCGATAAGGAACAGACCTTGAAGCTTATTCGAAAGGCGACTGCCGGTTTTGCCGCAACTGCGGATCTGCCACCGTCGGACTTCATTCCTGAGATGGTGGAGCTATATCCGGAAGCGAAGGTCGTGTTAGTCCGCAGGGACCCAGTTAAGTGGTGGAACAGCATAGCAACTTTGACCGGTAGGACTACGCCATGGTGGCTCGGCATCGTAGTAGCCCCCTTTCCTGGATGGAGATATATTCCGACGTTCGCACGCGTTTACAGTCGATCAACATTACGACTTGCAGGCCTAGACGCCAAAAACGTCAGTCCGACGGAACTAATCGAAAAGGGTGGCCCTCGTAAGTCTCCCCTCACTAATATAGTCGACTTACTAATGACCCCTTGTTCATAGACATCTTAGAAGCGCACCACGAGAAAGTTAGATCTGTTGTCCCTAAGGGACAGCTGCTGGAGATGGATCTAAGTGAGGGCTGGGAACCTCTTTGCCAGTTCTTAGGTGTACCGGTTCCAGATGAGCCATTCCCTAAGGCGAACGATGGTCAAGCAGCGGATGCGTACGCTACTAAAGTTCTGCTAAAAGTCTTGCAAGTCTGGGTTGGTATCCTCTCCGTCGCCGGACTTGGCGTTTATTCCGCATCCCGCTTATGGAAGCGAACGACGTTGTGATACGGTCTGAAAACGATGGTCGACGTATTATTGGAATAGATTCCCTTTCATACCATCTTTGACAAGCTTGAAGTAGTGAAGGGCCATGAGTTAGTTTTGAATAATGGCATCGAGGGCGTTATAGGGGTAACCGGTGTGAGTAGACCGGACTTTGATACTCACGAGTACAAATGAAGACACATATGTTTCACTAGTGATACCAAATTTGCGTGGCTCATCAATACGGTCGGGATGTCACCTTGGATTCGAGATGTCAACATAGACACTCACACGAGATACTTGAAGGCAGCTTGAAGCAGGTTATGCGGGATCTTTTGATTTCTAAGCAGACAGGTCTTTACGGAGGCGTACGAATAAACTTGAACGCTCGTAATAGATATCCTTTTCTGTTAACAATAAGCTGATTAACGTACTCTACTATTAAACTATCCCGTCGCAAGTACTATCAACGGTATGGAGTTACGGCGTTAGCGGAATCAGCAGGACTCCATCGACACCCGGAACATTCACCTATCTCCGTAGGAGGTAGTTAACTAGGTCCGGTTGGCAAATCAGGAAATATTAGGAAATAAGGACTTCAGTCGGACGGATTTCGGACGAAACAGTTGGGTATAAAACAGTAGTCTAGCTACACGATAAAGGCGGTACCTTCTAGACCTTCGTGTAATGTATGTCGTTCTCTCTACAGCCATCAGCAATTCATTAAAAACTACTTGTCCTCTAAATTCGCCCCCATCTTAGGAAGTTTCATCAAACCCGCCACTCAACATGTCATCACTCAAGCCAATTATCCTCTGGGGTCATACCTCGGGTCCCAACCCCTTAAAAATCCATATAATCCTCAAAGAGCTCGATATTCCCTTCGATTATAAGATAGTTGAAGGGGAAAACGTGAAAAAAGAGCCATTCATCACTATCAATCCGAACGGAAGAGTGCCAGCAATTGAAGACCCGAATACCGGCGTCACCCTATGGGAGGTACTTAAATTCCGACTTGAAATATCTACTATCAACGAAACTGATCGTTTTTATATCTAGTCTGGTGCGATCATCGAATACATCATCGACGTCTACGATAAAGAGCACAAGTTAAGCTACGGTACTTCTCCCGAAAAGTACTTGATCCAACAGTGGATCGCCTTCCAAATCTCAGGTAAGGTTCCCCGGGCGATGCTTCACGTCCTCGCTAAGCTTTACTAAAACCCCCCAAATAGGACAGGGGCCGTACTACGGTCAAGCCGTATGGTTCTACCGATTCCATCATGAGAAGCTACAGTCCGCAATTGATCGGTACGTCAAGGAGATCGAGCGCGTGAGGAGTGTTCTCGACACGCATCTCTCCAAGTCATCATCTGGGTGGCTTGTCGGTGATAAAATGACTGTTGCGGATCTCAGTTGGATTATGTGGGAGCAAATTGCAACTTTCCTATTAAGTTTCATGGACATCAATCTGGAGGGGAAGTATCCGCACTATGATGTCTGGTATAAGAAGTTGCTCGAGAGGCCCACCGTACAGAAGGTCTTGGCTATAAGGACAGAGGGCCTTATCCAGAGTGGTCTTTTGAAGGCAGAAGATCTTGCTAAGCATAAATAAAACACATATAGCGCCCATGTACCCCTTAGGAGACACCAGATGGTGTTTGCCGAGAGGCTTGGAATATATACGCAGCTTTGAATAAATGAAGGATAATGCGTTTAATATTTAGCTAGATATAATCAACTTGTCGTCATTAAACTTGTCCAAGACCTAAGTTTCGAAACTCAGTGATATATGCCTCTAGAATACTCGGGACACTATGTCGCCCCAGCTCACAAGTGAAGTTTCCGTTTATTATCCCCTTGACTGGCATTCAACTACACCTCCATTATTTTCAGTATCAGTACTTGAGACTTTACGTCGTTCATTTTGGCCAATCCTTACGTATCAATACTGAAAATAGCGGAGGTGTAGTTGAATGCCAGTTAAGGGGATAGTGAGCAAAAATGTCAGGTAGGTACCTAGTCTAGTAACCCGTCCAACCGAGTGCCAACTCATTAGACGGCGAGTTTAAAGATGCCGACCCTTGATAGGGTTAAAATAAATTAAACCCCGGGCGGACGGAGGAAATACTCGGGCGAAATCTGGACTCCGTGTCCGGCGCAAGTATCTGCTTCCGACCAGGAGCTGGAATCCGAATCCCGATAAAGGTATTAACTAACTGTTGATGATTCATGGACATAAGGATAACACCATCGTTACCTCCGGAGATAGGAATTAGGATATTTTGCATGGTATTCAAAAAGGAAGGGATTCCAGAACCTGGAAATCGACACGGATCCGGACGAACAACACGACCCGGCGGGGATGCACCGGACGATTCATCTGCATAGTTAGACTACGCACTAGAGTAAAACATGCCGGTATGTGTGATTTATATACTACGTTATATACATTAATATAAAGAGGTCTTAAAGTAGCGAATCTTGGAGTAAATATAGACCAAGCACCTAAAAATCAGAGCTACAATTGAAGCAGACGCTCCTAGCCTAGTGCTCAGCTGGCATTTTATCCGCAACGACAGCATAACATGCCGCAGATCTCAGGATGAAAGGGGCGGCCTATATGAAATCGTATGTTTCTCGACTTGGACATAATAGATCTTACGACTACAGCCATAGTAACTTGCCGTATGGACTCATGGTGCTAATGTTGGTAAGAGTTGGGAAATCCCTCGTCGACTTTCACGTACTTGGACGTACTGCGAATGGGTTTCTCATTTCCTTATATGATTCGGTGCGATTATCATCTCCGTTTCTTGTACAATGGTTCTTTATAATGTAGGTAGTTATGTACTTAGTAATGATACATCATGGAGCTGGCTTGCATAGCGCATAGCAAGAGGGTAGTGAAACTGGAGTGAGTCCAGAGTTATAGTAATCCGCCTCCTATATGACTAGGTATTCGACGAAGAAATACAGAAAAGACTTGTCCGCCTTGTTCTCTTTGCCGAAGCATGGCAGATAACCTCTCAAGTAAATTATATACTTCAGTCTCTATGCCTCTACCCTGGGCGGATCCGTCTCTCCTCCCGCTCCCGGAGGCGGCATCTGACCACCCGGCCCAGATGCCTTCTGATTCGCCGCCTCCGCCGCCCTACGAGCCCTATACTCCTTCATACGCTTCGCCTTCGCGGCGCGCTGCGCATCCAACGCCTCCTTACGTCGCGCAATCTTATCCTCACGCTCAGCCCGCATCTCCAGCGCGATAGCCTTCGCCCGTCTGCGACGGTGCTTCATGGCTACTCTTCGGCTACCCATCTTGCGCTTCTCGGTACGAATTAATGTACCCAGACGCCAACTCTCTTCTGCGTAGGCGTAAGTACCGTCATCCCTTAACTTGATCACGCGCTCGTCACGCGGATGGGGCTTGCGGCCGTAACCCTGGCGTACGACCTGCGTCGGGATACCGGAGGCGGAGAGAGCGGGCTCTGGTTGCGGGGGTGGGATAGGGGCTGCGATCATGTTGAGGCGGCGACGGCGCATCGCGTGTGTGGGGTACGGTAGCGTATCTTCTTTGTTGAATACAACTCCGATATACTGTCGCTTCGGGTGCCGCGCGGGATCTCGGTAATACTTGACGTAGCCCGAAGTCAGGGCGAAGATAGTGTGATCTCGGCCCATGCCGCAGTTCTCGCCTGCGAACCATTTCGTACCGCGTTGCTTGTAGATGATGTTTCCGGTGATTACATAGGAGTCTGTGGCCTCAGATGTTAGTTACGTTTGATCCTCTTTCCCCACATCAAGATATCCATGTATATTTGCGTCTTCGAGTGCTGCCCCGCGATCTTCCTAATCGAAAATGGAGATCGGAGATAGACATAGTAGGGAACATAGTAAAGAGTATATCCAAAACGTACCACCACTCTTCTTCGCGCCTAGCTTCTTCGGAATTGTACTCGAGTCTCGTAACTTGTATGCTCCCTGCGACTTGACCGTAGCATTTCTTCGACCTTCTACCGCCGCATTGTTGGCTCCTATCCTTAGTTGTCCGAATACGTCTCGTAGTTGTCGTATCGTGGTATTAGGTGCTGCTCTCGATATACCGGAAGCGGCCGCCACTATGGGCCGCTGCAATTGAGCGATCCTCATGACTGCAGACGTCGTTAGGCCGCCGTTTAGACCGTTGTCGTTCTCCCGGGGAAGTTTTGGTAGCGCGGGCTTTTGGTTCATGCAAAAAGCTCGGGTTCCGCACCCACAAAATATTGACTTAGTCAGCTACGATAAGTAGCCGATACCCGATAACGATAAGTAGTGGAAAGTTGCCAACAATGCATGTACCAATTCGAACCTACGTAAGTGCATAAAAACTACTTACACATCCTGACATCGTGATAGCAGATAGTTAATAGCTGCTAGATCAACCCGAGCTTAGATACCGTTGCTTCAATCTCTTCGTGCTATAACCAGCTCCCATTCTTCCAACCGTACTTAATTAATTGTATAAACCAGACCATATATCCATCACAATGCAACTCCTTCCCTCCCCCCTACAAATCCTCCTCCTCGCCCTGCTCTCGTCAGTCGCCCACGCCCAATTCGGTTTCTTCGACCAGATGTTCGGCGGCGGCGGGCAACAGCAGCAGCAGCAGCGCCAACAACCGCAGAACGTGCCTAGCGATTCGTCAATCTATAGATCCAACTTCGACCGCATGCACTGCGACAACTACCTGTGCCCGGATACTCTTGGTGAGTTTTCCCTTTTCCTCTCTCATCATGACTTATACAATTTGATAGACCATTTAGCGGAACGAGCATTGTCGTGCAATTGTCAACTCATGCTAACTATTTGATAAACAGCTTGCGTGCACTTCCCCCACCACTGTCCCTGCCCGTGGCCCGCCCACGAGGACAAGTTCGAGATGGGAGATGGCCACCGAATATGCGTGTCTAAGGGAGGATTCAAGCCTGGGGAGGCCGGAAGAAAAGTCGAGCTCGCTCGGAAGGGACTGCTATGATTCAATTCATCGAGCTTTACGGTCGGCGCATTGTTTTAAGAGTAGAGCATAGTTAGAGTTGATTGAGATTCTACTTAGAATGAGGTCGCAGTGTCTAAGCCTCATAGTCGAGCACTTCAAGACATGTCTTGATCGAACTTTGTCTCGTTTATGAGACAATAAAAATATGAATGAATGTTATTTCATTGAGTTCGAGGTCTAAGCCCGCGCAAGTAGAGCATCTATAACTACAACCATGATCAACAACCGGAAATAACCATGTCTCGCCCAGCCTAATAGTAGGTAGTATGTCGCTCGCCCCTCCAACACCGAAAACACTTCTATTGTGCTTCTGACATGATAAAATCAAAAGGCACTCCACCTGGCCATTAAACTCCGTCCATCATGCATGTTTCGTCATCGTACCCATAATCGTCTTTGTAATTTGCTCGCCCCCCTTCTCTCGCCAAAGCTGGTGGCGTTCCTCTTAAGAGAAGAGTGGCTTATCCCGTATTCCTAGTCGCCAGCTCCGACGACAGCGCCGTTAATGGTAGGCATCGGAGGAGCCTCCTCCTCGTCCTCGAGCTCGTCGAGAGACTCGGGGTGGCCGAGGAACTTGGCGACGTCCTTCATCTCGTAGTGCTTCTTCCGCAACGCCTCGAACTTGCGATGCTTTTCTTGTTCTTCGGGGGTCAGACCGAGGAACTCATTCTCGGCATCATGTTGCGGTGTGGCATCCTCGTCACTAACATGGACCTTGCTTTGTTTGCGCCCGGCTCCAAATTCATCTTCGGGGATGTCCTCTTCGGGCTCTCCTAATGATAGCCCGGGAATTTCCTCCTTTCGCGAAAGCTCCCCATCGAGCATCTCGTCGTCGTCGTCATCGTCTTCCGACGGCTCGTAATGTTTGGCATACGGGGTTTTGGGTTCCGTAATCTTCATTGTGGAAGTACGCTCCTGTTCGGTCAAATAGAGATTCGCTTCGTCCCATTTCAGGCGTTGATTGTTATCAAACATTTCTTGGTCTGGGCCGTGCGAAGGGGTACGTGACGATTGACGCCGCGAGCCGGGAGGGCGGCTAGCCGCGCTGGAAGAGCGACGATGACCGGCATTTGATTGAGTATTTATGATGGTGAGTTCCTTTTCGGACAGGTCCTTTTCCTTGATTGGAGATGCGGGGGGTGGCGATTTTTGATATGAGTTCTTTAAAATGCCTAAGGGGAGGAGATCCAATTAGTACGATGAAGGCTCATCCAGGAAATATGCGAAATCGTAAAACAAAGGCTAGACGGGAAAGGTATGACGTACCTCTGGGGCGCTTGATCTCATGGTTCGGAATATGCATGGCCTTGGGGCTCAACTCCACGGTCGCCATTTTTGGGACTGTAAGAAGAGAAGAGTTTTTGGTAAGTATGTTTAGGTAGCCGTTGATAGTTGAATGAAAAGGAAGAATGCAGTAGAATGTATGTATGAAAGATGGGAATAGTAAGTTTAGTATGTAATGGGCTTGTGGGTGAAAATCTGGAGTTCTGGAGTATATGAGATGGGAAAGTAGGCGGAAACAGGCGGAAAGTAGGTAGTAGTAAGAACAATAAGAGGGCTGGAGGGACAGCAGCAAGGGTTATGTAAAGAAGGTTGGCGAGTTGGCGGGCTGGCGGGTTTAGTTGGTTGGAAGATTTGTGTGGAGGTTAAAGTTGGAAAATTGGCGGCCGGACGCGGGGAAAGAAAAAAAGTGACCAGGAAGTTTGGGAGTTTGGGACCCTGCAGTAACTAACAAAATAGTGGGTTCTTTTTGGGCTCTCGTGGGCTTGTGATTTAATTTGATATGATTTGACTGCTATGCCAGTATGCATGTATGTATGTATGTATGTAGAACTTTGCCCGGGATATTGTTAGGAGGTAGGTATGCTGATCGTTCTTATGATGATGGTGATGCTTGACTACCTAACCTAGTGTAGTGTATTGTGTATTGCGAGAGTGCGACAATTGCGCCGGTGGGGGTTGGGGTTCTGGACTTATGCAGTCCATGTAGGTTCTATGTAGGTAGAATTTTCTTGATTTATGGATGGTAGGGCATGTGTTACCTAAAGTACGAGATGTATGGCCTTTTCTTTCCTACGATGGAGGGTGAGAGGAATGCAGGCAGAGTATTATCGTATTATCGTACTATCGTACTGGCCTATAGTTCACCTATAGTTCCCCCTGATGGTGTTGTCGCTATGTCGTGTGTCTAACTGTCTTACTTGGTGGGGAGATCTTGTGATTGAGGGGAAAGATGGGAATTTTGCTATGTATAAAAGATCGAACGAGAAAATGATAAGAAATAGAAAAGAATCCAAGGCTATGTATGTATTTTGTTTCGACTAGGGATTATCGAGTCTAGTCGAGTAAAAGTAAGGTGAGGATGATGCGACGATCTTTTACTCGAGAAATCAATTTAGTTCGAGTTGTTAGTTCAGGTTTCTAGTTCAGGTTGCTATATTATAGTCTCTGGTCGGGTTGCTCAGGTAAAAAAGAAGATAAAGATCTAACGATGCTAACCTAATAACGCTATCGCGCTGTCGATTGCTGTCGATGCTGTTGTCGCTACTGCTGCAGGTGTTACGGCATTGGGGTCAAGTCGTATTGTTGTTAGCCTTGCTGAATGCTGAATGCTTGCTTGATGCCCTGCTACAGAAGGTGCAGAATGTGGGATAAGTGGGTGGTTGGGTGGGTATTTCCACTACAGCTAGTGGAGTTATTAGTACCTAACCTAGCATGTACAATTAGGTATGTACAATACAATACATGATGACTGTTACATATATGTAATGTAGGAGATGTAGTATTTTGCGGTAACTGCATACATACATGTACATATGTATGTACGTATTTCATACCTAAAGGAAGCACGAGCCGCCTCTACGGAGAGCGGCTTAATAAGGGAGTGATCATCCCACTATCTCACGAGAACCTTATGTCACTACTTCAACGTTTAAAATCTCTTGGTACAAAATCTTCCAGCGCATATCTACTGAACTTTAAAGTACTCAGCAGATCAATTCCAAGTATATTATACCTTCTCATTTCGGTACAAAACTTACGCCCCCTGCTAGCCAAGCTTTACCCTTGCTCACCTTAAGGCTCGAGCTTCTTTTCAAAGATCCACGGATGCTTCCCGAAAACCCTTTAAAGCGGTAAACCTGACATCATATTTTCCCTGACGGCCCCATCTTCAAGTGACCTCATGATACTTTTTGTTTTTCTGTCCTCCTTTCCGTCGGCGTCTCCAGCCTATAACGGCGTTACCTAAGCTATCTATCTTCACTTCCACGTTTCTCCTTTATCCACTTTGTCGGACCTCGTGCGAGGCGTCACGGCATTACGGCATCACGGCGTCGAGTCCACAGAAAACCATTCGGGTCCACTCCGACCGACCTCGAGTGTTGGTGTCAGATGCAATATAATATATAATATTAAAGGACCCTTAAAACTCGTCCCATCTAAATTCACTGCCATTCAATATCCAAACATCAAACATCCATCATTATCGTCAATATAACCCCCTCTCGTATAATTGATGTACATACCTTAGGTACATCATTATAACCTACATGCGTACGAATGCGCCAATCCGTGAACTGCCTTGCTTCTTCATGCTCTACTTGCGACAATGACCCTTCCCATTGAGCCGGATGTACGGAACTCATCTCTCCTAAATTTTCTCGTCCTCTTTCAACGAGACGATCATTTTACCATCGCATCATCTCGTCCCCTTACCAAGATATTTTATTTTCCTTCTGCCGCTGCACACGCTCGGAACCTCTCCCACCTGAAAAATATTTATATAAATCAGGGTCCAAAGGGTGACTGTCTATCTCTGCGCATACTACATAATTAGCGCAACCGTCCCGTCCTACCCCTGGACCCTTTGTCGCAGGGTAAGCCTGATATGTACCTATGTGCGTGCTTATATGTAGGTAGGTATACCTGGCGCAACGTGGCGGCACGCACAGGAGTAGGGCGATCGCAGGTGCCCAAGAACGAGTAGAAAGACCGGTCGCTAGCACATGCTTATCCGGAAATTTTTGAGGCTCGAGAAAGGGGACGTATCAAGCACCCCTAATGCTCTGCCGATAATGCATGAACAAGACCCCTATCACCTCAAAATAGTAAGTGAGCCAGTCAGCTTGAAAAACTACGCTGGCGGTAGTTCAGGGGTCTCACGTAGCACGGCAGTAGATACGGCGGCAGTTCCGTGAAGTAAGCAACCGTGGTAGGCTGTTGATATCGACCCGAAGATCTTATCTTCTGCCCACTATCTAGATGTACGGGTTAGACGACCCTGATGTCTTGGGTTGTTGGTTTGTGCTTTGTGCTTCCGGCGGTGAGCCAGTTGCCGAACTCTTGATATGAGATATATAAGCCTTACCTATACCGTAGTAGATACGACAGTGCCATTATATTGTTTACGAGATGAAAACCCGTGCGGTACACACTACTATCTGCATGGGTCGAAAGAAAGTTATATGATATGGTTGGCCAATGGTGTCGAATATTATATGTGCGTCAAATTCCCGAAGACCCTATTCCATCGTGATGGGAAGTAGACATACAGTACATACAGGGAGCTAAAAGCGAGAAGTACTTACAATCCTCTTCAGCCGTATTGCCCTTTTTCCTGCTTTTTCTTTTTTTCACTTTGCTAGATCACTTCGCTGAATCTTCATGATCTTCTAGTATATGGGTTCGGGAACATGTCTACCATCCCAATAAGGAATAACGACATGGATAAAATTATCATTAGTATGTCGGACACGGCTGATAAATATATCCTTACATATAAAGTGGTGTAGTAGTTAAAAAGGGCTAGAAGACTTCTTCAGATAAGCGATTCGGCATTGTCGACTCTTGCTACCCGTCTTACTTATTGCTCATCGCGTGCTGTAAATGAGGTCATTTATATAGCCTTCATCGAACACACAAGTGCCGGAACCAATGACTCCTAACCCGGATAATCGAGGCCCTCGCCAGAAATTGGATGAGTAGAAGCAGGGAAAGGTGTAGTAGCATCCGTAGCTACGTAATTACCAGTCTTACGTGAGGTGCGAAGTCCCTGCATATAGGACGATATATTCGGCATAACCCAGTTGTCTTAATGCGTATTATCCTCCCATACTTGCTCCAAATTGTCTAACAGCCTCACACCATCATCCGTACCCCGGAGTAATATCAACCCACTGCCATCCATATCCACAGACAGACCGACGTGCAGATCCCTTCAGCCTTCTTCGAGCCGCGAAGCTTTTCCTGATTTAGAATAAGCAAGCAACGTCGACAATTTCAGCTCATATAAAAGCTTACATTGCTTATTTACATAGCCGTATCTGTCCAATCATACCCAACCGTTAACACTGAGTAACCGTAGTAAATACAACCACTGGAAATGATAAATTTTGTAGGTATCTGCGGTCAGATAAGATGTTGGTGTGTTGAAATCTTGTTATACATTTCGAAATATGAGAAATGACTATCTTATGGAGGGATCTAGGCGTATATCTACGGAACATCCAAACCGCCGGGCGACGACGAGGGAAGACGGGGTCCTTTCGATGTTACGCCTTACCGAGTTTATCCCGTGGTATCTGACTATACAAGAGGTATGAAAACGTGCCGTAACACAGCATACTACTACCCAAATCCGAAAGCGGAGCTAATCATCACCATCCATTTCGTCATTAGCTCTCTTTTTCTTAACCTCCCTTTTCTTAGGACGGAGCCATTCCTCCATCCCAACAGGCCAGTATACTCGGTTATTAGGGCCGCCCATCCCAAGTTCCGACTCCGGGATCTCGGGCGGCGGCTTCGGTTCCTCCTCCGCATCCTCTTCAACCTCGATATCTGCGTCTGCACCTTTCTTGGTTTTGCGCTTCTTCTTCTTGGGAGGTTTGGGTATCGGTCTATTTTCATCTTCTCGTTCATATGGGATAACATCGTTAAAACGATCCCACCCAGGTAATTTGAAGTTCCTCATTAGATCAAATACCGCCTGTTCCTTGTCTTTCGCCTCAATCATGAGATCCGTATCATTCGGACACGGTGGCAGGGTCATAACACGAGGACGATGCTTCCGCCGCTGGCGTGGGGTGATGGCTTCGGAACAAGGTTCGCTGTAATGCATCTTTTGTGTGATACCTTTCCTATCCCAGGTTGCTCTGATCCTCGGGTAAAGTTCCATAATATCCTTGGTCCCTTCGCGGATTTTGCTTTTGTCAAACATGATATTGTGATGATGGAAGTCTAAAACGAATGGGATATTCAATTCCTCACATATCGGAAGTAGGTCGTGCACCGTCCATGACACGTCGTCGTTTTCTAATACCAACCTTGCCTTAACACCTGGCGAGAGCTTGCCATAGTTTTCCCTAAACCGATCGAGAGTAGCCTCCTTATCGCCGAATACGCCGCCCATATGCAAGATCATGACGGCATCCTTATCAAGCTGCTCGGGCAAACGTAGAAGTGTTAGCATCTCGTTGTGATATTCAAGATCGCGAATCGCATTTCTAACAACCTCCGTCCGTGGCGAACCGAGTTGTGTGAACTTTCAACGAGTTAGCAGCGCCCCTCCCACGTATAGAACACCTTGACACACCTGTCCGGGATGAGTGGTGAGCCGATGGTCCAGCTCAGCTGCGACTCTTCCAGCTTCAGCGAGTACTTCCGAAGCAAAGGGCGCTAGTTTATAACCATACTCTTCATGACTAGCAAAAGGAAACATTTCCGAACTCAAGCGCATAAATCTGATACCATACTTATCGTTCCAGCGGATCATCTTAACAATGTCACGTGCATTGGCGAGGCCAAGGGCTTCAATATATTTCTGACCCTTGGCTACATCGGCTGGTTTATCTTTGTCAGGCCGATTCTTTGTCGGATGTTCGGGCTGAGATGGATCTTTAAGGGGATGGCGATGCTCTAGAATGGAAGCTATTCGGCATGTTCTCGAACTAAATACTGGTGGGTTTGAAAGTCGCAAATACGTATTAAGGCAAGCCTGATTAATGTTAGAAGATTGTATATTGCGCAATTACATACACTTAATCATTCTCGGGGGGGATTCACATAGCCCAATCTGCCTTCCCATGGTAACGGCAGATAGTCACTGTTAACCGGGGGTGCCCGGGACCCTTCCTGCTCGATGGCCTTGGCATCGGCCTCCCCCGGGGATCCGTTACCACCCTCCTCTCTATCGCCTGGTTCCCCGTCCTCGTAGGCTTCGATTTCCTTTTCGACACTATTCTCCTCGCCATTCTCCTCCTTCTTCTTTGCTACACTCCGCCTTTCCTTGTCATTATCGTTTCTTAAGTTATCCCTTTTGAGTTCCGCTGGGATAAAATCCGGTTTACTCTTTTCGAGTCTCGAAAAGAAGGCTGAATCGTTCGGATGGCTTGCGTCAACCGCCGTCTTCTGCCGCTTCGTATCATTCCGAAAGTTATCCTCCATTTCACGAAGGCCACCAATGGCCATCATGACATCCGGCCTTTGCATCATTTTCTTCTTTGGTTGAGTGGATCCCGCGAGCGAAGTCCCTTTGTTAGTTATTGTAGAGTCAGACTGTGATACATCGCTCTGTTTCTGGGTATTACGTTCCGATCTTCTGGGGGTGAAACTAGGTTGCCCCCGTGGGGCTTTATCGACCGGATGGTCATCTTGCTCCAGAGATACAGTTGATTTCTGTCTTTTAGCGACCATGTTCGAGGAGAGGTTATAATATATCGGGCAATACGTGGGTATGAGACAGGTGGTTGCTTTAAAGGGGTTAAGAAAGCGTTTAAATTCAGCTCTAGAGCAGCGAATCAGATATGGAAAGATGGACATGCAAAGACAGGGTGATGGGTAAGAGAGAGCAGAGCTACATATTATGTGAAATCGTATGATTTTGATCTAGAATTTGGGTAAGTAGGGTATATGAGGAATGAGAGATGCACCTCAGACATATACAAATGAGAAAAAACCAATATTGATGAGATCATCTGCTATGTGCTACTGTATGAAAGAAGTAAGTTGTGCGGAGCCGCTATTCTACATAGACAGCGCCAAATTCCTTTTTTTCTCCATCGTTAATCGGTATGTACGACAGTAGAGTTTACTATGCAATCACTAGATTACATAGTAAAGTGAGAGACGATGATGTGCGTCATGAATTGGATCTAGCCACGAGGCATGAGCCGCGAAGGGGAAGCTCGAGGGAAGCTTTGCTCCGGCTTGGATGCCTCTCGAACACCAACTATACCGTTTACGCCTGGTCATGATGGAGTTGCGGCAGCGGGCCGGAGCATTTCTTGCGACTGCTTCCTGGCCATAGCAAATAATCCAATGAATAGAGTGTGATTGGAATGTATTCCGGTCTTAAAGCTCGTTAGACGTGAGTTGGGGTGAGGTCATCTAAAAGAGAGCGATGATCGATGAAATCATCTTAGCGCAGATCGAAGATGGCAACTTTCCGGGGATTTATGGGTCCGAAGCTAACTCAGCTAGGTAACTTTAAATGCGTCTATTGTTATGTAGTTGTAGGGGTCATAATAATCACGTGAAGTGCTGCTGTAGCTGTAGCTTCTTGGGCAAAATCTAGCGCAATTAAGCCCTGGTTGGGGTACTTAAACCACGCCGCAAGCTGTACCTAGTAAGTGGAGTACGTGGTGTAAGTGACCACCAACATCTAGGAACGTTGAACTACATTTTTTATGACTGCTCAGAAAATGGAAAAGTTTAATGCTAATGATCATTATCATATATTGAAGAAATACCATTAGTATATTTTCTATCGTCAATAGTGTCGTATAGATTAACGGGGAAATTAAGCATCAAATCGTGGCTCATACGTTCCGCTAGAGCAGCAAGGGCTTACAAGGATTTACTGGTCCATCGCCAACTTCTTCACATCATTCCGGTTCATGTAGGTATGTCCTCACATTGATATATAAGCGATTCTGTTAAACGACTGATCCCGGCTAACAATCCAAATAGATTTCAAGTAATTACAAGTCATTTCTCGTTCGAAGACATCGTGTATTCCCAACTGCGCATCGCCTTAATTAGGTCCCAGCTTATTGATCGTGTACCTGTCAACGGAACTCATTTCTTCGATACCTAATACACTGCTCTGTTTTATTCTGCACAGGTTCCTAGCCTATGTCTTCTCTTCGTGCGCTACGTGCGATGATAACCTACAGCGACTAAGTAACTAAGACCCATTACCACACTACAGCGACCGGAAGCAGAGCCTGCATTCGATAGTCTTCTTCCCTCCTCTCCTCTTCCGCCTCGTAATACGGAACTCGGCAGACTGGACACTTATACTCTTTCCGCAGAAACCATGTAGCTAGACACTTGGCGTGAAATACGTGTCTACACTTCTTCATCTTCAATACTTCGTCGTCGATGGGCTGTGTAGGCTGACGCTTCTCTGCAGCAGCAGCGTCCGAAGCCACTGTGATTATCGTAGCATATCTCGATATGCCGTCTCCGGCTTCTAGATCCGTATCGTGGCCGGCTGCTGATGTGGATGGGCGAGTGTTGCTAGAATAGAGGTACGAAAGGCAGATTGGACTGTCCGCAGTATTAGACGCACGGTACGGATGCAAGATATATTTCGGGGACGGCCTGACCATTCAGCATCCTCCGACTCTGTCAGCGAATTGCGAGCATGCCTCTTCTCAGTTCCGCCCTCTAGCTGTGCCAGCGCCTGTTGAATCGAACTTGGCAGGTTAGGCTTCGAATGTCTTCTATTCCTAGTCAATAGGCGAGCTAGTTTCGCTTGAAGATCGAGCCATCGGGTGATCCTATCCGAAGAAGATTGTCAATACGCTTGAGCATGTAGAGCGATCGAGAAATCAATAAGTCCTTACAGCGCCGCGAGGACTATCACCCCTAAAAAGGCTAAGATGAATATGACAATGGACTTCCAAGTAATTTCCATTTTGCCGGCTTACATATAGAGGTCGTGTTAAGTAGATGCTGAGTAGTACAGTGAGAGTAGCCGTCGATGTCGAAATGTTTCGAGCGGGGGCGCAAACATGCCACAGCTCGGCGAGTACAGAAACCTAACTCGTGCTCAAATTTTAAGTTTCGGCAATCATCGAATGTCTTGAAGAGATGAGACTGAACTCCGGACCGAATCATACACATTAGGTACTCCCTGGGTCGAAAGACAGGCTGACCAGCATCCATACGGTTTTTTACACGCGTTAGTTACATACAACAGAATATAGTTCTACCTTGCGTATCCCTTGCTTCGCCCATTATACTGTGTATATTATTAGATTGGTAGCGAGCTGGTCTTAACACGCTGGAACTTGGGTAAACCAACAAGATGTAACAGAAACCGATACCAAGTTCCTGAACCCAAAGTATTCGTATTCCACAAAGATTTAATAAAATTCTAGGGAGGACGGCTAGCAAGGGAACACACATAATAGCATCATCTAAAACTCTACATACTCTCGCATGCAGAATGGGGAAATAGTTCGCCGTGAGGTCTTCATTTATCATGATCTAACTACCTACCTACATAGTAGGTTACCTACAAGTTCTCTAGGTTAAACTCTTCTAGCCCAGTAGCACCTTATTTTCTAACCTAGTCCCTGCATTCTCGCGCATCTCTAACACGACATAGCTAGCAACCTGATAGGCTGGCCAGAAAGTAAGACATGAGATCGGCCCCGCCTCAGCCTGCGTCTAACGAGAATAGCTAAGCCCTGTGGGTGGTCAATGCCCCCTTAATTTATTTTCTGCACCCCCTTCTGCACCCCCTAAAGGTTAGGCTGTCGGGCGGGCACACGTGGCTGAACGTTGTCGGGAAAAACGTAGGGAGACGGCATCCCGATCCACATTAACCTTTTTACGCTGACGGTCGTGCTCATCCTTCACCTGGTTCTTTGCCTTTTCGCGTATGGTTCCGATTCTGGATTTGTTCTGGCCTTCAACTTGTGCACCTTTTCTTGCACGAAGTTGATAGCTTCTTGCAGTAGAACCTTCTCGCCCCACCGCACAGTTACGGCCATCCTCTGTCGGCCTGAAACCTTATTGCCGGATAGTAGATCCAAATCGTACACTTGGTTCGTAGTATATTGTGCCAGTCTTAGTTCGAGGGCACGATGTATAACTAACGATGTGATCTCATCCCGTATCGCCTTATCCGGAATGGTAGCTGGGCTGATCTTTCTGACGGCTTTGAGTACTGCATGGAGCTGCTCAACTAAATCCGAGGGAAGCTCCTTAAAGGCCGGCTCATCCTGAAGTTCGCCATGGGAATTCGGCTCCCCTGAATCTCGTTCGATGACAAAGGCGTCCTCAATTTCCTCTAGGTCTAGCTCATTGGCCTGCAAATATTTAGCATCCTGAAGATGACGAAGGTGCTGATTCTATTGCTTACCGCTTTACCCCAGGTGGCTTCATCCAGTCTGAGCGTGTCTTTTAATACAGATAAAACCAGGTCCCACGATATTTCCGTTACGTCATACCGGGAATGGTTTTTCGTCACGTATCCGTAGCGTCTTAATAGGTCGCCATTTCCGAGCGGCCCGTAGTAGTTGAGCACTTCAGTTCCAGCAGCAATTGGACGCAGGGTAGTGACAGTCAGACTATCTTCGCCGTGATTGACGTGGGCCTGTTGATTGTTAGTACGAGTTCATAGCGTAGGATTTGCTATCATATTCATCAAGTATGCTTACGTTGAATTCGGCATCTGCATTCAAGATATCAGCCATCGGCACCATGCCCATCATGAGGGTGCCTTCTTTATCTTCAACCCATTCCTCGCCATTCTCAGGGTCAGATTCTTCGTCTTCGTTCTCTAAGTCGAAAGCATATGCCATAATGGTACTGCCCATGCGATGCGCCAGAAGCATCAATTGATCCTCGGTAAGTCTCCCGGATCCTTCCGGATAAAAAACGTCGGCATGCTCATTGATTATTGGCAATACTCGAGTGCGGAACATGCCATCAGCCTCGTCTTTGCCTATCTTGGACACAATCGAGCTTGCTTGAAGTTCGCTCAACTCTTGGTCTGACCACCACATTAGGGTTTCAAACCGATCGGGAAGTACGTCGAAGTAGGGTTTCCATCGAGACCTGTCACCTTGAAGATACTCATATATCATGATGAGAATAAGTGAGATCCAGTTATCTGGAGGACCGCTGGTTTCGCTCCCATCTTCATCGGCTTCATTGTCTGTGTCCTCTAAGCCCGTCGTCTCGAAGACTTGGGGTATGCGTTTAGGGAGGTCAGAAGTCTCTGTGTTGATGATTGCTGTTCTCGGAATGGAGAACAGTACGGTATCCTCAGGGATATCCGCAGTGGTAACTATATAAGAAAAGCCATTGGTTAGTGGTTTGGGTGTTCTCGCTAAAATGCATCGTTGGTCTGCTTATCCCGCACCAATTCCTCTTCCGGCGCCGTTTGCGCGTAGATCTCCAATCTTGATGTTAGGATGGAAAGTCGCTCCAGGCCAGGTCTTAAACCACTCTAAAAACGATGCCGATTTAGCATCAAAAGCTGGATCTGACATTTTCTCTCGTAGACTTAGATCTCTAATCGAATGAGATGGCTATTAGATGATATTTGATATGTCGCAAACTGTTAAACTGTTAAATTCAATCAAGTTCGGTTTCCGTAGGTTCGGAGATTATTCGGGAATGGCGACTTGATTGCGAAATAGAGGTACTCATAAGACGATGTATGTGTTGATGTATGTATTGGATAGTCGAATCAAAATAATAGAAATTATTCATTAAGTTATAAAGGTCCCTGGTCCCTGCGACGCAAGAGCGATCTCACGCAATCTTGCATACAAACAGCTCCAAATTATGTGCAGCGCTACTTTTAAATATTGGGATGAGCGCCGCATATTATGTTTTTTCCTTAGCGGTATCTAAAATTAGTAAGCTGTAAGAAATCGTAATCGCGCTTTTACATTATCTTATCGCCGGTCTAACGGGAACACGGCGATCCACCATCGTGTCGAACCGTACTCTTTCAATATTAAGCCACGTACTTCCTACATCTTACAACTGTTCTAAGGGTAGAAAGTTAAAAGCAGTGTTATACTTTCCATTTGGTTGCGCAGCATTGATGGTATATCACGTCAACAGATTTAGCGTCGGGAATTCATGATTCGTAGGACTTACCCAGTCAGAAGCAATATGTTTTATCAGGGGTAGAGCTCCAAGAATTACCTGAGAACAGTCGCAAACACCACGCAAGTCGGGGAGACATTTTCGAACAAGGCCCCCAGGAACCATCACGAGCCTCTTATACATCTAACAGAAGATAGGGTCTCTAAAGGGATAAACTCTGTCTGCGGACACTGATGTCTATCCGCTAAATATGGAGCACGTATGCCCCTTAAAGAGACTTCGTATTGGATTTGACGATATTTAACTCTTTTGATGTAATTCAGACTTTATAGTCCCAGTCAGAGCCTATCTACCATCTGCTGAGCCCCCTGCTTTTCCATCCTCCGCTGCACCATCATCATCCGCCATCTGCACGTCTTGTGTGCCCTTCTCTAGTCCGCCTTCCTTAGCATTATCGCCTTCGAGGTCCTTACTCTGAGAGAGAAAGTAATCAACAACGTGCATATGGCTATTGAAGGCCGCCAAGTCCAACGGAATCTGGTCCTTGTCGTTAGCCGCAGTAGGCGAAGCCCCTCGCGATAGGAGAAGTTTAACGACGTCAAGATGACCCCCTAAACATGCCCAATGCAGGGCTGTGTTTCCGAACGAGTTCTGTAAGTTGATGTAAGGTACCTCCGTTTCCGTGCTTGTAGATGGTGATACTTCGTCTGAAGATGACGGAGGTGCTGCTTCTGCTTCCTTGGATGATTTAGAAGGAGCAGGGAAGTGTGAGAGTATCAAAGTGACAGTTTCTAGTCCGATATTAATAAGAGGAATCTCCCATAAATGATTGTAATAAATTGATGACGTATAAATATTAAAAATGCGTAGTCTTCAACTTACTCGCATGACCATTTGCTGCCGCCATATGCAAGCAGGTCGCCTTGCCGTCATCCCTAGCCGCTGCTATGATCTCGGCCCGTGTAGCACCCTCCCGATCAGCAAGCTCCTGAACCATCCCCGTGAGCTCTACATCGTCGCCGGTGCGGGCTAAGTAAATGAGATCATCAATCTCATCTTCCGATAACTTAGGTGCCATTTTACTTCTTTTAATTTTCCCTTCTGTAATTATCTAAATCTTTTAATCCCAAACCAGCATAGACATCCGGGTATTTTTTCCCTGGTCCGTGCTTTTGGTATGAGTGGTGAATGGGAGAGCGGGATGAAAATTTTTAGTTGCTTTAGTATAGATGCTGCCTTTTTTGTGGGCGAATTAGATAAATTTCGTATGAAATTTAGAACCTGAGAATTTTCGAAGACGGCTTTCAAATTCTGTATGGTAATATAGTCAGAAATTTAAGACTTGGGTGAATTTCTAGTAGCAATGTCTTTTTCACGATAGCGTTGAGTTGGGCATGTACATATGTACACTAGTACCTCGCAAATTGGGTCATGGAGTCACGTGATGCCCTAAAAACTTAAGAGTGCAGCCGACATTAGGGGGGTAAAATATTCCTTCCTAAAAAGCGCCTTTATATCACAGGATTTATTGGTGATAGTTTGTTAGCTTCTCATCCAACCAGCTTGTCATGTCCCCTGAATCATCCACCGCTTGTATCTCGGCTTTAATATTCAGCATGAGCATTAGCTGCAGCTCGTGCGCCAAGCTTAGCTCATGTGCGCTTTCAACAGGGTGGCTATCCAGTCTGCGTAAGAGACCAACCGCTTTCCGTCTGTCGGAAGTACTGAGGTGAGTAGTGACTTCTACCGGAATTGTGAAAACGGAAATACTAGGTGGTGAAGTAGGCGAGGATGAATCCTGACTGGACTGGGGAGTGAAATCATCAGATGGATTGGTATGAAACGAATGTGAGTAGCGAGTGTGGCTTAGAATATCACAGCTCTTTGGCCCGAGCCATAAGATCTCCGGTATTGTCACGTTTTCCTCATGACCGAGTCCCTGGCTGCCCCATTTGTAGGTAAGCATGATGGCAATACCGCTAGGGTCAAAGTCAACGAGCGCGTAAATGGGAACTTGAGGGAAAGATGAGTGCAGAAGGTGAAGGAATTGTCGCGTCACCAGGTCCGGATAGCCTTTCCCCTTGGAATACTAGCATCAGCAAAGATCATAAAATACTGCGCTTTAAATGTGATGCCTTACTGTAACAAGAACTCCTATACCCGCGTCAGATAGCCCGTAGTATCCAGACGCGGCCAGTCCACGAAATGTGGCCTCGTAAGAACGTCAGAGAATTTTCAACGAATATTTAAATAAGGGGACTTACCTCTTTTTCGATAATCATGATCCATTTCGTTTCACCAATGTCAATTCGACGAATAGCATCAGCATGCGGAATTAGGGTACCCTAATGAGATCTATTAGCTAGCTAGTCGAAGCATCCCTCGCAGTGCATTTCGACCCTCACATTATTATCAGAGCTGCAGTCAAGAACGGAGTGGTCCTTTAACGTGATAATAACGCCCCCTGCAATCAAGCCTTTATATGCAGCAACCTGCTTCGATACTTAACCCTTAAACTCGTTCGGACTTCACTTGAAGGATACATACAACACTCAATGCGTCTCTACCAACTCCGAATGTAAAGGCGATATCGTCGACGAGATTATCGACGTACTGCTGGCTGCCGAAGAGATCTGGATTCTGATAGTATATATTCCTACGATTATTTAGTAATCGTACTTGATATGTCAGACTCATTTATGTGGCGGAGAGCCTCAGGTAAAGAAATAAACAGACCTTTTCGTAACGACGTGGTCAGAAATGATTGCTTCATAGCACAGATGAAGAACTTGAAGAACACATGCTGGAAATAAGGAATTAACATCTTCAGAGGACCTAGAGATGAGATGCAAGGCTCTTTGCGCGGTATGAACTTACTAAATCTTTTTGCCTCTGTCTCCGTACTTGCTGGGAACCGGATGAGAGTTTCATTGCCTGTACGGCGATTACGTAGAGGAATATCGAGAACTCGATTCTCGCTAAGCGCGTCAATAATTCTTTCTAGAATATTTTCAATCTTAACTAGAACAGCCCCAGCTTGCGCATTTCGTGTAGCATCTCCACCAAACGTGACGATACTATCTGATTGCCTGTCCATTGTGGTGAAACGTGGTGTAAATGAAGAGATATTTCAGTTCTCTCAGCTATCTCTACTGTGGCTTAAAAATGAACCGCGTCTATACTATGTTATCTACTGATTGCTCTTGCCGGATTATAACTATGACAATCACTCCTGCCACCGACATACATATAGTACCCACCTGGGTACCTAGATGCACATGTGAAGCTTTTTAAGGCCTACCTAAGCCTTATGGCTTACATATCTCAACTTTATTAGTAATCGCAACCCAAATCCAGGGGCAGATTACGGCTATCCCCGCCTACTATGAATCAACTCCTAGGATTCAATTTTAATAGATTTAGCGTTGTCACCGCTCTTATTCTTTCAATCAATCTTCTAACATAAAGAAAGGAGCATAATTATGATGAATCATACCGATTTACGCACGGGACTGCACAGAAAGCATTGGATACGGATTTTATTTATCCCCAGTTCATCAAATGTCCGAGTTGGACACGCACGCACTAGACACTACCTAGTAATAGCAGCTTATCTGTGTCTTTTGAAGTAGACGCTATCGCTGGCCATTTAGTCAAAGGAACCGGCTATGTAACCTAGGACTGAGTTAGGGGGTTGCCGTCCTTGTCGCGCTGCTCGCCGTACTTCTTGAGGCGGATAGCTGTAGAAAGGATGTTAGTAATTGTTCTACGGAGATCTGATAGCGTGGCGGTCCTCAAACGAGAGGAAGGAACCCTTAATAGTCCTAACGAAATAAAGGGACTAACCTTGGATAGCAATAAAGCCAGTCGTGTCCTGGGGCGAAAAGCCCTCTAGAGAGTCCATAGATGCGGCCCTAAACGATCAGAGTAAGTAACTTTCTTATGGTATTCCATAGGGGAACGTAGGCAAAACACAATTCTGCCAAGTCTATCGTAGGAGCACGAATCTCCAGGCGATTCTTGTATCTAGAGGGGAGGAAAGGAAAATATTTGGAGCAGCTTACTCTTCAGAGTAAAGGTTGCTGGCGTTGCTGGAGCGGCCAAGCACGTATACCTAATGGCCCGAGTTAGTTATTTGGCAAGTAGTAGCCATACAGGAGACTCACATTTCCCTTGTATGCTCTCAATCGCACAACACCTGTTGTGTTTTGGGACGAGAAGACAATAGAATTGTCAAGGAATTCCCTCTCGGGGCTGAAGTAGAGACCGTTGTAGAGAAGACGGCTCCACGAATGCGTCACGAACTGGTCACGCAGTTCGCGGACTCGGCCGTCAAGGACCAAACCTTCGAGGTCAAGATGTGCGAGTCGCGCAATAGTGCTACGAAATTATATTTGGTAAGCCTTGATCAGGAGGGAGTCTAACAGTAAAATAAGGGTTGAGATAAGGATAACTCACAGTCCTGGTGTATCGTAGCAACCACGGCTCTTGAGTCCGACTAAGATCAGTAAGATTAGCATATCTACTATTCACCTTCTGTTCTAATACTGACTGAAGCGGTTCTCAACAATGTCAATTCGGCCTACGCCATTGTCGTGGCCTATCTTATTCAAGAGCTTGAACACGGCCACACTGCCGGTAGTCTCCTGGCCTGCAATGACGACCTTGACCGGGATACCCGCTTCAAAGTGAATAGAGATATCAGTTGGCTCGTTGGGCGCATCAAGCGGATCCACGGTTCGGGTCCATAACTCCTTACTAGGGCGACAATATTAGTAGTGTCATCTATGCTTAGATCATTGATAAATGAATTCCGGCTTAGGATGGTAATAGCAACGTGGATAGGTATCAAGCTTTCCTCTGAACGAGTTTCGCCTAGATATCAAATATGATTAAAGGTGGAGATGAACTTACGGAGGGGTGTGGTCGGGGTCTTCGAGGATACCAGCTTCGTACGAACAATGCACTAGGTTGTCTATATGTGATCTGGTTAGCTTCTTGGAATTCCCGAGTGGTTCGCTAAGCTGCGTTTTATGGAAATTGCATTGTGGATAATCTAAAAGGTAAGGGGAACTGAAGCTAATGGGTCTCTTACCGTCCTTGGACCAAGGCTCCTTCGGGGTCGAGCTCTGTAGTCTGTTAGCGTTATCACGAGATTAAACTGTTCTTGACTAATGAGGAATACGTACGACGGGGATGTTCTTCTCAGCTGCGTAGCGAAGCAGATCTGCGCGGCCCCTAGAAACAAGTATCAGTATTCGATGTTCAGGTTCGGTCATAGACACAGCATCCAAGTCTTAGACTAACTCTATAATGATTGTTAGTATATCAATTTTAGATTCTAAGATTATTTTAAAGGCGATGGTGCATACGGAATTTTGCGCAGAATTCTGGTAGTCGCCAGGGGGCGATGACCTTCAGAGAGGGCCTCAAGGCCGCGAAGGCTAGTTCGAAACGAACTTGGTCGTTGCTGTGCTTATTAGCTCAGACGAAATAGACAGGGATAAATAGAGGGTAAATACCCTTTGCCCTACGTCGAGAATTAGTTTTCTTGCCTCTATGGAACAACGGAAGTATAGGGTACTAAAGTGGTGTACTTACTGTGCATCCGTGCGAAACGAACTATGTATATTATGATGGGTTAGCGTGTTTTCTGTTAGACTCTCTGGAAGAGGATAACGGCGGATATGCTCTGTTCGAGGCTAAAAAAAACCAAGTAGAGGTCCTCCGCTCGATATATCACGGAATAGAACATTGAGGTTTTAACATACGTCGCAGTTGTTCTCAATGGCTGCCTTAACTTGGGCTTTCGCAATGATTGGGCGAGCTAGAGAGGTACCCAAGAGGTCTAGAAAGAGGTTAATGGCTATACTTCAGATCACAGAAAGACTACGCACATCGATCCTCATAGATAGCATTGCATTGGATTGCTCTGTGGATGACCTTCTCCACGAATTCCTCTTGGAGATTCTGCATAATCCAATGTTAGTCATTTCGATATTAATGGGACGTATAATATTGTAGTGAAAGAAAGGGGTAAAAGAAAGGGATGTAAATACGTCGATGATCATGCGCTCGGCACCCAAGCTTAGAGCCTTCTTCTCGACGGCAGCCCAATCTTCCTCCTGACCAACATCTGCTAAAAAGCACTAATTATATATTAGACTCGAGTCGTATTTAGGTCATACCATGTAGTAAACTTACGACGACGGTATAGCCCTCAGAAATCAGCCATACTAGGATGGTTGAGGTATCAAGGCCTATATATATCTAAGGTTAGTAAAGACTGTTTAATTCTAGGCATTGACAGAATAGCCATCGCCGTCATGTTCACGATGACCTCGTCCGTAGACCAAGCAACGCTACTTTGACTCGAATAGAGCCGATAACGGGGATATAACCGGGGACACTGACCTCCGGAGTAGGCGCTACGTAGACGGTTAGTTAAGGTTCGAATAGCAATAATTAATTCCTTAATAAGGCAAAATACTCACAGACAGACACGACCTTTAGACATCTTGAAATGTTCGTTCCTATAGAATCGTATAATTGGATACTGGACACTATGAACACGATGTGGATATGTAGAAACGACTCGTAAAGAAGGTGGGATGATGTTTTATGTATTCCAAGTCTTCTAAACGTTTAAACGTTTTGTGTGGGCCGAACTTATGAGTCAGCCTAAAGTTTGTTTTTTTCCTACTAGGGCTCGACAGTATAAATTACCAAATCAGAAGTCTCTCATATTTCAATTGGCTGGAGATAAGATTGGATAAGATTGGATAAGACTGGATAAGATATCATTAAGACATTTATTTACATTAGTGTAGGTCGTACGGCTATATTATCTAATAACTATTTCTTTTGGGGAGGGGGTTACCTTGATCATGAAAACTATGAATAATAGCATCTCGAATTAGCTCGCCTGAGGTAAGTCAGCATCTTATGTAAATCATTTCTCTTATCATCTTCTATCTAGTCAATTATCTAACCTATATTAATTAAGCTTCGATGCATGGCTCCGGCTAAGCCCCCCGGTAGCCCCCACCTTATGGGCGGTACGGAACAGGGGAAAATAGAGTGGATGCGTAACGTATCGTATGAGTTTCCCTTACACCGCGGTACCATTAGAAATTGTTGAGTTTTGGTTAGGCTTACATACCTGCGATTCTCTCCCTTGCAACCCTTCTGCTCAACCACAACAATCTCCAATCGCTAATATCTCTATCCCCTAAAGATGGTTGTGACGACACGGTCTAAGAAACGCGCTAGCGATGATACCCTCGAGACGAAAACGACAATAACGACGAAACGCCCGAGACTCGAAGAGAAGACCGACTTGACGCGATGGCGCATGTTAGACGAAAAGGGGAGACATACTTGGCATTACTTAGAAGACGACGCGACTGTAGAGAAGTGGCCGCAGAGTTATGCCGATAAGTGGTATCTTGGTTTAGATACTGTAAGATTTCCATCATCCCGAATATTCCTATCGCGCAATGGCGTCGTTTGAGCGGCATGGCTGACCGTCGCATTTGTTACAGGGGCTCCCCACTCTACCAAAGCCAACTAAACCCCTCGATTCCGTCGTGAACGGCTTGACGTTCTTTGAGAAGCTTCAGTTGCCTTCTGGTCAATGGGGTTGCGAATATGGAGGTCCCATGTTTTTATTACCAGGTATTGTGATTACGTGGTATGTAACGAAGACGCCGATCCCGTGGTATACCGCGACGGAGATAAAGAACTATTTATTCGCCAGAGCAAACCCAGAAGATGGAGGATGGGGTTTGCATATAGAAGGAGAAAGCACTGTTTTTGGAACCGCGTTGAATTATACCGTTCTTCGCATTATCGGTCTCGACCCGGAACATCCGGTCATGGTCAAGGCTCGAGGGACGCTACACAAACTTGGAGGAGCTACATGCGCTCCCCATTGGGCCAAGTTCTGGTTAAGCGTACTGGGTATTTGCAAATGGGATATCGTCAACCCTATACCCTCGGAGCTATGGCTACTACCTGACTGGGTGCCTTTTGCTCCATGGAGGTGGTGGATCCACATGCGCCAGGTCTTCTTACCTATGAGCTACATCTACGACAAGAAATGGTCCTGCGAGGAGACCGATATCATTCGGGCCTTGAGACAAGAGTTATTCGTGGACCCGTGGGAGAAGATCGACTGGGTCGGAAACAGAAATAGTATATGTTCCGTCGACAACTACCATCCGAAATCCTGGCTTCTTAACACTGCCAACTGGTTCCTCGTTAATATTTGGAACCCGTATCTCCGCACCAAAGGACTTGCTAAGAAGGCCCAAGATTGGGTTAGTAAACTTATCGATATGGAAGATGCGAACACGGACTTCGCAGACTTGGCACCGGTGAACGCGGCGATGAATACCGTCGTTTGCTACATCCGCGACGGCCCAGGCGCGTACTCGGTCAGGAGACATATCGAAAGGTTGGAAGATGCGATGTGGGTCAATAGCGATGGTATGCTTTGTAATGGCACCAATGGCGTTCAATGCTGGGATACCTCTTTTCTGATACAGGCCACGACGGACGCGGGGCTCGAGCAAGACCCTCGCTGGAGATCGATGTTAAATAAGGCGTTGATATTTCTTGATCATCAGCAGATACGCGAGAACTGTAAAGACCAAGATATCTGCTATCGTCAGCAGCGAAAGGGTGCGTGGGCCTTTAGTACTAGGGACCAGGGATATGCTGTATGCGACTGTGTTTCGGAGGCATTGAAGTCGGTCATCCTTCTGCAACATACTCCTGGCTACCCCCAGCTTCTTGAAGACCAACGCATATTCGACGCCGTTGATACTCTTCTTACTTACCAGAACAAGTCTGGCGCCTGCTCGTCGTACGAGCCGACGCGAGGGAGCGAACTAATGGAGATGCTCAACGCGGCAGAGGTCTTCGGTAAAATTATGGTGGAATACGATTACGTCGAGTGTACGACAGCGGTAGTTACCGCGCTCTCCTTATTCCAGAAGCACTGGCCTGATTATCGGAGCAAAGAGATTAAGGAGTTTATTGGACGATCAGTCAAAGCGGTCAAGTCGTTACAAAAACCAGACGGATCATGGTATGGAAATTGGGCCATATGTTATACCTACGCGACTATGTTCGCCCTAGAAAGCTTGAAAAGCATCGGCGAAACTTATAGCAATAGCCCTTACTCGAAAAGAGGTTGCGATTTCTTAATTTCCAAGCAGAGGGCGGACGGAGGATGGTCGGAAAGCTACCGTGTATGGTCATCAAGCTCTTTGAATTTCCCGTGGACATATGCTAACAGTTTGCAGTCTTGCGAAAGAATGGTATATACCGAGCACTCATCAGGATCGCAAGTTGTGATGACAGCATGGGCTTTGATAGGTCTCATGAAAGCGGATTACCCAGACATCAAACCCCTGAAAAAGGGGATCAAACTCATCATGGATAGACAACAACCGAACGGCGAATGGAAACAAGAGGCGATCGAGGGCGTATTCAACAAGAGCTGTATGATCTCATACCCGAACTACAAGTTCACCTTTACGATGAAAGCCCTCGGAATGTTTGCGACGAAGTACCCGAATGAGACGGTAGTATAATAAGGTGTCGGTAGTATAATAAGGTGTAGGTTTAGTGTGTAAGTCTAGGACGTGTGAAAATTGCTGTCGTGAAGGACGATGACGCTGTAATAGGGTAGGTAAGTATACTGGGTAGAATAATTAATCTTAATATTCTTAATGTCACATACTTATGATATTTTAGATTTTCTGTGACGACAAATCCATCAAATAATCTTACCCATGGACCTTTGGCGTTGGGCGTGTTATGACAGCTGCCGCGTACGTCATCCGTCCCGTCGCGATAGCACTGACGTAGTTGGTCCTACGTACATTATAGAATGACCCACTAATTTAGATTCGTTCGTTGATTAATTCGAAGGTCCAGGTCGAAAGTATTGTGGATCTCCAGATCTTTAATAACATAATTCCTAAAGCTTAATTGAACTATAACCATAGTAAATAAGTATTTGGTAAACTGAAAGACCAAATTTTGAGTCGTGAATAAGATGCTTTACGGATGCTTTACTTTCGCCTAGGGTAAGTTATGGTGACCTTGATGCACGAAGCTTTTGGGCTAGACCCCAGGGCACTAAGCGGTGAGTTTGCAGCCTAGATTTAACCTTATACCGCCTACCATTTTCAGCTATAGATCCAGCAGAATCGCGGAAACCCCACTATGACTAGTAGCTTCCACGATAAGCTTTGGCTCTTGCTGAAGTAAACCGACCTAATTATTACTTGCCATTTTGTGCAAACTGAAGCAAAATCAATCAACAAACTTTATTACAACTTTTATAATTCAGATATCTTAGAAAAGGATTACTCCTGAAACCAAGCGAAAATATTTGCCAGGTATTTAAATAACCTGTTACCTGGAGTTTTTGTGTGATTCAATCTCGTTATAGCTCTCGTCGTTAGAACATTCCACTCAGTTAAGACTCAATACAACAACCCTCGATACAACCCCCCACCCATCTTCCAAGTCCGGTTGCAGACAGGCGTTATCTTTGGCATCAACGTCACTCATCGCGTTCCACTTTAACCAGTACTACCTCAATAAATTACCCATATTCTTTTCAAGTCGGGGATTGCTACAATGTCCTCCGCCGCCCTTGCCGACGAAGGCACCAAAGCCGTGGCCGCTGGCAAGTACACAGAAGGAATCGACAAGTTATCCCAGGCTCTCAAAGAGCGCCCTGCACCTCGTTGGCTACTCGAGCGTTCCAAGGCGTATTTAAGAACTAACGATTTCGACCTCGCCTTGCACGATGCCGAACAAGCTTTGGAAGTAGCCTTCTCGCGGGCTAATCGAGATTATATGATCGAGGCTCAGATTAGACGAGCAATCACCCTCTTCCGCATGGGTCGCTATGCAGATGCTGATATCTGTGCCTTTTGGGCTATCAGACTGCTAGAGCAATCCAAGGCTACCGAAGATGACGGCCAGCAGGATAAGGTTGGCGAAAATGGAGATTACGTCGTGCGTGCTAGTGACATTAAGAATGACGAGAAGCCGGATAAGGACCGACAAATCGCTGCTGCTATGGGTGGTACGGGTAATTCGAAAAACACTTCCTTAAAAAATCAAGCAAATTCGTGGCGTCTGCAAGCCTTGAATAAGCTGGAGAGCTTACCTGCTGGACATCCCGGCTTGAAGGTGAACGTCTCGAAATATCCCAAGCCATCTAATGGGCATGATACTGCAGCCAGTCCTGTTCTATCCACGCAAGACGAAGGCCACGATGAAGGTGCAAAACGTGACGCTTGGGAGAAAGTCTGGAATAAGTTTTCAACCGCCTTCGCAGCGAACAGTATCAGATCGAGTTTCTATCAGACAGACACTACCATCAATGCCGATTTCTTCGTAAAGAATGTGCCTGCGGATCGTTTTACCGTGTCCACCCAGCCTCAGAAAGTGGTTATGGGACCAATCTCAAATACCGACTCTGGTTCTAACTCCCTTCAGCTCCACCTTTGGGGCAGGGTCAAGCCTGCTGAAACCAAGCACACAGTTAAGTCGATGAAAGTCGAGCTAGTCCTCAAAAAGGAAACGCCAGGCAAATGGCCCATGCTGCAACGGGAGGATTCCGATGGATTTACTAACATTGCGGGGAACACTATTATCCCCCCCTCGTTCGAGAGATTCTCCACACTCATTTCTCGTTTGGGGTTCGTATCCGATCCTGTCGAGCTTACTATGTATGCTAGGACCTTAAAACGCTAACACTATTTTAGGTATCATCATCCCGATGACCTCGAACTTCCAGATAGTGGTTCCGACCTGAAAGCTTGGTACGGCGCTTTCTTGGGCAAGGTTGCAGTTGGTCTGGATGGGCACGATGCATCTTCAGAGATCCCGAATGCTGCACCCGAGGCTACATCGTCTTCTACGAGCGCGAGCGCGGGCGCGGGCGCGGGCGGCGCCACTCAGCCCAAAAGTAACCCCACGCAAGCTAGCGATGCTATACCTAAGCCTACTCCAAATACTAGCAAGGCATATTCAACAAAGACCGTCGGTAGCGCCCCAGCCTACCCTACCTCCTCGAAGAAAGGAGCAGTGAATTGGGATCGGATTGGTGATGACGACGGGGATGACGAGTCCAAAGAGGATGCCGATGTTAACTCGTTCTTCCAAAAGCTCTACAAGGATGCAGACGATGATACGAGGCGTGCCATGATGAAGAGCTACGTTGAGAGCAACGGCACATCGCTCAGCACAAGCTGGGCTGAGGCCAAGAGCAAGACGTACAAGACTCTACCACCCGAGGGCGCCGAAGCCAAACAGTGGGATGACTGATACCCTCCCTACGTGATTGTCAGCTTAGTTTGTGATTTTCACGCGCGTGCTATGTATTGCTACGAGCAGATGATAAGAAAGGGGAAGGGATGATCGGAATGATACCAAGTGTAATTACTCGTCAATGCAATTAATGATACGGTGTATTGCGACTCTGAGTCGTACGTTTTATTCCTAGTTCGGTGCGTTAATACCACGAATTGTTTCGTCTTTGATATCGTTCATCTTTACCATATAAATTTGACGAGTTTACAGTTGGGAACTTTGGACGCGGTGAGATATGCATCTTGGTTTATCTGTGCCTCTTCAGGATATACCTACTAACATAGGTAAAGTAGGGATAAGCCAGTGTGTCACAAGACTATACAAAATCTACGGATCCGTATGCGTGACTTCAGTAGTTAGAATATCTATGTAGTCTCTACCGGCCCTACCAGGCCTTTGCCAACGAACCAGGTGAGCGGATTGCCATAAAGTTGTACGGGCTTGAACGGATGACGTTTTTAGGAACGATGATTGGCGGTATTTAAAAATATCTATCCACCCATAACCACGGTCTCGGTGCCAAGCTTCGCTAGAGAGGGTGTGGGCTCAGATACCACGTTTTACGTAGTTCTTTTCCCGGCATTTGTTTCATCACACTTCTATACGACCGCCCCCGGGGGGTTATGTTCGTTAGTATGTTCGTGGGAGGTTAGGATCTAGCCGGTCTCATTCCAGTTGCCGACACATCCCTCTGGTCCTCGAGTAACACCCTTTCTGTTACCCTTGGGTCTTCAGCTGGTTATCCTTGCCATGGTGGAATACTCCCCGCAATTCTCCAAGGTTAACTCGTAGACTCTCCACATGGTGTCCAGACCCTCTTGTCTGAAGTTCTTTCATCGACGGCAAGGAAGAACCGTACCAGAGGCTTCGGCAATTCGCTGATTGGTCAACTCGGGGTCCGCCGAGGTTAATAAGCTTGAATAAGCTACAATATGGGCGAACAACACGCATCATGTAATTCAAGGCGGGATGTCGAAGAACTTCTATATCATTTACCCGACCTCGCAGCAAGGTACTGTCGAGTAATTCATATATCTAAATTGTCCGGAGATCTGGACCACGGTGGGATCGTAGATTGTTGGGGACCCTTAAGTCTGCTTAACGATTCTGAATAATTCGCCTGATTAAGCAATTACTTCATCAGCAACATCTTGACATCACTCGCCTTGCTGTCATCTAATTTTTGTTTCCTATATTTGAATCCAACGACGACCCCTTCAACAGGAGTAGCGTGTAGCAAGGGAAGTTCTCCACACGACCTGTTTGCATAACTCCTATCGCCTAGAGGCGTCTCTCTAGACTTGTCCATATAATATTTTTGTATTCCATCTTCCACATTAGGCTCTTCATCATGAGCAGCGCCGACGAGGTCACGATCTCCCCGACGAGGACCATCCTCCTCACAGCATGGGGAATTTTCAAAGCGCAATGGCCGCTCCTCATCCCACTCTTCATCGTCCTCCGGATTTTGTATAAGCGTTATGCTTCACCTTTACGCGAATATCCCGGTCCCTTCGTGGCCTCTTTCACCCGTCTCTGGAAAGTCATGTCCACGATTTCGGAACAAACTCATATGCACCACATCGAACTGCACCGCAAGTACGGCCCCATCGTGCGCATCGCACCCAACGAGCTCTCCTTTTCATCTCCAACGGTCGCTCGTCACGTTCTCTCGGCCGGAAAGCGTTTCTATAAGACGGACTTTTACTCCGTCTTCCCGCCGCCAGAGAACCCGGACATCTTCACCGAGATTCGGGAGGATGTGCACGCCATGAAGAAGAAGGTGGCCAACGTGCCGTACTCGATGGCCGCCATGCGCCAGCTCAGCCCTTTCATCGATGACACTATCGACTTCCTCGTTAGTCGACTCGACCAGTTCTGCCCTGACACTGCCATCCCCGGATTCCAACAGGCTGGTCTCCCCGGTCGAAACACTATTGTTAACCTTGGCGACTGGCTGCACTTTTTCGCCTTTGACGTTCTCGGTGAGGTGGCCTTTGGAAGGTCGTTCGGCTTCTTAGCTGCTGGCGTCGACAAGGATAACGCTATCAAGACTATCGACAACAGCCAGAAGTACAATGGTATCGTTGGACAGATCCCCGAGATTGACTGCCTGCTAAGAAGGAACCCGCTCTGGAGGTGGATTCCTGCCTTCGACCCCAACAATGGGGTTATCACTCGTTTTGCCCGCGAGGAAATGCAGAAGCGTCGCCCCTTCGAAGTTGAACGTGATGGCAAGGGTGCTAGCGGCGATGGTCGTGAAGACCTCTTATCTTCTTTAATTAAGGGCCACCTAAAGGACAAGAGAAAGTTCCACGAAGGTGACATCTTTGCCGTGGCTCATGGTGCTATGTGAGTATACTTACCCGCCTACCCCTATTCCTAGTAAGCCAAGAGTAAATAAAGAGCCCGGTTAGCTAACATGACGGATGCAGCTTCGCCGGCTCAGACTCGACTGCCTCTTCCATGCAATCCTTCTTCTGGCACGTCCTATCTGCCCCTAAGGTGCTTGCAAGGTTGGTAGAGGAGATTGATACGGCGGCACGTGATGGAACGATCTCGGCGCAAGGTAACATCCAGTGGACTGAGGCTCAGAACCTACCATACTTCCAGGCGTGCCTGAAGGAGGCGATGCGTATGCGTCCCGCGGTCGGTGTTAACATTGCTCGATACGTGCCTCCGGAGGGTATCGAGATCGAAGGCCGCCACATTCCCGGTGGTACACGGCTCGCCCTCAACGGCTGGGTTCTGCACCGCGACAAGGCCACCTTCGGCCAGGATGCCGACTACTTCCGTCCGGAACGCTGGCTCGAGGACCCCGAAAACGCCAAGGTTATGGAGAGATACATGTTCCAGGTATGTTACATAGGAACCTAACCTTGAAACATCCGTGCACTAAATACTAACATCAATAATAGTTTGGTGGTGGTGCCCACGTCTGCATCGGTCGGAACCTAGCGCTACTCGAGATTAACAAGGTGATCCCTCGCCTTCTCCGCGACTTCGAGTTCGAGCTGGTCTACCCGGGCCGAGAGCTCAAGGCGAAGGCGACGTTCTTCGTGGTCCAGGAAGGCCTCGAGGTGTACATCTCGCGAAAGCAGAGCGAGAAAGAGACGCAGAAATAAAAGCTTAGACTCATACCATATAACTAGTTCTTCAAAGAACAAACTTAATGATGCTACTAATAATAGTATCGGGGACGGCGGGCAACGGCGTTGTTGTGTTAGAGCTGGGCTCGCGGCTTACGAAAAAAAAATGCTTTTACTTGGGCAGCATGTTTGCATACCATTTTACGCAGCGTTTTCTGTTATTCCTTTTTTTTTTCTTTTTCGAAAGGATGTTCATACGGGACAGAAGTTGTAGATGGACGAGATATGCGCGGCGTGTTATATATACCAGGAGATGCTTGGTAGATTGCTTACTGTATTATGAGTATTGGAGGCGAGTTCGATGTAACTGATGACGAAGTTTCGCTATTAGAAAATAGTGCGAGGGGCGCAGCTGGTGATACCAACTCCAACTTGGCAATACGGTCTAACATTATGTCAACCTTTCTTTTAATAATATAATACCTATAGTTCAATACCTGAAGCTATAGTATTAAGGAGCAGATATTGTCTAAGTCTTATTATTTACGCCTTAGGTCTCTAGGCTATATGCTGATTGTTAAGTGAAGTTATTGTGAACTATGCTGTCTTTCACTCATTTTGCGATACCCAATCAAATCGCGAACCATTCCCACGCTTTCCCAATGAGGTGAGGTACTTTGGCTCTAATTGGCCATCTGCTTATGTCCTGCGTATCCTGGGGACGCTTCAAGTTCATACGTGCTATTCTCTTAACTAGAAGACAAGTTCTACCAAACTACTCTCGAGTATACTAAGTCATCCTAGATGATGTCCACGGCACTTAGGATGTCGATGAAGCCACATCGTCGCGTTCACGATCATACGTTCTCGGATGTCTAATATGTTACGTATTAAGTAACGAAGATCCACGAAGGTTCACGAAGATAACGGCAATTGAGTCCACACCTATATAATCGTTGGGCACACCTTAAGCTTGTATATAGTCTTTCGCATATTCGGTGCGTTGATCCAACGAGATCGGCTCGAATTGGAGAATTTGAAATTCTTGCATTCAAATTTTTTTTTCAACCGAATTCGGAGATCAAATTACGATCTAAGGCCATGACAAATGCGACATGTGAAGAGCCTCTTCGATTTATAAGATGCCAAGATAGTCCCTCACATCCCTCACCGCGTTGTGCTACGTAGCAATATCTTTGTTGGCCGGATGATTTCTGCGCAGAGCCGCCGAAGTTGGACCTGGGAAAAGCAAAAGCCAAGAGTCCATTTATCCGAATCTCAACCACGGCTTATACATGATACCTACTGGGGCACCACGTTCATTCGCGAGCATTCGATCTTATCTGGACGAGGGTTATATAGTACTTGCATACATCATGCAGCCTCAGGATAAATTGGGGGGTGTATTCCTAGCGTATTGCTAGAAACTGCATCTATCTCTCAACGACATAAGTAACATACGAATTCGGGTGGGCCTACATCGTATCCCACAAAGGATGCGACGGGACCGAGCAGCTTGCACAATCACCTCTATCACCGTTACTTAATACTCATCACATACTCTTAAACGATCCATCCACATCCTATCGCAGCACGTCGATTCTAGACGTCGCCGAGCGGGGTAGGCAACGCCACAGCGGCCTGTATGCAACATCGTGAGCGCTGTAAAGACATCGCCACATCAGTTCTCTCACATTCTGCTGGCGAGGTGCGCGCGGTCAGCTCGCTTATAAGCAGCCTGATCCTGTCGGAAGTGAGCCGGCATAATAGTGAGTGGGTGTCATATCGTTGGGGATCACGACCTATCGGCTAGGTACGTCGCTAGGCGGTATAGACACTACGCAACGACGAACCATTAAAGGGGCTAGAGGCTAGGCCCGCGAGAATGGTAATAGGCCGCGACGACGGGCCGCCGTGGTATCCGAAGGTCAATATTCTATGCACTCGCTGGATAAGCATTCTTCCTGGCTGCGAGACATCGACGGTAGCTGAGATGTACTATTCTGCTTAGCAGGAGTTAATATGGGACGCAGAAGAAGGAACCACTGATGTTCATAGCGGTGTTTGCTTCGGCCGCCGAGACATGCGAGCAGGTGTTCGTCATGTACGAATACGGATTTGCCGACATTGGAGACGGGAATAAGGACGGCTGGTCCAGTTTTTGGGTGGATGCGACTGGTTTCGGCATATGTGGATCATCCACGACGATCCATTTTGTCTGGGACTGTTTAGGGGGGTGGATAAGCGCCCACATTGTCGGTATAGAAGTTTAGAGGTGTCGTTCATCGTTCTATTCTAGAATGTCGTCGATATAGCCGACATCCGGACTCGGTAACCTTTACATATTCAGGCTGCTATTTATGGTTATGAATCTATAGGTGATGCAGAAAAGCTGAGATTGAGTTCAAAAGCTGAGGATGGACTAGGAATCTATCACGTGGCTTGTGTGGATAATAGTGAGGGTTACAAGATAGTTTAAGCAAGTCTTGGAATACTGTTACTAATATTTAATAGGCGGTATCTGTTTATACCTAACCTATATACGTAGATTATGAAATAGACCAAGAAGCACTCTTTGGGAACTTGAGGGATAGGTGTCAAGATATATAATAGTTTGGTGTCTTTTATAACCCTTAGGGCCAGAAGACCTTTACATTCCAGAATGTCATGGCTAAAACCCGACTTTCAAAGAAGAGGAATCCTTGTAAACGCCGGTTCTAATTAAGGAAAGTCAAAGTTAATTCATATTTTACACTAGGAGGTAGTTATCAATCTCGAAAGGGGAAAAGGGTGATATCTCTTACGTACCTCCTATGTAAACAATAGGAAGCATTTTTTTCATCGTAGAACGCACACAGAGGATGATAAAGCTCTTTCCGTTCCTGTTAGTTCTTCCGGGTGAGTTCGTGTTCAGGGTAAGAAAGTTACTTGGTCCTGATAATATAGGTAGGTACCTAAAGAATGATACCTAGTGTCTAGGTAATTTGTATTCTTGACCGGGATATTATTCAACGGTGAATATAGCTGAATCGTAATTATGAGTCTCTCTCTTAATGGCCTACCTATAGCTGAGCTTTTGGTGTTTATATGTTGTTCTTAAAATTTTTAGAAATTTCAGAAACTTCATATCCTCCTTCACTTCAACCCCGGAGTCTCACGATAAGCGGGCGGCAAACACCCTTCCAATACTAGCTTGATTTGCTGGGCCATTGGCCGCGACTACCAACGCTGTTGCTGGATGACACCCCCCATCACCCAGTAATTATCCATACGTAAATGGCGTTTCCACACACCGCGAATTTCTCCCTCGGCATCTACCCCCCATGTAGCATCTAACCGTGCTATGATGTCCTTAGGACCAAGAACATTAGTCTTGTTTATTGTATCAGGATCTATCTCACCAAGGACACCCAATGCCGTTGTGCGGACATCCTTGTCAGAAAACCCCGTACACCAAACGACTGCATCGGTATCAAGGGAATTGCCGTCAGAAAGCCGCAATCCAGTTTCTGTGTATGCTACGGGCTCGACAAGCCTATGTACGGAAACTTTGCCTTTAGCAATAAGATCGGTGCCGCCTACATCGACGTAATGTCCACCACCACGCTCAACTAAGATATTTTGGATATCCACTGATGGGTCCCTACTGTCAAGGACTGGGAAGCCCGCTTGTGCAAGAGATAGATAGCGATCCCTACGTAGGTAATCAACCAATTGACATTAGTATGAGGAGGCGACTACTAGGTGATAGAAAGGTACTGCTGAGATTTAATAGCTAGGAAGTTATTGTCACAGAATCACAGTGAAGCGAGTATTAGCAAACGGGGCCTAAAAGTGGACATACGGTTCTTGAGAGGCAAGGTGAGAGAATAGGCCATGTGAGAATTGTCCGTCAAGAGCTGGTGGCAAAGTGTACATAATCCGATCGGCTACTTCGACGGGCAAGTTATCATATGCTCCAAAGGCATGCGGATTCATTACATATTCGTATGGGTAGATATATGTCGGAGAGCGAGCTACTATCGTCGTATTTAGGCCCGCAGCATGGCAGTCTTGCATGATGTCGAATGCAGTATTAGCCGAGCCGACAATAACAACAGACTGTAAGGGAGATTAGCTGTTAAGCAAAGATATTGACTGAAATATGCAAAACTAAATATTATTTGCGTACGTATATGAGCGGTAAAGGTGTATGTATTTCTACTTACCTTGATTCCTTGTTCCGATAAAGACTGTGCGTTGCGAAAATGTACGGAGTGCAGGTTAAGGCCTCTGAACAAATTCTCGTTTTCTAGCGTTGGAAGGTTTGGCTTTTGAGACCCTATTCCGGTAGCCTGGACAAAATGCTTGCTTATTATGGTCTTTCCGGGCTTCCCATCTATAGTCTTAAGCTTAACGGTCCATTTCTTCTCCGAAGTATCGAAAGAACTTGAACCTATAGTTGTTGATAAAATAACATTGAGGCCAAGGTTCGCAGCATATTGACGCAAATGCTTCGCTACTTCGTCCTTGGTAAGCCGGTGCGGACTTCGTAAATCCTTTCCGTAAGCTTATAAATGACTATTAGTCAAGTTGTAGAGCAAAGTTATGTCATATAAAATCCTACATGCATATGGAATCTCACAACTAGAAGTTGGGACGTGAAACCTCAGACAGTCGTAGCGATTCATCCAGTTATCACCGAGTTGGCCATTGCGGTCAATAATCACACTATCAACACCGAGGGCTTTGAGTCGTGCTGAAGTCACAAGGCCACTATAACGTGTCAGAAATCAATTAAGAAGAAACACTAAGCATTGACTAATGAGCTCTCGGCACCGGCGATGAGAACATCAGTCTCGATGATATCCAAATCGTCCAGGTTCTTACTGGGAGATAATAGCCGCGTTTCATCTTCTGGATGTTGGATTATGTTCTCGATCCAAGTTGAGAGGGCCTACGTTATAAACATCTGTGACATGATGATTAAGCTGTTGGGCAGCGAGTACAAGAGTGGGCTACACCGAGTAATTAATAGGGGCACGGACGACCGATATAGCATAGTCTATTTTTTTGATGGAAACCGTGACTTCAAGTTAAGGCCACTGGGCTCTAATCTAACAGCTGGAGATGAGAAAGACGATGTCATGACTTGCGAAGAGTATATGTTTGATAGGATTAGGAATTCTTTTGGACAACATAACAAGCACGACATTAGATTGACTAAAGATGTTTAGGGGTGGTTGTTATTCTATGGATGTTCACTAACCTGGAACTTTTTCTTAACCCAAAGGTTTCTATTTATCGGGATTCTAGATCGGACGTCTAGATCAAAGGAAATGTTTAATATGTATATGAGCTGTAGGCTCTGTTGTTAGGTTGGAGTTCCTCGCAGAACAACAAAGCTATTTCCTTGCTTCTCGATCTATCCGTGACAATTTTATTACCGACCATACAAAGCCTAAATATACCTACGTAAAGGTTTGATAGCTTGATTCACTCGCCATAACGTTCCAAGTGTTATACTTTAAATAAATTCACCAATTACCTGTTACAAGCCACTGTATGCGGCCTGATAAGAGGCCCGGATAAGATATGATCCAGGACACGAGAAGGAGGCCACGTGATGTCACGTGACACCCAGGAGCCCAAAGGGCTCCCTATACTACTGAGTTGGATATATAAGGTTGGAAAGGAACCCCTTGAATAGCTAGAATATCCTCAGTGGTCAATCTAAGTATACACCTGGTACTAAGATCTCTATATTCAACGTTGTTACCTTCAAACCAAGATCATACCTCGTTACAGAATATTTACGATCGAAAAACAGATACAAATTATTAAATATATCATTGCAATAAGGGTGTTAGGGCGTATGCGGTAATAGAACGATACAGTGCGGCCCTGGGAATTTGTTCCAATTCACCACTTACCTATGATGATGACTGGGTCATTTTCACTACACCAGGTACGCCACTGCCCTGCCAGCCCGGAAGCCGAGTGTTGATACCCACTCGTAGAGAGGCAACTCAAGCAGAATATCAGTTTGTCTGCCTTAGGTACCTAACATAGGTACCCATCTACGTGACAAAGGGAATATCCATATTGGCAGTCCCAGAGTCAGTTGATAACACGCATGGATCTCGTTTGGCAATAGCAACTTAAAAATTCTTACAACGTTGCCTAGCGGTTACTTGGGTTCGTAACGATGTTTGCTTATACCTGGAGCGAAATCCGTCCAAGTCAACGATTTCCGACTCGCAACCTTGAAGGATACTGGATATGCCAGTGTTTCCAGCTGACAAGATCATTAGTATCCACGTTGTAGCATCATGATATCTCTCCACTCAAGGGTTTGCAGATTTTCCCATGATTCAATGTGGACTGGAAATCATAAGTAATGCAAGGAAACAGAAATGGTATCTATTATTTAACAGGACAATATTCCCCCTCCTTTCTCCCATCTGGAACCGGAGAGAGCTAATATCTACATCCATTCATGCCTAGGAATCTACAGCCAACCGGGTCGCAATTTATCATCATGGATTCTGGAGTGGGTGATTTTAACCTCCCGGTAGGGGGAAATACCGACTTCCGAATGGAAGATTTCGATCCCCAAGCAGAAGATTTTGACGACCAGCTGGGAGATTTTGACTTCTCGATAGAGGATATGGATTTACAAATGGCAGACAACTACCATATCGAGAATATGGACTATCTATTGGACAACTTCGCATTCGACAACCTCGATCCTGGTAATGTGTCAAGCGATCAACCTAGTCGTAACAGGACGAGAGAACAGTCGCAAGAAGGAGAAGCTAGTGCTCCGTCGAGCCCAGATTCTCAGGCCTTCGTTAACTACTTCGAGTGGACGGAGAACAACCTACCCATCGGGGTATCTTTCGACCCTAATGCCCCGGCGGTTACCCCTGCATTCCTGCGCGGATGGACTTATAGGCCTGAACAGCCAGCCGAGCCAGAAGACGAAAACCAAGTTGTTTTCATGGGTTCGCGTGGGACTGGGTACCGCTCAGAAATGGTTACGCCTGCCGAGGTTGCCGGGAACGAGCCCGCAGTTCGTCGATCGTCTCGCCGCAGAATCGCCCCTCGAATTCCATTTCCTACTCAGCGACCAGCATGGGCGATGCTCGCGACGGATTTTAAAACCGTTTCTACTATTCCGAACGACGTCTCCCTGTGGTGTCCTTGCTGTACACGGACACTCCCGAGTAGCAGTTTCAGGGTGGCGCCTAAGAACCATACTCCAATGGAGACATGCATTGATTGCAGAAAGCGACAGGTATTACCTCATAATGGTATGGCTATCTGCTGGAGCACATCATCGGATCGCAAAGGCTGTGGAAGATTTCTCCCCCGGGCTAATTTCTCTAGCTTTCACAATTACGCAACTTTTACGGGTATTCTTTGTCGAGATTGTAGAGCTTTCGGCCCAGGTCGGGTGAGATTCGAGGGGAGATATATTGAGAGGAGGCCATGAAAGATGGGAGCCACGATGAACTGACCTAGAGCCAAGTTAAATCTATGTCCCATTCTAGCGACGGGATTCGTACAGCGAGAAATTTGATTAGAGTTATCTAGACCGATAAACTGCTAAGACTTACGGATATTTGGTGTTAACTATGTGAAGTCTCCCTACAAGGGCAGGTTAATGTTTACTTAGATATCCGCCTATTGAGATGTACTTTTGTGGACCATAGTTGTATTGCTTGAGTGATGTGATGATGAACCTATGTAGCGAGGCTGGCTCTGGCAGATGTGGATATGATACAGAAACATAAACAGTATATATCAAGTGAAGGGCCATGCCATAGGCAGCAGTAATGCTAATTATAATAAGAAATGCGTGTGAGATACTAATTAAATGAACTATATATCCAACAGTACGACTTATTGGTCTACGTAACCCTTAGGCATACATTATTTGTTAGAAATAGAAAGGCTTAGAGAGTATCTTTAGACTGTGAAATATTAAGTACCGAATATAATGATATTGATGCATATTTATATTTTAATTGTGATAACCCAGCTACCTAACAGTCTTCCATTCTGCTAACATTACTTCAACATCTCCCCAGTCATAATTTGATTGTAGTTCGTGTTGAATCGCAAATCTAACGAGCCTCCTTGCCAGCCGATACGCAGGGTTATATGCAAATCGCATATAATCTTTTCCAGCAGCTCTCTCAAATGCTTTCTTGAGTTGACGTCCTTCTACCGTCGGCGGAACGTCGTTGGCTGTTCGCTCGTCTTCGTCTTCCCCATCTAGCCAACCCCATACCCAGAGTGGCGGCTCGCAAGCCATGAACGCCGGAGCGAAAACAGCGCTATCCCAGTCGAGAACCCCTGATATTATGGGTTTCTTTGGAGTGGATGTCGGGTCGATCAATATGTTGCGAGGAGCAAGATCCAGATGGGCGAGGCAGTAGTCAACATTGTGAAATAAGCCTCTTTCTTCCAGCTCCCATACCATGGCGCAAAGCTGACCGAAGAGACCAAATTTCAGGTAGGCTGAGGGGTGATACTTTATAATATGTGCCATCTGATCCTGAAAGTTGCTCAAGAGTAAATCGCGTATCGTTTGCCTAGTGGTTTTCGTACTGCTATATGGCACTGCCAAATTAAAACCATCGTGCCCATACGGTATAACGCTGAACTCTGCTTTTATGTCGATGTCGTTACCCTCCGATGAGAATACTAAGGATCCAGCCGTGTGGCTTCTGACGGCTAGTATTTGGCGGAAAACATTCCCAAGTTCGCGTGCGAATCTTAATTTTTTGGCGTGATTAAGCCTGGGAAAGCCTGTTAATACATCCGTACCCGCAATACGATCCTGAATCATGTAAGGAAAGTGCAATTCGTTGTCTTCCGTGGTGTCGAACGTTAGGACTTTGGGTACTGATATTTTAGTATGCCTCCCGAGAAATTCCAGAGTGGCGACATCGCGGTCTACGCGCGCATCATCGTGTCGGGGAATTCGTACGATATATTGGACGTCGGCAGAATTGGTACGGCTATTTCCTTTCCGTGTTAACCCAATGATTCTGTTAAAGCCACCTCCTTTCAACCTCTCAATTATTATATCGTTGAGATTTGCACCAGGCCAGATATTATATAGTGCGAATTCGAGGACGCTGAACTGGTACGTCTCGAATGCATCGTGATCCCACAGAACCGTTGATGTAACTGAGTGTCTGGACGACTCCGAATAGGCGCTTTTAGGAGAATATGGTGATTCCATTTTCGTTAACTGATTGTTTCTGCTGAAAGATATGGTATATGTGCTGTAGTTGTATATTGACTTGATCTACCAACTGTATGAGTGAAGAGGGAGGTCCTTCTTATATATACATTCCATGCCAAGATACCATGTACTGTACCTGAAAGTAGTCCCTTGACCACTCACTTCAACAGTTTCGGTGGCTTTCCTACGCTACTTGGGAAACAGGGCTTATAAATTAAAAGATGGAGCTAGAACCTGAAGTGCACCGGAACAAACTCTTTGTCAAAGCATAGCTACTATATGGTAACGCTGTTAATACTTGGTTAAGGTTGAACAATTGTCCATGTTGGTCGCTTTGTACGTGTCTAGCTGTTATATTCGAGTAACAGATATGATGCTTTGACCATGATACACTCCTTTGTTCTTCGTTAATAACAATGTTCAGTACGGACCACGAGACTCCCACGTTACAAGAACCACCACGAAAGGAACATCTGTTGGAACTGAGACGGCACCTAGCACGTTGACTTGGTCATTTTATAATATGTGTACGGTACTCTAGATTGCTTTACAATTTTTAGATACTAGACCAACACTGAATTACCGACCCCTGATTCCATTTGTCTGCGATTATTAGAAAGTTTTTACCACTACCAACACACATCAGACTTATGTAAACCTCTTTTTAAGTTAAACTCCCGGGTTGGGAAATCTTAAAGAAGTTCGGGTCATTCTTGTGAGCTTAAATTCACACGTGTCATATAAATAGAGTTCAGCCTCATGATAACTTCTACTCCGCCTTACTTTCGAACAAAGCGCATAGCCCCTTTGCCAGGGATCGCCGGAGCTATGTATGTGGTATTGTGTTCTCGAAATTTAAAACTAGGGAAGTCAGGTATTAAGTTTGCTTTTTGACAAATATAATTCAGAAGTTCCTCCAGCAAAAATTTTAATTAACATTATTCGTTGTACTCTAGGCATTTATATTACGGTCATGCTATATATCTCACATAATCACTCAAACTTTGTTGATCGTTGTGAATCATTAGGTGTCGCGATGATATGATCGATTAGACAATATCATCACCCCTTCGCGCGGCACCGCTCCTAACAGGCTTCCGCTGGAAACCAGCCACGCCGCCATGACCGCTCGTAGTGTGTGCATTGCCACTATAACCCGAAGCTCCAACACCCCATCCGGCCTTGCGTGTCCACAAGGCATCCATAAGCTCGACGCTATCGTAAGTGTATAGGCATGCCTGCCCACGGTGAAGAGGGATGTGGTTCCAACGCCAATCCCAAATCGCGGCATAGCACATGCGGTATGCGGAGAAGGCCATGACGGTACCAATGATGCCGCCCGCCAAGACGTCATACCAATGGTGAAACTCATCGATTGTCAACGCGCCAGCAATTAGCGTAGCTCCTAGTATTGGCGCATAGACGGCCACTAGCTTCCACATCGCCGGGTGGTAGTTTGAGAAGACCTTGAGCTTAGCGTTAAGGTAAAGGTAAAGGAAGACGAAGCCAGCAAAGGCCGCTGTGCTGTGGCCTGACGGGAACGATTCGAGAGAGTCATTGATCTGGTTCTCGTCACCCGTGCAGATCTCTTTCGTGTAGTAGATGTTCGTGAAGCCAGCCCCGTTGTAGCCAGCGCCCTTAACGCCGGGGGCGTTGCTAGCGAGGCTCACATCAGGCTTGCACACGGCAAGGAAGTGCGGGCGCAAGCCACCGATAAGCCATTTCAAAAAGACCTGGAAGACGGCGGCGGTGATGAGCGAGTATAGAAGGCCGATAATTCCATTGTTTACATCCCAAAAAGATCGAATACGAATTTGCATGAGTAGAATAACAACAATCGGGATTATGGCCGCGAGAAACGCAGCTAGCCAGATAGGGATGATCTCCTTACGCAGGGGATATGCGAATTGCGGATATACGACCTCTCCATCGGAGAAGGTTACTGGGAATGATCGAGTCGGAGCTGGTTTCGCCTCGTACACCTATGCGAATGTTAGTATAGTGATCGTGATTAGAATTATGAAGAGGAAAACATACACCAAGCCCTATAGCTCCCATACATATCATGGTAACGATATCGAGCCATGTGACTTTGAGCCACTGGCCAAAACTCGGACGAACCGCCATAGGATAGGCTACGGTATCTTGGACATGTCCGTTCCGATGTCCATTACTCTGATTGTTAGTCGTCGCCCCATCGGCACGACGACGGCTGAAGAAGCCCATATTAACCGATTTATTATATGTTAGGCGTTATGTGGATAATGTGGATATGGAGTGTGCACGAGCGAGGTCTTCCTATTCGAGTCCCGATAAGGGAATGCTCGATGCTCGAAACTCGCGGAGGGTGCAAAGAGGCTCTAGTAATGGTGTACGAGGTTAAGACTAAGTGTAGTAATGCTGGTAAACATTGGCCTGGCCGGTCATATAAATATAAGTTGGAAATGGATCATGACGGATTGTAAAGGGGCTTCGTAGTATGTCCAAGTTGACGTCATGATTAGCCCGTCGAGCCACGACAGGAGCTCGACGCGACGTGCCCAAATTCAGTCAGTTCTCTCCAATAATCTACATTCGAGTTAGCGAATCGAAACGTAGAATCGCGATGAGTTGTGCTCTGTTAGGTAAGTTGAGCATGGTGTTGTATCAAATGTAGATATTGACTCCATCTGTTTGGTAGATCTGATTCGTCAACTCTAGAGTTGAGCGTCATGGACGAGAAAAACTTGGCACGACTTGGCAAATGCTTGTCCAATTACCGGATCGGGTAATTGGAGATCTCAGAGAGTAGCCTCGATGCCATTGCGAGAGGAACACTTGAGTGTTAATTCTAGTTACCGTTGCTTGTTATAGTCTTAATAAACTGCTAAATAGTTGCATAAGTTTAAACACTATGGATTCAAAGGCCAACATACAAAATATAATATCACCAAGTGAAACCCCTTAATCAACATAACTGGACTAACTTTATAAGGTTAGTCTCTCTAAAAAGATTACTAGGGTCCCTTGCGCCGTAATGACGGGCACTAAAATCGAGGCCTAGATTCCTTGAATTCGGCCTTATCCCGAAAACACAGCACCGTAGGACGAAGACTCTTCACATTGACGCATCACATTTAATTTCTATCAACAGCGCTTCATACATATGTGAATTAGTAGGCTACCCAGTATATGAAGTTCTTATCTACTATTAACGGTAATTGTTGCTCATGCGTCCCTTGGCGGGATAGGGTTGAAGTTTCGTTTCCACCGAAATCGTAGCGTGGGTTAGAGATGGCACCCGACTTTCTGGGCCCTAAAATCTCACTACCAACAGCGCTAACAAGAGGGCACCCCTGTGGGGCACCACAATAGCCCGAGTTTACAAAGGACGTAACTGAAAATCAATCACGTGCCGCCCGCCCGCCCACGGCCCGGCAGCAGCGGCAACAAACTCGAATACCAGCCTTTACTGGAATTTCTTTAAAAATCTAAAAAAAAAAAAAAAAAAAAAAAAAAAAAAAAAAAATTTAAAAAAAAAAAAAAAAGTGGGGTTGGAAGCCACAACCCCTTACCACCCCTATCCACCCCAAAAAC